CATCTCCGAATTACGAGATCTACTGCACGGAGCCCAGTGGTTTACAGCACTCGACCTAAAAGGAGCCTATAACCTGATCCGGATGAAATCAGGTGAAGAATGGAAGACAGCGTTTCGAACACGCCGAGGACATTACGAGTACCTTGTGATGCCCTTCGGACTTACCAACGCACCCGCGACATTCCAGACGATGATCAACCACGTCTTACGAGAATACCTCGATATGTTCGTCGTAGTTTATCTCGACGACATCCTAATCTTCTCCAAGACTCTGGAAGACTACAAAAAGCACGTACATCAAGTGCTACGGAAACTACAAGACGCCAAACTCCTAGTGGAACCAGAAAAAAGCAAATTCCACACCCAAGAAGTCGAATTCCTAGGCTTTACGATAGCCCCTGGAATCCTCAAGATGTCTAAAGACAAAGTCGCAGCAGTACGAGACTGGCCAACACCACAAAACGTCAAGGATGTGCAATCCTTCATCGGATACGTGAACTATTACCGACGATTCCTAGAAGGATACTCAGACAAAAACGACCCCCTCACGAGACTTTCGAAGAAAGATATCCCATGGCAATGGGAAAAGGAACAAGACCAAGCTTTTAACGAGATCAAACGACAAGTCACATCGGAACCAATACTTGTTATACCAAACCCCGAGAAACCATTCGAAGTCGAGACCGACTCCTCAGACTACGCTATAGGAGGACAACTAGGCCAACGAGACGACGAAGGACGACTACACCCTTGCGCCTTCTTCTCACGCAAGTTACACGGCCCAGAACTCAACTACCAGATACACGACAAGGAACTTATGGCAATTATCGAGGCATTCAAAGAATGGAGACCGCAACTCTCAGGGACCAAGTACGAGGTCAAAGTATACACCGACCACAAGAACCTCGCACACTTCACCACATCGAAAGATCTCAACAAACGACAAATTCGATGGTCCGAATTCTTGTCAGAATTCAATTTCAGAATCATCTACCGGAAGGGCAAGGAGAACGGCAGGGCCGACGCCCTCAGCCGACGACCGGACCACGAGGTCCAGGTACCTAAGGAAACCCGAGTTATCCTCAAAACAGACAAAAACGGAGACCTTGTGCCAGCAGCCAGACTCTTAATGATGGCCAGAAGAGACAGTACCAGCACGCCTGGAAGGATGTCTCCTGAAGCCATTAGGGAGATATACTCCGCACCCGCACACGGTCACCAAGGCGTAACTAAGACATGGAAACGCATCCGCCAACACTACGACAAAACGGCTACACGACAAGAAGTATCTTTAGCGATTAAGGACTGTAAGGTTTGTGCGAAAAGCAAACCCAGCCGACATCAGCCTTATGGAAAGATACAGCCGCTCCCAGTGCCGCAAACCGCATGGGAATCTATCTCGCTGGACTTCGTCACCAAACTACCCAAGTCCCGAGAACCAATGACCAACGTCTACTACGACAGTGTCCTCGTCATCGTCGACAGACTCACGAAGTATTCGTACTTCATCCCGTACATAGAGTCTAGCACTGCAGAAGACCTCGCCTACAAGTTTCTGCAGGTGATCGTAAGCCAACACGGAATGCCGAAGGAAATCGTATCCGACAGAGACAAGCTGTTCACTTCCAAGTTTTGGAGATCCCTGATCTCGCAGCTAGGATCCGACCACAAGATGTCCACCGCTTTCCATCCGCAAACCGATGGCCAGACAGAACGAATCAATCAGATCATGGAAACCTACCTACGCTGCTACGTCAACTATCAGCAAGACAACTGGGTTCAACTGCTACCTATGGCCCAGTTCGCCTACAACAGCGCAGTAGGAGAAAGTATAAAAGAATCACCATTCTATCTGAACTATGGATTCAACCCAACAGCCTACGGACAACCTCGACAAGGCCCAGCAGCTCTGAAAGCTGTGGCAGACATCAACAGACTTAAGGAGATCCAGCAGGAACTCCCCAGAGACCTCGAATTTGTGCGCGAACGCATGCGCAAATACGCCAACAAATCAAGAGTTGAGGGACCAACTCTAAAGGAGGGGGATAGTGTATACCTTCTCCGCCGCAACATCAAAACAAAACGACCAAGCGATAAGTTGGACTTCAAGAAACTTAGACCCTTTGAAATTACGAAGAAGGTATCCAACGTCAACTTTAAACTCGTACTACCCGACAGCATGAAGTATCATCCAGTCTTTCACATTTCACTTCTCGAATCAGCACCAAAGGGATCGTACACTACGGACTATATCGAAGTAGATCCCGAACAAGAATACGAAGTCGAACGGATAATCGATCACATCGAAGAACAAAAAAGTATCCGCTACCTTGTCAAGTGGAAAGGATACGGACACGAAGACAACACATGGGAACCACCTCAGAGCCTCGAAAACGCACAGGAAGAACTCGGACGTTACTGGAGACAGCAAGAACAAGAACAACAAAGACAAGCACCAGTACGAATCGAGAAACAAACGCCAAAAAATCAATTTCGACTACGACAACCACAACCCATCATCCGTCCACCACGATCAAACAAGCCACGGGATAAACACCCTCTCATTCGTTTAGGAACCCCAGAGCCACCTAAAGGAACCCACTAAGGGCCTCCAACACCCCCAGGAGACGCTTCAGGAGTACTCCGCCTCTCAACAACCGACCCTGAATCTAACAAACCAAACTCAGCCAACAAGGATGGCGACAAAGCGACATCCGGGTACAGGGTATCCCAATCCGCTGTGAACTCCACCGGCAGACGAGGCGAATCAGCCGAAGGACGAACCGGTTCTACCCGACGCTGCTCTGCCTCTGCCTCCTCTCTCTCAACACGCTCTAACTCCTCCACACTGTCGATACCACGGCGCACCGCGCGCATCATCTTTTCAAACCACATCTTTTTCTGCTTTCGAAGACGCTCTACTTTGGCGTCCAGAGCACGACGCTCCTCTTCTGCCTTCTCCAAAGCATCCTCAAGCTTCTGATGCTGATCACCAATCCGACGAAGTTGCTGGGCACTGAGACCCTGAAGGTCGCAGTAAGACTTGCCGCCACGAACGCATTCGGCGCATCGAGAGGAATCAGAAAGAGAAGCTTCGCACGACGAAAAACCCTTTACCTCACAGGAGGAACAAACAGGCATGACGGTACGATTGCCCAAGATAAGACTCAAGAGGGAATCGCGCTGCTTTGTCTTTCCGCACGAGAATCGAACGATCGAACGACCTTTCGTTTTTTGACGCGACCTGACATGATGTGAGCATCATTAAAGGAAGCAAGTTGGGCGCCCTCCCACCTGAGGGCAGACGACCTACTTAAGCTGGTCTTGAGGACAAGACCCTTGGAGAGGAGACCTGATGTTACGACCCGTTGGACATGGTCGCCAACACGACCCCGCCTGGATCCCGGCGGCTAACGCAGGGCATATGTAACCCAGCCGGACAGGTGTAACCAGGGATCCTCGGAACGGAAGAACTATGGACAAGTCACGTGGCCTCGGGGATAACGCGGGGTAGGGACAACCCGGGCTGGATATGTTGGATATGTCAGATATCCAACCGATCCCCGGATATGTTGGATATGTCAAATATCCAACATAGCCAAGATAAGGAGGACCGTTCAGGACTTGTATATAGGATGGACTCGAGCCGGGCTCGAGGACAGACTTCCATAGCTCTTCAGCAATCAACTTTGTGATTACCCTAACCGGTACTTTCAGCTATACCTAAGTGACGACTACTCTACGACTCTTGTTGAGGCCTTGACTGATCACCAAGACCTTTGAAGATCTACGATCTATTCGACCAGGACCACGGAACGACTGTTACTACTCTCAATCCCTGGCTTACTGTTAACACAAACCCACTGTCAGTTAGCTGGCCGTAACATCATCCTACTGAGCGTCTTTCACCAGCAACCATCTGAGGTTGAAATAATTCAGAGCTCCTACTCGTTCCAGGAGCCTCCTTTGAGTCTCGAGTGGTTTTTAAAACTACCTGCATTAATTATCTCGGGGTTGAGCTATCTCTTGCTGTCTCGGAGGGCTTCCTCGTCAATCGTTTCAGTTTCACCACCCTGCGACCGATCTACTGAATAACGTCCCACACCCACTTCTGGGCACCCCCCACATTTGGGCACCCCATTTACACCAAAAACGCCGTTTTTCGAAATTCTATATTAAACTAAATACTTTACTTATTAAAGAGAATAAATATATGTTAAATAGATTAAGACTTAATTATAATACTTAAGTAGCTATATACTAGTATTATTAATAATAAGTATTATAAATTCAAGGTTTAATATTTATAATACTAATTTACCTAGCCTATATCTTAATATATAAAATAGGTAGAGATATTTAACTAATATGATTAGAATTTTTAAGTAAGATATAGTAGATTTATATATTCTTATACTTAGTAAAAAATTCTTTAAGCTTAGAATAATATTTTAAAATTTCCCTTAAGAAAAGTTTCTATTATAGAATTTTAACCCTTAATTATACTATATTTACTAAAGTAATACTTTTAAATCTCTTTTAGATATAATTATATACTTTTAATAAGTATAAATATTAATTTCCTAGATTTTTTAAATAAGTATATATGAGCGAAAATATATTTTTCTAATGTTAAGGAATACTAGTAAGTTACTAGTATCTACTAACATTTTAAAGCTTTTAGTTTTAAACTTCTATATTATAACTATTATTATATTTAAACCTTTATAAAAATTTAGATGGCTATAATTATACTTAACATAGTTTATATATATTTTCTTTTCTTAGTAAGTATAGTAGTTAGTTTAATATAGAATTTCGAAAAACGGCGTTTTTGGTGTAAATGGGGTGCCCAAATGTGGGGGGTGCCCAGAAGTGGGTGTGGGACGTTAAGTCATCGCCAGAGTACTACCCTACCTCGGGATTGCCTTTTCCTTCCCAATAGCGACTCCATCATGTCTTCCTCAATTTACGAACGAGACCCACTTGCACACCCCGACATGCAAATCAGACTGCTTCGTCTGGAGCCACCATCGCCCGATCACAACGATCACGTGTTCAGTTTGGCGGTCCACGACTTTGACGAGGAGAACTACCCATCATATATCGCAATATCCTACACATGGGGTTTACCCGTTCCCCTACTGCCTATTGTCGTGAACGGGCAGAAGGTCAAGGTGCATTTAAATTGCTGGTATGCGCTATGGCAAATGCGTCATCATGGCTACACTGATCAGAACTTCTGGGTCGATTCCCTCTGCATTAATCAGAGCGATGACCATGAAAAGTCGGTTCAAGTTTCCATGATGGGGGCCATTTATTCTTCTGCCCAGTGGGTTGCGTCGTGTCTCGGCATTGGCGACGGCATTGGCTCTCTGCAAGAGATTCTAAAATCCAAAGATTCCGATGCCATCAATAAGGCTGGCGAGAAACTCCTCCAGCTGTCTTATTTTGAAAGGGTCTGGATCAAGCAGGAGACCTTTCTGGCTCGAGATATCAAGCTGTTTTGTGGCGCTGACAAAATATCAGGGACAGAGTTCGGGGAAATGTCAGAAGTGGCGAAATGGATGCGAGAGCGCCAAAGGCCAGTCTCCATGTCATCCATCTCTTCGAGCCGAAGCTCCTCCTACTCCAGCGATTCGAGCCTACCAGAGACTGAGACTGAGACTGAGACTAAGACTAAAAATGTCAGTACCCGACATGTACGTTCCGCTTGGTCTCCAGAAAGGGTCACATTTGTGGATGTTATCTTGGAGTATCAAAAAGCCAAGGCAACCGAACCGAAGGACAAAATATATGCACTTCTGTCGCTTGTCTCCAAGGACGACATCGTCCGACAGAAGCTTCCCATCGTATACGGGAAAGGGGCGTCTTTCCCACTGCTTCGCACCGTGGCAAGGCTTCTTTTCAGCGGTTACAAAGAAGTGGCAGCGACTAAGAAAATCGAAGTATTGCGTCTGGTAGTCGAATGGTTGTCAAGCGGCATTAAAGAAGAGCACTCGTCTCGCACCATCCATGCTATGCTACGTGGCCCTCGACGGGAGGAAGAAGAAGAATATGCTGAAATCGAAATTGATGGCTTGAGGTTGATTCATGAGGACAAAGAAGGATATGAGCTAGGCAAATCACAGCTTAGGATTGAGGCTACAGCATCGAAGCCCTCTGATATCTCTAGAAACGCTCACTTTCTTGGGTACGACACACCAAATCGCCAAGGACGTCGAAGTTTCAAACGTTACCTACCCTCTGATCTCAAGACCATGAAGATTCTGTACAACTATCAGGATGACGACAAAATTCCGCGCTCAGAAGCAGTACGAACAACAATGTTCTACGTCAACGCCGACGTTGGACCTGGAGATGTTTTGGCCGTATTGTTATGGGGTCAACGGAACAAAAATAATATGTCTCATTACGCGTATGCCATTCTTCGGCCGGTCAAAATACCTTGGGTGGAGAAGGAACCAAAGGTGAACCATTCGTCGCATCTAGGATATGAGGCCGATTTGCCACATCGGTCAGTCTACGTATTTCACAGCTGGGCCGTGCCTGGGAGGCTACACCCTACGCTCACGCTACAGATGCTTTTTCGAGATGAAACTGGAGCAAACCCTTTGAAAATACTATCCGAAGCCTGGGTGAGCCAACTGAACTATGATTCTATTTCCCGGAAACCAGAAATGAAAGGAAACTTTAAATTACATTATGACGATATTCTCATGCTCCTTCTCACGCACGACGACCCACTACAATCACTGCTACACCCGTCAACTCGGGACGACTTTGGATGGAACAAGGGTGTGTCCTTTTTCGAGGAACATAGTTTTGGATCTGATTATTCCACCATGGAATCATATATGGAGAAGGGAGATGAAGAAGACATTCGACAAGAGGTAAAACGGAACCGGGGCGAAAGTGAAGCTAGCTCTCGTTTACTCGCCCTCCTCAACGCTGAGATTTATGACCCAAAGAAATCTGGTTATTAAGGATGGCAGGTTTTAGTACAACTACTTTATACTAAATATTGGGCCTGTTATGAGACGATAGGTATGCAGTCCTCCACCTCGCTAACGTTATTCGTTGTCGTAACGTAGCAGTAGTCTTACAACCCCTGTTATTAGATATCAGGGTCTTCTACTTCCAGATCAAGATTCCATTCTACATTTTAGACTTAGAGGTAATATTTGACTCTTCAAATTAGTCTCGTTCACTGCTACTCAAGTGTTACATATCCAGGGTCCAGGCTAAAGGTTTTGTTTGGGGAACATGGACTTGTATAGCATAAAAAAGACTCTTTGGAGGTGGCGTGTCTTTGGTATGATCGACGAGGAAGAGCTTTTCAGCAGAGATCTGGCAGTCACAATGCATAGCGTCTTTGTACCTGTGTCTAAAATGCTTGAGCAACCGGAGCATGGTGAGAAACTCTTGCAACCGAATCTTGGCTCAACTGTAGTTTCCTGTAGATTTTGCTTCTAGCCGCTACAGCGAAGATAACCTCACCTATCGTGACGTCGGGCTTGGTTTTATTCAAGAAATCTACTAGCTGTGGGAATTCCATAGTATGTCAATGGTCAAAATACTTGAGACGATTTTACTAAGAATCGCCTCTCTTCTTAATAGAAAATCTTTCTTCTTGGGAATCTAGGGAAAAGCGAGCTCGAAGGCGTCTGTCAAGCTCGCAGTTCAGGAGCAAAGGTTGTTTTCTACTATGCACTACTCTTCATAACACGTACGAATGGGGTGCCCAAGGAATCTTGCAGCTACTTATGGTGGGGGCGACAAGGAATATACTCAGCTTCCAACTTCCCAGTTCCTTCAAGGGACGACGGCTAAAGAAAAGCTATCATGTGAAGGGAAGCATACCCACAGCATATTTTGTGTCGATAAGTGGCCAATCGGTTGTGAACCGCGATCGTCAAGGGCGATTTACGCTGTCGACAGGAGAAATGCGGACGGTTTCTGGGGCACATTTGTCCCATGCATGCCTTAGCCAAAGAGATAATGGCAATTTCGAATTCGCATTTAGTTCGTTGGACTGTTAAAGATGTCGATCCCAGTGGTTTCTGCAGTTCCCAACGCCACGATTCTCCAGGCAAATGTGGAGATGTGGTTCGTTGTGTTAGTCAAAAGATCCCTACACCGGCAGCTGATCGTCAAGCTCAGTTACCGTCAGCCGACGTTCTCCATACGAGTGTAATATAATCTCCGTTCGATCTTACTCGGCATGCATATGATCAGTTCGTCCCATAATGGAGCTGATCGTAGTTTGACAATTGTTGGTTAGGCATCCCTTTTCATGTATCCACAAGAAATTGATTCATGACAGACTTGCTTGCATTACATCTCGTTTCTCGCTTAGATTAAGGTTTTATTGCGCTTCGTAAAAGGGGGATACGTTATATTAACTGCACAGTCTTCTCCTGACCAAAGCAAAAGTGCGCTTCCGGCTAGTTGGACCGGAGCCTGTCGCAAAATTTATTCGGGCAGATGCTTCATACCGAGCCGAGTTCCTGGTAAGTTCTCCGCCAATAAAACGTCTTCACGCACTGAGAAGAGTTGCCCAAAATGTTTTGGATAGGAAATAATTAAAGTTTTGGGACCTTGTTGACGGCAGACTTAGTGATAGGAATAGGTACAACTCTTAACGGCAAGGTCGCATTAGTCTATCGGTTTCTAGACGATTATTGGGCTTCTCAGCCGGCACTGCCGAATAGGAAATTGCAGGATACCACTGCTTTAGAACAAGTTAGATGTAGCTGTTGTGAGATTTGTCGCGCTGGCGGCTGTGTTTAAATACATTATACTTTGCCGGCGCTTTTCAAGGTCAATATCGTCAGAAAAAAAGAAACTTCCAGTTCTGGAATTTGAAGAACAATGGCGCCCAAGTTGTCTCTCCGTGTCCTGTTGTTGGCCCTGTTGCCATGCACGGTTCTTGCACACTGGCGAGTTGATGGGTACGACCCTGTTAGAAAACTGGTCGAGCAAAGGCATGGTTCAAGCCGTCGTCACATTCAGCAGCGAGCAGCTAGCGGCGAGTATCAACATTTGAATGAAAAGACCCAAAGTGAGATGCTGTCCCAGTGGTACTCTCTCTAGCCGCATGAGCTAATACAAATCAGAGTACCTTGTAAACGGCACAAGTGTTCCTTTTATTGACTGGGATCTCGGAGAATCTTATGCTGGTCTAATGCCTATCTCTAAAGAGGCAAATGAGACAAGGCAATTATTTTTCTGGTTGGTTATGAGACTGATTTTTCCATGTTTGACCGTTTTGTTCTAATAAGATCGCATATAGGTACTTCCCAACCACTAATCAAAACGCCTCTAGCGAAGTCACTATCTGGTGAGTTGGCCTCAAAACATACCGGACAGCCCTTTGTCGTTAAACATTTACTGACGGTTGACAGGTTGAACGGCGGTCCGGGATGCAGCTCTCTCATCGGTCTCATCTCAGAACATGGCCCCTTCACGTGGTTCAAGTCTGCGTACCGCCCAGTTTACAACATCTATAGCTGGTCCCATCTCTCAAACATGTTATATGTCGACCAACCGGCTGGCACTGGTTTCTCCGTTGGATCGCCCAACGCGACCACAGAAGAAGAAATAGCTGAACAGTTTCTTGGTTTCTACAACAACTGGATGGAGACCTTTGGTACAAAAAGCCGAAAGACGTATCTCACCGGTGAGAGTTATGCAGGATTCTACATCCCCTACATCGGCGACGCAATGATCAAGTCCAAACAATCTGCCAACTATAACCTATCTGGCGCCATGATGTTCAGCCCGTACATCCGTAGCGTGCCCAACGACTTCCAGCAGCAGGTTGTCACGAAGCCTTTCGTCGAGGAGTACAACAACGTCATGGGCTTGTATCCTGGGGTCGACGACTACTGGGACCGTATTGCCGCTGCTGATGAGGCCTGCGGTTTTGCTGAGATGCGCGAAAAGTACTTCAAGTTCCCGCCACCAGGGCCTTTCCCTCCCGGCAACGTGAGCGCTGAGTGTCAGATATCACACACAGTCTACGATGGTCTGGCGAACATTAGCCCTTGTAGCAGCGTCTACCACATTTCCCAGGGCTGCCCAAACCCGGGAGATCCCCTTCTCTGGGCCGCCGATGGCGACAATGCTACTGTGCCGGTTACATTTGACAAGAAGAATTGGCATGGCTATCCCAACTTGCCCGAAATGCGCCAGGCAATCCATATCCCCCCCGGACAGAAGGACTGGAAGATGTGCAACGATCAAAACCCCTTCGGAGAAAAGGGTGATCAGAGTGCAGACCCCTTCACCTCAGGCGCGCTGACGCGGGTGATTGAGCACACCAACAACTTCATCATTGCAAACGGGAATCAAGACTACCGCGTTCCTACTAACGGAACGTTGATGGTGCTGCAGAACATGACGTGGAATGGCCAGCAAGGTTTCGACGAGTTCCCCAACAAGAGCTTCTTTTTGCCTGCCGCTTATACGGACTTGTCTTCCCAAAGCGCTACTGGCAAGGTTGGCGATTGGGTTGAACAAAGAGGATTGAACTTTGCTAGGGTGTACACTGCTGGACATGGTTTGTTTTCCGATGTCCCTTCTTCTAATGGATCATTAGCTAACATTTTGGTGCAGAACTCCCAGAGTATGCCCAGGGGGCGGGATATCGTCTCCTTGAGAAGCTCCTCGGACGCGTCTCTGATCTGAGTTCCGATGTCATGTTTTCCGCTCTTCCTGGAGACTTTAGCAAACCCCCAGAGTGATTATAGCAGGGGTTTCTGAATCTTTCATTTTGATATCAGGTTCTTGCGAGACGAGAAATTAGGGTGTCTAATGTTTTCCAGCACAAATACACTTGTGTAGCAATATATTACTCCAACCTTTCTAGGTCTTCACAATGTCTTAGCAGGCATCAAATAAAAGGAATATTTTGTCCAAATTTCGCGAATCTTTCGTCCTATAGAAATTGTTTTCGGGTAATGGCCTAAGTCTGTCTCAAGTTAGAAGCGAAGGCACATCACATTACTACCATAAAGGCAATCAGGAGTTGTAGCGGGATAGTTTCCAGTGAAGACGAATCTACCGGGAGAGAAAGATGTACTAGACCTGTGTCATTGATGGACTTGTTAAGGACAGATTTGAATTCTGTGACTCGTTCAACAACAGATAGCAGACTCTAAGAAAAGAGCCCGATTCAGAATAAAGAAATTCCAGCCCACACACCCCATAACCGCGCACTTTTTCCCCTTTCACAACACCATACCCCGCATTACCACAACGCACTTCTTTTACACAAGAAGCAAAATCAGTATACTCGCAATGGCTAAATATACTGAAGAAGCAATGCAAAAAGCAATCAAAGATACGGAAACTGGCATCAGTATTCGAGCAGCCGCCCGCAAACGAAAAGTACCAGAGTCGACTCTTCGGGGGCGATTACATGGTGCCGGCACACTGAGGGAGAGCAGGTCTCAGTTACAGAGGCTGTCACCTGACCAAGAACAACATCTCGCCAACTGGGCACTCGCCCAAGGCTCTCTCGGCCTGGCACCGACCAACACTGAACTCAAGGAACTTGCCCAGCGAGTTCTAGCGGTCGCTGGCGAGTTTGAGCCACTTGGGAGGAATTGGATGGATGGATTTTTGAGGCGGAACCCATCACTGAGGACTGTGAGAGGCAAGTTCATTGGGTCGCAGCTTGTTGAAGCTGTCGCAACCTAGTCATGTTCTGCAGTCGGAGATGTCGTTAGTTTCCCGAGCTATCACGGAATGGACCGCCCGGCCCTGTGTGCCCCGCGGGATGCGCGGCAGCGGACCCGACTCGGACTTTTGATGAGAAAGACAGCCTAAAGCAGCTGAAAACGCTTGGTGTCGCATCTCTGGCTGCGATACCCTTAACCTTGTTTAGTTATCGATCGATCCATTGAACCGCAGATCTAGAATTTCCTCCGCTCGCTGCCCGAACCCGATACCGAATTTGGTCCACTGCCACCAATTGTGTGATCTTGTCTTCATGACGCACAATCTTAACCACATTGCCCAAAACTAGAGACAAACTGGAGTAAAAGAACCCATCAAAGAAGAATAAGATATCCTCAATCACCAGACTATCATTTCGGAGGTGGATCTCCTTTATTGGGTGGCAGCTTTTCGTCCGTCCGGTTCGGCGGACGTCCTACTTAACCGTCTTCTCCTCGAAAAGTATATAGACAGCATCACATTTGTGTTATACGGATGCCTAAAAATATAATCCCAAGAGACTTCTTCAAATCGAGATTCAAACCTCTGATATATCTACACTTCCGTTCCAAATTTACCATTCTCAACACACATACAAACATCATTAACACCACCTATCCTCAAACACCATGGCCACCCAAAACTTCAAATACCTGAACAAGCTCCGCTCCTCTCGAGTTCTCATAATAGGCGGCTCTCAAGGTCTAGGATTCGCAGCAGCCGAAGCATCCATCGAGCATGGCGCCAGCGTTATTCTCGTCTCATCCAATCCCAAAAAGCTAGCCAACGCCGCGGACCGTTTGCAAACTACCTACGCCTCCATCGTCTCCCCGGGCCAAGTCTCAACTTACACCATCGACCTCGCCGACCTCACTAACCTCCGCACAAATCTGACTCGTCTCTTGGACGAAGCGACGGCGGACGGCGAGAAGAAGATAGACCACGTAGTCTACACGGCCGACCTGGCCCCGCCTCTCCCGCCGCTTCCCCAGACGACTCCCGAGGATATCCACGCGGCCTTCAGCCTCCGCGCTCACGCACCAATCATCCTCGCAGGCCTTCTGAATGGCTCGGAGAAGTACATCCGGCACACGCCCGACACGTCCGTCACATTCACCAACGGCTCGAGCTCGCATCGCCCGATGCCGGGCTGGGCTGTCGCCGACTCCGCCGCCGGGTCGATGGAGGGACTCGTCAGGGGTTTGTCGTGCAGCTTGGCGCCCGTGCGAGTGAATCTCGTATCTTCGGGACCGGTCACTACGGAGCTGTTCCAGACGTTGCCGGCGGAGACGATCGAGTTGTTCCGGAGCAAATGTCTTACCGGTCGACTTGGGCGGCCGGAGGACGTGGTGGAAGCATATTTGTATATTATGAAGGATGGGTTTGTCACGGGTGCGACGATATTTACTGAGGGAGGGAGAATCTTGGCTCCTTAGGATGTCTTTGCTGTAATCACTAGAAAGACAAGTCAAAATCACTCTACGCTTTTCAATTTTTCGAGATTTGTAGTCACATCCATCAGGCACACTTGCCATTATTTCATCTCGGCTGGTTATCATCACGCCCAACGGCGGTTCGGTTACATTCCGACACAGGGACGGAAGGATAAAAAATACAGGTACACGCCATCAGGCTAATTCTTCCCCTTTGTCCCGGTGCCCTATCCATCAACGCCGGTGACAGCCAAAGTTGCTCTCCTCCAGCATCCCCTCGGGAGGAGTTACGTTATCAAACGCATCTGCAACTTACAGATCAAAAGCCTCACCCTCCTTAGGCGTCCACTAACTTGAGACTGAAGATATGTCGGAGCTCTCGCTCACAGAACCGCTGAGGGAGCCCGAGTCTGGAATGGCTTCCAAGGCAGTTAAATGTAGCAACCTTTCTGGTTCTGGATCATTGAATCCGTTCTATGGTATGCAGAAATCCACCCAGCTACCCAAGTAGTCGAGCCTGTTGCCGGCATTCTCCTGGCTCTTGTAGACGTCCTCAAACTCGTCGAAGCTGAGCTTGCCCCAGCCACCGCGGTCGGCGGCTTCCTTCTCTGCCAGGTCAAGACGCTTCCACTCCAGGAGAGTGGAGTGGGGGATGGTACGGGCCGACTGCTTCGAGGACTCGCCAGACTTCTTCTTCATGGCTGACTTGAGACCCTTCGTTTTTGATGACGATGAATCATCTGATGAAGGTGGTGTGGCATCCGATGCAATGGGCTCAACGGGTGCGTCACTGTTGGGGCGGAACTGGGGCATCGTGGGGTCTCTGTATTCGACCTCCTCGACAACCGCCGTGTTCTCATCCACTTCCGGATTTGCCTCCTCTTCTGAATCATCAATCTCTTCGATTACTCTTTCGGGCTCTTCGGTGGCATTTGCGTCCTCTCCATTACCGGAACCCTCAACTCTGTAACCGCTAGTCAACAGAAGTTCTTCCAAAGAGCGCTCGGCAATCGGTTTGCCCTCATCCAATGCCTTGCGCGGCTGTCGTGGCTCAACTGCCTTGGACTTGGGCTCGTCGACAGTCAAAAGCTCAAAGAGATGCCTGTGCTTCTCTCGCTTGGACCTGGTTGCTGCTGCTTTAACAGCCAAATCCTCCTTATCTTTGAAGATGGCATCGAGAAGCTCGTTGAAGGCCTGCTGGGTGACCTGGTAAAGAATCTCCTTGCCAGCATCGCGCTCCTCGCCTGGGATTTCCATGCCTCCCCAACGTTCAGGCACGCTCCTAGAAGACGTTGAAGGGTTGGATCTGATTTCATAGTCGTCCGTATCTTCGGCAAATCGCACCTTGGACGACGACCTGGAGCGTGGCGACAAGATTTGTTGCTGAGCTGCCTTTGAGCTCTCAGCGACACCGTTGAGGCTCACCAACACATCCTCATCAGACTGCCAGCCATCGGGGGCCGATCCACCCTCCTCCTCATCGAGATAAAACTGTCTCCTCTTCCATCTGTCGTGTAGTTGTTTTCTAGCGGCCTGTCGCCGCTTTCTTTCAATATCAGGGGCTAATTGCCTCTTGTGGTTGATAACTTGGGCCCGCAGTTGACTCTCAGTGGGCATACTGTTAGTAAATTGTTCGGAATCGACCCTCCCAGTCCTGTTCTCTGAATCATTGGCCGGGCCGGTAGGGCGACCAGTGGAACTCCTGTTCTCCGCATCGGAGTTGTTGTTTATCTCCTCTTCACCATCTGAGCCGCCGATCTCGAGGTCGAAGTCAAAGTCCATTTCATTACGCTCACGGCGTTGACCAGTGAGCAGGTCGGGCAGGTCGTCGATGCTAGTAGGCGGGTTGAGCAGAGCGTCCCAGTACGGCGTGTCTGGTTCACTATCTGGAGAGCGCATCTGAACCTGCCAAGGGCTGCCGATATAGGGAGCAAAGAGCCTAGTCAGGACGTCCTCTCTCGATGAGGTGTCGCCCTTGTCCTCTCCCACAACGCCGTTTCTACCGGGCTCCAACTCGACGTCGCCGTTGGGGTGGAATATCTTGCCGTCACTACGGTTGTTGCCGTCAGCGCGGGGAACCCTGCCTTCACGACCAAACAAGCTGCTCAACGGCTGTCTGCTAGCCACAAGCTGCTGAGCTTCGGTGCTCCCCATGAGCTGGTCGTCCAGGCCGTCCAGGATATCGCGATGCATCTGTTTGTAGAGAACATAGTAGGCGCGGAACATGCGCAAAAAGTCGCGGCGGTTGACAAAGCCGTCCCCATCGATATCGTAACCTTCGAAGATTTTGCGCAGCTTGTCCTTCCGTTTGCGGTAGGCCAGTCCATGTAGAAACTCAGTGAAGCCGATCAGGTCGTCGTTGTTGGTGTCGTAGAATGAAAACATGCGGTCGTGTATCAGGTTCGGCGTCGCGTGTCGAGAGCCGCCTGACGGCACCAGGCACCGCTCGAAGGTTTTCTTGTCCATCGCAAGCTGTAGGTCGTCCGGGTCCTCTCGCCACTCGGTGTTTGCCATGAAAGTGAACTGCTCCCAGAAGGCCTCAATTTCGGGCCTTTCGAAGCCAGTCTCTTTGCTGAGCTTTGCCATTAGAGATCGAGGCAGATTCCGTATACATGTGTCGGGGTCACCGGTGTACCAGACGGGTTGCATCTGACGGGGACCGAAGGGCGGTGCGGGAACTTTGATCTTGTAGAAGATGTGCGTCTTAATGTGAACACCTTGCGATTCGCAGGTTTCGCACAGGTCGAAGTCGGCGCAGTTGGCGCAACGGTAACGTACGCCACGAATAGGGACCATGCCGCAGGCGTTACACGCGCAGCCCCTGTGTACGCAAGCATTTCGTCGAGCGTTGTCCTCGGAGACTCTGAAAAGCAGGCTGACAATGTTGTGCCCAGCGCGGGCCTGGGGCTGCAGTCCGTTGGGGTCATTCCACCACTCGTCAACAGTACCGCCGTCTACTATCGTATCGGTATCGTTCAGGGGGTTAATTGCGTCGATGTCGGCGTTCTCGTCGCCGTGAGAACCCTCAGAGGATACCGAGTTTCGCCGCGCTCGTCTGTGGTTGCGGCGGACAGCATTGCTCCGGTGCAGTCCAGGGCCAGGAACGCCATCTCCATATTGGTCTCGGTTGGCTTGGTAGGCATAATAGCTGACCGAGAGAGCGGCGATGGCGGAGAAGACGGCGACTGCGATGCGCGGCCGGGTGAGGCTGTCGGTTGATGGCACCGAGAGCCACATGATGGAGCGTAGATGTAGCTATACGTGTAGCATGATGAGGATATCAGGTCACTTCGATTGCGCCTATATCGGGGTTGCGTCGGCTTGTGGCGATTATAAAGTTGCTTCGTCGTATTTTGTAACTAGTGCTGGGGGTATCTTGATATGACGAGGTGGTGAATGTGGAAACCAAACAGGCTCACAGCTGCGCCAGCTCACAGATTCTGCCGAAGTGAGGTTAGTAGAAGGAAGGCGGTGAGCAAATGTCGAAGTCCGCCATGAGTCAGCAGGTGGCTCGAGCTCCAGGGTTACATGTCCATTCTGAAAGATACGTATCCACGGACGAGGTTCCGCCCTTTGAGATGGAAGAGAGCTGGACGTATGGCCCTTCAATTTGCTTTTTCAAAATACTTTACGCGCTCGAATACGATTGGATAAATCTTAGAGGTAATAGAACCTTGAATGGTTCAACCAAGCATTATTCCGCACCATCTGATGTACTTAACTTCTAGAAAGCCACCGCCGCATGGATACAGTGTCTCACACCAGCTCTCATGAGCTGAGCTGGGAGCTCCCAACACACGTTTGAGCTCGGTGCCGAGGTATGTCTCCATGTGGAACTGAGCTATTGCTGATACAGAGGTACTTCTATGCCCACCAATGGTTTCGTGGTGCTTTATGTACACTCATAACTTTAACGCTTGACAAACAACGTCACCTTACCCTCACTTCCATTAAGCTAAGGCGCATCCCATGATCGCCGCGCAAACCGGGTTCTTTCTTCAATATGCAGCACCCCTAAACTGGAACGGTTCCGACTTGAGCGCTTCGAAAAAAAAAAAAAAAACCTCGCAACCTTGGTCCTTCTTGAACTTCGACTTTTGCTTCTTCCGTCGCATGCTCTTGGCAAGGGAGGCGGCCAAAGCAATCGAGCTCTGGCTCTCAAATCCTACCGGTTCACAGTCTTAATCCAAACTGATCTGTAACACTAATTGCCACCGCCGGATTTCTCCCAAGGGAAAAAAAAAACAAACCACTTCTTTCTGATCTATCTAGCCTTTGTGAACAGGAAACGATAGATGCTATTTCGCTCTCTGTCGAGACTTTGAGATCTACAAAACAACTTTATCTTTAGCCTTCAGGAGCAAAACCTTCGCAGGAACCACGGCCGCAGCCATGACCACAGCGTAAACATCTTCATCTCACTACTAAACTGAACCACCGCAACTCTAACACATTCATCCAGAACCCCCGTCTTCCCCACAGTGGAAGAAACAATCAAGCACCCGTCCTACCCATCAACCATATGGAACCTCGAACCCGACAGTGAAGGCAAATGTGAAGTCGCCAAAGGTCGCGATGGGCCCTTTAACATCGCCTGGGAAATCCACGGCCACGGCCCGTCCAAAATCCTCGTACTAGCCAACCCATCCACCCTTCTCGCCCTCCGAAACTCTTACTGACAGAAAAACCCCAGTTCATAATGGGTCTGGCGGGCGTCAAGACCTCATGGCAGCGCCAAACAAAGTACTTTGGCCACGACAACGCCTCGCGGTACTCCGTCCTCATCCTCGACAACCGCGGCATGGGCGGGTCTGAAGTCCCCTACGGCCGCTACACGACGTCCGCCATGGCCTACGACGCCCTCGACGTCCTGAAGCACGTGGGCTGGACGGACCCGCGCAGCGTCCACCTCTTCGGCATCTCCATGGGCGGCATGATCTCGCAGGAGCTCGCCTTCGCCGCGCCGAACCTCTTCGCGAGCGTCACCTTCCTCTGCACGGCCCCCTGGATCGAGAACACGAAGCCGTTCCTGCAGAACCTCGTCGACCGCGCCAGCATGTTCGTCCCCAAGACCGTCGACCGCAGCATCCAGGACACGGCGCTGAAGCTTTTCCCCGCCGACTGGCTGGTGATGCCGGACGAGGCGGCCGAGCTCCCCAACGACGACACGCCCAAGTGCGGGCCCGCCGACGGCGGCCAGGGCTACGGCCGCTTCGAGAACAACTTCCAGCGGTTCCAGGCCCAGGAGCTGGTCAAGCGGAACACGCCGGGCCTCTTCAGCATTCGCGGGTTCCTGATGCAGCTGGTCGGGGCCGGGTGGCATCACAAGTCGCCCGAGCAGTTGAAGCAGCTCGGCGACGCCGTCGGGAGGGACAGGATTGCCGTCATTCACGGCACCGGCGATTTCATGATTGACGTGCATCACGGACGCCTGCTGGCCGAGCACCTCAAGCCTGCCGTGGTTGAGATTATCGAGGGCATGGGGCACGCGCCGATCATGGACAGGGTGCGTTGGATGAACAAGTGGCTCGAGGAACGGATTGCCACGGTAGAGGAGAAGTATCCCTCTTCTAAACAATAGGCCGTTTCAACGGGGTTTGGCGTAATGGTCTCTCGGAAGCAAAGATCATGACAAAGAACGGGCATACATTGGTAGCTGCAGGTCGTGATGGTTATTTGTTTTTAAATTTATTCGTTGTGATACCTCTGCACTCCTCCTCCAACGCCGGTATACATGCATACATGCGCTGTGCTTTCCCTCCTGGGTTGTTCCTCCCGCGTTATTTTCATCCCCTGCTTACAACATAACCAAGCCGATTCCGCTGAGGTTCTCCTCGTCGAGCTTGTTTCTTCTGTCAACACCGCCAGCGATGGGGGCAGCACGGTAGTTGAACAGGTAGTAGTGCAGCTGGCCGTCGCCAGGTCCGAACTTTTGTTGCTCCAGGAACAGACCGTTGTCCAGCAGAGACAGGCCGTTGAAGACGTCGAACTTGTACTTCTTGGCCAGGATGAGAGCGTCGCCGATAAGGGAGTTCAGGCGCGGCTTGAGCGCCTCCTTGTCGACCGGCTTGGATAGGCCGACTTCGGAGGCGTAGTACCAGAGATAGGCGGCGCGGATGACTTGGTGCTTGGTGCTGTTGATGATAGTAGACTCGAGGCAGTAGAAGGAGAAGAAGTCAGTAATCTTGCCGTTGGTCTGTCATGTGTTAGTAGTGCTTACCCATACAAGGGGCAGTAAAAAAGACAAACCTCAACAACGTAGGTCCAGATGACCTGCTCACCAGCCTCCTTCTTGTGCAGGAACCAGTGCTTGAACTCCTCTTCCGAGAACTCGGGCGCCATGTCGAAGCGGCTGAGGTACTTGTTCAGGAGGGCGCTCGCCTGGGGGATATCCTTCTCCTGCAGTTCACGCAGACCCTTAGTCGACGTGTTGTCTGGCAGCTGGTACTTGCGGATCTGGTACTGCGGCTTGCTGTTGGGGGGCAGCGGGCTGAAGCCGACCTCGTACAGCTTCTGCCAGTTGAGGGCGCGGTGGAAGTAGCGGCAGGTGCTGACGGGCTTGGGCAGCACCACACCACCAGTGTAGAGACCCTGCCAGATCTCATGCAGGTTGCTACGGCGCGTGATCTCCTTGATGAGGACGGGCGCCAGGCGCTTGCCGCGCAGCTTCTTGTGCACGACCATGAAGTTGACTTCGGAGCAGGTGACGACGTTCTTGCGCACGCGCAGGTTGACGGGGATGGCGGAGATGAAGGCGACCAGCTTCCGGGACTGAGTCGCGCGCACACCAACATGCCACTCCTTGCGCCAGCCGGGGGCCATGAGTGCCCTACACCGCCGTTAGCTCAGACCTTTTCTTTCTCGAGTATCAAATAGGCTATTCTTTTCTCACCATTGCAGCATCGCGGGAGAGTAGTTGAAGCGGAACATGGCCTCGTCATCCTCGACATAGTGTCCGTTGAGCAGCTCGTACACCTCCTTCATCTCACCCTCGTCCTCGAGGTTCATGGTGACCCACTCGAAGCCGTCCACCAGCGGGGATGGCTCCTTGGGGACATCCTCAACCTTTTGGATGCGGATCGGGCCGTCCTCGACCTTTGCGTCACCCTCACCGAACTTGGGAACGGGCTGCGTCGCCCAGAACTTGTAGCTGGCCATGTCCTTGGCGTTCTTGCCGGCCGACGCCAGACCGGTCATGATGTCCTGCAGGTTGAGCTTCTGGAGCGCGGCAGCCGTCTCCTCGGCCGACTTGTTGCCGGAGCCGCCTGTGATCTCGTTCGCAAGGGCGGGGTTGAGCGCGAGAAGCTCAGTGAGCTGCTGGGGCGTGAGTCCACCGATGGCGTCCTTGATCTGCTGTTCCGGGTCGCTGGGCTTGCCGGTCAGAGCTTCCTTGACCTTCTTCCTCTTGGACTTCTTCTTCTTCTTCTTGGCGCCTCCAGCTTCTCCGCCGGCCGCGCCGGTCGCCTCCTCGGGCGCATCGTCTTCCTCGTCTTCGGACTCGACCTCGGGGGCCTTGCCCTTGCCCTTGTCCTCCGCCTCGGCAACGGCGTCCTCTGCCTGCTTGACGGCAGGGTCGAGGGGCTTGGACTCCTCGGCAGGCATTTTCGTTTCCTTCGGTTTTTGTTCGTCTAGTGACTTGGGAAGTATGCGGGTGGTGAACGGGGATCGGAGGGTGTATCGTGTGTTCGTGGTTCGAGCTTTTGGAGCTCTGGGCAAGCTTGGAAGGTGGGAATGGCGGGGAAAGAAGTTTTGGCGCAAGAGAGGACAGTTTCATGTGCCCGGGCACTCTCCCAGCGGTGACTGCATCATGGCGGGGTCACCTGCTAGGGTCGAAAATTGGCGTTAGTGTCTGCGGGGCATCCCACCTTAGCTAGGGCGCCTCAGCGACCGGCCCGTCGCCGTTGGGGGATTGTCAACGCTGAAGCTGCCTACTGAATACCAGGTAACCATATTCTTTTAAAAGCCTACGTGTTATGAATGGATTAACCAAGCACCTGAAGCTTTGGAAATTTAGATGAGAATGTAGTTTAATATTTTTGCATTTCATTTGTGTCTGCTTCCCTTCTGGCTGTCAACAGCTGAACTACACACAAACGGTTCCATTGTGACTAACATGATCCGGGATACTTGCTTGATCTTCTATGCCAGAACCCTTTCAAGCATACTTCTTTCTATAACTGATTCCTTAATCCCTAAATGGTTTCTGCTATTACATCAGCTTAGAGGAACGATTTCTACATTATAATGACATTTGGAGAATGCTCCGCCTGCTGAAGAGTAGTCATTTACACCGTGCAAACAATTGAAAAAGGATGGCTTGAATTATAGGGTCAAATGAGAGTATTAAGCCTGAACCAGCATGAAAAGAGCGCAATGCGATACCGAAACAAACTACCTCGGTATTACAATATCAATAGGGTTGGAGTAAGGTTACAACATCTAACTGCGAGAATTATCCTGAGAATCAAAGAGCTGACCCTAATTCTTATTCTACTACATCTATAGCATCGCACATTAATCATCTAAGAGAACTACACACTAAGGCTTACACTCATCAAGTCTAGTACAACTAACAAACACCCACTCCAACTAGAGACAAACAAACGGGCAGTTATAGCATTGTTCCACTGCTGGTTTCAGAACCAGCCCCATCAAACGCCGTGCCTTTGAGATCAAAAGATCGCATGACTGCGAGGATGACGGGCGCGTATCCCATGATGTCGTTATGCCCTGGCCAGGTCAGTTAGTGTTGAGTCAGGTGGAAAGATGTACGCTGAGTTCACTCACCGCCATAGGGAAACATTTCCTGGCGAATAATGACATTGTGATCGGCGTGCCAGGTCGTGACAAACGCATCCTTCCCCTTGTGGATCGTCCGGACCTCCTTCCACGCCTCGAAAGAATGGTCGTTGAGCCCACCCTCGACCGTCGCATTAGCAGCTGCCCGGAAAAGCTTACTGCTCTCCTCACAGGGGATATCTGAGTCGTCCTTGGCCGAGATGAGAGTGAGCCGCAGGCGGCGCTTGGTCAGCTTCACCAGACTCTCGAGCCTATCAGCCGACTGCCACTTGTCGTAGATGAAGGTCTCCATGTAATTCAAGAACCCAGGCCAGACTTTCAAGGGCCCCAGAACGGGGAAGATGCCGCCTATTTTGTAGCCGCTGAGCATCTTGGGGAGGTTGCTGAATCCTGCGACGAGAATGATGCCGCCGAATTCAATACCTTGCGATGCGTACAGCTCTGCGACGCCACTGGTTACGGCGGTGCCCAAGCTTTGACCGAGAATGACGATGCGATCAGAGGGCACGCCGGCGACGTTGATGACCCAGTCGATCAGAGTTGCTGCATCCTGAATGAGACCATCTTCGGAGGGGACACCGGTGGAATAGCCGAAGCCACGGTAGTCGATGGCCAGAACGTGGTAGGTTGAGGTGTCTGTGATGACGTGGTAACTGTCTGGACGGTGGTTTTGAGCGATGTCTCCGGCGTTCTATCGACAGTTAGTGTCAGTAAAATAGTTGTTGGTGAGGATGATAGTCTCACTCCATGTACTGTGATCTGTTAGTGATATTGCATCTTGGACGGCCAAGGGAAGCTTACAAGATATGACCACCCGGGCTTCAGGGTCCTCCTTTAACGCCCGGAAAGACTCTGTCTCGGTGATATCATTACAAAAGCCTGACTTTTGCACAGAAAACCTCTCCTCTTGCTTGAGATATGCGGGCAAGGGCATGACATGCCAGGCATATAGACTCTCGCCATCAGGGGTGTCAAGAGAGAAGGGAGTTACTTGACCCTCTAGAAGATCTTGCTGTCAGCTAAAGACGCTCTTCAATGCGAACATGGTACGTGGACTGACTAGCGAAGCCGAATCTTTCAGGCTCATTGATGTCGCGCCACCAGAGAGTGTTTATCTTATGGGCGTATAGGAAACTGCAAGCGGCAGGTCAGATTGAAAAATGCGCATACATGAATTATATGATTTCAGATCTCACTGTCTTTGGAAGAACGGCGTGGCGCCGAGAGCCAGGAAGGTGAAGTAGACGCCGAGAGGAGCTACAACCACCCAGACGGCCGTCCGCAGGATGGGGGACAGCGGAACCGGCATTATCAACAGGCTAAATAGGATTTAAATATTGGAAAAGGAAACGAAAGTCTGTAGGGAGATATTGCAAGGTTCTGGGCTATATACACATGACCGGAGGCGCGCTGTCGTGGCCCCCTTCGGCGATGCCTGATAGAATTGGCTGGTTTGCTTGATTGATTGAGGTTGGATTTGGTCTGCCACCCAGCAGGGATGGTGTTATGGGGGCTCTATCTGGAGGTACTTTTGTTTTGGTGGGATTTTACTTTTTGAATCAGGTACTCGACGTTAACAGAAGCAGGGCCGCAAAATGCGGCGACTCCCACATTTTGGCGTCAGCCGCACAATGACGACGGCAGATCAGCCAACAATATCAAATAGGCTTCTGCCGGCCCACAGATGCGACAACGCGGATAAAGCCAGGTGTGAGGAATGGCACAGAACGCACCATGTCTGATTTAATGTTATTGACCACCGCAGACGCCGAAATCTCATTTGACATTGTCCAGGGATTGGCTGCGATGGTGGTAGTGCAATTTGCCAATGCTGAGGGGGGATTTGATGGGAAGTGAGAGAGTGAGAGGAACCTGTCGTACCCCCCAAGCTTCACAGCCACACACACACTCACACCCTTACCCACTCGCCCTTTGGGTTTTTATTCGTTTCCAGAACCGACTGACGGCAAGACTACGGATACATGGTACGGATACATGGCACACACAAGCACAGCAAATAATAGTAGGGGCTGGGGGGCTGGGCCTGGCGATGAATGACAGGGCAGGCCAGGCAAGGGGACTGGAGACAGTTGTGACTAGGATTTGGGGGGGAGGGAGGGGGGAAGAAAGGTGATGAGGGAAAAGCGACAATGCAGTGTCTGACTTAGGTAAGCAGGTCGCATGGCAGCCGATCAGGGTGTTTGCTGCGGCGGTACTTTATACAAAGCGACGGATTTTGGCGCGATTTAAGTGGCGGGCGGGACTAAAAGGCCAAGCAAAGAAAAAATCGGCCATTCAGGGCGCGGCAAGCACCCAGTTTTTCCGCCCTTGTTCCAACCAATCAAGGGCCCCCGTTCCTCTTAAACTCGCAGCCCGCCTTTTTACTTTCAACAGCTGCGACTGGATGGACGGCTCCAGACGCGGAAAGTGCAGAGAGCAGCCCGTGTCGTACCTACCTTATGGGAGTGGAAAGGAAGTTCCAGTGCGCCTTTCCGTGCGGGAAAGCGGCGGCACCAGTGGCAGTAGCGGCAACAGCAGCAACAGCAAGCAGAAGAGTACGTACTTTATGGCCCAAGTAGAACGTCGGGGAGAGCCTCAGGTACCGTCTGCAATGTATCTTTTTACCTCATTCGCCATGCTGCCATCGTAGTGTACTGTAGACAGAGGTACCTCGGGGTCCAGCCTGCGCCAGTACCTTTCTCCGATCCCATACAAAGCTCCAATGCTATCCCGTCCACCCTGACTCTCTCTCAATTCACACGAACCCGTCCCCAAGTCTCCAAATCCCTTCCTCCACCCCCCATCTGCTTAGGTACTTCCTCCCGCGACATTCTCTCCAATACCCGAACGAATTAACCGATCGTCTACCTCTGCCTCCCTCGACCGTCGCCGCCACTTCTGATCTCCCCCCCTCTCTTCCCGCCCGACCAACATCAAAGACGCGCCCAGTCGAGGGCTGTGTCTGTACTCGCTTATGATGACCATCCCGACACGATCGGAAAGCTACCCGTGATACCCTGAATTCTGCTGCCACAGGGAGACGGCAAAGGCACAGGCATGGAGCGGAAGAGGAAGCTGCCCGCCAGGGCTGCCGCGCGCGTCGAGCACATCGCGAAGAAGCGCACCGTCACCCCTCCCGAACATCGTTCCCTCACACCCGTCCCGGCTCCCGTCGAGGAACCTCCGCCGCCGCCTTCGCTGCCCAAGTCCGTTCAGCCTGGAAAGCCGCTACCTACTGTCGAGGATCCCCAACCCGATGATCTCCCCGCGAAGGAGTACCAGTCCTTCCAAGAGAGGTAAGCTCTTAGCCCGCTATTCCTTCTGCAGTCCGCCCTCCAATTGCATTACTAACTATCCGTACAGCGGCGTCTTGGCCGAGTCTCTCGCCCGCTCGCGACACAGATGGATGGCCGAGGGCATGTTTGAGAAATACTGGACGAAGCCTCTGAGGAGGAAAGGCGCAACAGAAGATCCCAAGAATCCGGCCAAAGACACCATGACCAAGATTGGCCAAGTGCAGATTACCATTGAACCTCACGTATTTGAGGCAACCATGTGGGCTATCAAGGATCCGAAACCACCACCGGCAACCACGCAGGCAACCTTCCGTCCAATCTTGCAGTACGGTCCTCCCAACGGCTCCATGCCGCCTCCTCCTACGCCGGTCACGACGAATTCAAATCCGCCGCTGGCCCCAGCCGATGCGAAGTCGACGCCTCCAGCTTCGACACCAGCTCCCCCATCGCCTGCACTTCAACAAGCGCCGTCAAGGCTATCCTCGGCAGCAGCAGCCGAGGTACCCAAGACGATGCCATCACCGCGTAGTTTGGAGCCCATGCTGCCAGTAGCCGCCACACCACCTCCGTCGAGGCCAGTCGCGCCAGTTGCGCCGGCGGCACCGCCTGGACAGGGACCAGCACACTCGCCAGCACCTGCACCAGGTACTCCATCAAATCCTGTCCTCCAACCTGGCGTGCCAAATTCAGCGCCAAACTCGCGGCCATCGAGTTCCACTCCGACGCCCGCTATGGGAGCCGTGAAGCCGGCAGCTCCCAAGCCTCAGGGTACCGACCCGATCATCATGACGTTAGCCGAAAAGGCCTCGGAGGATCCTGTTCTCCGCGACCTGATGAAGCGCGTTGCCGCGGGAGAAGCAAAGCCTGATGAGCTTAGTAATTTCCAAAAGATTATTGATCAAATTACGGCCGAGTACAAAAGAAAAGGCGGTCAACAGGGGCCTTCAGCGGACAGGCTGTTAGTCGACGGGAGGACAGTCAAGTACTTCGCCGACGAGGTGCGCACTATTTTGGATATTGTGCTTGCCACCAACCCGCGCCAAAAATCAAACGAGCTGCTACCCCCCCGTGGCAGTGACCCATTGGTAGTCGCTCTGGTGAGAGCAGCTTTGGATGATACCAAGGTACGGGCGATGATTCGAAGGATTGCCGACGGCCAGCCAGGATTCACAGATGCGACCGACCTTAAATCAACGCTTGACAGACTGCACAAGGATCTCAAGGGCGGGCAAACCCCTCAACCTCAGCCATCTACCCCGCAGACTCCAGTTAACGGCGTTCCGAATGGCCAACCATTGAAGCCGGCGGCTGCCGCACCCACACCTTCACCAAAACCAGCTGCAGCTCCTTCACCCGCACCGCAGTTGCAGCACCCTCCCCAGCAGGCGCTGCGCTCCAAAGGCCCTCCGCAACCACCGGCCCGCCCCGAAATCTCGGGCGTCTGCTTTGATTTCACCGGCGGAAATGGAGATCGCTATCTGTTCCCAAAGTATAGTATTCTGGAATACCAGCCGGGCGGACAGCAGGTTATTGCCTCGTTCCTAATTGTTCGCAAAGGCAGTCAACTGGAGTATGGTGGAGACTCAAAGCTCGATTACTATCAACCGGTCACCATCCGGATATACGCTCAGTCTGGACGGAATCTCGAGTATCTTCAGAGGGTCGTCGCACCTCCTGACGAGGTCAGGCGGTATATGGACGACGTCATGGATAACATGACGCGAGCAGAATACGTCCTTCTGGCAATGCGCCTGCCCCGCGGCGAGCGTGAGCCAGATAAGGAGCAGAACGGCAAGGAGATTGCTGGTATAAGTGGACAAGCCTCTCGACCGGAATCCTCTGTCCCCGACGTCCCGGCGCCGAAGCAGCAGTCAGTCATGTGGGGTCCACTGACGTCCAAGTTCGTCCAAAAATTCAACAAGAAGTGGTTTGAAGAATGGAAGAGGATTGAAAAAGCCACCGATAAGAGGCCTACAGTGTCCGACGAGGTCTTCCAGGAGGCCAGCGAGGCAGTTGGCCGCGATCCCCTGGACAAGGACATAGAATACGAGAAGATGATTGAGCTCTTGGCAGCCAAGGACACCGAGTCCTCATCTTAACAAGTCTCGACAGTTAGAAGAAAGTATCCCATGAAGGATGCGGTGTCTGTACAACCTAGATGTCATTATTTTGAGGGGTGATAACGAGCGAGTGGCCAAGGGGCGTGTATGTCTGTGTGTACGTGTGTAAGGTGAGCATTGGGTCAGCCGTTGCATTCGGGGCGATATCATGTTTTTTTTTTTTTTTTTGGCAAGCCTCAGAGGTGGAGGCCTGGGAAAAGGGAACCGGAGTGGTTTGTCGGGATGTTCTCTTTTTACCATCTTTTTAACCTCCTTTTTTTTTTTTATTGGTGTTCAGAGTGCGATTCCTCGGGCGCGAGGGAGGGGGGCGGTGGCTCGACTCAAATTTATTCCCACAAAGTAGTAGTGAAACATATGTATGGAGAGCCCAAGGGCATCCGATTGTCTGGACAGAATTCGGAAGAATATTTCTAAGATGTGGTCTTGCCGTGTTGTGCTAGCGCCTCTTGATTGTGATGATTGGTTTTTGCGAGAGGCGGAGGTTGATATACTGGACTTATGCTTGATACTTTTGAGTTTACGGCAAATGAGTCTTGGTTTTGGTAAGTTGCTTGTGACAACCAGCGGTCTTATAAGTGGTTTTATTGATGTATTCTAGCACGGTGTTCACGCCTCCAGAAAGAATATGTGCATCTTCCAGCATACTCGAGAGAGCAAGTAGTTCAATACGTATCGTAAAAGTAAATTTTGACAAGTCGGACAGATATCAGTACCAAGGAAATATATCAACATATGAAATGAAAAAGAGATGGAACTTTCAAAGCTTGCCGAAATCACCAACGCGTAGAATCAGCCAGCGAAGAACCCCCTCACTTTCGCCGCAACACAGACGCACCAAATCCGCCAACCAAAAACTCAGAAACAGACTCTCCCCGGGCATCCCGGCGCATCCGGGGTATCAGTAGGCATGGGATCGTAGTAATGCTGGCACTGGCAGTAGAACTGACTAAAACGGGGAAATCAACACTGTCAGCAAAGGCACTACAGACAGACGTTGGAAGAAGGGGGCCCAAGGCAGGCCAAAGGTCTTGGAGAGGGACGGATCCGTGGTGAAACTTACTGTTCTCCCGGGAAGTGATTGCACGATGCGCGCTCATCCGCTTTGCAATATTGAGAGGTGTAGGCCGCGCAGGATTTGACTTTGTTATTGGGGTCGCACAACGAAAGGGCTAATGACGCTGCGTCAGGCTTTTTTTTTTCAAAGACTTTGTGTCTTGGTATTGGGGTATACTCACGATTGGGGAGGTTTTTGTTCGGAGCCGCTGAGGGCTTCGGTGACGGCGGCGGCGGCGAAGGAGACGGTTGGACGGGCTCAGTGGGCTTGGGATCCGTACACTTGCACTGCCTGTGAGGTGTGTAAGCTACTTTAATGATGAATTCTCCGTCGCACTCTGTCGTCGTCTTGAGTTTGTATTGACGTTGTCGGGGGCGTATACTCACCGAAGTACGAAGAGTGACGGCAACATGCCGAAGGAGGCCACGCACGACTTCTCCTGCGCTTTGGATTCGTCGCACTTTAGCATCTCGCAGTCCGCGTCCGTGTTGCAGGTGGGGATCTGCGCATCTTCCTTCGGGACGCATCTGCATGTCCTGTGAATAGTTGTCAGTGACAAGACTTCTCAACTTCTGGACAGGGCTCTGGGACTTACCGGATTAGTGCAGGGAGGGCGGGGATGATCATTGGCATGCTTGCGCATTTCTTGACCTCTTCTGCCTCGCAGGTGATGCTGTCGCAGTCGTTGTCGCTTGAGCAAGATTTGGCTGGACTGGGCGTGGCTGTCGAGGACGGCACCAAGCTTGTCGTCGATGTTGACGTGGGAGAGTCCGGGTCAAGGATGCTGGGGGGATGGCATACGTCGATGACGGCCTCGTTGTCGAAGTCACGTTCTAGCAAATTCTTGCATTTGTCGAGTTTGTCCTTGAGACGGTCGCGCCACCCCTGCCTCTCTTTTCGGGACTCTGAATCCTTCTTCTTCTGGTCGTCCGACGGCCCCGGTTGTTGGTCGTCGGGTTTCTCCTCATCGAATTGAGGCTTGTCGCTGGTGGTTATGAAGGTGATTAGCATCAGATGTTCTATCAAAAAGTGAGCGGATTGTCACATGTCTTACACGTCTTTCATATCGCCATTAATGAGGTTATATGCAACCCGTAGGCTGCTCGGTATTGGATAGTCAGGGGCTAGTTTTCTGTCCTTGGAGATCAGGTCATTCGATGGACGTCGTTGGAAGGATGCGAAGGCTTGAAGGAAGAGCTTCATGCGGAGCCCGACGGATGGGCCTCCAGGCAGAACGTTGGGCACATGTATGAAGTTTTTGCTGTATTCCGGATGTGCGAGGAAGTAAGCCACCAGCCCGGCCTAGCAGAATCAGTCATGTATCCCTCATGTGAGCAAGAATGGCAGTTGAATAGATACTCACCACCTGAGGCGAAGCGAAGCTGGTCCCATCACGCGGCTTCGTTCCCACCTTGTCTAGGGGATTTCCAATGCAAGTGACAACGCCGGCACTTTGCGCGTATAGTGATACGCTCCCAAGCTTGCCTTCGTTTCCTGGCGGGCCTTTATATAATGATGTTCTGCCCTCGGGTTCAGAGTTGTGCCACAGCGTCCCGTCCTTGTTTACACCGCCGACAGTGATGAGATGATTGTCTTGGGTACCCAAAAGCTGGGGGAGGTGGTCTCCAGTTCTTGTACCGAAATCACCATTGTTTCCGGCCGCCATCACGACGACGATGCCGTACAGCTCTGCATTCCTCTGGAAGAACTCGAAGTCTTTCTGAATCTCGGGTAAATCATCAGCTTCGTCGACGCCTAGAAGAGCGCTTTGGTTAGTATCCGTGGAGAAAAATGCAGTGACCTAATACGGCAAGCTTACGAAACGAGAGGTTAACAACAGCTTTCCCCTGTAGGTGCCTCTCATCCACTTTTCCAATAACTTCCTGTAGCGCCGCATATATGCTCGATTTCGTTGCCCCGATGCTAGTATACCTCCCGTTTTGTCGCATTGCTGCTCCCTTAAACTTTACCAAGTACAAATTGGCGTTGGAGGCGACGCCCAAGGATCTGCCACCTGCCACACAGGCAACTCCACTTCCATGACCAGTGTTTTCTGACCCCTCGTGGGCATAGTCTATCGTGTTGTCTGGAGCCAACTGGTCCTCATTCGTATAGTAGCGGTTGTTTTTCATGACGGCCTTGTTCCCGACGTACCAGGCCTCGACACGTCGAGAGCCTCCCGCGAGCTCCTGAAGAACTTTGCTTTAGCGTCTTTGAATGTCATAATAATAAAAAGGAAACTCACTTCATGGTCTGTGTTGAATCCAGTGTCTATAACGAAAATTGTTACACCCTGGCCCAAACTGGGATGATATTTGTAGTCTTTGGTGACGTCGCCAGAAATCATGTTTAGGTGAGATGGGCTTCTAAGGCGGACGCTTATATCGCGTTTCTTAACAGTATTCAAAGGCTTTTCAGAATTCGACACGTCTCTGAACCGGGGTTTCCTTCTTCGGTCAACGAACGCTTCACAAGGCGACGTTTTGACTTCGAAGTTAGGTTTAACCGATCGTACCCAGGACATCTTCTTGATGGCCTCCTCTTGTACGGAGGTTAGGTCGGTTAAATACGCCGGCCAGGCCATCTCAGTTGGAAGATTAGCGTGCGCTCCATAAATCTCCCCGATACTGCCATCCAACCACTTGGCGAAGTTTCTGAAGTCCTTTGTGCTGATTGCACCATATGCGGCAGAGATGATCCGGGTCTGAGGCGGTCCCGTAGGAATGGGAACCATGATTTTTCCCTTCCTTCCGTTGTTGTTCACTTGAGGAGTATTTGTAGCTGTTGAAGTAGACGTTGACATGGTCGACATGGAAGACGTGGGAACCAGCGTCACAGAGCTTGACGGCGCCTGCCCTCCCGCAACGGGCAACACGACGTTATCCCAGTTGATATTGTTCAAAATGGCATAGACATTATAAGCCTCAATCATGAAGCCGGTGCTGGCTATGCCCTTGACCAAGACTTCTCCAAACTTCTGCGTGATGACGGGGCGAAGGCCAGCTGGGATGTTGTGGAGGTTTTGCAGCATGTGAGCCACCGACTTTATCAGGTTTGTTGCCGCCCTAGACTTGGGGTATGACTGGAATACTTTGCCATTGATTGGTTGAAACTGGTTTTCCAGTTCACCTTGGTTCATGCGGGCTGATTCCAACTGGTTTTGAAACTGGGACGCTTGCTCGGCTAGTTCAAGGGCGTCCTTCGTGAGATCTTGAAGCTCGATCCCCAAGCTGAACTCTGGCCCGGACAGAACGCCTCCGGGAGCATTAAGAGCGACATTCATAGCTTTCGCACTGAAATCCGTGACGGCCAGCGCCAGAGGTCCTGCGGCAACTGAGAGGCCTGCGAAGATGCCTTTGAGGGCGTCAAAAGGATTGACCGAAGAGCCTCCTGCCGAATCACCGTCTCCGCTAGAGCTCGACTCAAAGGAGCGTTGAACGAACTCGATGTCATCGATGGTCTCTTTGTCCGAGGAAACTTTGTCTGGAATTTCGACGGTTCGGTCTCTAATCTTCAAGGACTTGTATGCGAGCAATGCGGTGCTGCCGTCCTTGAGAAAGATTTCGATGGGATCTTCGTGCTCTGTCGGAGGATAATAGTCAACTCCGTCTATCTTGACGATAACGGGCAACGGTATCCAAGTGTGATCAAACGGAGAATCTTCATTGTAAGGGATGGATGTCTCTGCAGGAGGAGGACTCGTGGACGTTTGATCTGGTGCGGTTGTTGGCTCGGGCCTATCCTCAGACTTCTCTTGCGTCTTCTTGGAGGACTTAAATTTCGACAGAATGCGTCTCATGGTGCTCGCTTCGCCAAAAGTTAATGTTGCGCCGTCTGCGGTTATGGTAGTCGGCTGCGATGGAAGAGCAAACGTTGTTGATGCAAGAGCTACTGATCCTGCGGATATGAGAATAGATGGCGCACCGCGTTGGGCGTAGGTGACGGCAGGTTGGTCGAGCGGGAGAGGTGATCCGTTGATGTTCACGACTGTGACAGTCTCGAAAACAGTTGTGGTTGCGACAGAGACCGTAACGCCTGTGCCTGTGGCTGACGTAGTCGTAGAGATACCGGCGTGGGCAGAGCTGTTGGTATAAAACGGAATGCTGTTTGCTGATGAAGATCCTGGGGGCTGAACGATTCTGCTGTATGCAGGAAGAGAAGTTCCGGCGGATGCCAAGCTTGTGGGAACTGCGGCCAATGACGATGGGAGACTGTTCTCTAAATCCGAGGATGAAGAATGTGATCCAGTTACTCCAGAAAGAGCAGCTGGCTTAACAAACCTGAGAGTACTCCCAGGGGGTGGCTCTGCAGTCCTTCGCTCGCTTCCAGGTGCTGAAATAGTTAAGACAAAGTGATTCAGAAAGACGAAGGCTACTCACTAAAGTATGGGAGACTATAAGGCAGTATCGCAGACACTTGGTTTGTAGTCAGTATGGAGAAAAGCAAGGTAATAGTCAAGGGGCGCATGGTGATATATAGTCAAAAGACAGGCAGAGAATGGCGCTTGGAAGGAAAGCTTGGTGACTGACCGATTGAGTGCTTCAAGATGTGAGTATCGACAGTTTAAATAGAAAAACAAAGTGCTGAGATCTAGAGTTTTGAACAGACGGGAGGTATAGTCATAAACCCAAGGAAGTCGCTTTCTGTACGAAGATCAGTTCCAACTGCGCTGTACCATTCTACTCGAGCATACCTACTGTCAGTCATCCAGTCTGGAAGTCATCGGCTGGGTTTTGTTGCTGTGTTGGGTGATGAAACACGGAAACGGCCCCGGCGTATTGGGGGTGAGGTCAAATATGAAGTTGCAGGGGCGGCGAAAGCAAGCTGTGCCGCAAGATAATACCGCAAGATGTCTACGTCAAAGGTGGTGATGCTGCGACCCTCCATATAACCAACCTCACTTCCGGAGATTCCGCGTTGATGTGATGCGTCAGGTTGGGGGATTTGGGGGTTTGAAGTAATTAAAGATCTTGCCTCAATGACGAGAGGATGGTAGGTTGGTTGGTTGGTTGTAGAAGAGGGGAAGCACAAATATTGTTGTACGGATATTTCGTGTTGGAACATGGGCTGTTGTTTGTTGTTGGCGCAGCAGACACATGCAGGTGCATCATGCAAGCTCTTGAATTATCCAATGAAAAGATATCAGACCCCAACTATACCAACACTTGCAATAGAATAGTACATTACTTCAACCAAATCCAAGCAGATGTACAAGTATCATAGCCTGTGGTTTTACGCTAAACTATTCCCGTTTGGCTTGTAATGGCCTCGCCGTTGGTTTGGTCAACACAATGCATTAAGCCTTCTGCAATTGTTGCCATCTTTAGCATCATTTTCAGGGGCATGCAGCTCACAGCGTATTTTTGCTGCCTATACAAGAATTATGAGAGAAACAGCTCAATGTTAGCGTGGAGGCCATCATTCGATATGCTTGGAACGTTTCCAACCCCACGTTGCTCTCTTCATCGCCCATGCGATGGGGGTGCCGAGACCGTCTTGTTGGTCATTTAAGTTGACACCTTTGAATAAACAAGTGTTTCCAACGGGTTGCCAAGAATTACTTCCAGCAAAAAAGCGGAAGTAGAGCCCGCTGACTTCCCACAGAGGATTGGACAGAATTATGAAAGTATACCGAGAAGAGTCAATCAACTTGGGGCTAACAAAGGAAGTAAGACTGTTGCTCGATAAAAATGGTCGTTCAGTAAGGCTTCGGAAAGTTTATTCAAGGGCATAAGATTGTGTACAGCCTATTCACTCTTTGGGCTGGAACCATGTACTCAACACCTATTCCAACAGCCTCTATGTATTGATATGGCAGCCCAGGGAGTAATAGCAAGACTCGAAAGTCCTACTCATTAGTTTCTGATTAAACTGTAATAAATTGTTATACTCGTTTCCTTATACATATTTCTATGCCATTTCCATTACTAAGATGACTTTGAAATCGTCGGGAGCAGTGACCGTGAGTTGTGCAACATCCTTTCAACCAACAAAGTGGAAGACACCAATATTTGGCCGACACGTCTATGTTTTACTTGGCAGCCATGAAATCAAGCATTATTGAACTTTCAGAATAACCGCAAGTCAAGCGGAGCTTGAGTTCTGGCTTGCATAAGGCATACATCCCAGAATGGAAGTATTGATGTGTCCAGCACCACAAACTTGTAACCTCTTTGGGTTCCCCAGGAGGTACGAGGAAGATATGCTGTCTTCCCAGTAAAGTCGCCAAATTTTAATGTAGTAATCGGAAACAAGAGCAAGGGAACAAGAGGTAAAACTCACTCATGCATGGAGAACGCTTATACGTAGGGCAGCTAATCTCAATATGATGACCCGACGCCTCTCCTGAACTCTCCTTCCGGGTCGTAGACATACACATCCATGATTACAGAGATAAATATGAACATTTTGGCACTTATTTAACTGGAGCCCTCGTTGTTCACCAGCTACAATTTTCCCCTTCCTCATCCTTCTTCCACACTCGTTCAGCAGACACCTCTCCCTGCGGCACACATCATGAAGTCCGTTCTGATCTTTCCAGCACTGCTGGCAACCACTTTTGGCGCAGCAATCTCCGTTGCTGAAGCAGATGATCTCGTCGCAGACTTCACAAGTGAGCCGTTCACCATCGACGACCTCACAGTCGAGCCCTACATCAATGCCATCTCTGCCGCAATTGAAGGAGAGGACCCCGAGGCCTTCCTAAATGAGACGGCCCCCGACTTTGACATCGAAAAGGACGGCGCCGCCGCCTGGGCCAAGATCCAGGCTGAAATGTACGGTGACGTCCCCAAGAGCGGTGCGACGGCTGATGTCGAGGATACGCTCCTCAAGTGGAGCGGTTTCCACCTCACGAAAGATGAGAAACATGCGCCGCCAAAGGGCAATAACATCTGGTGGCCCAGCAGACCCGGCGGCCCCAACGACTTCCACCACGGTATCACGGCCGATGGGCTGTGCCTGTATCTCTGGGGCGCAGCCTGGAAGGTGCATGAGCTGCGAAGACCGGTGCAGCAATTCGAGCCAGAGAACGTGCCTTGGTTGATCCAGAACAAGGGGCCGTATATCGTAAGTTTCTCCCGTGTTTTTGCAAGGGTGTTTGAACTCGTTAACAATGCTGTAGTACGTTCTTGACGGCCTCCGCGAGATTGAATGGGTCTTCTGGAAGGTCGAGCGCTCCTTGCAATATGCCTCTGCCTTCACCGAAGAGGAGGAGTATAAGATCGTGCGCTGCTACTACCAGGTAAATACCCGTTCCTCACTGCCGCAACCCGTTTAGACTAAACAAATGTAGTTCTCCGGCTTTGAGAGACAATTGACAACGCTACCCGGCAACCCGATCCCGGTCATCCCCCGACCTGCGTCTGCCACCGTTGCCTCTCCTACCCCTACCCAGCAAAGCTCCGATGGAAAACTCGCCATTGAGGACCACGAACTCCAGCTTTCCAGGACTAACACAGCCTGGAATCCTGAGGAAACCTTTAAGATGCTACCGTACCCTGTTCATGATCTTTCTACACGACAGCTCCACCGCATTCCGCTTATCCGCCGCTTCGGCTTCAAGAGCTTGCTCCGTCTCATCGCCAGCAAGGCACCAGCGTCCCGGTTCCAAAACTACGCTAACAGCCGCATTACCCGGGTTCTCAGTAACCTTGAGAGATCCGTTCTTGTGAGTCGACCTTCCGCTTTATTGCCTTTTTCTTTGATCAGAACATATTTGTCTTACGTCCTGCTAACACTGCATAACTATACAGGGCGCCAGCCATGGCTTGTTCGTCAGATTTCAGAACCCACGTGCCAAGTCCTTCATTCAGTTCGATGTCGGTGGCAACCAGGGTCTTATCTCAGCTTTCGCCCAGGCCACCAGAGCTTACCGGGACAACCCGGAATCTGCTTTACCTTAACATGTGTTTAAAAAAGCCCTAGTCGGTCTGTCGAGGTTGAGCCATGGATGAGGAAAGAACGGGACGATGTGAAAGGTTAGGAGAGTTGATTGTTAGTTTTGTGTAGGGCGAGATGGCAGAGATGAAGATGGTGTATTGTGTTATAGAATTGCTTGATTAGTGACGTCGCAATTTTCAACAGCCAGTTGAGGTTGTATTAATCGGATATTGTGAAAGACAACGTAGTTTAGGGAATTTATGCCGCTTAGACCGCCGGAAACAGTACCCTGGTGAAACAGAAGTCTCGACGGCTGTACGCAGACTCTAAACTTCTTGTGCAAAAATGGATGCTCCTGGATATAGTACTACAACTCAATTTTTTTGAATTCTGTCGGAATTTCTGTTAGGTCGAGGGAGGGACTTTATGGTTCATGAAATATGGACGACGTGGAGGGTTGGAATGGAGCACAAGCTCTTTGAAGGTATTTTGAACCGCACTTACAGAATGCCTGTAAACAAGATATGTCCGTTTACGCCATCAAAGACATGAATGTTCTCTTGAGTATTCGCATTTACATTGCAGAAGGCTTCATGATCATTACAGGCCTTTCAATTTGCATGAGACTGTTGGAAAACAAAGGGGGGTAGCCAACGGCTTATCAGTTGGATCCCGTCGTGTACATCGTGTTAACATGGAACAATGTATCAATTGGCTAGAAAGTGATTGTATGCAGAAAATTGCTATTGATATGATATGTACTTAGGTATAAACCCAGACTCTGGACCGAAACACCGCTAAGAAGGGGGAGTTTACTCGATACCGGACAGAGGATTGCACCTTGAGCTTGCACGGTTATGTCTTTCTGATAGAGCCATTTCACAAATGTCCTGTAATTTATTGAAGCATTCAACTCTGTTTTTATCTTTATTTCCATACAGGCAGGTAATGTGCTGACAGCGGACTACCTTAGTTAAGGCTCCCAAACATGTACAGAGACATAAATCCTTGTACAGCCATCCGATAGACAGAGAGGTCGTATTTCTCATCTTCTTGTATCTATGATTAAATATCCACTAGCACTTGTGGCCATGGAAATAACACGTTGGTGCGCGGAATACCATCGAAGAAGCACATGCCCAACAGCCACCTGCGGACGCGGAGTTGCGGTACGCCGCCCTTGCCTAGGGGTCCCATTCGGATCTCAAGAGAGACGTGGCGGTCGATGTCGTTAGCGTCGTGTGTCTGCGAGCCAGGATTTCCCTGCCGTGCCGACGTGAAAGCGTAAGACTTGCGACGGTGTGGCATTTCACCGTCCTGGTCTGGCCACACGAAAAGAGCGCGATACTGCCGCGGCTGATCCGGCTTGCCCCAGATGCTCCCTAGCCTCAGCTTCCGACGATCTCGGATCGCCGCCGCTAGCTCGACAGCCATGCGGTGGTGCCACATCTCGGTAAAGGAGCTGTACCCATTCTTGCCATCGGCGGAGGCGTCGGCGGAGAGGTACTGGTTGATCCGGTCGGCGAGCCAGTGTTGCTTCAAAAAATAGAGGTGATACTTGAGCTTTAGCAGGCGCTTCCGCTCGTTTAACGTCAACCGGCCTCTTGGGTTGTCGATCCAGGGCAACTTCTGCGAGAACTTTGCGGTGTCGATGATACGGCCCAGCTTCCAGATGTGACCTCTTGTTGTTATGCCGGCCGCTGTTAACTTCACATTGACCAGTCGACATCCTTTGTTAAATGTCAATTGCCTCGTGTCATCTTCAGGTGCGCTGAATTGGCGGAACATCAATTCTTTCAGGCATCTTGACGTTGTCCACTCGGCTGCTGATCCCGTGATATTGTTGCTGTTATCAAGGATCTCGCCGTTAAGTAGACACATAGCCAGCATTTATAGGCTGAGACTTTGACGACGCTGGCTGAGTGTGTTGCCGTTCAACCTCACTGGGTACTGGCAGCAGTTGGCTATGATGGCAAGTCGGTCCCATGGCTTCTTTAACCCGCGTGGCTCAATATCGGCGATGATTGTTGGAGTCATGGATATCGAATTGTGTATCAGGAGCGTATACTTCCCAGCTGCTCGGAGTACGCCATCAATCATTTTCAAATCCAGTGACAACTGCCTTACCATTCCACGGAGGGCTAGGCATAGCCGTGTAGCCTGCTCGGAAAACTTGATGGATTGTATGCACAGCTCACCCGTTATCTCACCGAATACACCGTGTCGCAGCTTCTGTCGCTCCAGGGATGGTTTGTGGCTGATCAACAACTGCATCCGCGTTCCGCCGCGGTAGTTCTCCTGGAACGTCCACGCGCGCCACCACCAGTTGTCCTGCGTTATCTCGCTGAGCAACTTCAGTGCCTCGACAGCAATATCAGCATCTCCTCGAAGCCGCAACTCGTGGCTGTCTTCGACGAGTTTTCCCGAGAGAATCTCCGAGAGAAGAAACAGCTCAGATTTCGTATTCAGCTTCCAGCTCAGTAGTGCCACCGGGTGACTGCTGAGTTGATAAACGAGATCCATGGCTTGTAAACCATTGCGTTTCTCGAAGCAGCGGTAGTGGTGGCAATCGTCCGCGCCGCATGTCTTTTGGCGGATACAGTGGGCATCAATCCAGAGGTAGCCGACGCCAACGTGATCCATATAGCCGAGGATACGGTCGAAGACGCTGTTTCGGACCCTTGAGAGTCGGGGGCTATTATTATCCCAATTCTGGACACGATACCTCCCACGTTCCTTGGGTTCGGGCTTCCAAGGTTTCCAAGTGTGGGACAACGCGACGTACTCTCGCTGGTTAAAGGCGTTAATCGGCGAGCGCCGCAGCCTCGAGCCTCCGGGTACGAGACACTGGAGGTCAGTGATGAACCAAAGGAACTTGGAATGCTCTTCCTGATTTCCCTCACTACCAATATCGACAAGCTGCTGAATGATGGATATGCCATGTTTCCGACTGAGCTGTCGAAGTGACTTGTTTTTGTCGTCCTTCTTCATCGGTGCGGTTCAGCGAACGGTGATGATTGCAGGTTGCGGAATTGCCCATACCAACGCGCGTCGCGTCACTTGAGGAGCGGAGGAAAAGGACGCCAACATGACTGGTCGACAGTCAAACTGGATGGTGATTAGCCCATACATGCAGCACATGTCAGCTGTTGGCTGATATTTTGCATGTAGAAGTACTGTCAACCAACGGTAGCCTTTGATTTCGAAGCGAGCAACAGAGGACGCCGGCTTGGCGCATGCTTTGCATCTGGATGTCCAGCTGCTCCAACAGACTGGTTTGGAGAATGGCTCACGCCACGCCTACTCCAGCAATCTCGAAGGCTGATAGGAAGCCCTGCAGTTGTAGTCAGGAACTCAAGTGTAACTGTGCACTCAAACTGAAATCCCATAGAAGTTTATTCTCGTCGTTTAATACCGTAAGTTTAACAACGCCCGACCAATAACGCCCCTGAACAACACCTTGATCTCGTTTAGCATCTCATCCTCAACCCTGAGTAGCTATGATGAGCTTACGTGAATGCAGACGTCAGCCTTCAAGTCCATTATACCATGGAGCCGCCGCTCCTGTTATTGCCAACCAGACCGGCCATTTCCAACAGGGCACGATCGGCCTCGATGTCACCAGTGCCAAGGTTAATCTTGCGGCGGGCCTCAGCCTCCCGAGCTTCCCAAGCCCAGCGCTCAGCCTGAACCTTGGCCTCCTCGTCGCCTCCGCAGCCCCAAACTTCGAGGCTTTCGATCTCGAACCTGTCCTGGAAGTCAAACTTGCGGGACACACTACTATGGAACGCTCCACCTCCGGCAGTCCAGTCGTGCGTAAACACACCGTACTCGAACGAATCATCCAGCAAGAGGGAAACGGGGCCGAGGGACATCATTGTGTCTCGTCGGTGAGCCTGAGAAGTTCTGGGATGAGGACATCCAACTCCCAGAAGAGGTCGGTTGGTAGGCGGCTTCGTGAATGAGATGTAGTCCGAGTTATACTTGGACGCAGGGAACACGTCGTGAACCGGTTCCAACTGGAAGAGCACGGTATCTGACTCGCCGAAACATTCCTTGGATGTATGTTTCCACGGCTGACTCAAGTAGACGCCAAAGGTGAGACGGTCGCCCTTGCTGCCGTTCGGGAAGCGGCGTGGTGGAATCGAGGCCGCAAAGGCCGCCTCCTGGCCACCGTGGGGCTCATCGTTCATCCGACTACCGCGCACGAGGAGTATCGTAGGCGCCCTCCAGTTGAAAACCTTAGCTTCGAAGCTGCCCATGGAGAAACCTGCTTCGCTGCCAGAGTAGAGCAGTCTGAGGCGGCGGAAAAGGTCTGATCCAGGAAGGAAGAAGGACAGCTGTGAAAGAACATTAAGGTTGAGGATGTCGGAGCTGTCTTGCAACAACGGTTGAACGATATCTTCGGGTTTCTTGGCGGCGGCAGGGTCATCGCCATTGTGTTTTGTGAAATCCAGGTTCTTGGAGAAGAGAAAGTGTTCGAAAAGAGGGTTGAAACCGCTAAAGAGATGGGGAAAGCACACGGGCATCACACGATTGAACTGGGCAAACTTGATACCGGGGGCCTTTTCGACGTTCAAGAAAGCGGCAAGGATGTTCTCGGCTGTGGAGCGTAAACTCTCGAGCTCGTCGCCCGTAACGCGTGTTGCATACATGGAGAGTCTTTCTTGCGGACCTAACGGGGCAATCAAGATGAGCAGCATGAGGAGCTTGCGGAAGTTATCAGCTGGAATCATGGCTCCCTGAACTGTTGGAGCATCACCCTGTCGGACGGCGTCGTTGATGTCAAGGAGCTCGAAGGCGGCAATCTCCAGGTCATCGTCATCGTCTTCTGCTTCATCCACGGGTTCATCGACGGCAAAGCCAGGTACATGGCTGCTGGTTGGAGGCTCGTCCTTTGTAAGATTTTGCCCGTTTTCCTCAGATCCTCCATTGGCCTCTTCCACAGCAGCCACAGAAGCCTTCCGGTCGTGCACGGCAAGGCTCTTGAATAGCAGCTTCGCCCGATCGCGAGCGCCCTTTGCAAGAATCCTCTTATACCTTGCCGTCATGATCACAACGACCATGATCATCTGCTCAAGGCCGAGAACAGCGGGGGCGTCTTGGAGGAAGGGAAAGGCGCCAATGTACGACACCATTTGGAATATGACGGGCGAGACATGGAGGATGTCAGGTATCTCGAGGAAGCGGGCGATGGTGTCTTCCTTCAGGTAGCGGATATCCCCCTGGGTGTCTGCCAGGCTTTTGAAGACATCCTTGAAGGAGTAGAGTTCGAGAGAGGTAAAGCATTTTTCGGCGAAGCGGCTGGCCTGCCATTGAAATCGTCAGCAAGCGTCTCGACAAGACATTTCCACGGAGAAGGGGGATCTTGGAGGGGCAGTTGTGCACTTACCAGTTCACGGGTGAGCTCCTCGTGCGTAAGCTCCCGCGGGGTCTCGTCAGACAAAGCTTGTCCCATGGTGAAATTGCAATATGGAGTCAAGAAGCATCGATGTAAGGTATTGGAGTGGCAGTGGAATGGGCCGTGGAGCAGTCACAGAAAGCCATGGCCATGTTTGGGAGGGAGACGAAGATTGATGACGGAAGTCTGGGGTGCATTATCAGCTAAAAACTATCCGTGATTGCATAATAAGAATCCCAGAGCCCAGAGCCCAGAGCCTGCAGGTGTCAGATCAGGTCCCAAGCCCGCCCAACGCGTCATGTCTTTGGGGGTGACAGGCCAGGTTGCTAGGGGGGGCCAAGCTGCTGCGGCGACTGGAGATAGCGTTCCCCCCCGCAACGTCACTGGCCCGAGCTCCTTTTGCCCCTCCTTCGAGTGATGATCTCCCGAAGATGTCCCTGGCCAAAAAAAATCATGAAAACCTCAGGCCACTTGAGACTCGAGAATGAGCTGCAGTTAGTCATAACTGCAATAAAATGCCCCATGTGACACTTTTCCCATGTCTCTCCGGCGTCAGGAACATGCGAAATGCCGATGCCAGCTCACGCCTAGACGGCCTCTTCGTCGTCAATAAAATCAGATGATCAATTCAACCCAGAAACGCCACCTATTATTGCCCTGTGATTTTATATACGACGGAGCGGAGTCTTCAATGAGACGATTTCGTCCGTCCTTAATGCCAATGCCATGTCAATACTATACAATACAGCCGTCAATCGGTACAATATGTCATCCAACTCTTGTCCTTATTTCTTCGGTTCTTCTGACGAACCATCTGACGGCTTACGTCCGTAGAGCTCGCCGATAACGCCCAATGAGCTCTTGGGGTTTTCCTTCTTCTCCTTCTTCTCCTCAACCGGTGCTGCCGGGGCAGCAGCCGAAGTGTTCTCCGCAGGCTTGCTCCATCCCGAAAGCCCAAGCGCACCAAGCACGCCGCCGCCGGACTTCTTCTCCTCGCTTTCAACGGGCGTGGCATCGGCGGCAGCGTTTCGTGCCTCAGCCTTGGCCCTGCGGTCCTGCAACATGGCCTTGAGAGCCTTCTCTTCGTCATCACGGGCCTCGAGCTCGCGGATCCAGCGTTGCCTCTTCTCCTCGGCGTCCTTGGCCTCCTTGATCTTGCGCAGCTCGGCGGTGCGCTCGCGGTCCTTGTTGTAGTACATGCTGCCGGCGATCATGGCGAGCACAGTGAAGCCCTGGGCGGCAACACGGGCACGGAACATCTTGTTGGCCTGGACCGAGTCGCCGCGGCGAGTGGCGCGCCAAGCGGCGTAGAAGGCGTACACAGTCAAACCGGCGCCTGGAAGGTGTTAGAGTGCGAGCTGTCGACAGATCGCACAGAGTTCGACATACCAAGAGGGACCAGAGGCTCCTCCTTGAGCTTGCGGAAGACCTTGTGGAGGACGCGCTCATCGTAGAATTCGCTGGGGGCCGGGTTAATTGATTAGCAGGGTGTGTCTTTGACATTAGCCACAGCTCGCGTGCAAGCTTACTTGTTCTCGTCAAACGACGACGGCATCTGCCGGTCGAGCACTGGGATTCTGTCGTCACCGGACATGTTGATGGGCGTGTAATTGTAGGTTCAATTGGGTTGGCCGGGGTGTCGTGGTGGTAATTTTTTTTTTCGTTGGTCGAGGAGGCAATCATGCGATTCCGAACTGGTAGGCGGAACTTCGATGATGAAATGGATTCTGGGGGGGCCCTCTAATTTCGGGGTCTGCTACTCGCTCCAGAGCTTGACCCTAGAGCAGTTTTGCGGCAAACACCGTCGGCTTACTTTACACTGCACTGAGGGATTTAGCTTAGGTAATACGCTCAAATCACCTCTCACTCTGACCTGCGATGAAACCTCAGGCAGTTGTAATGGAACATGCACTAATGCACGGGCCATCCCGCCTGTTAGTTGAAGATGGAGTGGCAGTGGCAGTGGGACTAAGCTATAACAGCTCGAATCCCAAGCACCCTCATCGCTGGCTTGATATCTTGTATGAAATTAAGTATCACTAAAAGTGTGTCCGGCTACAATATATTCAAGGCCCTTGAAAAGCTTATGGGGCTTCCCAGTCTACTTGCGATAGGTAAGTATTAAAATATATAAAGCATTGTTAAGACAGTGGCCGATTTGGCTGCTGAATCTTGCTTCAGCCACTCAAGTTTGAAGAGCGACATGCTCCCAAAGAATATGGCTACATTGTCTCACAAGCGCATATAATTCTTGCAGATCGAGTTTTCCAGATCTTCTTCACGGGCTAGTGACATGTAAATATCCAACTCACCCGGTTATCATCATGAGATGCTGCCGCACCACGATGCGCTTTCTGGCATGCACGCTTGCCAGCGATTGGCTGTAAAGATGGTTTGGGTTTTTTGTCACGCAGCGCTGGGTGTGATTGAAGGATCAGTTTTGTGATTAGAAACCTCGACCAATGAACTCGCTCTGACCTCCCGTCCAATGTCGAGATAATATACAGCCTCTCAGATGTCTTGGTAAAACGTTCAGACAAGTTCAGGTTGACGCTGAAAACGAGGGCAAGTTTATATGTCACTTGCAGTGTTTAGGCCCCTACTCAGCTCAGGACATGTGAAGAGAGAACTCACAACGTTGCAAGGAATCTTAATAGTGAAGATACTCGGAACTTGAACCGTCTGATAGGCATGTTGCTCACCTAGATCAAGACAAGACGAGTGCTTACCAGAGTCCACCCGAATAAAGATCCTTCGAAGGCACAAACCAGCGCATCAGTAGAGAGACTACATATCATCTCATCCATCCGTACATCAAATCACAACTCCCACATTGCCAACGTGGAATTGGGGAGGTTGGATAAACTTAATTAGCGAGGACCCCAGAGCGATGTCGCCCTGAATTTCAAAGGAACGGCAGATGCCCTGCTGACGCTACAGCAGGACAGGGATCTTCCAACCAATCCCCAGCCTGGTAATAGCGCGGCACACTGCAGAAACCGTCCGATTTTACCCCGCGACACCGAATTGAGCTCCGATGAATGCCCCACTATGAACAAATTTCCAGTTTAATACGCATATTGGCTGCTGGTGACTGTTCGCTAGCCATTACTCAGTTCCGGCCGGTCATCTCACCTCTTTTCTTTGTGACTCAATTCGTCGTTCCGTCCTCTCCTCAGCAACCTCACCTCAAATATGCCAGAGTCAACAGAACCACCAGTCGTCGCCGTCATGACCAACGGAACCCTCAACACCGTCAATGGCGACCATGTGCCGCCGCGGCCTCGCACCCCGCAGCCCAATGGCATGTCGCTGACCGAATACAGCGCCAATCCTTCCACGCCGCCTGAGGAGAGACGCAACCGCATCAAGACCATTGTTCCTGAGGATTACCTTTTGCCTGATGGAAACCCAGACGTGAGAGATCACCGTTTGTCACTCAATGGCTAGAATTGCCAAAGACTAACACTGTTGCCCATGACTAGTACCTCAGACTCATCGCCGCAGCAACTTCCCGCGTCTACGAGGCCTGCAAGGTCACCCCCCTCCAGCCCGCCGTCAACCTTTCCAACCGACTCGAGTGCAATGTCCTCCTCAAGCGCGAGGACCAGCAGCCTGTTTTCAGCTTCAAGCTGCGTGGTGCCTATAACAAGATGGCTCATCTTGACCCGGCCCTCAGCTGGAAGGGCGTTGTCTGCTGCTCTGCTGGTAACCACGCCCAGGGTGTTGCCTACTCTGCCCGCAAGCTGAAGATCCCGGCTACTATTGTTATGCCCGAGGCCACTCCCAGCATCAAGCATCTCAATGTCGCCAGGCTGGGCGGTCATGTCGTTCTGCACGGCGCAGACTTCGACGCTGCCAAGGAGGAATGCGGCCGCCGTGCCACCCAGGATGGGCTCATCAACATCCCTCCCTTTGACGACCCGTATGTCATTGCTGGACAAGGTACCATTGGCATGGAGCTGTTCGGCCAGATCAACATGTCCAAGGTGGACGCCATCTTTTGCTGTGTCGGCGGCGGTGGCCTTATCTCCGGCATCGGCGTGTACGTTAAGCGCATGGCGCCCAATGTCAAGATCATTGGTGTGGAGACATATGATGCCAATGCGCTGGTTCAATCTCTGGCCAAGGGTGAGCGCGTGGTTCTGAAGGACGTTGGTCTCTTCGCGGACGGTGCCGCAGTCAAGACCGTGGGCGAGGAGACTTTCCGCATCTGCAAGGACGTCGTCGACGAGGTTATCCAAGTTACTACCGATGAGGTCTGCGCCGCCATCAAGGACATGTACGACGACACCCGCGCCGGTCTCGAACCCGCCGGTGCGCTCTCCATTGCCGGTCTGAAGAAGTACGTGGCGCAGAACCCCAGCGACCGCAAGAGAAACATGGTGGCCGTTACATCTGGCGCCAACATGAACTTTGACCGCCTGCGTTTCGTCGCCGAGCGCGCGACGCTCGGTGAGGGTAAGGAGGCTTTGCTGGCCGTCAGCATCCCCGAGAGGCCTGGCGCCTTCGCCAACCTCATCAGCACCATCATGCCCCACTCCGTGACCGAGTTCTCCTACCGCTACGCCACGGAGGAGGTCGCCAACGTGCTCATTGGTATTTCATTGACGGCGCCCGCGTCGCAGAGGACTCAGGAGCTGCAGACACTACTGGAACGCCTCCGATCCAGTGACATGTCGGTGACGGATCTCTCCGGCGACGAGCTCGCCAAGAGCCACATCCGGTACCTTGTCGGCGGACGCTCCAATGTGCCCAACGAGCGGCTCTACATGTTCAACTTCCCCGAGCGTCCCGGCGCTCTGGAGAAGTTCCTCAAGACTTTGAGGCCGAAATTCAACATCAGCTTGTTCAACTACAGAAACTACGGCGGCGATGTCGCCAAGATTCTCGCAGGTATCGTGTGCCCCGACGACGAGGTCGACGAGCTCGAGACGTTCCTGACCGAGATTGGATACCCCTGGGAGGACTGCAGCCAGTCGTCTGTCTTCAAGACTTTCCTCCGTAGCTGAGGAAACTCCCCAATTTTAAGTACTACGTAGTATATCTTCCGGAACCAAAAAGGGATTTTTATAGACTTATATCTGGTCGTGTTTCGGTATGGCGTTGGGGGTTTTCAATTTGGGGCTGTGAGCCCAAAAAGTTCATTTAGTTTGACCATTTATGAAGGGACAATCATATAGAGACCAACGGGATGAAACTGATGATCTTTTCCTTTCACTTTATTTTCTTTAGGTGATACTATCTTACTCTAGTTTATGGGGGTGAGAAGTCTATTATATCTTAACTTCATGCACTCATGGGAAGAACCATTCGATTTATGTCTACTGGCAGTTGAGAGAAGAAACATTCCAATTGACTCCTTTGGAATAGAGTTAAAGTTCTACGAATTTTCAAAAGCACCATGTAGTCAGCCCGACCCATGTTCATCTCGAAAACCAACATTTAGTCCGATGTCGCATCACCCGATAAGCATCCCATGAAAGATAAGCGCACGGACGCCGCAGCCACGTGACGCCGCCAAGGCCGCGAAAATGCTCCCACCCCAGTGAAGCCATCCAGGCCCCTTCAACACCTCGTCGTCGCCATCGCGAAGCTCCAGCCTCACGACCCCGAACCAGCCGGAACCCGGACCGCTCTCTCGCCGAACACGATCGGTCGATTTCCTCACACCAGTCGAATCAGACTCACACTCTCCGCGCCACGTCCTCCCGAACGACCGCTGTCTTCGATCGACTAGAAGAAAGAAAAAAAAAATGGCTTCCCTTGCCGCGTCCTTCCGGACGCTGTCCCTCACCACCGCCCGCGCGGCTATCCGCCCCCAATGCTGCTCGCAGAAGATTGCCGTTCGCGCCATGTCGACGGCCATCATGACGAGGCAGCCGATGATCAAGACCGAGGCTCTGTTCGCGCGCAAGAGCGCCGCTGTGGGCAACGCGATTGTGCAGCAGACGAGGGGAATGAAGGTTCACAGCTCCGTCAAGAAGAGGTGCGAGCACTGCAAGGTGAGCTTCGTCAACTCCTTATCTCTTTTTTTGAAGTAATGTTGGAATTGGTGGGGCCGGAAGCTTTGAAGTCGTACGAACGATCACGAGGGGGCAGAGACAACACTTGGGAAGAGAAGCTGTTTGCAAGGGGAATTGAGCTAATGTGGTGCACTCAGATTGTTCGCCGCAAGGCCGGCAAGCGACACAACGGTTACTTGTACGTCATCTGCAAGGCGAACCCCAGGCACAAGCAGCGCCAGTCGTAAACGACGGGTTGCGGTTTGAGGCGAGAGGAAGCTTGGCTCTTTGGGCCTGGTGTCGGGATATGTGTACAATACAGAGCGGATGGACAGCCAGAAACGGTGCGAGGACGTTTGACAACACAATGGGTGGGGAGCGACGACATGTCTGCCCCCGGGGAATCAGTTGCGGAGAGGCAAGTCACATGTCTATAGAGGAAGAATCTCCCCCCCGTCACAGGCATCTTGCAGCAATTAGCAAAGCATCAAGGCAGCAAGGTATTGAGGCCTTTGTATTATACAGATTCATATATACAAAACAATACTCTACATTCCGTCAATGTACCGCTCCATGCCCTGCCACTCCGTCTTTCCCGTTGAAATGAGGTAGCGGATGTGGCCCTAGTACGGTCAGCATTTCTTGTTAATCGTCTTTGAAGGAGGGGGAGGGGAATGGCGTACGATATCCGTCACGTCCCGGTGACGCTCGAATTCGTCGCGGGCATACCGCTGCGACTCGGCGCGGGTATTCGGGTCCGCGATGCGGCGTGTGCCGCGGATGATTTCGCGGTAGAGGGATAAAGCGCGGGACCTCTGGAGGAACTGCAATTGGAACATATATACCCGGTCAATGACTTTCAACTTCTTCTTCTCACTTGATACTCGCACAAGTATATATGAGTGCAAGATATGGATGATTTACGTACATGGTCCAGACTCAGCGTCTTACCAAGGCGCGACTTGGCCGGGCCATTGGAGTAGCTGCGGGCGAGGGACCACAGGGGGGTGAACGGGGGCATGAGGCCGGAGGTTGAAGGGGGGGACGAACTACATCTGAAGCTGGGGAATTCTCAGTGAGAGAGCTTCGGGGCGCTCAAGGTGAGCGGCGACTTTTTCGTGGTGGATGAGGTCAGGAAGGGGAAACTTCGGGTCTGGGATGCGGAACGGTCCCGCTTTTTGGGACCCCGGGGAGGCGGGCGGGAATTGGGAGCTGTGGTTTTTTTAGTGGACGCGTCTGGCGCGTTCAGCGGCCGAGGTACCTATCATTTGTGGATTTCCAGCGTCTCTTTGTTTAACGAGAATTGGAGTTTCCAGTAGACTTTATTTCAAAGCTTTGAATCTTATTTATTTTCGAGATTCATACCTGAGAAGGTTTACATCTCCCGAGCCTGGTTGAATATGCCCCCCGGCAAGCGTCGTAGGGCGCCCACGAACCCCATCGAGGCAGCCAACCGCAAGACGGACGAGGAGTTTATAAGGGACCATTTACAGCAGAGGTCCGTATTCACTCAACCCGTCCCAATGTGCACCACACGTTTAGTTTTGGCTTGGTAACTCACATGGAAGCACACGTGCAGCGAAGACTGGGCATCATGGACGCATCCAAGCACCAGCAAGCAGTACACCCTGTCACTGAAATCCCCGGCCAGGCTCTCCACGGATGAGATGCAGGCGTGCTTCGACCTCATCGAGTACACGAGTGGCGCAGACTACCGCGCCTCTTCGAGCGGGTGGAAGCCGGCGCACAAGATCAAGGAGATGAGGAGCCCGGAACTGCGGTACATTCTCGTCAAAGAGACTCCTGCTCCTGCGCAAGATGACGAGAGCAGCGAGGGAAGGATATGCGGATTCACAAGTCTCATGCCCACATTTGAAGAGGGCGAGCCGGTAGTTTACTGTTATGAGATTCATCTAATGGAGGAGCTGAGAGGGTAAGTGGCACCCATTCTCCATGGCTTCATGGTAGAAAGCTTAGCTACAAGCTGATACAAGCCGCGAGATCTCCTCTACTCTAACCCCCACGCGGTAGAAGAATGAAGAATAGGGGTAGAATGGCTAACGGGTTACAGCACGGGCATGGGGCGCAAATTGATGGACTACCTTGTCACGGTGGCGGAGAGCATCCCCATTATCGAGAAGGTGATGTTGACGTGCTTCGTCGCCAACGCCACGGCCCGGGGGTTCTACGAAAAGCTCGGTTTCGAGAGGGACGCCCTATCGCCCGTCGAGCGGAAGCTGAGGTTCGGCAAGGTGTTTGTGCCGGATTATGTCATCATGAGTCGAAGAATTCGGGATAAGGATGCGGGGGAAGACGAGGCAGACGGCGTGAAGAGAAAAAAGGGTGCTGAATGAGATGAATCATGAGATTATGCAAGTGGTGATACCAAAGATGGCACGATGAATTATACGTAAAGAAAAAGCACACCTCGAATCTTGTATCCTATTTAGGCTGATTTGTGGGGAATGTGGTGTGTGCTGCTGCTACGTGGTACAGAGTATGTGGCCGTACTAAAATGAAATACACAGCTTGGATTTGTTTGTTCTGTGAGGCTGAATTCAAGCAAAAAACAGCCTCCTCGGAATTAAGCTCAACCTGGTCACACCCAATGTTTGCTGCCGGCATCTTGGCGCAAGTGCAGCTGCGGGTAGTCGGAGGACCTAGGACAGGGGGGTGCTGCAGGGAGTAAGGGATGCCTAGAAGGTCCCTGAAATTAGGAGCCGGGCACGTCCCGTTGCTATGGTTAGCATTCTTCGTATCCATCGGCTGCTGGGAATGTCTGAGTGGCAGAAGATCATCTTCTCCTCTCGATGCCTCGCTCTACGATCGTCGAGGAGCCCATCCGTTGGAACCATGGCAAATACAGTAATGAATACCGATGATCTCGATAATCGAAATATTCCTTGAGCCTATCCATTCAGCTGGAGAGCCATCAGCCCCAACCCCAAAGAATGTCTCACGACACCCATCCAACAAAACACATGCCTGGCACGTCAACTTGACCCGCTCGGCGACCATTATGGATAACATGGCTATTACAGACAGCTGTAATGTAACGAAAGCAAATGAGCAAAAAAGGTCCCCCTGCATCATTGTATCGAACACAGCCTTCATCCACCCTCGCTAAGCTCAGCCCTAGGACACTATCCCAGGTTAGCGCTCTGTCCGGTGCATGATCCGGCTGCTGCCTCTTCAAAAACCCTCCCAATCACCGCGTCTGTCGTGTAAGCCACGGGGGGTCACTAGGCAGTCTGGATTCGATGTCGACCGTCTTGTCAACGCCTCGACAAGCTTGCGATCCTGCGTCAAAATGAAGGGTAGTGTACACGGACAGGAGACCTAGGCAGCATCGCATCGATAGATGAAGGGGTGAACATCCACTTGTAAGGCAAAGCCCGATGGTCCCCCCCTGGGCGTTATCTAACGGCCTAGTGCGGCTGAGAGTCAAGGTAACGGGCAAAGTTGATGGATATTTTTTAGTCTCAGCTAAGCGTAGTAGTAGTTGTAGAGAACCCGAGTTAATAGTACCGGTGCTTGTGTGACGGCGTCTCCTGCTTAAACCCCTTCCGGGTACCCTTTTTGTTAGGAAGCCCCTTCCCTTCTTGTCATTACCACCACACCTCTGCATTCGTCTGCTCTCTCCCTAACATAGTAGGAGGCCCCCTGCCTAGCTCTTTCATGGTTTTAACCTGTGGATCGTGCTTTGATTCCTTCCAATCTACTTTCCATATATATCAGAACATCTACTCCCTCTTTAATACCTCTTTAATCCATCTTGTTCGAACCAGCTTCGGCCATTCTTCTTCGTCGTCCACCGATACCATCAATCCTTGAAGTGTCATTGCCGTTCATTCTTGCTTCTTCAGACCGATCTCTAAATTCAATCACCAAACAATACCAATCGCCATGGACCCCCATCAGCAACACCAATACGTTGATCAGCAGCAGCAGAACCAATACGGCGGCCAGCAGCAGCAAGCCATTCAGCCAGACTACGCCCAGGGAGCCAATGTCAACAACCAGGAATGGCAATCCGGTATCTGCAGCTGTGGGCCATGCGAGTCCTGTCTACTTGGCACCTTTCTGCCATGCATGCGTGAGTATCTCCTTTGCTCTTTGGCTGTTCACCTTCGGCATTGCCATGATCTCGCAAGATGCCCAAGACACCTGACTAACACCATACAGTCCTTGGTAGAACCTCGGAGCGCATGCGCGACCCCACCATGCAAACCTACGAGACAGTCAACACCGACTGCTTGCTCATGTGCGGCATCAGCTACTTCACCGGCTGCGGATGGATCTACACCATGATGAAGCGTGGCGAAATCCGCGAGCGCTTCGGCATCAAGGGCTCCGGCTTCTCAGACTGTTGCACCAGTTACTGGTGCGGATGCTGCGCTCTCATCCAGCAGGACAAGGAGGTCCAGGCCCGTTTGTCTACCGGCCCCATCGCTCAGGGGTACCAGCCCGAGAAGGGCATGCAGATGCCGCAGCAGTAGATGCGAGATGGTGTAAAGATTGATAGGCGGTATGAGGGATGCGGCATGGCAAAGATAATGTGCCCTGTGAGGGTCTTTGACTGCGACGTTTGTGCTTTCTTTTGTTTTTGGACATGGATATGGATATGGTATACCCGTGGGTTGTGGCTCGTAAAATGCCCGCTGACCAACGGTGGTCACGAGCTGGTTGAATGGATATTATTCTTACTCTGTATGCTCGACTGAAGAGCCTATTGACTCATTGATTGGTTGTCTAATGTGTGTGAATCACTACTGATGTGACTGTGATACCAGCAGTCATTCACAGCTTAAAGCTTCAATATTTGCCATAAAACGTCCCGCCAAATACCTTTCGGTAAGACCCAACGTTCTGACATGACTAATTGTTTTAAATCTCACCTCAGATATGTCCTTTCCGACCCTTCACGTTAACTTAGAGGATGTCTCGGCCATCGCATCTACCCCAAGCAAAGGGCTAAACACCTGCGGCTTTGCTCAATTCCCAGTCACCACGCTCAGGTATGCCTCTCTGTCCATTTGATGCTCTGATACTGAAGGCGATAGGTTTCCCACAATACCCCGCCCATTGGTATGTCCGAGCCCAGGCACAGAATGCACATCGTCAGGTTCCTACATGGGCTGCAGCTCCCTGATACCTACGAAATGCCGCGGTTCTTCAGTTGAGTCTAAACAAATCGCCCTGGACTGCGCGGCCGGCGAGCTCTGCTGGTGAGTGCCCATGGAACGTCAGAGAATCTAAGCTAACGGCCACAAAGCAGATTTCGACCCAACACAGCGTGTTTCACTTGGCTTACGACGGAGAGTACAGCGACTTACACCCTTTTCGAATGTCGCTCAACAACCGGTGTGGGAACACTTGTAGCTATGCCGACGGGCCTCCCAGTAACTACACCAATATCAGTCTCTACTCTCGGTGAAACTGACAAGATCTCGCCGCCATCCACAGGCGCAACATCTCGGACTGCTGTGTCTCCCTTCCCAACGTCCATCAGCGTCTACCAGAGCGGAGAAGCCCCGCCCGGCGCCGTAGCAGCCAGCATCGCCGGAGCTCTAGCTCTCCTCGGCGTTATCGCGGGAGGAGTAGTGTACTTGTGGTCGCGTGACAAGAAGAAGAGAAAACGCCAAGGAACCGGAGTCCATCGAAGGGGGAGCTTGGCGATATCGGGCCCGTTCTTATTGAGCGGAGCACCCCCGAAGATCCCTCGACCACCTAGGGTCCATGAGATGTCGACGTATGATGCGCAGCAAAAGACGTCGTCGACGTACAGCAGTGACGGCAGAGGATCGGAGGGTACCGCTCAGGTCGAGCACGCAAAGCCGCCTCGACGACCGAGGAGGAGTGGGGATTTTGGCGGTGGCTGGATTTAAGGGAAACTTTCACAGACACAGAACGCACGTGTTGGCGTTCTATTACTTGCCGTATCTGGGAACTTATTAATTACAGGGTTCATCGGACCTTCAGGTCCTTGGTCCGTCTTATTCGTCGGCTGTTGACGGTGTAGTATGGGGTAATCTGGGTCCATGATGCTTGATGACCAGTCCAATAAGTGTTCCCTCCCTCCGCAGACTCACTTGTCTCACACAATCGCCTCCAAAGAAGAGGAGTCTCGTCCGTCGATATCACCTCAACATGATGTCAATTTTCAACCCGTTATGGAACCAAACCACGCGTGGAAAGAGGGGCCTCAAATTGATGGCTGGGACCGCTAGTGGAATCGATCTGGATCTTTTTTGCCATCATTCACAACCCGCGCGAATCGACGCAACATCCCAAATTTTTAAAGAAGCACCCCACGCAAAGCAAGAGATTTACAGCCTTTATTCTTCCAACCCACCCCGCGCACATAATATCGATCGAGAGGATCTACCTTAAATCTCTCTCTGTAACAGTATATTTGCTTTTTTTCGCCTTTGACCGAATACAAAGCATCATAGCCGGTCCCAGCGTACACCAAAGTGATGTCATCATATCCGCGTCATTGTCTACGTCTCGCGCCCTCACTTAGATCTCTAAGAGCTACAAACACAACCCTTCGACCATCTCATCAACAACCTAAGATCCCAATCGCAAGCTTCACGACCGTCCAGATACCAAGAAGACACCAAATCAACATTCATCACCAACACCACCAACAGCACCAACACCATCTCAAGCTTAACCAAAAAAGACCCTTCTCCGCCACAGCCAAAATGTCCGACGGCAGAGACAACAGCAAAAACGAAGACTGGAAGACGCAGGCCCCGTACCTGCCGCCGGACCAGGCCACGCCCGAGGGCGAACCGTTCGAGAAGGTGATGCGGGGGGAGTGCCACTGCGGCCAGGTGTCGTACTGGCTGCGGCGCGACAGGCCCCTCGCGTCCAAGTTCTGCCACTGCCGCGACTGCCAAAAGATGCACGGCGCGCCGTTCCAGTGGGCCGCGATATTCCACAAGGAGGACCTCGCGTTCGAGCGCGGCGTCGACGGCTTGCAGTTTTACAAGTCGAGCGAGCACAAGGCCGAGCACGACTTGCCCTGCAAGGTCAGCTGCGGCAAGTGCGGGAGCAGGATCCTGGACGAGGGGAGGAACATGGTTCTCTTGTTCCCTGGCCTGTTGCACTTTGACGGAAAGGAGAAGAGGGAGAGGTTTGACGTTCAGTGAGTTTTTTCCCCCTTTCCTTTTGACGAGTTTGTGTTCGTGGAAGAGTGCTAACAAAGGTAGGATGCATATTTTCTACGGTCAAAGAGTGGTGGATATGCCTGATGGCAAGCCTAAATGGAGTGGTCTTGATGAGCAAAGTGAGCAGATGGATGAGGATGTCGTCCGGGTTAAGCACGAATAACGAGCGAAGCGAAACGAAGTTGACGAAGCGTTGTTGTAGAATAGTTGTATAAAGCATTGTATGGTGTATGGTGTATCATGTATCCCAACCGCCCAACGCCGTGGTATGCTAAAAAGTAAAAAACGAGTAATAAAAAAGTTGAAAAAATCGCTGTACATCATCCCAAAACAGCAAATATTCTATCAATCATCTCAGCAAATATCGTCAGATAGATCATGTTCACCAATTGAAACTCTCCTGGAAATACTCAATCCTGGAGTATCCCCGGCCCAACATCTCGACTACAGACTTCCTAGCGTCGTCAGCCATGACGTTCGGACCGCACGCCACAACCGCGAGCCGGCTCTTATCCGACCCCGTCGCGGCGTACTCCACCTCCTCGCGCACATCGGGACGCCCGTAAAATAGGCGCACCTGCTCAGGCCAGTCGTCTGGCCTTCCCGCGTTCGTCGCCAGACTCGTCTGCGTGACGTACACATCAACGGACAATTTCCCGCTGTCGAAAGCATCCTCGAAATCCTGCCGTAAAACGTCCACCGCGAAACTTAGCTCGCGGACGGCCCAGACAACCTTGATCGACCGCGCGCGGGAGGACGCTTCTGTGAGCTTGGCTAGGTGAGCAAGGGGAACGACGACGCCGCTGCCGCCGACGACGAAGAGGAGGTCGTCGAACTGGGAAAAGGGCTGGGTGTGGCCGTACGGCCCCTCGACGAAGACGCGGAGGCGCGCGGGACGCGGCCAGTCTGCTGCGGCGGCGTCGCGGAGGCGTGAAGTGAAGCTGTCGTAGGGTCTGATGAGGAAGGTCATGGACGGGGTGCCGTTGCGGGGCTGGAGCTCGATCTCGGACATGGGTTCGCCGCCACCGAGTCCGTCGCGGTCGCCTGCTACTAGCAGTGGCGTCTGCTCGCTCGAGGACTTGCGCGCAAAGTGCTGGTTCGTCGTCGTGCAGGCCATGGTGAACGGATGGCTCTCCCAGAAGCGCTTGTCGCTGAGGACATGAAGGTAATAGTAAGTGCCCGGCTTGGGCTCATAGAGGCTGGTGGAGTAGGGGACGCTGAGGCGGATGATGTTGGAGTTTGCGTCGTAGGTTGCGAGGGCAAAGGTGTTCCAAAATTTGAGGTTGAAGGCCAGAGTGCGGGACATGCGGAGGACGCGGTCGGCAATCCAGATGAAGAAGGGAATCCAGAAGAGCATGTCGAATTGGCCTTTGAAGATGGAGACATGGCTGTGGTTGTTAGTGTGAGCTGGAAGGACGGCGGGGAGAACACGTACCCAAGCATGGTGATGAGGGTGAGGATGGAAAGGAGGATGTGGAGGATGAGGAAGAGTTCGTATTGTTTGCGGCGCATCCAGAAGACGGAGGCGACGAGGAGGAAGACCATGCCAAAGGTTGCCTGTGAGGATCAGCATACACTCTGGGAATGTCCATTGCGAAATACTCACAAACCAGCCGGCCCACCAGAACATTTGCGTCCACCACCACAAGAAATACGTCCAGCCGCCGTCTCGAGGTTAGTTAGAAGGTAGAATTTTCTTGGGGTCCTGCAGCGCTTACCATCCAAGACGAGTACTATGTAGCCGACGGTGTGAATGACGGCCTGGAGTGTCGCGACACGCGCAACCCAGCGGTGGAAGTTGTTGTAGGTGCCAAAGTCCCAGCCCGTCACCCACATCAGGAGGTTGTTCCGCATGCCAAACAGCCAGATGATAGGGAAGTTGGCAAAGGAGATGATGCCGGTGCGGTCCGACACGTAACGCCATGTCTGCTTGTAGATCGCGGGCCAACTACATACAAATCAGCACCTGGGCATAGTCCCAGATTAGTTGTTGGACTTACTACATGTGGCCGGGAAGGATATAGTAGCCATAGACGCAGTACCATGTGTTGACTGCGATAAACGCTAGGATGGTTAGACTCTGGATGCGGGGCGGTATCGTGCACCAGCCCAGGTTCTGCGAGCAGCGATATCCAAACGTCGCGGGAACAGTGATGTATCGCTTGAGCCAGAGTGCTGCCCAGTGAAAGACGTTGGGCCTCTTTTGGGAGTCCCATTCCTGGCGCTGGAGGCTGGCGATGGCTGACAATAGACGGGCAGCCAGTCCAATAGCGCAGACGATGAACCAGAATACAATGACATAGAAGCTGTGCCGAGTCAGTGATAACATCCCACTACGGGATGACTCCGTGGCTTACCCGTAAGCGTAGTGGCGGCTGTAAGTATACTCGACAGAATCCTGCAAAGCCATCAACAAACTGTCGCCGAGGTCTCGGAGTTACAGATGGCAAGTACCAGCGAATCAAACCAAAGCTTCCAAAACTCCTCGGTCGGTAGGACGACCTCATTCAACACAGTGGTGTCGACAGCTTCCTCCTGCGGCAATCTCCTCAGGCCCGCAATGTCCTCTTCCGAGTACCCGGAGATAATCTCAAAAGGCGGCAGCGAAGTGTTCATGAACTTCTGGCACGTCTCGTTCACGGCATGGAAGCCGTCAACCCGTAGAGTCGAGTCGCAGTGGAGGCCGACGCAGAGGTACATGGATTTGATATGCAACATGCTCTGGCACGTAGGAACGAGCTTTGATTTTGCCGGCGCCGTGTCGTTGAAGTGAGGCGCCCGCAAAGCGTTCTGGCAAGCATCAAAGCAGAGACCACCGGCGGTCGGGGCGGCGTGAACGGAGGTGGCCAAGAGGCATGTTGTTGCGGCGGCGGCGATGAGTGCCAGCGCCGGGGACGGCGGTGACGACCATGGGGCGCGCATCACGGTCGGGATATTTGCATTTGAGATATTTGAAACAGAAGCCTCTCTGCAAAACTGGAGACGATTCTCTTTCTTTTTTGGTGATGTTGCAGGGAGAGTGGGAAGAGGGGAAGGAAATTGAAGGTTTTCGGAAGACCGAGGATTGAGGGAAATGTTGCTGCAGATCAGCAGGACGGGCAGCGACAAACCGTAGCCTAAGCTAAAAGTGACTAAACCTTGACTGGTGCTAAGGGCAAAGTAGGTACAGTAGGAGCAGTACGTAGGTAGGTGCGGTTCAGGGTGGGAAGGGAAAAAAAAGGATTGGGGGAGAGCCAAAATTGCAATCTTATCAGATGATCTGATTACGATCCACTGCGCTTAGGTTATCGCGATAATCCACCGGCATCGGCTCAGCTTGTGACCGCCCCGCTATGCCGCCCATATGTGCCTACTACGGCTGTACGGGTACCGTTGTGCAGGGCAGATTAGCCAGCTGTGCGTTGTTAGTGGGCGGGGGTTTTGCCTTAAAGGTGCGTTTTTACCCACCTGATGATGCCCATGCTGCGATATGTCTCACTCATTAAATCCGACTGTCACGCATACGTTGCCCGCATTTGATCTTTTTTTGCTCCCGGGATAATCGACGAATTCCTGAGAGCTGATCAGCATACAAAAAATACACACATTTTTGAATATTGCATTCCGTTTTTGCTTCCTATTTCCAACCACTGTCAACACCGCCCCGCAGTGCATCTTCGCTCCGCCGCGGCCCCGTCTAAAGGAGTTGAACTCCGTCTTTTCAAATCAATGAATCCTTCAAATACGATCAAAATCGAGCCTCTATTGGAAGCCAAGCCCCTCCCACCACATTTCGGGAATAGCAGCCCAGTTAACGGCCCACATGCCGCCACCTCAGAAGACCCCAATACGCTCCAAGGTCCTTCCCTCCGCTCTCACTGACACATCATCGTCCCAGTCATCCGGAACCGCTTCGCTTTCCCGGTTCGTCTCATTCTGCACGTCAAGCACGGAATCGTCTCAGTTTTCATGTCAAATTTCATGTGCGATTTCAACCTCAGTACCGTAACTCACAGCCCAAATGGCCAAGTCTCATCATACTCCAGCGCCGCCGTCGGCTGTATCTTCTCAAAAGCCCTAACCGCCTGTGTCTCGTCAAACCATACGAACCCGTCAAACTGCTTCGGCAACACGGCTGTTGAATAGTGACTTTGACGCTCCGTGTCGGGCCGGTAAATCACCCCTATAAACCTCTCTAACCTCTTCTTCATCAGCTCCTCATACACCTGCGCATCACTCTTACCCTTTCTCAAATCCAAGAGGAACTGCGTCTTCCCAGACTCATGCATGACTTCTTCATAGCTCCCCTTCAATCCTGGCCGGACTTTCTTGATTCTCATGTCCCCATCCCAATAATCTGCCGCTGCGACAGTCCCTGTGTTTGTCCCACAACCGATACTCTGCGCCCGATCGCCAAATGTCTCTTTGCATAGCTGTCCGATGTTTAGCTCCTCATCGGACCATCCCATACTCGTCGCTCTCGCGTCGCCAATGTGACTATTATGAGCCCACACAATCGCTTTCGCCCCGTCACCGCGATGCTTGAGGACGCGAACCAGCGTCTCAAACATGTGCGTATCCCGTAGATTCCACGACTCGTCGCGGGCGTGATACATTGCCTTGTAGTAATTCTCCGCATCTGAACCATCGTCAGTCTCATCTCATAACACAAAATAAGTCAACATAGACATACCCTTGACAAGGCGCGCATTTTGCTCACCGCCGTGAAACTCCTCACCATCAAGCAAATGTTGCGAATACTCCAACCTGCGCTTCAACAAATCCCTCAACATCTCAACCACATCCTTCTCATACCCCCTCAAACTCCCAGACAACGCCTCAAGGCCGTACTCGTGAGGCTGCTCCGCCCACGCCATCAACCTCCCGTACCTCTTCCTCGCCACCTTCGCCATCTTGGAATCGACACGATCGAGATAATCAACAACGGCGTTCATCGACGTCCCAAGCGAATACAAATCCAGCCCGTAAAACCCAACCGCCTCCTTCGGGTTCGTCCCCTTGTTGAAAGCCCTCAGCCACTCCGTGAATTCACGCACCTCCTCGTTCCGCCACATCCAGGTCGGAAACCGAACAAACGCCGGCTCGCGGCCCTCCTTCTCCGCCATGCCCCCCGCTTCAACGCTCGCCGTCGGCCCCGACCCGCCTCGTCTCCGCACGTACCGGTCCACCGCCTCCGCATCCGGCCAGTCCGCTTCGCAGGCCACGATGTTGAAGCCGTGGTGCTCTATCATGTATTTTGTGATTTCTGCGCGGGCGTGGTAGAACTCGGATGTGCCGTGGGAGGCGTCGCCTATGAGTAGGACTTTGCAGTCGGCGAAGTCGGCGAATTTGGAGCCGAAGCTGGGGTCGTCGATGGAGGGGAGGTCGACGGCGTTGACGCGGATGAGTTTCGCTGCCTTTTCGAGGCTGGGGTTGCTGTAATTCTGGGTGAGGTCCATGGTTGCTGTCCCTTTTCCAAGTGATCTTTGAAAAGTACTTGAATATGGACGGTGTTGGTGTATGAGTCGGCAATGCTGAGATAAGTGTGCGAGTCGAGATCTCATTGACATAAGCTTCAAGTTGCTGCAAGGAAAGGAAATAATTTGCTTATCAGAGCAGAAAAATAACCATCGTTTTGATTGAGAACGAAAGATGTAAATGCAGTCGCACCTACTGTTGGGTTTATTGATAATCGCCCCATTGACGTAGACATGATTCACGCCACATCATGAGACCGTCACATGTATCTCTTCGGCGAAATCAAAGTCTAGAATACCTAACAAATTGGCTATTCACAGACAAATATTAAAAATGAACTTATTTGCATCGCTCGGTATCCAAACTATGATGTACCGCGCGATTAGTCATTTAAAGTTTTGCGTCCGGGATTTACCTACCCATGGCTTGGGACGTCACGTACATAAACTATAAATTAACAACCTCTCAAGTTGTAATTGTAATTGAACCATTCATGGAAAATCCAAGGCGCTCAGAAAAGATGGACTGTGAAGATACTGTTATCGTCACAAAAGTCTACCTGTGACCAATGCATCCATGACATTAGTTAATGCAGACATGCTAGAGAGAAATGTCGAAACCAAGTTAGGTAATTTGTAAGTTTTATCGTATTTACGATATCATCCTATAAATCAAACACACTCGTAGACCTAGCCCAAATATTCCAGTTTCCCACAGATAGACATACACAATGTGGTAGATCTTTTTAGCCTTCTAAGTTCTTCCGACAAAGTGAATTTTTGCGAGCAACGCTTCAAGATCCAAAAATCAGTTTGAACCCTTCCCAACCATCCCCTCACCTCCAACATTTTGTTATTTTATTTTTTATTTTTTAGATGCTCCCATCTTTTCCCAGGACTTTTGCCAGTTATCAAGATACTGAGTCGTCTGGTTGGCTCTCTGAAATGGGGATGCGAATTGATTGGTAGCGCCGCGCTGCGTAAGAGTCTCACTCAGAGTTGGGGGACTAGCAAGATAGTCGTTCAGCGTAATTGAAGGTCCGTGGCTCTTAGCCCTGTCTCTGTCGATTAGACAAACCAGCTGCACGATTTTTCAATTCAACTCACTTGCAGCCATTGGTGCCAATTGCAGATGATTGAGATCTCGCTGACATTGTATATGATACTATCCTTAACGGTGCTCGCGTGGGAAAGTTTTGTTCAAATCAAGATATTGCTTCAATTCGAATTGTGATGCTCTCTATTCGCTCCATCCTCCATCGCCCGACTTCCCTCTTTTTAATCTTCTCGCAGCCATATTGTTCAATCTGCCTTGAGCACCATTGCCCGTGTTCTTTGCATGGCACAACCGGTTATACCGCAGCTTCATCAACATCACAGAAAACCTCACAGCACCTCGACCCCTGCAAATAGCAAAGCACGAAAATTCCCAGCACGATAGACAGCACCGATGTGCTTTGTACCGTGATTGGTAGGCCTGCCGATCGCATAGCAGGGGTCGATGTGGGCGAATGGGATGCCAAAGCACCGCGGTGCTCAGCAGCACAGCCTGATTTGGCGTTGGCGTGGGTTGCCTTACCTTCACCCTCATTCTCATCTGCGAAGAGCAGAACCTCTCACCTACACACAACTTTGAAGACATCCGTTACCGACTTCAGTTATCCTTTCAATCATCTTTGGGCTTGTATTTTGTTTCTCGTTGTTTTGCCCAGCGTACTGGCAAACAGGGCTCTTCGCGATGAAGCCTCAACGGCATGGGGAGGCTCTTTCGCGAACAGCAACGTCTTCCGAGCCGGCCATGGAACAACTCAGTTTTGAGGGGCCACTTCAATCTCGCATCGTGTCGAAAAGGGAGTTTGCCTGCCCGTTCTGGAAGATGAACAGAATAACCCACGGGAATTGCACCCAGCTCGCCCTGCCTAACCTGGACGACTTGGGGCAGCACCTGAAGAAGCAACACAGCCCTTTGCACTACTGCAGTAACTGTACCAAATTTTTCGAAACCGAGAGGGAACTTAACGCCCATTTCGATGCAGTCGACATCTGTGGCTGGAGCGGTGCTCGATCGAATTCGGCGGGAACATCTTACGAACGACATTGCCAACTTGCTGCCGAGATTGGAGATACTGGCAAGGTATTTTCTGACGCGGATCGATGGTATCGTATATGGGATGCCTTGTTTCCTGGATTTCAACCCCCACTGTCACCGTACTTTGACATCATCGATAAGGCAGTAGTTGCCGGACCAAGCGCTTCGGCGACTCCTAAGCCGGATGACCCCCACAAAAAGACGACGCTGAAGCCCCTTCTCACCATCGGGGACGGACTCCAACTCGGCGGTAATGAATACCTCCCGATGGAAATCGACAGGTTTGGAGAGAACAAGGTGTTGCCGAATGGCCAACTCTTGGGCGGACGTGAATACAGTTGCCGGACATTCCTGGTCCACAGCCGCGGCGATACGCTTTTCATGTTAGGGACCGAGTGTGCGAGAAAATTGGGCTACCGTGACTCGTACCTATTATTCGACAAGAACAAGTCACTCTACAGGATTTATGCCAACCAGCCTGAGAAAGACGATCTTGTTTCCCAAGAGATAATACCGTTTTCTTACCGCTCTCGGCAGATTGCCATTGTAACGGCACGATCCATGTTTCGTCAGTTTGGTAGTCGAATCATTGCTGGAGGCCGAAGAGTCCGGGACGACTATTGGGAGACGAAGGCGCGTAAACAAGGGTTTACAGAAGCCGACCTCGCTGGCGAAAAGCGTCCTGGAGCTGCGAAGGCAAGGGAAGCCGCAACTGAAGCACAACGTCATGTCATTTTGAAAAGCCCTCACGGAGAGGTCGTCTACAGCAAAAATGCCAGCCAGTTCCCTCAGCCTCAGATCGTCCAACCAGGCGTGCTTGGAGCGCCAACCGGGACCAAGATCAGAATGCCCGTGATTACACTAGCATCAGAGCTTAGTGATAACCGCCCTCGTGATAATAGTGAAGTCTTCAAAGGCGGTCCTCGCTCGGACCAGACGCGCCGCATTAAGCTTAGAAAAGTTGGTGAGTCGCTATCGACAGACATCAGTCCAGGCACTGCAAACCAAACAGAAGTGACCCAACCAAAACTCAGGTAAATGTGTACATCGAACATTTCATGACAGATGCTTACGCACTGCAGAACAATTCAGAGCATGTCAAGGTTGCGTGTTGAGAATATAAGTCATGGGACGACGGCAGAGGACCTGAAGGTACGTACAGGTGGCTAGGATAAGACAATGACAATCTACAGGGCTAAATAGTGACATAGGAGTTATTCAGCAGGGTTGGTTCTGTCCAGCAGGTTAAACTGAACAACAACGCTGGTCAGTCTGAGGGCATTGCCTTCGTCACAATGCTTTTCCAAAGAGACGCTCAAGCGGCAATCAAAGAGTTTCATGGTGTTACCTACAATGGTAAGTCACTAATCATCTTTCTGTAGCAACTTCACTCACTAGATGGTCCAGGTCAACCTCTTAGGGTGTCGCTCGCACCGCTAATATCAGCAAGCATCGGAACCGCTCCCGAAAGACAGCATTCAGTAGTTACAGGGAGCCTGCAAGGCGGCAGATACAAAAGAAAGCAAACAGAGATCCCGGAAAATGCTACCTTCGCCTGTCCCTACTTTAAGAGATGGCCAGTCAAGCACCAGTCTTGTATGCATCAGTCTCAAAAGGCAACAAGATATGTAAAGACTCATCTTTTAAGAAAGCATCTACAACCATCACATTGTCCCACATGTTATAAGACATTTAGGACTGGTGCTGACGCAATCAATCACATCATTGCAAGGCGTTGTCTCATGTCATCTGGGCCCTCTCCGTACAAGGATCTCATCTCAGACGACACGAAACTTGCCCTCAATAACCTTTCACTCCGTGGTGTTGACGAAGTTGAGAAATGGTATCGAATGTGGGACGTTTTGTTCCCTGGTGTACCAAGACCAGGTTCGCCATTCGTAGTCGGCGATGAGCATGTGCAGGATGCTAATGGTGAAAAACCAACCCAAAACGAGTACGTTTTTAGTCACACTCAGACCCCTGCACCGCCTAACCGTTATATGCTAAGAGGTCATCACCATAGTCTCCCAAACGTAGCTCAGGCCCAGCAGATGCTCATCACTAACGGCATTAACCCGGCAGCATTGACACAACAACAATTCACACTTTTCGCAAGTCAACCCCCTCATATCCAAGCAAAGTCAATCGCTACATATGCTGCAAATCTTCAACAGCACATGGCTGGCCAGGCGTCTAACAGACCAATGCCTAACCCGTCTGTCCCTAAGAATCAGGGACTCCCAATGATGGCGCAAGGACAAGACCAGGCTGGGTCGACATCATACTATAACGCTGGAGAAATACCAATATTGCAGTCAAATGATGCCCAAACAGCATTATTCACTGATTCTGGATACGCATCGTTACCAAAGCCCGAAAGGCGCCCAAAAACCAGTTCTCAAACAGGGGGGAAATGGAGTGATCCTCTCCAGAATAATTCAATTGTCGAAGAAGACGATACAATGACTTCATATTCAGCAGCAAGCACGGTTGCTCAAGTACGCTCTCAGCAGTATATTCAGGACCTGTCACAAGGCATCTTCAGAAAACTGGGAGGATTTCTCGATCCAGAGAACGGGCTGCATATTATCAAAGCACTTCCAGAGGTTGTGAAGGCCTTTGCAATTCGGATTGGACTGGAGGCGGACACACCAGAGAACAAAGATATCATGTTTTTTGTTCATATGCATCGACAGTAGGTCGACACCGAGCTTTAAAAAACGCGGTTCTCTTTGCAGTATAGCTGACTTTAAGTTTAGGCAAATTGCTAACCAACTCGAGTCAATCTTCTCGGAAACGTTTGAGAAGACAGATATTCCTAAAAATGAAAAATGTGCCCAGAAAGGAATGTCTATTCTTGAGAAAATGAGTATATGGAACAGCAAAGTAGAAGAGGATCATTCTCCAGCTGAAGAGGACCTTTTCGAAGGGGTGGAAGACGAGGGCGACACTCAGGTCTACCCAATAGAGCTTGGAAACTACGATAAAATTGTCTTCCAAAGCAATGCTTTCGATTGGCTCATGTCTGATTTACGGAAGTCCTCACTTTTAGAAGGAGGCGACTCGGACGACTTTAACGCGATTGCAACCAATCGAAACTGTGTGCTTCAAAGCCTACCAACGGGCAAAATAAGCAGAAATCGAGCGCCCCAAACATATTCAGCCATATTCAGGCTTACCGAATGGCCTGAAGCTGACCTAAAGCGAGCTGCATTCGACGCCAATGTCGTTACCTGCTCGTCTGGTGAAGCTCAAGTAACCTCGATCAGGAACTACATGGAGCAAACCTGGGCTTCAACAGGGCCGCATATTTTGAAACTGTTTGAAGCTATTATCGAAAACAATCAGAACTTTCAATCCGGATTACAATATACAGATTTTCGTCTAAAATCCCCCTCAATTCAAATAGCCGTACTACCAGACAATACAGTGGTCACGGCGGCCCCCGGCAATTCGGACAAGAGTCTGGCTTTGACTATTACAGGGCCAGCATGTACCATCGCCGAGTGTGGGGAACAACTTGCTTGGCTTCAATCTGCAGTTGGCTGTCTGCTTCAAGACATAGGCAAGAGCTACACGCCGTCGATTGAGCGCGTGGCATCTCCACGAGCCTCAACAATGCCAATATCGTTTGACGTGTTAGCCCATGAATTTCAAACCGAATCAGTCGATAGCAGCCGGTGGAAGAACATGTTAGCAAAGAGATTTGTTCTCATTCACGGTTATCCTATCCTTAGACGACCATGCGGGTTTCCTGGGCTGCAGGCTCCTCTAAGCGTCCTTAAGGAGTTGTCAGGAGCAAGCTCAAGTACAATCCAAGGGGGCCAGGTTCTGATCCAAGGGCCCTACAAGACCCTGAAACTGTTCAAAAACAAGGATGAGTTTTACTTTTGGCTTGATGTTTCTGTCACCGACAGACTCTGTAAGTGCCTTGGCGAAAACGCTTCACAGCCTGTCGACATCTCAGGATTCGAACGCACGGCGGCACGTCACATCGTATGGACTTGTGACTGCAGGGAAGAATGTATTCGGGGTAAGTCGTATTTGTTAAGCTGCTGCATATTGCTCGTGTCCTGATATACCTCTAGACAGTGTCTGTGCCGAAAACACTCGTTCATGCAACGAGGCATCATTTCGAAGTACGGCGTCTCGCAGCACAGAACACTCAAGTTCTTCTTTAGATTCCGACCTACTCTCGATGTCCGATTCTTCAGAGTCTCTGGACGAGAGCGACCCAACGCATCAGATTGCGAGCCTTGTGGTATCCGACCTAGTTGCTAATTTCCGGTCCGCGGCTGGTGGGAGTTCCTCCGGTAATAATGGCTACGCGCCAATAGCTCCATCACTATCTTGTAGAATCACCACCGCCCCAACGCCAAATCGACTCTCGAAGGGGAAAAAACGGGCTCGAGATGATGATGAAGGCGAAAACGACGGCCCACCTCAACAACCGCCCTCCAAAGTCATGAAACTAGTTCCGCATAAATACTTCGCTTGCCCTTTCTGGAAGTTGAGGCCAAGCAGGCATTCTCAGTGCATCAAGCTGAAAATGTCACGAATCAGAGATGTCAAACAACACCTAAAGAGAAAGCACACGCCCGATCATTACTGTGGACGCTGCCTACTGATTTTTGACGATGACTCCATTCTTCGCCAGCACATGTCACAGCCAGCAGGGTTTGTTTGCCAAGCCGCGTCGCCAGGCACAAAGCTGGATGGAATTTCACCCGGTGAAAGCAAAAAGCTTTCTGGAAAATCCAAACATGAGCATACCTTGGAGCAGCAGTGGTTTGCAATTTGGGCCGTTATTTTTCCCGAACACATACCACCTAACTCTGTTTACATGGAAGCCAGACTTATTCAGCATGTCTCTGAAGTTCGACAGCATTTCCAGCAACTTGGAGCATCTTTGCTTGTAGAGAGGCTTCGAACAGCAGACCTATGGGGACAGCCTGAGATAACGACATCGAGACGAGAACAACTGCTTCAGATGATTGTATCGAGGGCGTTGGACGATATTTGTGACCAACTGAGCCCAGACTCTTCCTCCGATTCTGGAATAGCGAGTTCAGGATCGGGTCGGCAAACGGGAAGCTACCCCTCTGCACTCAATGGAACACCTGCGTCTTTTACCGATAGCGGCGTTGGATCTGGAAGCCATGGCATTAACCCTCGTTCTTTTGCTATTCCATCTACTGCGTCAGAAAGTGTTTCATACACAGCATACTCAACCGGACAGACGCTTGAGGAGCCATGGCGAAATGCCACAAATACGGGAGGACAAATCAGGCATGAAACCCAACCCAACACTGCGGAATATCTATTACCAAGCCAGCAGGGGCCCTTTGGGGGAAATCTTCTTGGTAATGGATATCAGTTGGATAATATTCCGGAAGACAACGGACTTGAAGTGTTTGGATTATCTCCAAATGCGGAAATCCCTGCTTTCGACCTACCAACAACAGGATACCAGCCGGACACTACTGATTATAATGGTGGGTATAACTTGTAAAGTAATCAGCGATGCCCAGGTAAATTGGGCATGTTTTATGGCGCTGTCAAAATCGAATATAGTGTATCTTAAACGGCGGTCTGTTTCAGTGTTGTTTTCTGCATTGGGTCTAGGCGTCAAAAAGATATAACTGATTTCACGAGCTGTGTGACGTTGAAGATGGGATCTTTCGCTTCTTTCGAATGCTGACTGTTTGGTCGGCCTCAATGAGTCTCACAAGTACACATTACGTCAAAACAGATCTGGCCCAGCACCATTTGTTACTATATAATATCATAGTGAAGGTTCATAACGGTCATATATCTACATCCTCCGTATGCACATTATTCGCTGAAGAGCTCAACACTGAAGGTCGAAGTCATATTAAACTTCTTAACCGTATTAATCATTAATGACTCATTTCAACTGATACCAATGACTTCGACGACTCAGAAATTTATTCATCGGGCATGAACATACAATGCCGGTGCAGCTGGGCTGTTGTCGTAGTATGCCTTGGCAATTCGCTCTCTATCTTGCGACTGAGAAGTTTCTCGGTCTTGAGCAGTTCTCGGAGTTAGAATAATATCCTAAAGTTGCGAATATTGTAACAAAATTCTAACTAACCTCTTTTAGTTTTGTTCCTGCTAAGCTCTCGTGCCCTTTGACCCATGGCATGGTCATGCAGGTGTCTCTTTGCGCCGGCCAGCGGATCAGAGAGGTGAGTGTCGAGCATGAAGAAACCTTTATGGGTACTTGAAGCTCATTGTTAGATCAGATTGCTTTAATTGAGTGGAATTCATATAATTACTTGCCACAATCAGATATCCTTTCTGAGGACTCGAGTCCGGGAAAAACTGCAGTAGGTGTTTCGTGCAAATTGCGCCGAAAACGGTTTCATTATCTTCCTGAAATCGACGCCCTGTGAGTGTTAATAACGTTACCAGACATAGTTTGGCTTGCGCTCTTAGAGGTCTGTAGTTCATTTATCATGTTGGCGTTTTCGTGATTAATGGTGCTTTTTGTGAGCCCAATCCTATGCGGCCCCAATGAACTAACAAGAGCACCATATCAATGTGCAGACATCATTACCAAGAGATAAATCAGAAAAAGCAGAAAGCACTAGTGCTATCAATTTTGCAATTGGTATTATTACTTCAGCACCTGGGTATTATGAATCGTATACTGGGTGCTATTCTTTCAGCACCTAGTGCTATTTCTTGTGATTGGTGAGCTGAAGTGTGTTGTATGAGGGAGTGACCTGGGCGAATGAGGTGCGAAAGCACAGCCGTGCCTTCAGTTCAACCTTTCGTGATGACTGAACTGAAAACAAGCCACAACAGTGTTTGAATCTGAACATTGCAGAATAGATTGTGATCTTTGGCTGAAAACATATTGCATCAAACAGCAACAGAATCTTGGGCAGATCTTGCTTCATCGTTCTAGCGGCATTGCCACTGTTGACGTCAACTCACGAGGCCACGGCACCAAACCCGTTCTCAATGTAATCCACCTCCACGCGAAGTAGTTATGCTGAATAGACGTTTCATACTCCAACTGATTCAGCATGAGCAACCAGCAGTACTGGCCAAACGAGGTTGACTTGAAATTTGCATAACATTAACAGATGGATTCTGAAAACCATCAATGCCCCTAAGCTCAAGATATGACTTTATACAACGAAGAATAACTCCAGCACCATTCGCTATGCCGTCCTACTATCAACGCCCCGACTTCTAGCTCTCCTCAACCGCCAGTCTTCTTCCTCGTCTTCTAACAACCTCTGTCCAGGCAGCCTCACAGCCCGGTCAAGCGCCACAGGCAACCCCCGATGCCGCCCCCTCAGCATGACGAGACATAGTACAAGCTTACTTCCCGTATTCCACCCCCCTGAGAAACTCATCGCATCGTTGGGTAGGCCCACTGATATACCTACACACCCATAGGCAGAAACCACCTCAAACACGACGTTGAAGACAGAGAAGTGCACAGGGTCCCCAAGAAAATGCGATGTCTCGATCGTGACAATTGCGAGCACGGCAAGCGTAAGCCACCATAGATCATGCGCCAACTGGCCACGAATCTGCTGGCTCACAAAACTGGTTCGAGACTCGTGTCCTTTGGGTCCGACAGGTTTGACGGCGCCGACGCCAGCGAAGCTAAGGTTTTCTCGGAGGAAGTCGGCGATGATACCCCCTCCAGTAAAGTGTTGCTTCTCGAACACTTGGGTGCGATCGGTGGATTCCTCGTCGGCGTAGATTCCAAGGGACCGTTCTTCGTAGACATTGGAGTGGCGCATGGTTATGACCACTGGATATACCGAGATGTACATCATGATGACATACAGAACCTGCAAACCAGGGTATGCGGAGGAAATGGGGATTAGGTAGAAGCCACCAGATCGGACAGCTAAAGGTGTCAGTCAAGCCATGGCCAAGGGGTGCATTGGAAACTTACCTAGTGCCTGGAAGAGTCCGTCCAGGATTCGTGCACCAACTGGAATAGCCTCAATAACAGGGTTTCCGATATTCAGCACCTCAAACGCCATCCAGTCAACTCCATTCGTAAACACCACCATGAAGAAAAGCCACCACGTCGGCCGGGACGGAAACAGATTCGTGTATACCCTTCTCGGGTACTTTAAAATGAATTCCAGAGTGCTCTTCAACTCCCTAAACACTCCCTCTGAGGTAGTTGCCTTGAGAATCTTCAACGCCGACCAGAATATCAGTCTCAGAAACAACGGGTACGCCGTATTTCCAGCCAAAATCAGCAGACCCATCGTGATGAGCACGAAGTACGCCTGCTGGAACGGCACCATGTTGGCATCGAGCAGCGACATGCCCGAATTGTTGAACGCTGAGACGGCGAAGAAGATGCCAGCCCACCAAGGATTCGCGCCGTTGGACGTCGCCACCGCCGGCATGTTATTCGCTATCCATGCACCAAGAGCCAAGCTGCCGAGCAGTTGCCAGAGGACCGAGTAGAGGGGGACAACGACGGACAGCAGGCGGAGCGCGCGGTACTCGTGGCCCCCTAGCCGAGAGCGTTCTGAAGCTGTGAGGGAGTGGAATTGCGAGTTGCGGCCTTCTTTTGTGGCGCTCAAGAGGGTCAGCCAGGGGCGGGAAGGCTTGGACTTGCTCGAGGCAGAGTTCGTAGAACGGCGAGTGATGCTATCGGCGTCGAAAGTGATGTGGTTGTCGACCGCTCGGACTCGAGCTGTTGTGCCTTCGCTCACAACTCCCGTGCCAGTCACCCCCGCCGCCTTCCCTCTAGAGCCATGTGAGGTTGGCAAACATCCTTCCCGTTGGTCTCTCTCCCGTTCAGCTTGCACGATTTCCCGAAACTGCTTCTCAAAGACGTGTTTCCTTGCATGGACAGTCCAGATTGAGACCCAGATTGTGCTTCCTATGATGATGAGAAGCCACAGCATCACCTGCTGCCATATGGTCATTTGGCTGAGGTTAACAGTATTGAGGCCGGCCTCGGTCATGGCTGAGACAACGAGGAAGAGAGAATCGACATAGCTGATGCTGCCGTGGGGATGTGACGACGCGTAGAATACGGCGGAGGCGAGAAGAGTCGTTCCGACAAAGTATGCATAATGAAGCGTGATGAAATTGAGAGGCGGGAAAAACGAACGAAAGGAAGTCGCCGGCGTGTCCTGAATCACAGGCGTGTCGAAATCTCCCTCGGTGACAGTGTCATTGTTGCCATCGTGGTGTTGGCGGGCGGTCGTCATGGTGGTATCGACCCTTGTCTAACTTTTGCCCAGCCGGCAGCAATTTAGAGTCCCCGTCGCCAAGCGCAGCTAGAGATCTCAATGCAGGGAAGCCAGCTCTGCAGAATTGGAAGATATGTAACTGCTCTGCAGTTCCTCGTCCCGGGCGACAAGACGTTGAACCACAACACGAATTGATCGCCAAGTACATACAACCCGGATTTAAGTTTCGTATACCCTTTGTTTTTTTTTTTTCCCTTTCTTTCACTTCACAAATTGTCGGTGAAAGCCGTCAGGGGAGGGGTCCGCACTAAGCCCCGGCGAGTCATTTGTCTAAGCAAATCAGAGCCTCTGCCTTTGCGGTCAGAGGAGACGCCGGCTGTTGTTAGTTCGGGGGCTTTCATCTCGCTTGGCGCGGCCCCGCCTAAGCTTAATCTCACCGAGGTCACCGAAAGCATACCGATTATAATTCTTATTTTGTTTATTTCAACTGATATAGTGGGAAGTGTGTATTAACATGCTGTAGCAACTACCTTGCCAAGTAAGTTAGTTCGATGGTCAGAATGCCACATGTCGATGAAACTTAATCAACCCCTCGCTCTTGAAGCTCTTATGAAACAGGTCAACCCCCTGTCTTTAAAGCCTATCAAAACAGTTCACATTCACATCACTTTCAGCATAGGAGACTCATTCACAAGCAAACCAATTGATTCAAACACCCTACTAGGAACACCCAGCTACCAAGTCAAAAAAACACCCAAAACCCAGCCGTGAAAACCAAGCTCCCGAGTCCTTTTTCGCTAGATAAGATTCAACAACATGCCATGCTCCTTGTGTCGTAAACACGATGGAATTATAGAGACAAAAAAGAGAAGACAATATAATTTAACCGGACCCTAACAGGTCCCCCCCAACACATCATAATCCAAATTCATACACGCCACCCTGCTTAGAAGCCGAGGAGGCCGTTCCAGGTGTCGGCGACGGCGGCGCTGCGGTCACCGGAGGCCTGGATCTGGGCCTGGGCGTCCTTGCAGAGGGTCTTGGCGGCGTCGTTGGCGTTGCAGACGTTGGTGAGCTGGTCGCAGATTCGGTTGGTGATGATGTTGGGGTTCAGAGCCTCCTGCTGGCCCTGGGCGACAAGGGGGTCGGTGGGCAGGAAGGTACCCTCGGTGGCCTTGCGTCCGTTGCGGCCGAGGACGAAGTCCATGGTGGGAGTGCACTGGCCGAAGTCGGCGGCTCCGGTAGCACCACCGGCAGCGCCGCCGTTGTTTGCGTTGCCGCCGTTGTTGTTGTTGTTGTTTCCGTTGTTGGCGTTGTTGTTGTTGCCAGTGTTGGCATTGTCATTGCCGTTGTTCTGGTTGTTGTTGTTGTTTCCAGTGTTTGCGTTGCCGTTGTTGTTGTTGTTGGCATTATCATTGGCATTACCAGCGTTGCCTGCGTTTCCGCAGTCATCAGCGTTGTCGTTGGCGTTGTCGTTGGCGTTGTCGTTGGCGTTGTCGTTACCAGTGTTGGCATTGTTGTTGCCGGTGTTCTGGTTGTTGTTGTTGCCAGTGTTCGCGTTGCCGTTGTTGGCATTTCCGTTGTTGTTGTTGTTCTGGTTGTTGTTGTTGTTGTTGTTGTTGTTGCCGTTGTTGCCGTTGTTGGCATTGCCAGCGTTACCACCAGCATTGCCGCCAGCGTTACCGCCAGCAGCCTGTCCAGCAACGGTAAAGTTGGAAAAGCCCTGAGCCTTCATGACATCGGCGACAGACAGACCGGTGGCATCAAAGGGGTTCTGCAGAGAAGTAGCCGAGTTGGCGTTCTCGGCGTCGGAGCCAGTGACGGCAGGGTCAACCAGGGGAACAACACCGCGGAGCTCGGCGGTGGCGGGGAGGGAAGCGTCACCGCAGATGCTGGGGATGTTGGTGGCGAAGGGGTTGAAGTTCTGCTCGGCGGCGACCAGGCCACGAGCGGCCTGGATGACTTCCTGGGAGTTGCCGAGCTGGGTGACGATCTTGTCGGCGAGCTCGAGCTTACCGCAAGGGTTGGCGGCACCGAGGAGGACACCGGGGACGCCACCGGCGAGGGTGGCGGCCTCGCCTGGGTTGCCGAGGTTGGAGAGGGCAGAGATGGCGGAGACGGGGACCTGCTCCTGGCCGAAGCGAGCTTCGACGATGGCCAGGAGGGCGGAGATGAGGAGGGCCTTGTTGGAGTAAGACATTTTGATTTTGTTTTTTGGAGGATGGATCGTTTAAAGACAACGGAAAACCGGATGAACCGAACGAATTGGAGGTTTTTAAGAGTTAAGTTAAAGACTGAAAATTACCGGCTAGCGGTTTGTAGTTGGATCAAGACAAGAAAGAGTGTCGAGAACGTTAAAAACAAAAAGTTCACAGAACTGAAAGATTGAAGAGGAGGAGAATAGGATGCTTGCTTGGTTTGCTGGATGAGGAAGGGAAAGAAGAAACGACTGACAGGCGGGAGGGGAGGCATCGTTATATAGATGGTTTTGCGTACGACGTCAAACGAGATTGTTTCTTGTGATTCCAACGGCGCTGGGTAGGGGGCCGGCAGACCAGACGAGACAGAGGAGTTTGCGACAATGACACTCCCATGGCGGAATCCTCCGTGCTTGTGCTTCTCCTCCCCCCTTCTCCATTGACCATCTCATGGATGTGAGATGGGCTTGTCGTTGCTACTCAGCCATGGAGTAAACGCGCTCATCTCATGGGACGACGACATGGGTTGTCAGAGTCTTTTCCATGGTCCACAAATCTAGTGAAAGAGCCCAAGCCCATCAATGGCCCCCCTCTTGACGTCGATCATACCGCAGCATTGGGATGGAAGACATGGTGCGGCGGCATGAACGTCACGGGCTAGCAAGCCAGGCGGCGGCTCAGGTCGTGGCATGGCCATAGTGTCGTCCCAACAGGCCTCACACGCAAAGTTTGTCTCATGTGGCCTGGACTTGAGGATTGGCTCAGGGACCAAGGGGGTTCGGATGGCGTTGGCCGCCGCCCCAATTGTGTGCATATTCTGCAGTGGTCTTGGTGTGTTCGGATTATCCAGCCGAAGGGGGGGTCATGGAATGGCCTGGCACAGGCTGCTTGTGCTTTGCTTCATGATGCGCCTCGCTCAGGCCGGGGTGTGGCCGAGTTCGCTCGAATCTCTTCCCTGGAGGCCCAATCCACAGCTGTGCCGGGGATGCGAGATGACGGAAGAGAGACGAGATGACTTGAGGGTTAGGAAGATGGAAAATCCGAGGTCATGGGAGGGGGGGAAAGGATGTGTAGGCGAGATGGAAACGAAGGAGGCTCGAGAAGGGGTTCACTGTAGTATAGCGACGTGCCAGGTGACCACGAATGGGTTAGTGTCCCCCTAACGGCCCCCCCAGACCGAGCGCACTAGGGTCGTCCCCCCCGCCATGCAAGGTACCCTGCATCTGAGCTTTTTTTCCTTTCTCTTTTTTTTTTTTTTTTCTCTCTTCGGGGCAGATGCCCAGCTTCAGCGGCCTCAAACTCCCCCGGCACGCTTTAAAACGCAACCATCCATCGTGATGAGTTTATCCACAACCAGGCATCAATAAGACGGGGGCCCTCCACTTTGGGAGGGCATGAAGATGAAGACTTGCGGCAATATGTGCGGTGAAAGTGCATGTATCTATTCCCCAGTTTTTAGCAGTAAGCGGGGCCAAACTGAGGGAGGATGCTGTTACTGTTTGGAGACTCCGAGTGTGTCTGGCAGAGGGGAAAAGGGGAGAAAAGTGAAGCCATTGTGGTGCTTCTATGAGTCGAGGCTTATCCTGGAAACATTCATCATGGATCACTAGGGGAAGATACCTTCTGATGAGAAGCAGCTGTGACTCTTCACCAGAATACTTGACATGCAAGATATGACAACGTCAAACTAAAGATCAGCAGTAACATGCGAGTCGTAACAATAAGCTCGTTAGCATCTGCGGGTATGAAGTGGAAAGGAAAAAAAAGAGGCTGAGATGGTCTGCGCCTTAGCGCCCGGTGTCACGCATGTTTGGGTGGGTGAATTAATTAAATTAATCTATCTCAACGCTTGTTCAGTGGGTTTACAGGCGGTAGTTGGTGTCTTCCCCCCCGGGCTGTCACTTTCTCACTTAATCTAATTTCCCTTTGATTCCGCCGCCTCGGGCTGTTTTTCCCCAGATGACCCAACACTTAGTTGATGAAGCTTGTTTTTTATTCCTCCCAGTCTATGTGTGCATTTCCGCGGTGATGTCTATAACGTCCAATGTCATCTGTAAGTTGGGACCAAGGAGAAACATTTGTTTGGATCTGCGAGTTGGAGAACTGTGATTCAATTCCAGTGACTAAACCCGCCTGTCAACTGCTGTAAAAACTCGCCTGTGCTTACCACTGGGAGTGACATCCCCTTGCCGCCGATCCAGATTGACTTTCAGTTATCGGACTGTCAACCGTCCATTGCATCGTTAACAGTTGCTCTATTGCCATGCCCTCTGTTCCTTTTTTACTTTTCGTCTCTCTCACCCCCTCGACCTTGCTTTTGGTCGGTGCTCAGTAACTGTGGCGCTTCGAACAAAAAGGTCTAGGTTCCGAAGCCGGCCCTGCAGTGCAGACTCGAATGGAATACGACACTCTGGGGAAGAGTTCTATGGTCCGGAACAGCTCGCTTCGGGCCTCCCATGTAAAATTCACCCTGCCGCTCTTTTCTTCGCTTACATAGTATTACTCTGGTAGCGCACGGGAAACAGACGTGCCGTGTCCTGGCCTCATTACATCTGGCCTTGCTCAACCCACTCTCACCTTAACCCAAAAGCTACCAGAAAGAGGCTCCCAATGGTTCTGGTCCAGCGCCACAAGTTAAGGTCTCTAACAGATCAGTGCCACCCCTGTAACAAGCTGGCCAGGCCTTTTTCTCTCTCTCCTTCGTAGCGTTGCCTCGAGGTGGTTGAGATCGCATCGATCAAACAGCCTCACAGGGGTTCCTGAGACGACTCCAAAACCGACCGGGTCTCCGACGCCGCAATTCGACCCCCGCTTGTCAGCAACAGCTTTCCTATTTGGGCAATTTAGTCGAACCCCCCCGCCTTTGTTTGACCGCCAGATTCTTCCCGTCCATCTCTTACACAGGGGCTTCTTTGCTGGCCAACTTTTCAACCTCGTATCCCTGGCTTGGTGTTTTTTTTCTCTCTTCTCATTATCCTACTCGCCTTTTTGGTTGGTGAATTCTTACTCAGTGGATGTAAAAGACCTCACGCAAACCGCCAAGCCGCCACACAGAACAGGGCGAAAGGCAATCTTCAGCTCCGTTGCCAAGAAGTCGTGTTTTATCTGTGCTTTGCAACCCGATCTATTCCCACTTCCAGTGTCTTCGCGTCCTTTTTTATTCGTGACCGTAACCAAGTCGGCTCCTGTAGTGCTGGAAGAGGACCAGCCGTCTTGGCGGGCAAAGAATAGCTGCAGAAACTCAACAGAAATAGGCCGTTAGACGGATCACTTCCCAATTCAATCCTGCAAGACCATTCTCCAAGTTTGAACTCCTGAAATGCTGCTCTCCTCACTTCTGCCACTGTCAAGGAGCCAGCAAGTTGCATGGCCTGTACTGAAGTTCAAGAAAGCTTTAGATCCCTAACCCCAAATCCGACCTCGGCATCGAATCCTTATTCAACAATCAGTCATCCGTCTAGACCTTCCCCGAGTCAGAAACCTCATCTTCACGTCCCTTCAACCCGGTGCTCATCGCATGAGAGATTCTCCTCAAGCATTCCCAGCCTTAAAAGCTCGCCGAACTACCGAAGCTGATCCTGCCTTCACACAGCACTGAATCGTCTGAAGTCAGCACGTTATCTCTCCACTCCCCCCTTTTCTCTCTCTCTCTCTCCTGTGCTCTTCTTCTTCTTACTGTCGCCGATCATATGTGCCGTCTGGTCGGGTACGGCCAGCACAGGCCTTTTGTCCACGTTCCCGTCTGAAGCCTCATGCGCTGCGCTGCGCCGTGCCGCGTTTGCCGTCTGCGGCGCATTGCGCGTCCATCCAGTCATATTTCGGCCTGGCGTCCATCCGATCTCTGGTTTGATGGACGTGGAGACTCAAGGTGACCCTGACATTCGCGACAGGGTAGGTGGAATGGGCGATGTCAGGGACTTTTCAGGAGGGCTTTCTGTCTTGTTAAACGTTCAACGGACACATTTCTTTTCGATCTGCGGTGAGGTGTAGTTTTCTCCCCTTTGAACTACATCGAAATGCTCCGTATCTTACTTGCTATTTCACATCACACATCGAGCATTGTGAGTTGAACGGAAAACCTCGATTTCATCGTGTTATGAACTCCCTATATCCAGCTCTCTCCTTATTAATTTGCCGCTCATTTTCTTTTCCAGTTCCTCTTCCCTCTCTTTCCCCTTTCTTTAAGGTATTATCTCAAATGCGTCATCTCGTCTTGCAACTCATGAGTGGCTAGCGCTAACTTCTGACGAAGCAGCGTCAAACTGATGGCTCACAGGCTCATTACAAAAGCTACCCAATGATCATTCCATGGTGCCTGTGAGGCGTGCGCTCGACACTGAAGGTACTGAAGCTTTTTCTGAATCTTACATTGATGCCTATGGAATAGCTAGTGTCTAACTTCTCAGACCAAGTGCCATGTTCCTCCCATTCCAATGCCCGAACCGTCCATGAAAATCCATTTTCCCAAAGAGTACTATTTTGAGTCTCATGCTGAGAAACACCTATCAGGATGAACCATTTCATCTCAGATTTCAATCAGTGTGGTTTCGGTTCCACAACTCAGAGTTAGATCTTATTCCCGTGCCGCCAACATGTTGACTTAAATTGATCCATCTATATGTGGACGCAACGGAACTTGCGAGTCTTCAAATGACGCCCATGGACACGTTGGTGAAATACATATGGTCCGGAGTATCCCTTCGAATGCCATTGCGAAAATCTAGGTCTGTATGAAGTAATGTAGCAGCCAAGCATTGTGAGCGGATATGACGGTTCAAGATCCCGACGAGGTATTGGAGGCAGCAATAAAGATGTCCTTCTTCCTCCCTTACAATCGCACACTATTTGCAGCTGGCAGCTCATCTTCTTGAAAACCTGTTGCGCAAAAAATCTGAAGAATGGGTTTACAATGCCGACAGTCGTCAAAGTGGGGATTTGTTCGAGGTGGTTGAAGAAATCGTCGACCCAATCTTGCTTTGTCCAAAAAGTTTGCGTAGAGATGGTCAGTTTAGTCAGGAGAGGAGAGCGTCGGGCCAGGGTAGACAGCATTAATCGGTTGCCAAGCGTGTAATTTTTGTTTAGGGTGAATCCGATAGAACGTAAGCGAGAGAGGCATTCTGCCCAAAGGGACCGCAGAGCAGGCGCCGCGCGGATGTGGCGTCCATTGCTTGTCTTGTCCAGCTGTGCCAGGCTGAAATAGGCGCTGGTCTCGAAATGAAAGTGGTTTCGGGCAAAGAAGAAGTCGAGCGCTTCATCTCTAATCTGACCGCAGACAAGAAATAGCGCTGGGCGACGACAGTAGCAATCATATCCGATCTTGCAGCAAACGTCGCACGTCCACATTTTGCGTGGAGTGTAAATATCCGAAAGTCTCACCCAGAGATTTTCGTCACAGGGGAGGGTGCCTGTGTACTCGTAGATCATGTCTCGCAGCTCTCGAGGAAGCCGGAGGAGTCCTGGGACATTCGTGGCCGTCGTTATCTCATTGAAGTTGCTGTTCTCGACAGTGCCGGTGGACTTTGAAGCAGTTCCTTTTTTGGAAGAAGCGGCTTGAGCTTGGCGACTGGGTTTTCGAGACTTGTCCCGACGTTTGTAGGGCTTGTTCCTGGCCTCTCGCGTCATCGCGGCTCCCTTGACAGACTTGGGCATCACTGTGGTGGTTCTCGTCTTGTGGTTATGTGTCTGAAGTAGCGTGGTTCAGCGTTGTGGTTTTGCCGTTGCGTTTGTCAGAAATTGAGGGTTGTGGATGAAAAGAGAGATACAGTTGAGCTAAGTTCTAAGAAAACGCCATGGATGAAGAGTAAGGATGGGAGTTGAGGTGATGTAGAAGGTGAGGCTGGGAGTGGTGACGAATTTATGTTCTTGGAATATTGTGGAAAGAGAAATAACAAGCAGCTAGAGGAAGGAACCAAGGCGTGGTTGCCTTGTAGAAATATCACTTTGATTATCAAAGTAAGAAGGAGGGCTTGTGGGGGGAATTGGAAAGTTCGTCTCTTCCCACGCTCCTGCCTTGTGACGTTGGATCTTAACCAAGTAAGACCTTGAAGATAGGCAGAAATGTTCCTTCCTTCTTATGTCTCTTTTCGCATCTCTCAATGACAGAGTTGAAATAATAATGAAGCCACTCCAATACCTCCTGCTTAGCAAAGTATCCCAACAAAGGAGCATCAATATCTAATCAAGCCCTTCCCGTCAGAATTTTGAAAATGCTGTCCCGTAGCCACGATGTCGATGTAATACCACGTGAAAATACAGCTGAACAGAAACCTTGGTGAATTAAGCATTCAACAAGAATTTCAGGTGGACACACATTGCTCTGGATCTCAGTCGAGCCGTGTAACTGATTTCCACCAGACACCCGAGGGGGAACACTGTCAATCAAGCTGCCAACGAATCTGATACATGGGCTAATGGCTGACGGCGTAGCCATGTCTGTAGTTCCGAGAACAAGCTGCAGAGAGATTGAACTGGAACGTTATGAATGCGGCTATGCGATATTCAGGGGCAATTTACCCATCCTCTTGCTTTCTGATTAGTCTGCTGTCGGTTCACCTTGACGAGCTGCGGATCTCTAAGTAAGAGGCTTCGTACTACCCGAGCTGGGTTCTGAGATGATCGCATTTGATGATGGCTGCGGTGGCGTTGGCATGAACGATATTCTCCTCGATATATGTAGCGCTCGATGATTGAATATATTAAGACGGTGTCTCTAAACACTCACATCTTTTTTCGGCTTGCTACTCTGTTTGATGTCTATGTGTGATTTGCAGTTGTAACGCTCAATTCCGTTCTCATCCCTTTGCTGCTCTGTTCTTCTCCCACGTCAGTGGCCGGTGTGCAAGCTGGTAAACTGGTGCCGGAGGTACACAATGCTAGGCTATGTGTGCTCTCTGTATTCTCGACCAAGAGCCTTCTCCTCGAGGCAAAGGCTACAGCTAAGCTTGCGTATTCCTGTATTAAACTGCTCTGGTAGGATAGCAATGTTAGTGGATATACGCATCTTGGCCAACCTGGGGGATCTAAGGAGCCAGTACCTGATGTTGCCGACCTCCAATTCGTTACTTATAAATTGAACGATTATTAAATCTTCAATTAATAAGCCACGTGCTATTTTTTGAAGTTGTGGGAACATGACAAACTAGCATGCGGGAACTATTGCTGACAGTTTCATCAGAGCCTTGGACTTCGAGGAGGCAACCGAACAACGCACGACGACTCAAATCACACTTCGGTCTTTCTGATCAGTTAGTTATGTCATTATACGGTATTCAGCCTTGCGCATAGTACAGTTGAGCCTAGCTAACCAGCTTCAAGATCTCGCCAGGGGTAGATATGATGAATGTAACCGGCTAAATGCCAACCGTACCAATATCCCATCCCCTAATCACCATTTAGGCAATTTGACACACACGGAGAACCAGACTCCGACAAAGCACCCAAAGATTGGCTGTCAACTAGGAAAATGCAAGATTTTCCTCTCACCTTCCCGTAAGCGGAAGTTTTGTGCTTATGATCGTAGGGTTGATCTCCACGAACCGACGCCAGATTGCCGAATGGAACCACAGGCGAGTCTAAGAGAATGAAGTTTTAGTCCCGGTAGGACAGGCCTGTGGGGATTCCAATACCACGGTGAAAAGATGCTAATCTAGCCGCAGGTGACTTTATCTCGACGACATAATAATCTTCCGGTAGGTAGTATTAGATCTGCGCAATAAGCCTACGTAATTGTAGACAGAATCGCAAATTGATTTAGCCTCTTTCATGATTATCATATTTCAATTTTTGATTTAGATCTCAAGACTTTATTTAGAGGAACATAGAAATACAGAGCGAAAACAAAGTCATGTTGAAATTCATTGCCACCGAGATTCTCAATGCGTGGCATAAGGTAGGCGAATCACTACACACAATGTTCCAGCTAGGCAATCGTTGCCTTCAAAATCACATTTATAAGAGCATTGAATACCTCCCATCAAATCGCAGCCATCTAGTTCACAACAGTTGCTCAATCTCTCAGTACCAGGCACAACGAGGCTATCGGCCATTCTTTTCGCCGCGCCGCCCTGCAGCGGCCACTCCGAGGCAGCGCCAAGGAATAGGAGGAGCCAGTGGAGCGACAGAACCGCGTTGTTTGCGAAGCGGTGCCGAGGGAGCCCTCCAGTGACACGCCTGAACGAATGGAGCTGGAGAGTCATCCTGTAAAGCTGAATGGGCACACTGCGATAGGCTACTGGAATGCAAATTTGGCCTCTGGATCCTATTTCTGTTCTCCTGCACCGCCTCAATGGGGACGTGAATTGCCAGTAGCCGATCGGGAAAAGGGCATTACAGGTAGGTAACCAAGGTATGTTTACTACGTCAGGTTGAAAAAATTGGGTGTATTCGCGAAAATAGCTTCTGGAATGTGTGTATAGTCCGATTGACCGAGACAATGTCTTGTTACGCGTTGAGACTCTGATGACGCTGTGATTCGATCAACGGGGTTTTTTTTCTTTCCATTTTTCTTTCCATTTTTATTTTTTAATCTATCCGAAGCTCAGTTTCACTCTCCCTTACTTCGCGGCAAAGCTCACGGGAGAAAAGAGAAATATGCAATCATGATGCATCACAACTATTTCCCAAGCAAGTGGACTTTGTGTGAAACTTCACATGCGATAGTCTGCCGTCATTAGCTGCACAGGGAACAAGCAAGTAAAGCCTCAAATTCAAGAAAAAAAACGTGGTGCCCAACGGCCGCAAGCTCCTCCTGGCCGCTCACTCCGACAGGACCGCCATCTCGCCACGATTACGGGGGGCGGGCTGGGCATTTCTGACGTCGTTGGGTGGGGGGAAGGGAATAGTACTCTGTAAGGTATACTAGTTAAAGGTCCAGGCTTCTGGCGAGTTCTTGTGGTCTGCCCACCCTTTCTCAAAACTCCGCGTGCGCCGAGGCATTGGCAGGCCTGGGTGGCCTTGTTCTTCGTGCGTCTGTACCTGCGTCTGATCAGGCTTGGGCCGTTTATGAAGGATTCTGAGCACATTTGGAGCAAAATGGGGTAAAAGGGGGGGTTCAACCTGGGCAGTAAAACAAATGTCATTGGTGGGGGGAGTATTTATGCATTGTACCTTTACGCAGTACTCCGTATACATTTGGTACTTTTCTGTCCGGCTTATCTGGGTGCCGAGAGGAGTTCGACTCCATCGAAGGCCAAGGATCAGAAGCCCACCGAGACCTTGGAACATATGTATAGTAGTGCTTGGTTTGCTCGCTTCGTGTTCAAAAAAGTGGATGCGAACAATTTACCGCGGATTCCGGGTTTGCAAGACGGGCATCATTGATCATCATCGATTTGTGTGTGTGTGTGTGTGCGGTGGGAACAGAAGGCCCGCCAAGCGAGATGTGAGGAAATGCCATGTCGCGACGCAAAATTGGTTTCCAATTTCATTTGATTCCGGCTTGTGTTTGTGTTAATGCGCCGCCTACTTCTCTCTCTCTATCTCTCTGTCTCTTTCACTACCTTGCCCTAAAATGAAGTAAAAAATCCCAACCTGAGTTTACCCAACACAATGCGTTTAGTGGGAGAGAAATAATAAGAAAAAGAAGAAAAAGAAAAAAAAGAGGAAAAAAGGAGAAAAAAAGGCAAAAAGGTATGCGTATATACAAATCAGTGTTTCATTATTTCCAGTTTCCCCAATTCATTAGTCTAGCTTTCTTTGGATAGATATCAAATGCTCGCTTGTAGTGTGTAGAAAATGGCTACCAATATTCCATGTTTTCCCAATGTACACATTACCAGTTTTGGTCTCTCTCTCTCTTTCTCTGTCTCTCTCGCCCGCCGTTTCTCGCTTTCGCACTCTCCCCAATCACTCAATGTCTATTGAGAGAGTGGGCACGCGGAAGGTGATGACCTTCTTGGCAGACAGAGCTTCGGATCCAAGACCCATGTAGCCGAGGTAGGTTGAGGAGCTGGGGAACTTGACGTCGCTCGCCGTCGACGTGATGGTGGAGTCGGTGAGCTTCTTGACCAGCGGGGTGAGGTCGCCGACAAAGTGCTCCGTCGTGGCGGAGGCGACCCAAGTCAAGACGTATTGCTTGAGACTGTTCTGGCCGGCGTAGAGGGAGCTGCGGGGGGTGGGGAGGGAAGTGGTCAGCTATGTGTACAACTCCGACGACGGGTGGGTTTTTGTTCGCAAAGACTTACAAGGTCGTTCCGTTGACGGTGGCCGTCGAGATGACGCCGGTGCCCTGCTTGTAACCGATAGGCTGTGTCGCGGTACCAAAAGTCGCAAGCCAGACCATCACTTCGTACGCGGCCTTGGTACCGTCCTTGGCCGTTTCCTTATCGTCGTCCAAGAACATATCGATAGCGACGTTGGTGTTGGCGTCGATTTCGGCGCTCGTGAGCTCGGCTGCGTCCGTATCGGTCGCGGCGGCGCCATCGGTGGTGTAGTTACCTACCGCGTAGGACCACTCGACATCGACCTGGATCTTGGAGAGCTGCGGGATGGCAACGGGTAGGATGGTACCGTCGACCTTGACGTTGGGGAAAGCGTGGACGGGTTGCGTCTCAGGGCCACGAGGGTACCACCAGGTAACCCAGAACTCGGGAGCCGTGGTGTTGCTCGCGTACGTCTGGTTGTTGAATGATGTAACCTATCGCGGGGGATTACGGGTTAGCTACATTCAGTTCATCCGGATGATAGCAGCGACATTGTCGCGAGCTCGACGACATGTCGGTCGCCGCCATGCTTTGCGACACGATAATGGACGAGGCCAAGCTGGATCTTGGCGACAACACGACCCCGCGATTGAAGCCAAGCAGTCAAGTCTAGATGGAGTTGGGATGGAGGGGTTCTTGTTAAAACGTACGTTCATGCACAAAGCACCATCTGTGCCCTCTTTCCAACCCCACTGGTTCGGGTTCACTATCAAACATAAATCGTCAGCAAAAAGAGCCAGTTAAATGAGGTGAGATATGAACGCATGTCTCTATGCCGTAGCTGCAGCTCGAGGAGGCTAAGATGCCCAGCCGGGTTTCGAATTCCAAGGGAGCAAAAGTCAAAACAGCCTCCGCGGCAAACATGACGCATGCAAAGGGACTCAGAAACAGCAGCAGGCAAACATTTAAAAAAAAAAAAAAAATGAGAGCCCGTGTTGTCTCCAACCATAAGGACGAAACATATTTCGGATGACACCAGAGGTGCTCAGATGTTGAATTGCATCTCGAATACTTCGGTCCGTGCCGTACGTATGCTCGACGGAAGCGAGAACCACATAAAACAAGAAGCATAAAAAAGATCGCATCGCGATAATGATCGCGATAATGAGATGTTGACATAAGAGAGTTGAGACTCACTTGTGTACTCCTGGCCCTTGGACTTGGGGTGAAGACCCATTGCGATATCGCAAGATACCAACGCCGTAATGCCATTGTCGTCCTTCTTGGGAACGGTAGGATCAGGGTCGGTGAATAATGGCGGTTGTCCCGTCGCCGTCCTGTGTCCCTCGAGGCCTAGCAAGATGCCGAGGGTGATGCCGATGGGGAGTGCCAACAGGACGAAGTTGACGACCCAACGAAACCCAAGAAATCCCATGGCGAAGAAAAAAGCAGAGTAAGAACCAAATAAAACAAACGAGTGAAAATTGATCGAAGCTTTTTCGGAGATCCCTCTTGCGCTGCGCTCAATGTACTCCTACTGTTCGTATCAAACAACAAAAAGCGAGTGTGTGTATATGGGCAAGGGCCTCGAAGGCGGAAAAACCGACGAATTCGGTCTACTTCTGTTCGCACCAGCAAAGCAGCAGGCAGCACATGCAAAGAAAGCGAAAGAGGTGGTTCGTCCTTGTCGGTGACGGTGACGGTGACGGTGTCGGGGTCTTCTTTGGGAATGGAGGGTTAACACGGGGGGGTTACCTAAGGATAGGCAAGGCAAAGCGGGTTGTCAGGCAAGGTAATGTCGACGATGGCCAAGGTGCAAAGCAAGGTCAGGCCAGGCCAGGTCAGGGTATGTTAGGGAACGCGAACTGGACTCGACTCGTGCAGGGCTGGTCAGGTCGACAGGGGGTAAAAGAGTGGAGGAGGGGGGAAGAGAGGAGAGAGGGGGTGTGAAGTGTGGGTGTGGGTGAACTATCCGCAGAAAGGCATCGCTGTTGGCCAAGTGTGTGAAAAGGGGAGAGGAAAACTGATCAATAGTAATCCGTACGTAAAGGACCAGAGAGAGAGAGAGAGAGAGGTAAGGCGATGGATGGGCGGGCGAATAAGGGTAAAGGTAAGGGTCGAGGAGAAAAATGGCAAAAAGGACTCACAAGTCGGGCAAACAAGCTTGCAAAAAAAGGACCACGAGATAACACCTCACCTCGCCGCCCCCCTATTCTCAACAGCGGCGCAGCACGCCACCCCGGCGGAAAAAAGGTCTCAAACTTTTCTTGCTTGTTGGCTGTTTGGAAATATCCTGTTCTGAACAGGACTATCTGCAAGATGAGAGGAGATGGATAGATTGAGAGAGTGTGTGTGACAGAGTGAGTGAGTGGGATGTTCTTGGCATACAGGCTTCTATCCTCTCTCAGTGTGTCCGTCCGAAAACCAAATCGTCCAATCTCTCTTCCAACTCTGAATCCTCTGAATCCCAAACAAAACCGAGCGGACGCGGAGGAAAAACGAAACGAAAGGACCGGGTCTGGGGCGCTGTGCCAGTCAGTTTACTGCGTGCTGCTGTGCTACAGGAAGTTTGAGCGCCCACAAGTCACAATTACGTGGTGATCCATGCCTCCGTCCTCATCATCTGAAATCCCAACCAGAATCCCATGCATACGTGCAGCGCAGCGCAGCCCGTACCAGCCGGTCCGGACAAAAACCACCCATCTGAGATCAATAACTCATCGATTGCAGGTTCTGCTTCTAAATCGGACCGGCCCCTGGACTAGCGCGTCAATGTGCCGGTGCCTTTTCCTGGGACAATGGTCAACCCTCGGCCGCCCATCCCACCCAACCATCCATTCCCAATCCTAGTTCATTGTACATACGCACTATACTATTATAGTAAGATGTACATAGTATCAATGTGTGGGTGTGGGTACCCGCATTTCTAGAACACGAGAAAAAAAAAAATAAAAAAACCAGGGATAATGCAGTTATGAAGATAACGGTCCCGGATGTGGATAAGGCCCGAACTGCCAGTTGATGGGACTTTGAACAAGGACCGGGATGGTCTCCCCGAAGCTTGTCATTGGACGAAGTAAGCATACGGGAGTGGACTCAGCCCCTCCTTGAGAGAGAAAAAAAAAGAAAATGTCATTATATGAGAGGAAAAATAAAAGGGCCAAGCACAACTGAGGAGGCGGCGTAGGGGGGGAACGGGGGGACGGGGGAACGTCAACAGGCGCGAAGGGGGCGCTGAAAATGGCCTTCCTGGTTATGCCAGTGACGAGTTTTCTCTGTTTACTATGTATTCTTCTCCTTGTCCCTTTCTGTTCCTAGTATATTTCAATACGTATGTGGAGATCATTCACCCCCTGGTGGATGTTCGTCACTTCGCCGAAACATCTAATCCTTTAGTACTCCATACGAAATTTATTAGGGGAAAGAAAATAAAATAAAACAACAACACAGACAATACCAGAACAAAAAATAAAACTTCGAACCAACGGCGGCCGAGCCAACCAGACTTCGGGGCTTTCTATGGCTTGATGGCTTGACTGGCAAGGCACTAAGCATCTTCCCCCGGCGGCGTTCGTGTTCGTCCACGCCACACACCCCCCTTCCCACCAACAACAAGCACCACACCCCCTGCAGCAAGCTGCAGCAACTCAAGCAAGCGCTTGGCCCGTTCTTCTTCTTTCTGTCTGCCATGTCATGTTAGTTTCTCGCCAGTCTCGGCCTATCTCTACTTCTCTCTCTCAGTCTCCCTGCCACACGCCCCTGAGGATAGCCGCCAACTCCGACACACGCAGGATAGGCTGCAGACATTTCGATCAGAGACCAATTACGCCAGCCAAATGGAACAAATAGTAGCTGACCCAGGCGCGCAGGAAGTAAAGTAAAAAAAAACCAACTGTGATTGTGATATGGGGCCAGCCCATCACAGAGATACACACATCCTCGCGCCTGGACTGGACAAGCCGATGGAAGTGGGTTCCTTCAACCCGGTCCCAACCTGGCCTTCCAATTTTAATCACGTCAGGCTCTCGTCGGATCGTAATCATGGCAGTGAGGCTTAGCGGAGTCCGAGTGGGTTCCCGTTAAGTCATGTCCAGAGGCTTTTCCTTGATGTACGTCCGCGCGGGTCCCCCAAAGCCTCCTCCTGGTCCCAGGTCAAATGTCTTGCTTGGTCGGATTTGCCCTCTGTGCCCCCCCAGACTTGCTTCCCGTCAAATCTCCAAGCCAACTCCTCGGCTTCTTGGTCCCTTTTCTTGGTAACCTTCCCCCTCCCCAAACCGGTACTTCTCTTCCTGTCAAGTCAGGCCAGGCTTCTCGGGAAAGCAGAAGAGTCAGTAACCCTACCTGCACTAGCTTCAGCTCGTGTTCGATGACATATACTAGTCGATCGATGCTCTATCAGTAGCGGGTCCCATCTTTCTTCCCTCTTAATTCCTGTTGTGTCTTTTTGACCAATACACCACACTCGTTTACACACACACACACGTCCAAACCCGTTTTTCGAACCTGGCTGGAGAAGTCGAAGGGAGTAACGAGAGAGAGAGTGAGAGACAAAGAGACAAGACGTAGGGGAATCACACAATCGTTTACTGCTTTATCGGGAGGTTCAGCCTCTTACACGCTCTTCGCCCAAACAAACGCCTAGCATACCACACGGCACCACACCCAGCGTTTCCGCCTCAGACACATTATACACTCGCTCATTCCAACCCGGTCGGTTGGACAACACCGCAGTCATGATGAGGGGACACGGGGGCCAGCAGGGCCAGGACTACCCCGAGGGGGAAATGGTGGAAATCGACGTTCTCCAAGGACATCACCATCCTCACCAGCATCAATATCAGCCGCCCTACCAGAATAATCAGAATCAGAACCAGCAGCAGCAGCAGCAGTACCAGAATCAGTACCAGGAGTACTCCCAGAACCCTTACGGCAGCCCTTACCAGAACGACGTCGACCAGTCCCAGGATTTCCAGTTCGGTCGCGCCCTCACGAACAACGCCGCCCAGACCCAGCAGTTCCAGCAGCAGCAGCAACAACAACAGTTCGTTGCCCAACCCCACGCCATCGGCGGGGACGAGTACGGTCCTCCTGGCTGGGCGAACCGTCACTCCATTGGCATGTCAGGTGCGCCTTCAATTGGACCTTCGATCTCCGGCATGGACACTCCCGTCGAGTCCCGCGCGGCTACGCCGACGCTGAAGAGCGGCCAGCAGACGCCGTTCGATCATCTTCCACCCCCGAGGCACCCGTGGTCTACTGATTCTACGCCCAACAGCCCGATGGTATGAGGTCCTCTTTGATTGATGGTGATAACCGCCTGCGTCTCAGGTTGGCTGACTTTACGTGTGTGAATAATAGAACCAGAGCCACCAGAGTTTGGCCGCACTGCTCCCCGGACAAGCTTCGCCTGTGCTCAACAAGGAGTGGGTTGAGGGTAGCGACCAGATCGCAAGACTGCACAAGCGCGACGACTCCGAGATTTGGAATGGTTGGAAGCGTCAGTTCTTCAAGCTCACCCCCATCTTGATCCTTTTCGCTACCGCCATGTACCTTGTCTATCTCGCCCTCCGTATCTACTGCGTCATCTCCGCCCAGGAAGCTGCCAGAGAGGTTTACGCCCAGGCTTGGGTGTTCATCGCCGTCGAGATTGCCGTCGCCATCCCCTCGCTCATGCACAACATCTGGACCATGTGGTCCATGAAGAAGCGCCATCGCCCTAAGCTCCGTCTCATGGGTGACGAGGTTCCCACCGTCGATGCCCTGGTAACTTGCTGCGGTGAGGAGGACGACTTGGTTCTCGACACTGTCCGCGCCGCCTGCGACATTGACTACCCCCAGGACCGATTCCGTGTTATCGTGTGTGACGACGGCAAGTCGGCCGGTTTGGAAGCCGGAATTGCCGCCTTGGCCAAGACCTACCCTAATGTCTACTACCTTGCCCGCCCGAAGTACCCCGGAGTTCCTCACCACTTCAAGGCCGGTAATCTCAACTACGCCCTCGACTTTGTCCACACGATGCCCGGTGGTGCCGGTCAGTTCATGGCTGCTCTCGATGCTGATATGGTACGTTCAGCCCACTTCGTCTCATCTCATCACCCCTACTACCTACCCCTCATCCGTGATTTAAACTTTCAGCCAATGTGTCTGTCTATATGCAATCATGCTAAACTCTCTCACCTGCAGATCCCCGAGCGCGACTGGCTCCGTGCCATTCTGCCTCACATGCTCATCGACCCCAAGGTGGCCCTCGCCTGCCCTCCTCAGCTCTTCTACAACACCCCGCCATCCGATCCCCTGGCCCAGAGCTTGGACTTTTTCGTTCACGTCATTGAGCCTGTCAAGGACGCCCTTGGTGTCGCCTGGTGTACCGGTTCCGGCTACGTCGTCCGTCGTGAGGCTTTGGATGAGATTGGCAACTTCCCTCTCGGTTCGCTCGCCGAGGACGTCGCTACTTCGACCTTGATGCTTGGTAAGGGCTGGAAGACGGCCTACATTCACGAGCCCCTCCAGTTCGGCACTGTCCCCGAGGACTATGGCGGCCATCTCAAGCAGCGTACCCGTTGGGCCATCGGAACCGTCGACACTTCTTTCAAGCTCAACTTCTGCCTGTGGGGTGACAAGGTCAAGCACATGACTGCGGCTCAGCGGTTCTCTGGTTTCCTGTACGCGACGCTCAGCATGTACACCATCCTCCTGACCATCTCCATGTTCGCCATCCCCATCATCCTGGTCATGAACAAGCCCCTCGTCGCCTTCGCCAGCTACGAGCAGCTCCGATGGCTCATCCGCGCCTGCTTCGCCGCCACCATCTCCAACCGCCTCTGCGAGTTTGCCCTCTTCATCCCGGCCGGCTACCACACCGGTCAGCGTGGCTCCCGCTACCAGCTCTGGATGTCGCCCTACATCGCCCTCTGCATCATCCGCTCCTTCATCCTGCCCACTTGGCTCGGTGGCCAGACCCAGGCTTTCAAGCCCACGGGTTCCCTCGGCTCTGCCCTCAACGAGCGTGACGCAAAGACCCGCAAGAACATGTTCCGCCGCCTCTGGGGTATCTTGATCAACTACATGGCCATCTTCCACCTGGCTTTCGTCTACCTCACCCTCGTCGGTGTCGTCCTGACCTCGTACCGCGTCTTCTGGGTCAACGACACTCTGCGCGACACCCTCATCGGCCTGATCACGCACGCCTTCTGGCCGCCTCTGACCTTCATCTTCATCTGCAGCTCGCTGTGGACGCCCATTGCCTACGCCATCGACCCTCCCAGCATGCCCGACCGCGAGCAGCTCCTGCAGCGCGACCCCAAGACCTTTGTCGCCCACCCGACACCCCAGAGCAAGAAGATTGCCTTCGGTGGCCAGGCGGCCTGGTTCGAGACTGAGCTTACGATCACGACGGCTTACACCATCCTCGTCTTTGTGTGTTCCTTCTTCTTTTAAGAATATGGTGCAGCGGAAAACACGAATTTGTTTGCCTCTTGCTTCGTTTTCACCTTTTCTTTTTTTCTTTTTCTTTTTCTTTTTTTCCTTTTATTTTTACAAAAACACATACGCAAGTTTCATACAAATGGCGCAGGCAGCGGTGCTCCAAACGGACAGGGGAGCGCAGATGACGCATTTACACAGCATACGCACACTCTCAATGCGCATACAACAACAAAACAACGTACAAACCACACACACTCACAGATGACTGTCACGATAATGTAATGGCCTGTAAACTACTGCACATAGATCAGTATAGAATTTACGTCACTATAGGGGACGCAGAGGAATCCTTGTTGTTGTTTTTCCCCCTCCCTCCCTGCTGGAAGGGACGAGAGGGAAAACACAAAAACATTCATACATAACTTTTTTGTTCAAAACAGGAATATAACATTTTAAAAAATTCATAAAAATCAAAAAACAGCATCTTAGCCCCATTGAGACTATAACCACCGCCATGACTTAATGCTACTACTACTGCTACTACTACTACTACTTCCTGCTATTCGTGACCGGTTCAGAATCGTTGGCTAAGCATTGAACCTTGGTTTCAGGCCGCAGATTCGTCCCGCCGAAGAAGCCTTCCCCTAAAGGTTCCAGGCCCTTGATGGTGAAGATGGGCTTGTCTAGCTGTGGCGTGCGGGAGGCTGGAGGCCAAGGCGAGGAGGATGTCACTTAGTCTCTCGTCTCTCTTTACTCGTCATCAGCGCAGGCCGAAACACCGTTTCTAAAGAGTCCGCGCCTGGTTCAGCGTGTCTCTCCTCATTCCACAGATAACGCCCCTAGCTGTTTTTTTTTTCTCTTTGCTAGAGCTGTTGAGGAGTGATTTGCATTTCTAGAGAAATAGGTAAGCGGACAGAAACGCCGATCCGGCTGGCTTGACGAAACGGCGAGATCTGCGCCCCGTCGTCCTTGCTAAGCCCATTCATTGCATTCCATCCGTGTGTTTGTTTTTCTTCTCCCTTCCTTTTTTTTGTTCTCCCCTCCGTGCTTCCTTTGTCCATTGTCGCGGTTATCAACTGCCGCTTTTTTTTTTTTGCCCCCCCTCGGCTGCTGCTTGACAGCTCGAATGCACGATGAAATGCCGGGATGCGGTCTCATAGATAGGGGCTTCGGTCGAATCATCCGTGTTCACCGTACGGTGCATCAGCCACTCGCGGCTAACATGGTATCTGTCCGGCGGTGACAAAGTAGTGTAGTGTTACGTCAGGTTCGAAACTCAATCCCCTCGTATATTTGCCGAGGTTTCTCTCTCATTCGCTATTTGTCTGCACTTTGTATTCGGGTTTGCCGCGAACACGATCGGCCGTGGGGGGGAGGGGGAGGATGGTGGTGTTTCTTACGGCTGTCAAAATGCAACCCTCATCCCGGTTTGTGGTGACCCAGTTTCCGCCCGCTGCATAGACATTGGGGACATTACGCCTAAGTTAAAAAAAAAAACAACGCCAAATAAACAAGACAATGTCCGGTCCGGTTTACTCTGTGGGCATTTCATTGGGAACTCGTCTTCCCCCAACACCTTATCCATATGCACCGCGTGTCAAACCCTTCCAGCCATGTCCTGCCTGCTCATAGTCCGTCCAGTCAAAACAGCTAAATCCTCCTTCACTCTTCCTGCGAGGCCAGTCTGAATCTGACCGCTGCTGGGGGCGCTGCCAAGACCGGTTGCCAAGCATCTTAAGACGAACCACGGCCAAGGAAAAGCCCAAGAGTTGTGTTGCTCACCAACAACGACGCCAAGGGGTGTGTGTGTGTGTGTGTGTGTGTGTGTGTGTGTGTGTGTGTGTGGCCCCTGAATCGTATGCTTTTCCAGGGGGGGCGGCACAGCAAGCTCTCCCGTTTATTACTGTGCACTATAAAAGTTGCCACGGTACCCTTCTGGCTAAGGTTTGATTACATACGGCGCGGTGTACGTACTCACCTTTTCTTTCTCCAGTTTAGTGTATGATTGACCTCGGGATCAAGGTATCACGACTCATTGCGACGTACGGAAGAGGGGAAGAGGAAAAAAACAGAGAGAGAGGGGGAAAAGGCAGCCATTTCTGTCTATTTTTAGATCTTGGACAACCCGTCTGTTGAGCTTGTGCTCCGCCATACATATAGTACGGTCAGCTTCGGCGTGGATCAAACTGTGAATTTTAAATGTGTGATAAGGCGAACAAGTTGTCGATCACATGTAACCTGCTGAGGCCAAGCGCTTTCACGAGATTGGCCATGAACATCTGTCGCTTCATGTAAAGTGGGCAAATCCTGGTATAGTCGAGAGCCTCCAACAAAATGCATGCCTGGAAAGGATATTTGCTGCTATCCGTATTGCGTACGGATTTACCAAGGACCCATCTGAAAACGTTCACAGCCTCCGCCCGATCAACACGACAGGGAACGAGTACTCCATTTAAAATCGCCCTACGGCAACTTCAACTCCCCGTGTCCCGAGTCACTGTTTTCGACGGTGATCAAATGATGTAAAGCTGGACGGGCGCCCACCGCGTAATCCGGGACGCGGTTGCGGGGGATACGCGGATCTACGCCGTCCCCGCGTTCAAGGTGCGAGGTTGTCGACGGGTAGCTCCGCGGCCTCGACAAAGGCTTGCGTGTATGTGCATGCAGGCCGGTTGTCCATGGTGATTTAGTGCTACGGATACTTTTTGCGATCGCCCATCTTTTCAGCTGTTACTGCTTGAGTCGTGCCGCCGAGTCGGAGGCCCCGCACCGGGCAGACCATGGCACGCCGGATGTCATCGGGTCTCTGTGTAAGCTTTACCCTGTGATTGACAGGAGGATACCGCTCTTTCGGCCTGGCATCTCCTGCCTGAAAGAAGTAAATCCAAGTCGATCTTTGGGCTTTAAACGGCGTTCATGTCCTAGGGTTAGGTGAGTTGTGACCATGATCCCATGGGGGACTGACTTTCGTTCAGCTAAACTCATAAAAATTTGGACTTTTCTTTCACTTATAGTTTTTGACAAATTTACCTGGTGTTTTATTAGTATTTCTTTTAGTTTGATTATTTCGAGACCCACGTGTAGCGAAAACTTCCTTCGCGATCAGTATAAGGACACGTTTAAAGCTCCTCGACGCGCAAGGTACACCGGTGCCTGGCCAAGTATGGTACTCAGATTAGCTCTTCGAATCATACAGAATGTGGCCCACCATATATATATGATCACAATTGCAAAGTTTCGTAAATTTGGAATACCAGATTGGGAGGGCATGCCTTCCAAATTTTGTGGCAGCTGGAGCCGAAAATTTCACGAAGCATGTCTCTGGAAACATGTGTAAGAATGAGAATGATCGACTAGAACATGATGAAGCTATGATAATAACGAGCGCATACTTGTATAAACAACATTCCTAGCCCCTAGATAGATTTGCAAAACAGATACCAGACAAAAGCCCCTCACTTGCTTTGCCTGGCAAAGCCAAGATGAGATAGTTCTTGAAGGCATCAAAAGCACTACCGTGTGTTCTGAGAAACGATTGAAATGGCGAAAAGCAAGCCATGTTTTTTTAGACGCCACAAGGATACGAGATGCTGTTTTGCAGGATGAAGGCGATCACCTTGGTGGAATGCAGCATCATGGAATTAGTTAGTGGCCAGATCATCATTAAACTGACCTCAGAGCAGTAGACAAGAACACAAACACGTTCAAACAATCTGACCAATGGCTCATGCAAGCAAGTGAAACTCTTCAGACAATTCCAAGTTAAGAGGTCTTTTCATGTAGAGAAAGTTCTAATCAAGTCGATCGACTGGCAGCTAGTGTAGTTATATATGCTGTAGTTGTCACGGAAGGGTAAACGAGATGCAGTTCTATAGCAATTGTTGCAATAGTCGGAATTCTGGGTTGAAGTGCCATCGTAGCCTCCTAATTGCGCGCTACCAGCCACTGGGCTTAACGTAGGTAAGGGACCTCAAGACCCATGTGGCGGGCAAGTGGAACGGATATATCTCTTTCACGCACATCAACCCTCCCTTCTATAGCTTCTTCTTCCACAAACACCATCACTTTGACCACACTTTGTGAGGAGCCTTTCAACCGCTTGTACGGGTGTCTCGGTGACCCCAACAGCTCTCTCATACGAGATGCTTCATCAAAATCCCCATGCAAACTTCAGTGGTACGGCGGCGTAATATACCACATCAACGCTTCGAGATAGGATTGTCATTCATCCCTAAGCTCACCTGATTATACGGTAGCAAATACATCCCAACTGTTTCTGGCATGATCATGGAGCAGCCACATGACATATTGTCATCATAGCCTGGCCAATCAATTAAAAAATGTCGATAAGCTAGCATTTGTTCTTCTCCGAACACGACCCTCCTATGCAGTTTTTTCTGATTCTGAGATGTTGAACAGTGGCTTTTGAAGCACTCTGAGAGAAAACCTTTAATAATACTGAACGTGAAAACTCATTAGCCCAGAATCAGTCAACCGCAGGCTCTTCAGGAAATATTAGGCTCACTTAGAGTCTGCCAAGGACTCTGATGACCCTACATACTACAAGACGGCAGATGGTACCTAACCCGAGAATGGATTATTCACGGTGGTCAGCAGTTTCTCTGTGAAACGACTCTGTTGCTGCCATGAGCGCATAGTACTTGGGGACGTTTTACCTGTATTGGTGGCTCCCTAACGGCATCGTGGATGTGGATCTTGATCTAGACCCAAGCCTTAAGAAGACAAGCATCCATGCACCAAAATTGCGTCCGTTTGACTTGAAGTTGTTCTTTAAACCCACCTTGCAGAACACTGGTATTGAAAATGTGAATCCACCACAGAAAGTTTAGCTTTACTGGACTTGAAGTGGGTAGGCGTTATCATGAACAACCATAAATGCCAGGAACCGGCAGGAGTAACATTAATTACACATCTGACGACAAATGGGACTACTACAGGCCTTAACAACGCATCGTAGATCATGCAGACTTTGGAACTTCGGTAGACCTCGTCTTATAAAGGCCACGCTTGTTAGCATCGCATGTGTGTCCCATGCGAAGCAACATCACAGGATCTATCTTGAAGCACACTATGAGAGAGGCGTTGTTCCGTCTGCAATCGGTTTTCTTCAGTTATCGCCTTCACCTAAAGCACTGAGGCTAGGCTAGCTAGCCCGACGTTTCTCTCCGGGGCCAGCGTTAGGGCCTACCTGTTTCTCTTCATGACAAAATGAAACCGCCTCACTAGCACAGACATCATGGCATGTGGTCAGGGAAAGTATACCCTTCTAAATTCTGTTTCTACTTGAATGGATTTGAACTCTACCCATTCAACAACTTGTCCATTTTCGAATGAATTTGAACGATTTCAGACGCCTGCAAATCCTGTACAGCTTGGGTAGAGCCACCGGGTCGATGCTCTCAATGGCACAGTTGAACCTACGGCCTGTATATCGGCTCGCTACTTCCTCCCATGCTCGCAAAGCCTTATACCCTCGACCATGTTGCCAAGACTTAATGTCGAATTGCCAAGTCGCAGCCATCGTGAAATTGATTTCGCTCTCCTTGACCTCGTAGCTGAAGAAGAACCCTTCCCCAACACCAGGACTCCATACTTCCAATATCTTTATACTAGGCATACATGTAGCTGCTTGGCTTGCTGCGACAAGTAGACAATCTACCTCTGTAGGACTATCAGGCAGTTGCCCAAGTTGGCAGCTGAGAACTAGACGTTCAAGCGTGCAAGAAGGTAAGGCCTTGCCTGATGAGATTAAAAGGTTGAAGTGAGAGAAGAAATCTCTCGCGTCGATGACATACGTAATTGCCAGGTCCTTAAGATGAAAACTGGTGGGAACCGCAGTCTGGAGCACAGCTGCTACCCCGTTTGCTTCCTTGGAGTCACTTTGACTTTGAGCTTCAGATATCAATGGGGACCGAGACTCCCATATGGATAGCCTTTGTATAGAAGGGACTCGATCTGCGATCGAGAAGGTGACTCTGTTTCCGATTGCTTGCTGTAGTTTTTGCGTTGTTCCCAGCTGCTGTTCAAAATCGAGTCGCCCGAAGGCACGGAAAGCTATCGCAGAGGTGAAAGAGTAAGATCGACGAACAGCTCCAAGAGATTTTTGGGCTGATGGCAATTGCGGTGATACTAGGGACCAGCTCAACAAGCCCTTGCTTTCTGATGACACTGTTGATACTACGGATCTCCGCGAATAGATCTGAAACGGCGGGTGATCGACGGTGGACACAACGGCGGCGACCACGCTTAGATACTAACTTACGATCGCCTGCGTTCGGAACCGAGATACCGCTTAGCTCAAGCGAAATACCGCGTTTGGGTATATCTTTGGTCCAAAGAGCAAGAATAGAGAGGATCTCTTCCAAATTTTCAAAAAGTACCTTCTCTCTCTCTCGATAAGTGCATGTTGGCCTCCGACCTCCCGAGGCATCGACGGCAACGGTATTGTTCCATTCCCAGACAAAGGGAGATGGTCTTAATGAGAGATCTTCGACGACTTTGGATAGCCTCGCGAAAGCCTTGAAAGTTTGACTTTGAAATCCAGGGCTGGAAGGTCAACTTCTGCCAGAGCAACGGTTCGAAAAGGCCCTGCCATTCTTTCGAAACACTTGCGTAGACTGCCATGGGGAGTTCTTCAGAAGTCAAGATGTTGGCTAAAGATTGCAGAATCATGCGTTGGAGCTCTAGTGAGAGACTTGTCCAGCGAGAATTTCTTGTGTCCTCTTCTTGGCTGGTAATGTGCTGCAAGGCTCTGTGAGATGGGAGCTGCATCATGATGGCAAAAGAATGGGGTAGGCAGATGAGTCGAGAAGCAGGCGGTGAGTGATTCGAGCTTTCTGTTGGTGGTGAGAAGATGCAAGCCACAGTTCGTTTCGTATTTTCTGTGTTCTTCACATTTCCCCTACAGGGGCCATCAAGCCCCCCAAACGCAGTCGGAGAACCTTACTAGAGGTTCCTCTATCTTTCTCTTGCTGCCTGGGTCTCGCTGAACTCTCTATAAATGTGGCGTTCAAATGAGTATTACGAGAGTAAGAAGTGTTTGTGTGGTAATCGCTAAACCCAAAGCCTCGAAAATAATGAGGTGAAATTTCCCCTGGTCCATACATCTACGATGAAATAAGGTCGTTTATAAGATGTCGCTGACTTCTGTTAACCTTTGATCTTAGTGTGCGCCTAAATATCGACCGCCTGTGTTCAGGTCCCGCAGGCGAAATATGAGTGACGTTAGGTGACAGCGTGCATCAGTGAGGAAGCCCTAGTCACGAATATCACGAAGTTCAGAATAACGGCGCGATATTTTAGAGGGTGGGCAATGTGAGTAACATTAGTTACTACATCAGTAACACGCATTTACATGAACAGACATTGAACATTGAGCTTCTACTTCAACGTATGAATTATTTCAAGGTTTGATGATGTATCTGTCCCCAGACAGGAAATCATATATATCATGTTGAATACAATCCGAAATATACACATTGAAGTCAAGCCCTATCCTGCTGATGCGCACTTTCCACCAGCAAGTCTTGATGCTCGCCACATCATGATGACCGCGTATTTCATCCAGACGCCATCTAGTTAGAGTTCTGGACCAGCTTGGTAACGATTCCCTCGTTGGTGGATCCCCCGCTCACAAACTCCCTACTCTGTTAAAACGGGTCGGTGCCGTTCACGATGATCCCCATCTAGCCTCTGGCGGTGCCGTAGTTTATGAGGGCCCCCTCCTTGTCGGCATCGGTAGTGGTAGCGCCGCCGTTGATGATTTTGGCGATGTCGTAAAAGGCTACGGCCGCCGCGCCCTCACGACAAGCTTGGTCATGACCCCACGTGCCGCGTTTGGTTGTCACTTGTCACTCAGCGCAGTCGCCAGCTGGTCATTCGGCCAGCCATTAGCATTCTCTAATCGGTATGCCAGTGTCAGGGCCTTGCAGGTCCTAGGCAGAACGTTACGCGACCTTGAGGGGGCTAGTGATCGGACTGGAGTCTTGTAATGGTAAGCCAGTAGACCAACTAACCCGAAGCCCTAGCCTGCCCGACGTGAGTAGAGTCATTTCATCGGGCAAAACATGCACCGGAATCGCTTCAGGCCGAACTCAAAGATTGGAGCGCAGAACAGCGGCACAGGACAGTCTTTCTCGCCTATGTCTGTCCTATTGGAGATTTTCAGCTGCAGGATTGAGCCAAGACTTTAAGCGAATGCGATGAATGCGAGTGTGGCAGAGCACAATGCATTGTGGATCTGCAGACGTTGGAACTTTGGTAGACTTCATCTTATAATGACCACGCCCATTAGGTAGACATCACATATGTGCCCATGCGAAACAACATCATAGGACCTGTCTTCTATGACTCGGCTGGTTAGTTTTTATGCTTTCTGAGACATATAAACTCAATAAATCTGCATTCCGCAAAACCAATGCTGTGTTCTAGTAGATAAGAAAGTTAACAGATACAAAAACAGCAAACACTCAGTCCTCGAGAGACATAACCATCAAGAATACTACTGCCTTGTTTTGTCTCTTGGGTGTTACCTTTGCGTTGGTTGATATTCCGCATGCACTCCGACCTCTACCATCTACTTTGAGCCGAGATTTGAACTCGTCATAACAAGCACAACCTAGTCATAGATCTCATGGAGGGTCGGCAAGGCTTAGGACACACTGCAGCAAGGGTGGTCATGTCCGAGAATTGAGGCTATGAGAAGTGATATTGCTTGGCGACAAAGATCCAACAGGTGAAATGATAACGACTAAGGCAGGGACGCGTAACACTCCGCGTTCGCCCAAGAGACAGAAAAAAACCGGTACCCTCTTAAACATCGTAATGGGCGCTGGGAAGGATGCGAAAGTGCTTATCTCAAGTACGCGAACCCTCCTGAGTCACTAATGATTTTGCTGTCTTAATTCCTGTTACCCCGAGACAAACATTTTTATTCCCTAGCAACGAAGCAGCCGGCCTTCTATTCTTCATGCTTTCCGCTACATATTTGGGACCATCTACGCAAGTAATAATCGAAGAGGTGCTACTATGCCTGCACCACAGGAGGACTGGAGCGTCTGGCTCTACGAACCATCGCTGCCTTTGGCAATTGTGGGAACCATCGTGTACACATTGATCTTTGCTTGGATTACATATTTGACGGCATTCAAGTATCGTTCATGGTACTTCATTTGTGTGCCGATAGGGGCCTTTTGTGAAGTCATTGGTTATGCAATGAGGTGTTATTCGACGCAGGCGCACCAGAATATTGTAAGTTGTTGCCGGGAAGCCTCGAGCAGCGATTTTTTTCATTTATAGAAAGGGAGAAAAGAAAACAAGTTCTTACTCCATGGCTCCAGAACTGATTCTTCTTCCACTCCAGGGCATCTTCGCGACAAGCACGTCCCTCATTGTACTCGCGCCCCTTCTGATCGCTGCTGGCAACTATCTATTAATTGGCCGCCTCATCCGGGCAGTTTTACCACCGTCGAGACATCGAATTTACAAAGTACCAGCCCGGCGCCTTACTCGCATCTATGTTACCTTTGACATTATCTGTCTTTGTGTCCAATCATCTGGCTCATCCATGGCAAGCGCAAACAGCTGGATCGGCCCGCTCAGCGACATAGCAATGAAGATCTTGCTTGCTGGCCTTGCGCTTCAAGTTGTAGCATTTTCGACGTACCTATGCATCTTAATGCGCTACCACAAGCTGTCTCGCGCTTTGGCTGTAGCCGACGCACCGGCTGGATGGTTCAACGTTCTCAAAGCTGTTTATGCCTCTAGCATCTTGATTCTGGTATGTGGATCGCTGGAGGAGTGTTTGGTACTCTCCTTTTTTTGGTTTACTAACAAAATTGGTGCAGATCCGTTGTATATATCGGATGATTGAATTTGCCGAGGGCCCCGATGGCTATACAATGACACACGAGTGGATATTCTGGGTATTGGAAGGACTCACCATGGCTATTGCCATTGTGGTATTTTGTGTTTGGCATCCTAGTAAGTATTTAGGGCAGACTGGCGAAGAGAAGGAAGGGCATAACTTGGATGAGCATGGTGTAAGACACACGTAGATAACGCCTTTCCGCAGAGTCTTCGATAGGACTTGAAAAGTGAGAAAAAACTGGACCAATAGAAACCGCTGATGCCGCAGCTTTCAAACAAGAATAGAAGCCATGATAGAGATGATAGGGCTACACGTCTGATGAACTCTTGTGAACGGTGAAGAGGGTTCAGGACGATCATAACCCTAATAGAAAAGCTGATCTTGGTGGTGTGCTGGCCTTCCATTAAGCTTAATACGTCTCTGTACTATAATAACAGTCCGATAACTCTTAGAACAGGTTCCTGGAGGCACACGCGATCGTCTGACAGGGCTTCCAGTGCCCAGTACGCTGGGAACGTGGAGTCTTCGGCTGAAGAGAAACAAATGGCGCAAGCAATACGGATACGATGATGAACATGTGCGTGCTTTGTCTGAAGACAGGCGGTCGCAATGTTATGTATTGCAGAATGTCATTCGTTTACAACTATAAGCTCTCGGCGGCCCAGAAGACTCACCTGGGATGCCCTCTCGCCGAATATTCAAAAGTTCACGGCACTGACATCATCATCAGCACTCTCTGACCGGTCACATTACTTTATTTGCACATAGATCGAATTTTGTATACAGCATGCATTATCCGGAAACCTGATCCAAGCTTGCCGAAGTGCATGGACTATCGTATGTAACCTCATGGAATGATTCAAAAAGAGCATAAACTGGCGCTATCCCTATTCTGTGCCCTTACATCCATTCGGCTGGAACGATGCAATCAACTTGCACAGACCGGCCCCACAATCTTTCAAAAGTCTCCTGTCACTTCCCAAAAGTGGCAGTTGTCCAAGCGAACGGGACCTTGGAAACCGTTTCATCTCATCTACGTCTGTCGATCGGAGCTCCGTGATACCCTCAAAAGGATTGATTGTTGCTCGGGTTCGGATATTGGGAGCCATTTTTGACCGTAGGTCACAGGTAGTTGCCGCCGAGCCTATCCTTATCTTCTTCGTGATTGATGGATGCTCTGATGTTCCAGACTTTGAGGCGTTTGGAGCAAGCTCTTCCAAGAATGTAAGTCGGATGCGGGAGAAGACTGCTATGGCCCTTCGTCCTCCCATCTTTTAAAAGATTCAATGAGCCTCAACTCAGACTCAAACCCAAAGGAGGGTTGTGGAAGTCTGATGTTTGGTAGGTAATCTCTTTTAATCTCGTTTTGGTTCATAGTTTTCTGCTCTCTCCCTCCCGGCTTTGTTGTTATTCGCTCTGGTTAGCGAAAGTCTCGAGAATGAGATCTTCCCTTCTCGTATGGAGCACCTTCATGCTCGGCTGGGGTCTCGCTGCTCCATCCAATAATATCGGAAAAAGAGATCTGCAGACTATTCAAGGCGCCTTCGTTTCTATCTCGGTAGCAGCATCTAACTTGGACACTGCAGTGAGAGTAAGTTCTTTAGGAGAAGCTACATGATTTACGTGGTGACTGACTGACGAATATCAGAGTGTGACTGGTGACCCAGCCAGCGCCCAGGCTCTAACGCCGGCAACACAGGGAGTTGAGAACGCTCTGGCACAAGCTCGCGTCGATATTTCCCAAAGCCAGCCGATCTCTATTTCCGATGGTCTCGCCCTTCAGTCAACTGCTGATACGCTGGCCAAGAGCGTAAAGATCATGGTCATGTCGACAATGCTCCAACGAACGATGCTTGACCAGCTTGGAATGACCTCGATGGTACTTCAATCTTTCCAAAACCAGGCCATGCTTTCGGGAGCTCTCGGCCAAGTTGTTCTCGCCAAGTTGCCCGCAGAGGGCCTGTCAGGAGCCATGATGGCATTCGGCGGAGCTGCAGGGTCTATCGGCATGGGTATTGTGTCACTAAGCAACCCGCCTTTGCAGATGCCCTCGCTACCCGGAGCACCACCAGGAGCATCGCCAGGAGCATCGCCAGGAGCATCGCCAGGAGCACCGCAGCCAGCATCAATGCCTCAGAGTCAGAACACCCCGCAGGGAGCACGCGCGCCACCTTCACAGGCAGCACCAGCTCCTCAAAGCAACGTGACCGTGGCAACGGTACTGGATGGAAAGCTCAACAGAGGAGCTTAATTACGGAGGCTCCTTGGTTCTTGCTAGACATAAATAAAATAGCCCTCTGATCGCAATGGAACTATTCATATTCATATTTTATGTAGCTACACAGAATATCACACTCGGCCATGACCAAGAGCTTTCCACCAATTATCAAAGAACTAGAACGCACTAATTGAACCGATCATGATTTATTGACAGCAATTGAACAAAACAAAACCATTCATGACCTGGGGATGCCCGTGAGAACTCGAGGTCCCAGTGCCACACAATGTATCTTTTGGGAGAATAGTCTCATAATTAGTTAAGGCGTGTATATTCCAAGTAGAACAGATAATAATACTATGGATGCAAGCATCTGATAGATGAGACTTAATGCTGGCTGAATGGTTAGTTGCTAAAATTCACACATAGGCAACCGTAGTTAAACAGTAAATCGGTAATAGAGGTGGGACAACCAACGTACGGATTACAAGATGCATTTGTCTGAATACCAAACTGTTTAAATGTCTTCGTCTTTCCGCCATAACAGTGGCGAGGAGTTGCCAAGGATCTAGCATTCCTTGCAACGGCGAAGAGGCTGGCACGTAACTTCTTTCTAATCATAACAGCCCTCCACATCAACCATCCAATGTGGCAATAAATGACTCAGCGGAGATTGTTTACAGAGGCGTTCATACCGAGGTTGGAAATCGCTTTTGTTCATGTGTTCTAACCACGAGGTCGTCTGAAGTTGGCTCAAACACCAGCCCGGTGTCACGTATTTGCAAATGCCAAGACATCAGGCTCTTGACGCTAGTAAGTCCTTGGTAATTCGGGTTGAGTATGAGGAGCCATCCGATAAGTACGAATGGATACGAATACTACAAAGGGAGACCGTATTACCCGGAAGACTTGCACATAGAGCGGTCTGGGCCCAAGTCTGAGCAGCTAAATCAAACAGACGATAACTGAGATCTAACAATACCATCACCTGCCTCAGCAATACTTCATTAAAGTAGTCATTCAATTTTAAGTCTAAATCATACTCTTAAAACAAGGTATAAGTACCGTTCAATAAAAAACAGGGGTAAAGCTCAACACAAAAACAAATGGGAATCTATGTAACACACGCACGCTCGTCTAAAACAAAAGAAAGCATCCAGTACATATCGTAGCAAACAATCCAAAAACACCATCTTACTAGAACCCAAGAAGAATCTTTCGCCAAGGGATCTTCTTCTTCTCTGTCCCTGCCGTTGGTGCACTGTAACCCTCTTCCTGGACATTATGCTGTCCCACAATTGCAAGGAATACATCATTGAGCGTCGTCGGGCTGACACTGTGGTGCTCGATGCCCAAGACCTCTTTGTTTTCCTCAAGCATCAGAATCAGCTGCCCAATGGCGCTGAGTCCCTTACTTTGTCCCTCCTGTCCACGCCTTTTAGATTGATGAATCTGCTCAGCCCGGGTAAGAACCTCAGATGCTGAAACGGAGAACCGCATTTGCCCATGGTAAGTCTCCGGCTCGATCGAGGCACTGGGGAACATGAGCTGTACCCATTCGCGCATGCGATCCATCTCCTCGGCCGTCGAGTGAGGCGCAGTGCGGCTGACGAGGTGGACGTACAGCGAGTCACCGAAGCGGGACTGCAGGGATTCGACCTCGCCGATTGCCAGCATGCGTTGGGCCACGATACCTGCGCGGTTCGCCAGCGCATCTGCTTCCTCCATGCTGTGAGTTGTCAGGAGAATCGAGCGGCCGGGGACGATGGTGCTGAGGGTGCGCCACATGATTCGCTTCGCGGCTGCATCGAGCCCCGAAGATGGCTCGTCGAGCAGGATGACGGACGGGTTGCCAGTAAGGGCGATGCCAAGCGAGAGCTTCCGCTTGTTGCCACCCGAGAGGTGCTGCGCCATGGTGTTGACATGAGCGTCGAGGCCGACGGCACGGACCACGGCTTGAACTTGGTACTCTACGTCGGCAATACCGCGGAGCCGGGCATAGTGGCGGAGGTGCTCGAGGACGGTCATGGAGTCAATGGCATCAAACTGGGGGCACACGCCGAGATTCGAGCGGGCAAGAGCTCTCTGATCGGTGATTGAGACTTGCTCAACGAAGACGTCGCCGCCGTTGTTGCTCGGTTGGATGTCTCCGCGGATGAGCGAGATGGTCGTTGACTTGCCGGCGCCATTGGGCCCGAGAAGAGCAAAGACCTCACCAAGCCGGACGCCAAATGTGATGTCGTCGACAGCAGTAAACTTGCCGAACTTCTTGGTCAAGTGCTTGACCTGAAGGCCATCGTCAGACTCCGCGGTCTCGACACGGAGAAGCTCGTTGGCGACCTCTGGATCAGCTTGGGACTGCGAAGTCTCCGTCTTTGGGTTCTTCTTCTGCTTGAGGAAAGCAGGAATCTTGTTTCCACTGTCGTACCATAGGAGTATGTTAAACAGAATGATGGCTTGGAGAGCGAGGTACAAGATCGGGCCTCCATATGCGTCCAGTGTACCGGGATATCCGAAAAAGTCAGTGTCATCACAAGCTAGGGAGAACGTGTTGAGGCCAATCATCAGAGCCCGACATACGTTCGTAACGGGGAAAAAAGCGGCAATCGTGTAATGACCGATGATGATGTTGCGATCGCTGACAGTGGCAGGCGAAAAAGTGAGAATGTATAGAAACGCGATGAGGTAGATGGCGAATCCCACACTATTGTATGCCATGATGGCTGCAAAGGTCGCTACCTGGCTATTCAGGAATAGAGAAAAGACGTATGATAGCAAGATCGATGTAAGGCCGTATAGTATGAAGACCGGGAAGAGATAGCCAGGGGCATACCACACGTTCGACGATGCAACAAAGATGGCGGCCGCGATGATGAGGGAGATGAAGAAGATACCGTAGTCGAAAACAACATGTGCTGTCCACAAGGGTAGCGACCGAACTCCGCTTGAATACTGCAGGCCCCTGACGTTGGAGCGTCTCTCGACGTTGGGATAGAGTCCAAAAAAGGCGGGAACGATGGAGAGCACGATGCTGAAGTAAATAGCCAGTTGGATAGTGTCGATAGTTGAGAAGCCAAAAGGGTTGTCAAACGGAATGTATCTAGTTGCGATGGTGACATTGGTTCTCGAAATACTGAGCAGGTTTTGGGCGACAACTGCAGCGGGAATCGAGAGAATTCCGTCTGCTCGGTATGCCACAGTTGGTGTTCCATTATCGTTGCCAGCCCAGAACCCACCAGGCATGATGTTTCTGCGTTCACTCTCGATGTAGCTCAGCAGGTTCGACGCAGAGGATACCTGTTCTAAAGTAAAATTGCCCGAGGTGGAGTTCCCAGGTGCCAAAGCATCTATAAGAGCAGTGAAAGCAGGACTGGTAAGAGCCGCGGCCGGCCCAGCAGCGAGATGTAAGTCTTGGATCACTTCGTCGTATCTGTTACTGTTCGCTGCCCGGCTGTCATCGCTGGGGATGCATGTAGAGGAGTCCTTGTTCCTGATAAGAATCTGCATGATGGCTGCCGCAATAATAGGGACGAGGAAGGCGATGATAAAGGGTATCCAGTTGGTTTTGAAAAGGGTGATTCGCTTGTAGACCAAGGTCACAGCTTGCTTGAAGAAGCCGGTTTGGCGGCCTGATTGTAGACCCAGCGAGTTTCGTCCGTCATGAGCCATGCCCTTCTCAGTGATCTGCGCAGCATCTTCCGAGAACTTTGCTCCTGAAAGCGGGCCGGATCGAAGATCTTCGCCCTTGACCTCTTCAGCAACGTTGAGAAACACGTCTTCGATGTTGGGGCTGTTGATTCTGTAAGGTAGGCGAGCTTCCTCGAGGGTGCGAATAACCTCTGCAGCCAGAGTCGAAGATGGCGCCGTATAAACAATAGTATTTGACGAGACATTCAAGTGGACACCATGGACTTCTGGAGGGTTCTGCACATGCTTGGCGTTAAGCACATGGATTCGATAACCATCGCCAAGGCTATCTTTTAGGGCAACGGAAGTGCCCTCGGCTTTCAGGGCGCCCTTGGATAGGATCGCAATGTTATCGGCAAGCAAGTCAGCCTCATCCAGGAAGTGCGTAGTCAAGATGATAGTCCGCTTGCCTCGCTCAGAGAGCAAGATATCCCAGATTTTCCTGCGAGAGAGGGCGTCGATACCGGAGGAAACTTCGTCAACACAGCAAACCGCGCTTCCGCCAGTCAACATCATGCCAAGCTGCAACTTGCGCTTCTGGCCGCCGGAAAGGGTCTTTGACTGCGCCTTCTTCTTGGATCCAAGCCCGATGGATTCGATTAGCTTTTCGATTTCCTCTTTTCCAGCTTTGTTGCCGCCAGACTTCAACTGGTTGAAGATTTGGATGTGTTCAGTGACTGTCAACTCGTCCCACAATACATTCTTCTGAGGAGCGATACCGATGCCACCGGAGGCATCAATTGACACGCTGCCCTGGTTGAAGCGGCTGATACCGGCGATTGCGTCAAGGGTTGTACTCTTGCCGCTACCATTCGCACCGAGGAGTGCCAGGATCTGGCCCCTTTTTGCCACGAGATTGAGGTTGTTGACAGCGACGGTGGGTTCGCGCGGTTTCGAGATGAACGAGAAAAGTTGACGGAAAAGACTCGGCTTATACACCTTGGTCAAGCCGTCAATGTAGACAGCCTCTTCAGGCTGAGGGCCTTCGCCTCTGTAGATCTTTCTGCTCTCAGAGCCAACACCATGGATCTGGCGTTCGAGAACGGCAGCCAGCAAGAGATAAACGATGAACTGAAAGATGAAGAAGATCCAGAAAGCGATGCCTGGCAGGGTTGAAGCGCCAGTCGGAGGGGCTTTTACCAGGCTCATCCCCAGACCTTCGCCCTCAAAGCGAGCAAGAGACTTGATAAAAAATACAAATGCGCAAGGTGTGAAGAGGACGCTGAGAACCGCGACGGCTCCAGTGCCGGGATCGGGGAGCGCCTGGGCCAACACTCCAAGTAAAACGTAGACCAGGGAGTTGATGACGCCGGAAAGCTGAGCCTTTTTGAAAAATGTGGCGCCCAAAAGGGCCTGGGACGTCAAAGCAAGTCCGCCGAGGACGAAGAAGATGAGAACAATTCCAATGTTCGTCTCCTTCCAGACCATAGTCCTGGCGACGACAGAAGCCGCAACCCAGCCAGGGAAGTAAATTGTGCTAAAGGAGTACAGGTGGGCAACCATGCGGGCAACCTGGGGCTCCCACTCATAACGACTCGACATCATGGAATCGATAAGCTGCGAGAGACCCTTCTCACGCTCGGTAGCTACATGTCCAGGTAGATGGTAGCTTACGCCTATAAGGGCAAGGACGAATGAAACGGCAAGAAAGTCGATGAAAGTCTTTTGATAATCTCTTCGGACGGAAGCTTCACGCTCGTCTTCGGTTTCGTCTGTGAATCCCCATTCTTGCAAGCCGTCAAGAGACGCCGAGTTTCCTCCATTTGAATCGTGACGCGCGATGGCGGAGTCAACAGCTCGTTGAAGAGGCAAGGTGTAAACCTGGGCGTCATTGTCGTCGTTGGATACCTGAAAACTGCTTCCAAGGGCAATATCACCACGGAGAGTATAGTTCCAGACGTTGCCGTTGCCTTCGTTCGGAGATGAGTGGAAGACTACGGCGCCATAGCAGGGAGTCGTGCCCCTAGCTGACGAACGGCAGATGAAACCCAGCTCAGAAATGTTGGTGATTGTTGTCGCTTGCTTGCCGGCTGCGGAGACTTCGTCGGACAATGAAGATATCACACTTTCGATGTCGCCGCCTGTGTTTCCGTTGTTGACGAAGACAACCGTGTTGCGCGAACTGTCGGCGGCAGAAAGACCGCCCTGCAAGGATCGAATAGCTCGGGGCTCGGCGATACCATACTCATTCTGAGGGCCGTTGAGATTTCGCCCAATGCCTAGATAGACGGTGAGGATGATAGGTAGAACAAGAGCGGTGTAGATGGTCGAAGCTGAATGACGAGAAAGAAGGATGATATAGTTTTTGACAGTCAGGCTGCCAATCTGACGCAAGAGAGCGGACTTGGGGGCCGCCATTGCGGCAGTTGAAGGACGACTCGACAGGCTGGTTGTGTGTTCTGTACGCTGATAGAGAGTAATATAATTATTGCCAGTAGGCGTTATCAACTTGGGACCCGAAGGGTTGAGGCCTGGAAAAGTCGCAAGCAGTAGCTGCTGTAGAAATTGCAAACGATGCTGTAGAGAATTGATGTCTAGATTGACACAAGGTCGAGGGCGCAGGGTTGTTTATGAGCTATTTATCAATTGAAGAATGTTTTTAGAATTACTAGAGGACAGTAAGCAGTTACGGTAGTCGTAATGGAACCCTGCTGTCTTAAAGCTAAAGACCAAAAACAAAAAAAAAAAAACCCCAAAAGGAATGGTCGACATCTGATTCTATAGCACATTCGCCTATGAAATTGGGCGTTTTAACCGCACTGCCGCCCTCAAGGTTGCTCAATCGGGTTATTGGAATGCGATGAAGCCTCCCCAGTGCCGCAGGGCTACTGCAGCCACCTTGTAACGCTGTATGTTGTCGGGCGCGATGGAGCAAGGGAGATAGACAGCCCGATGACATCTTAACTGGCTAGGCGAACTGATGGGCTTGTGTCAATCACTGTCAGCAATTGGGCTATTGGCACAATAATAATTGGATAGGTTTCGAGCCAAGCCTCAAACGAAAAGGTGTGCTGCAACACACGTGCCGTCTTCATCAAAGATGAGATTACATTGGCACCTTTCGTGCATCTCAACTGTACACAGTCACGTCCAATAGCCCAAAGCAGTTAGCTCAGGTGTTTCCAAGCCTTGTCAGCCACCAAACCAGGGCTGCCAGGGTATGACGGAGGCTCCATTCAGTACAAACCCTGGGCGATCCCCGTATATAGCTGACAAGCAGCCGACTGGCAAAAGCTACTGTCATTTCCCCTTTTTGGAATAGATCCGCCTATCGTAGGCGGCCCGTTGCTTTCGGCCACCCATCCGAAGATTAAACTTGCCGGATCCTATGGGGTGGATATCTCAACCGACAGTTTGGTACCAGACGAAAGATTTGTGGTTCTCCCATCGCTATGGTACAGCTTGGCCAGGGGTGGGTGGTTATCGGTGTTGCAAATGATTAATTGCGTTTATGTAATGTTGCTGTCTTTAACGATGTACAAAGTTTACCTGACCAATTTCGCATGATATCCCTTATAAGAACAATTATTGACCTTAACACCGTTGTTGCTTGCTTGTATCACTTCGAATACTCTCTTAAGGACCCCCAAATGCGAGGGGATTAAAGGTTTGCTTTGCTAAAGGGATCGTTCTTCGTCGCTTCCTCGACCTCCTTGTACGCGTCGTAGCCGTACAACCACGGCTGAACCTCTGGGCATGTCCATCTGCTCGGGAATGGGCCCTTCAACTCTTTGCCGAGCTGCGATAAAAAGATTTGGTCTCTGGCCTCTTGCTCTGGACCATCATGCATGTGAAACGACTCACGCTGTTGGACGTTAGCTATCACTCTCGAGCTGCAGTGGATGACTTGAAGGTGGTTCTGACCTGCTTGAATGTTTCTCTCACAATTGCATCGCCTCGCGCTTTCCGCAACTTTTCGTATAGCCTCAACGCTGTAGGCAACTGTGACTTGCTTGTGATGTGGCCCAACAAAAGTCCGAGAACGGCACCATCCTCGACAGCCGAGTTTGCTCCCTGAGCGAGGTAGGGAAGCATTGGGTGGCATGCATCGCCGCTACACAGATGGATTAGCAAAACAAATTCTACTCGAGTTTGGCAGTGCCTATGAGACTTACACAAAGACGAAGTTGGACTTTTCGTTCACCCATGAATTGAGTTCCTCCCCTGAAGCAATATGTAAGCAAAGTTATTCGTAAATGAGGAGGCGAACCATATCTTACTGTGCATCAACTTCCACTTCTCAACGCTGTCAACAGCATCAAGGAATTTCACCAAGATGGGATCCCAGCCCTCGAATCGTGATCTCATCTCCTCAACCGATCCCGCTTGTCGGCTCACTCCATCTGGCAGGTCATCAGGCACCAGCAGCACGATGTTGTACAACTTCTCTGCTCTCATAGAATAGCCGACACAGTGGGCGCCAGGACCGATCCAGAAGTGAACCGAGGGCTTCGTAATCCATTCCTTCAGTTCCGGGTCGGAGATCTGATTGACGTCCAGAACGAGGCGGTACGCCAAATCACCCGTCGCCAGAGGAGGGTCGTCTTTCTTCAGATAGCACGCTCGGGATCGCGACCACAGACCATCGGCTGCCACGATCAAATCCGCTCTCGCCTTCACACCAGACTGCGTCGTGAGCTCGGCAATCTCGAAATCGATGTTCTCCACCTTCTCACCGAGCTTGAACTGCACGCCAAGCTCCTTGGCGCGTTCGTACAGAGACAGTTGAAGATCCACGCGGTGCAGGTCGATGAAGGGGGCCTGGTACTTTGCGCGGATCTTCTTGTCAAAGTCCTCTTCCTTGGCTAAAACTTTTCCGGAGTAGCGATGGACTACAAGAGATGTCGGCTCTGAGGCCGATTTCCAGAGTCTGTCTGGAAGGCCCCATCTTTGGAGGATGCGGGTAGAGTTTGGCGTTACTTGAAGGCCTGCTCCAACCTGAGAAGCATTGTCAATACACTGGTACTCATAAGATGCGAATATTTGGTGCTTTTTCACCTCAAGGAGCTCTTTGGCGGATTCAAAAACCGTCACTCGGTGTCCTGACAATGCTGTCGCTACTGCTGTCGCAAGGCCACTTAGCCCAGCACCGACAACTATGACCTCCAGCTGAGCCGTGGATTTGATATGAGGCGTGGCCTAGTCTCAATGTTAGTCTCAATGAAGCGATTATTAAAGTAGGCCGCCTCTATCCAGGTTTTTTTTCTTTTCTCTCCCATTCAAAAGAAGGGCAGAACTTACCGCCATAGTTCGAGCGTTGGGGGTTGAATCTTTGGTCGACAGAGACGACGACTTTGAAAATATCCAGGAGTTGAACCACCGGAGCATGATGATGTTGGGCCACAGGTTCAAGCTGGAAAGACGAATAAAGGATAATATGAGATGAGTCGTAGTAGCAGGACTCCCTTACCGTCAAAACAAATGCCTGAGATTTTCGGTCAGCAGCTCGATCCAGGTGTTCAACCCATGTTCTTTCAATATTGTTGAGAATTTTCGGCAAGTCCTCGCCCCTAAATTACATGCTTTGGCTTCCCCGGAGATCCCCCACACTCATGGACGCGGCGCAGGAGCATCCCGCGGGGGAATCAGGTGGACACGGGTGGACGCTTGGTGGACGCCATGGCGGGATATCCGGATTGTCTCGGATATTCCGCAGTGCGCCGTTTCCTCCAGCAAGCCACGAAATCCACTAAGCAAAAACCCAACCCGAATGAAATGAAAAGAAGCGGATTGGTAGACAAGGGCACCGACGGAGGCGAAATCGGCAAAGCCGGCAAAATTGGGGGGTTTTCTATTACGCGCAAAACGTCTCCGAGCTGTTCTGGCTTTCCACTGGGTCGGGCTTCGGCGCTTATTCGTTGCGATCTCGGCGCGAAGTGTTACATGGCATCATTGGCCGGATATATTGGTCGTAGTTTTGACGGTTTACGGGATTGGCATTCGGCTCTTGATACCACACCAAACACTATCACGTTGCATATCTCCTGGATCACAAACTGGAAACAGAACTTTTGAAGTGTCCGGAATATTCTCAGCCCTTTTCACACTCTGTTTCATCGGATTTATCTCAATCTCACCATATCCCCCTCATCAACCCCGCACCATGTCGTCGCCCAAGGGTCCTTTTAAGTTGATAACCGTCAACACCGCACCTGAGCGTGCGAAGCGTCTCATCGGCCGCATGGTTGAAGCCCTCAAAGATCAGTATACGATCGACTATGTCGCCAACTGCGAGAGTATGTCACAGGGGTATTCATGAATTGGATGGTTCTGTGTGCTAATAGCATGTGTAGGAATAGATGAGGTCGAGGCCAAAGTGAAGGAACACCAACCAGACGTCCTGGTAAGCCGTGGTTTTGAGTTACTGAATGCGTGCATTTCTGACCTTGGAAACAGTTTTGTGCTTCCATGTGGACAGCAGAGGAGTCCGCCCAGATCTTTTCTATCGCAAGGGCGATTAGACCGGATGTCAAGACGCATGCCATCCCTCATGGACTGCAAGTCGAGAGAGGGCCAGATGCGATCGTCGAGCACCTTCTTGAGAACGTCCCAAAGCTGCTTGACCAGTAATGTGTGACGTTATTGGGATTAGACTTGAGAATAAAAATGTCAAATTTTGCAAATGCATTCATACTGTCGATATAATGTGAACGACGAAAGTAAGAGTCACAGTCTGACTATGTAATCATGATTTGGTGACGCTACAGCACCTGCCAAGTGATATGAACACCCAATTAACCAGACGGTAATAAGTATAAATCAACCAATTTTTTGTCCATGATTTTCCATATACCACTATAATTACACTAAGGCACTCATCGTTAGATAAAAGATCGCACCATCAAAGCTTTTGACTGTTACCCTACATACCATGTACTGGCTGCCTTCTGGTGCTCAATAGATTACTCTCAAGGAAACTAGCCGTGTTTTGAGTAGACAGGCTCATTTGGCCTCAAGGCAATGCTAACGTCATTTTCATTTAGACACTCTCAAAGGATATTAGTGAAGGAATTATGCATAAGTTTAACAGTTTTTAATAGCTTATATCTGAGTTTTAGCGTAGATTACACGTCACGTATCCCCATCAATAGTTGCCATCTCTATTGTCCCACAGCAGTGACACCCTCGTTCTGGAAGACGTTTACCAAAGTTCCAATGTGAGGCAGAATCTCAACCTTGAATTCATCACCATCTTTCAAGGTGACCTTGGGCGTACGGCCCAAGCCAACACCGGCGGGAGTACCGGTGATGATAACGGTGCCAGCAGGCAGGGTCGTGCTCTGAGACAAGAAGCTGACAAGCTTCGGAATGCTGAAGATAAGATCGCTAGAGTACAAGGTCAGAGCGATGATCCCTTGAATGTAAAATTGAAGGAACCTACTTGATGCCGCTCTCTTGGAGAACCTCGCCGTTCCTCAAGCCGCGGATTTGCAGCTTGCTAGGGTCAGGAATAAGATCCTTCGACACCAAAGTCGGGCCTAATACGAAAGTTGCGTTAGACCACATAATCCCACATCTTCATCATAAGAAACTAGGGGGCACCACTTACCCAGCGGGCATGAACCGTCGAATCCCTTGGCGAAGCACCACTGTGACTGGTTCATCTGATAGGTACGGCTAGAAACGTCGTTGCAGGCAGTGTAGCCCAAAACGTAGTCGAGGGCGTTGGCCTCGGAGACGTTCTTGCACGTCTTGCCCAGCACGATGGCGAGCTCAGACTCGTAATCACCACAATCATCAGCCTGCGTGAGGAGAGGCAGGACGGTTGGCTCCGGCCAAGGGTTTCCAAGAGCCGTGCTCGGCTTCCTGTCATGAAACTCAGTCATAATGCCATGTGAACGGGAGTCTTTAGAAAAGGGTCTTACAGGAACACGGTCGGAACATCGGGAAGAGGAACACCGACTTCTTTGGCGTGTTGGACGTACTACATGACAATTTAGCTTTTTGGAACGTCATTTTTTTTCAAGATCCAAAGCAACAAAAAAAAACTCACGTTGAGTCCGATGCAGCGGATGGTGCCGACCTCCTCGGCAGACACGGGTGAAAGAACGCGGTCGATCACAGCCCGCTGGTCGGTCTTGACACCAGGGTTGATGACGCTGGAGCCCGACCACACAATGGCCTTTACCTCCTTGCCATCGCGAAGAGCCAAACCGACATCAACAGAGTCAGACTCGGTTTCTCCGATGAGGACCTTATTGGGAGCATCACGGGCGATGAACCGCACGAAGCCTGGGCTGGTCAGCGGATATTTTCCCGGGGAAGTGTAATGCAGTGGAGGAGAAGGGGATTAAGCAGGCTTACGGGTGAAGGAAGGTTGCGAGGCTGAAGTCATCTTGATGCTGAGCTGTGATTATCCAGTTCGGGTCAAAGGACGTGTGAGGATCTTAGGATTCCAATTCGCGGCCTTTCTTCAAAATGGGAGTTCGGATGATATTCCCAGAAGAAAGGGTCTCCGAATCGAGGAATCCGACTGGGGCTCTCACGCCCCCACAGTGGCCGATGGGTTGGGGGTTGGGGTTCACGGCTCGGAGGTCCGGTAAGTAAAAAAGCCAATGATATTGTCTTAAGCCTACCACTGGAGGCTGCTGCAGCATGGTGCTAATTCAGTGTCCGAGCAACCATTGGTCAGTGCCTATAAAGTTAGGTTGGGCGGAAAACCCGGGGCGGGTTCAGGGGCGCAGCTCTGGCAGAGAGTGGGGGAGATACGAGGATGAGGGGTGACCGGAAAGTGAGGGGCAGATGGGCCGATCAGCTTCCGACTCCAATTCCAGCTTGACGGGCCACGGCAGTTGTCAATGTTTGTGTGACGTGATCTAATTAATGAGAGCTACTGCTTGGAAGCCGACTTTGATATTGATTTCAAAATCTTCCAACCTAATCAGATACCCTCGACTCTGTCTAAACGTCCAAATCCACGCGGAGGAGCCATTGTTCCAGTGGAGAAGCTTGTTTGATCTCAACATATCGATCTTGTCTGGATAACTCGGATTCTCTTTGCAGAACCTTTTCTAAACCTTCATCATGGCGGGCGCTGAAGAACAAGCGCTTCATGGAGGCGAATACCGCCAACATTTACCAGATCTGAGCATCCCCCGCTTCACAACCATGCAGAAGCAGGATGCTCATGAGTATGCGAATGCATTCAAAGAGAGCGGCAATCCCCCATGGCTCCACGCATTGTATCTACACTGGCGTAAACTATTCAAAGAGCCATTCACTGGAATCACAACAGATGGTATGACTTCCTCGAAGTAGTCTGACCAAGCCAAAACGTGCTAACGACCTTTTCAGGAACTGTCAAGAAAGACCTGTATCAGCTCGCTGACGAAGGGGTTTCTATCCAAGAGATAGTTGACGCCACAAATGCCGTCCTGTCGCAGCTAGACGCCAAGCAAAAGTCAATTTTGTCGTACCACATTGACTCTCCCGAGTGGAGGTCATGGTCGAACCCAGAGTTTCTCCTCAGCGACAAGGGTCTGCGCCTTGACGAGTTAACGCCACAACTCCGCGACAGCATTCTCAAGGTACTGGAGACCACGCTCTCGCCCGAAGGTTACGCCAAGGCCCTTGGGGCCATGCGCATCAACGGCTTCTTGGGTGAGCTAGTCAAGGCTCCGACAATTTGCAATGAGTTCTCATACAACTTCGTGCTGTTCGGCGAGCCCTCAACGACACGGCCGTGGGGGTTTTCCTTTTACGGTCATCACTTGTGTCTCAACATCTTCCTGTACAAGGGTCAGATTGTAGCGTCTCCGTGGTTCACGGGTGCGGAGCCGAATCTCATCGACGATGGCCCGTACAAGGGGACACGAATTCTTGAGACAGAGGAGAGACTTGGTCTGCAGCTCATGCAGTCCCTCCCAGCCAATCTGCAAGAACGAGCGCAGACATACAAACTACTAAAGGACCCGGCCATGCCGAAGGGGAGGTGGAACCATGATGACCAGAGACACCTTTGCGGCGCCTACAGAGACAACCGTATTGTACCATACGAGGGCATTCTTGTTGATGAGATGAACTCGGAACAGCAGGGACTAGTCACGGGAATCCTCGAGCAATATCTTCTCTATCTCCCCCAGAAGGCGCGAGAAATTCGGATCAACCACGCCAAAGCCTTTTTCAAGGAGACATATTTCAGCTGGATCGGCGGGTTCGGCAACCAAGATCCCTTTTACTACCGTATCCAGAGCCCCGTTATTCTTGTCGAGTTTGATCACCATTCTGGTGTCTTTCTAACAAACAAAGAGCCGGCGAAATTCCATATTCATACTTTGCTACGGACACCCAACGCTGGTGATTACGGAATGGCGCTCCGGCCGCTGATCCCAGGAGTTGAGCAAGACTTCGTATGGGAAGGATGAATGAGAAGGACAAAGATAGAAGAAAGCAGAGTGGTGCTTTAAGCGCTGTTTCATGATGGCTATTTTGTACCCCTCTGTCTAAAGATATGTCAAATAAACCCACTTCAACAGCAGTAAAACTCACTTGTTTAATAATCATCCGCAAAGAACTGTAGGACATTCTCTTCAGTTCATGTTCTGACTATAGAAAGAACATATGCTGTAATGTTTGCACCTTGATAATTTAAATGTCCTATGCACTTTCTACTGCAAAAACAAACGGTCTCTAAGCTGCTGATCTAGCTAAAAACATAACATCCCCATGACCAGCAATACTCATCTTAACACCGCTGAGAAACATGACATTACATCCAGGTTGATCCGTCCCCAAGACGACTAGCTAGGCCCCTTATAAATTGTCCAAGAGTTCAGAGCTTTAAGTCGACAACTTTGAGGCCACAAACTGCCACGACAGCTTCAGTAGCATAACTGCATGGCAGAGGTTGGTGCTAACAGCGTCTAACACAACTGAGTATCCGCACAAACCCACACATCGTTCACCTTAGTCTCGCCAGCGCACATAAAGCGCTTAGTACAGTCGATGGTATTCGGGCTCTGCCTGTAGCATTTGGCCAATATTTTCCCCGGGTTTGCGTTGTGCTCATAGATCTCAAGACCACCGTTTCTGGGGTACATGTCGACCGGCTTACTGCCGCAAATGGTAGGGTAGCTCAGGCCCTCCCAGGACTGCCCGTTGCCCCAGGTCCTCTGGAACCATTTGTCGTCTCGGAAGGCGTCGCAGTTGTATTGCGATGACGGGACGACGCCGACGCGCCACTCCACCACGGGTTTGCAATAACACACGCCGGTCCTCTTGTTGCATTCTTGGTCTGCAACTCGCTGGTACCGCGTGAATACGTGAAATGCCGCGTTGACGGAAGTTGCAGCTTGTAGCATCAAAAGGGTTGCAAGGACGAAGGTTCCTCTTAGCGCATACATGTTTGCTGTTGTTTTAAGTGGTACAAGATAAATATGTTGACGGAAGGTGTGTAGATGGATGCAATGAGGTAGCTTGAGGAGAATGAGGACCGAACTGTGATCACCGAGTTCTGGAATTCACCTTGCTTTTTATTCGCAGAGTGAGCATGAAACTACTATCAAACATTCAAGCCTTTGTATTCATCTGGTAGTCATATGCTTGGCCTCGAAAGTGTTAGACAGCTGCCCGCTTCAGGTCCTCTGTGCTGGGCTACTAGCTGTGAAATGGATTGATGTCAGCTGACGCCCAGCTTTCTAAAGACATCAACAACCAAAGAGTAATAGTATTTTAAAGTAAACTTGCATATCTAACACGCCTCATTTGGCAATCAGTTTGTTTGAAAGGTGTTTAGAAGACAATTGCTTAGATTCTCTGGATATGCAGCTGACGTGAGATCTCGACGTAAAAAAGCAGCTTCGCCACTTTAGAATTTCTGGACAAATCACTTCGTCCCTCCTTGTCTAAAACCCCCTCTACTACAGAAGCTAGTTACTGGAATCCATGCAGACGCAGATGACTGACTGAGCTTATATTCTCTTTGTGGACAAGCCTGCCGTTCCTTGTCAGTAAGGTAACCGCCTTGAGAGGTGCGAGCTAGGACCCTTTCATCAGAAAAACAATTGCCTCACCCGGGTTTCTCCATAACTTATTGAGCTTATCTCTTTTCATTCGGCATATCATTAAAATGATTGGTTGTATTCCGCATACGAATGTGCTCGTCAATCACATCGATGGAATAGCTTACTGTAGGTCTGGTGTCAGCAACTACTGGACAAGTTATAATAAAGATAAGTCGCCTATCGGCGGCCTCTTTAGAACAACAATATCCCTCTAACAGACGGATGGACTAGGTAGAGCAGACGGTCTTGGGCTAACCGTCTCCCTGACTGATAGCCACGATTAGTCATGCTCTTTTTTGTGGAAACTCTGCCAGTTCAAAAGCGGAAAGGAAAACAAATGTGCGGAGGAAAAATATTTTGTTTATTGAGCTGTTGTCAAAACCTGCACACATATCGCCTGGTTTTCGCTCTTGAATTGTAGCTGTCCAGTAAGACCACTTATTTCAGGGCGCATTTGGCAAACCATTCAATGCCTCACGATATCATCTTCCGTCCTCTGATGTCAACTCATCGGAATTGAATCTAACAGCAGCCAGTAGAGCCACAGCAACCAATGGTGCATCCAGCGGTGCACCCAGGGCACCCAGGCGAGTGGCAGGTGTCCATGCAGTCGTTGAAGAAATCGCGGTCGCAGCGCTTGTTCAAGCTTGCTTCAAGGCCTCGTTCTAATAAGACCATAAAACTTAGTTGAACTTTCTTTGCATTATATGCCGTGTACGGATATGGCTTCCAAAGAGGTTGACTTACGCTCAAGGGCTCTCGCGATACCCGCATGGTCGAACTGTGCCGGCTCTGGAGCCGCAGCCGGGATAGCGGCGGCGACTGCAACGAAGAGGGCGGTAACAGCGGTAACGGAGAATCTCATTTTGTCTGTTATGGGTGTGTAAAGCTTTGGCTGTTGCTTTGATGTTGGGAAGAACTCTGGAGGTCGGCTTTGATGTGGCTGCTTCTTGTTCTGAGTCTGTGATCGATTTCTTGGGGACACAGATGGCTTTTATACACCAATTTTCTAATCTTGGTATGCGATATTCTACTTCTACTAAAGGAGAGCGTTGGCCTGAGGCCCCGTCTATTCTCTCGATGTACTAATGCAATGCTTCGCTGGAAGGTGGTAATTCAACCGTGCATGTCAATGATGTCCAAAATACGGTAGGATCGGCATATAAGCCTCTATCGACTTTGGGAAGACTTGGGTATTCGAATCCTTCTGGCTGGGTCAGTATCTTGGCACTGGCTTGGATCGATTGTGATTTGACACCTGTGTAATACCCCGCCTCTAGTAAATGCGATGGTAGTATTTGCATGTTATTTTCTTCTCCTTTCTAGTAATTAGTTTATCGGACGGTTGACCCAACCTATGCTCATGTTCATGTCATGGAACTCACTCAATCTGGTAGACAATGTGTGGACAACAAAAAAGGATACCCTGATTCGTGTCCTGTCTGCCATATGATTCGCCAAATAACCGTCCTGATCCTGGTTTCACCCCAGATTTGCATTTTACCTTTAGGCTTCCAGTTTGAAGGGACGAATCCACGGTGGATCGAATTAACCAATAGCTCTTAATCACCCGCTCTGGTATTATATCAGGTTGCTCCGCTCCTCTTGGCGAATCCTTCCTTTGCGTATGCCTGCATGTCCAAGAAGACTTTCAATAGCCAACTATGGCATTTAGGATCAAGTCCTCGGACCCATTAAAGCAGCTGCCCCACAAATGAGTTGTTGAACAGGGTGCCATGGCTGATCATTACTACGGACGGAAAATGCAAAGAGGAAAGTAAGCCAACTCTATCGCCTGATTAGAGGGGTTTGGCAAGACGTCGAGCATGACTTCAATACTTGGCCATTACAATAAATGCAAAAGGCCTCATCCATCTGCTGGGGATACTTTAGTTTGTTGATTTCTCTCAACTCCGCACTTGATCTGAGTAGTTTATTCGCACATCGGAAATGATCGACGACTTCCAAGTGACAGTCAGCCCGATTACAACATCGAGGTTGCAGATCACGAATCCTTCGCTCTAGATGATTGGAGACTTCTCTTACTAGTAACATCCAAAATCTCAAAACCTTTGAATTGAAGACGAAAAAGCCAGCACATTTACGCTAGATGCGAAAAGTCTGAGTATAAATAACAAGTTTGCCCGAGGGTTTTTGATTATCAGGAGTCAATTGGATATTGCCCTGCCTGTTTGAGTGGGGATGCTAAGACGAGCACCCGTCAATTTAGTGCCTCTACTTCAATTAATCATAACATTTCGGTGATAATGTATGGGTTTACGTAAACCGGCCTTGTACCAACGGCTGCGTGACACTTGATTGCACACCTCTGTGTCCAATTCGGTGCCGAAAGTCATGTCCTGTTTGGAACATAGCATCCCATACTAGTAATGATTATGAGTAGCATTGGATGTGGGTCTTTGGCGCAATCATGAATCCAGGGAGAGCCAAGAGCATCTAAGGACAAATCCAGTGCGAAGATCTGCACTCAGCTGAATCTTAAGTGGAGTTGTAGCTGAAGGAGTATGCAGGCGCAATACCTTCACAATAGGGCAGGCAGGGGAGGCAAGAAAGACAAAGCCACGCGGCTACTAGCCATGTGAAAATTCCATGACGTGTGAAGATCCTGGAACAAGAGGTCGAGAATGAGGTATTTGATAGGAATGTAAACAGATGCCGCAGGACTTAATGTTGCAGAATCGAAATCGACTTTCTGCATCAGCATGAAGTTGTAGATTCTGGTCACGGTTTGAACAGATGTCGTCCAAAAATACTTTTTTTTCTTTTTTTTTTTCTTGTGAATTAATGATATTACTGAGGTTCTTGGTCATGCTTCCAAAGGATCATGGGAGCGCCACAATGACGCTGACATTGTTTTGTCGAAGATCATGTCGCCCATGACATTGCGAATGTCCCATCGATAAAGCTTTGTAGCCTATGTTGCTTTGGCTAGAAATGAGGCGTGTGAATCTTTTCTACCGGTTGTAAAATGTCTGATTTAGTGGACAAGTGGGGATAGGTGTACTTCATAATGCGCGGTGAAATCGTAAGTCTTGGTCTTCGTTATTTACCACCGACTTTAATATGTTATAGTAAACCAAAAAATTGAGGTCAAATTTTCCAGCATCTAGAAAAATGACGTTTAATAATAATGGGCTCCTCGCACAATTAGATAGTTTGCAGCGTGGTGTATCTACTTCTTACAAGCAAGATATTGACGGAGAGAAGATTAGGCATCAGCTTTCGTATCAAGCTCCTTGACAACTATGTACAAGTCCTGCACGCAAATACCTCTGATCAATACCTATTTTATTACTTGTGACAGCTTCGTAGACCTTTGGGTGGGGAGTCTCATCACAGCTTGAGTTACGTGCGATAGCGGTTTATCAGATGCGGGTTATCGTATCATTTAAGATCAAACAGCATCATTTCCCCGCATGTTTATTCTGAATCACTGATCGGCATGATGTCGGAAGTGGGGTGTTGCTAATCGAGCGGATCAAGATCGTGGCGACAGCTGAAGGGCACGTTTTTGTTCTTTTCATCCGGATATGGACTTGACATTGTTTGATTTTCCAAAAGCGGCAGCAGGCGACATCATCTCTCATCCTCTACCCTCGTGAGGTACTCAGCCTTGTGACTGCAATTACTAAGATATGAAACTAGTAGGGCTGTTCAGTTGATTATGTATAACCTTATCGCCGTCGACTAGCAAGAGACAACGGTTAAGACCCTTGGCCTTTCGCTCGCGAACGTCCTGACCAATACCCTTGGCCTTGCCTGTCCCGGCGAATTGAGACCTTCGCATGTCCGACATATATCGACCGCCACGGATCAGGTCATGACTCTTCCGACCGGATTCAGTCATGATTCTACTCTTGCACCGAATTCATCATAGTTCTAGCCTTGCACCTTATCGTCACAAGCTTTCTCCAAGTGTCATCTCCTAATCCCAGCAACCACGCCAAAGCCCGTTTGAACCCTTTTCCCAGTTCGAAAATGCCACAGTAACTGACTGAGTAAGTTAGCCCGGACAGTTTTCGCAAGAAAATCCAGAAAGGGTAAAGACGGGCTGTTTCCGCTCGTGGTTGCCCAGACTTCTCCTTAGCACCATCAACGGGCTTTGTCTCTCTGACGCCCAGGGCGTGACGATCGCGAAGCTTTTAGACTTAAACGGCTACCACGCGACAGGCCATCTGGCTGGGCAACGGGAAGTAGGGTTCTGCTAAAGCTAGATTCGTGATTTTAATTGATCTAGCCGAATGGTGTGATTTCCGTCCATCAGATAGTAGGGAATCAAAACGAAGCTTACTCAGGGGGAAAAAAATTAAGATGGTGTCGAATTTGGACGATAAAAAAACTTTTGTTGTTTTTGGGTATTCTGGTACCTGAATTACAAACAGCTTAACCTAGTACGAACGGGATATCTTTGAGAAGCGGAAAATTCGAATTAGTGTTGCCCAGACATACTCCATCTACATCCTAATGGCTCGGAAGTACCTCACTACCCTGTTCAATGTTGAGGTAGAGTTGTAAGTTTCCATCGTAGCCCCCGAGTCTTCCGAATCCGCAGAATACCTCCTCTCTTTTACGAATTTGGGCCAAGTGTTGGTCAGCACGAGGTACTTGATACTTGTCTCAGCGTCGTCGAAAACGCTTGCCGTGAATGCCTCGGGTATATCCCCCCAGTACAGGGCATGGTTGTGAATAGGGTCCCTCATAGTGGCTTCTTGCGATAAAACTGCTTTTTCGGATTCACCGGGTGTTAAGTCTGACCCAGCGGCCCAGTTTGGATCCTCAAATGGCACGACAGGGTCACTGAACTTTTCTGTTTGGTGGCCGTAGAGGATGCGTGTGGCGTCGTCGAAGATGCTCTCCAGGCGCTTGAGATCTTGCGAAGCGATGTTGATCTGGAACTCTGCATGACGTGGGCTAATGAACTCGGTATAGATGCGAAGTGCGCGGTTGAATCGTTCGCGGGTGAGTTCTGGGGATTGCTCTCGTCCACCAGACGATTGAGGAATCGATGACTTCCACTCCCCGACGGCAGACAAGAAGGCAATGTTCTCCCCCGAGAAGTCCCTAAGAGCAGAGAACTTGCGGAGAGGCTCAGGGTTCTTATCCAAGACGTACTCGAGGGCTCCCATGGTAAAGATACTTTCAGCCTGCCCAGTGCCGCTCTCAAGATGCGTAACAGACTTCCAGCTAGAAGTAGCCGACGACGCAATCTGGGTAGAACCAGTGAGAATAGAGTTTTTCCTCTTGCGCTGGTTCTTCGCTTCCCAAATAGCGATGGACTCAAGCGTCTCCTGACGAAGGGTGTTGTGCTTGATCACTTGCCAGCAGGGGATAAATATAGCAAATATCTCGGTGAAAAAGATGGAGAGACAGATCCTGTGGCAATGGAATGTAAGTATCATGAGATCATTGAGTCGAGCGCACAGGCGTGCTTCATATAACATACCACTGAGGGGGGATAAAGTACTTGTTCACAGGCGCCATTGCTGGTACATACAAGGCGACAAGCCACATAGGGGTAGCGTGCAAGCTGGGCTGATTAGCGCATGCCGGAGGAATCTGGGCCGAGCGAGCGCTAGACTCGATTCACGTACTTTGCGATGCAGCAAGAAATGGTCTGGAAACGCCATCCCTGGGTGTCCTTGATCCCGCGCGATTTCCAGAGGATGATCGGCGCGACAACCCAGGCCCAAAAGAACTGCCAGAATACCGAAGGCCACCATTCCCAGCCTCTCGCCATCTCAATCTTTCGCTCTGCAGGCGTCCCCTTCACCTCTGTGCCGGGGATACCGAACGAAGGGTGATATTTGCGAGAGATGAGATACATCACAACTGTCAAGAGAAGCTGAGAAGAAAACCACCCCCCCTGGTCAGCCATGCACGCTCAAAGCTGTCAAGGCACGGTCCACTGCTTAGGCTAACGTCACATACCTGAAGTACCATGCCCGTGCACACAATAGCCAGCATTTTGGTGGTGTAATCTAGCTTTCGGAATCGTCCCACAAGTGTCTTGTCCTTGCAGGAGCACGCATTTGTGTCGGCTTGTGGGAGAGAAGCCGGTTTGCCGGCGTATTTCCTTTGCGCCTTGGCGATATGGAGAAAGCGGCTGTTCGAAGCGTGGAAGAGAGCAATGCCGAAAGGAAGGTAAAGGCTCATGACCCAAAACTCGGCGCTATCAGGCATCAGCGACCCATATGAGAGGCCAGCCTGGCAGGAAAACCAGTAGAGGTGGAGCAAAGTGACAGAGGCGAAGGATAAAGCCAGCCCTCGGATCCTCAAGAATGGCATGTTGCGGTTGACATAGAGGAACGCCATTCCGCAGATCACCATGATTGTCCAAAGACCTCCCCAAGTGAGCCAGAAGATAGCGGCTGGTTCCGTGTTGAAGGCAGGTGCCGGCAGTGCTGGCGAGGGCGAGGGGCTTGGTACGGCCGAGTCCATTGTTGCTACTGTATATTGATGCCAGAAACGTAAAAAAGAATGTGATCAATAGCTACCCGTAGACATGGGAGCGAAAAAAGGAGTGTGAGATGAGGGAGTTTGCAGATCATGAGATGATGAGGACCAGGAGATGGACTTATAACTTCTGGAATGCGACTGAGGCTGGGAGATAATTGTCTCGGTGGAATGTGAAAACCTCTTCACCGATGTATCACTGTCCAAGATCACTCGCAGGGACCATTAGCCTGCACCGTCATACTCGTGGGAGGCATGCCATACGTGATAAAAGAGTAGGTAGGTAGACTATCGTGCAGATCACCGTTCATGATGGCAAATCAAGTTTCCCCTTAGTTGTCGACGCATCTCGCAAAATATTTTAAAGACAAGGCGGACATGACGACAGCTTGGCAGTCTGTCCCTGGCGTGCTTAAGGGTCCTGGTGAGATCTCACGGCCCGAGATGGAGTGAAACATCAATGCATATCAGTGACAGACTGCATGCTTTCAACGGCTCCACGCGGGCCTATTTTCTTGGGAGAGACTTGAGAAATTTGCTAGGGAAGCACTCAACAGCTTGTTGCGTAGATCGCCTGGCTTTCTGTGGCCATCTTGCGCTAGGAGGTCACTCTTACTAGTGTCTAAGGGTTGTCCATTGTCGGCACGCTAGCTAAGAGGCGGGAAGTCGGTCTAGCTGAAGTAGGACAATACTTTTTCTGCTATGGATTTCGAAGATTCAATCAGTCACCTGACCCTTGGCAAGGTCCGTAATTGAAATGCTGTTGCAGATCTCTGGCTCATTCTCCAAGGTGGTGGGCAATGGCTGTAATCCCAAATGACTGAGTCGGGCCTTTGGCCAGGAGCTTGCTCGGGCATCTCAATATTGTTGCAGAACAAAGCTCACAAGTTTCGAGGCTTTCGAATGGATGATTTAGAAGAGCTGCGGAAACTAGAAATAGTGAAAAGTTAACCTAGTTAAAGGGAAGCGGCCACGTTATGCTGTGCATGTGGGAGCGGGCGCATAGGCATGGATGTGCATGTGGATGACTTCCAACACGCTAGCTGCGAATGTAGGGGTTCCTTTACTCCAAATCATGACAGGAGAGCGAAATCGATCAACGGCTAGCTGATTTAGCAAGCCAATGATTGGCCACAGCCTGTGACACAGGTTTTCAGCTTGCGAACATCGCATCAAAATGTCATCGTCATTACCAGGGAATGCCCAGCTACCATGAGACACTGCCCCTCAACCTTCAATTTTAGATTAGCTGCGATAGCAGCCTGGCGTGTTTGTCCAGGAGTAGCAGAGAAGGGTTTTGACCATGCGGAAAGAGCTTCGAGTGAGACCATGTAAAAATCCGGATTGCATTTGAGCTTCACGATGATTGCGGCGGAGCGCCTCCGGGTGCATTCATTTCTGAGAAACAATGAAACATGATAGAGCCGATACACAACCGAATCTGAAGGCCGAGACCTGGATCTCGGTTGCCAGGCCGGAAACCGGCAGCAGAGATGCCTCAAGATCTATGAAACCTCTATTGGATCTGCAAAGAATTCCGCCGTTGGCCCGCAAATTCTCATCCAAGCTGTCTCACTTCTGCTCAATTTGTTGGGTCGCATGTTGCTACTTAGGAACGCCATGGCTTTCAAATTGCACGCTAGCCCGTGGGGGGTCTGCAGGCAGGGGCCACAGGCTCGAACCGGTGGCCTTTGCTCTCCGGAGCTCAAGCTTGCTTGGATTTACTTTCGTCAGATTGCAGGCAGCTTGTGGATAGGTCAACGAAGCAATCAACCAACCGTAGCGAAGTTGAAGTTGACATTGACGAGACTCATCTCATTAAGCATAGACAGGCCATTTGACAACCTTGTCTCCCATGTCTTCCAGTGGTAAAAAAAGCCAGTCGTTTCCAAAATGAGAAAAACGGCTTTGTTCAATTACATTTATTTTAGATCATGGGTAACGTCGCACACCCACTTCTCGCACACCCCCACATTTCGCACACCCATAAATTGGGTCATCATGAGGTATTCATCAACTTCATAACTATAAGTCTGATTCGTCTCCTGCAACTGTGATACTATCGCCAGTTTTAATAGGTAATTCAGGCTCGCTAGATTCATCTGAGCTATCCTCAATTTCGCCAGCCTCAATTTGGGCTTTGTGAATTGCCTCAATGTTGGCAAACTTCGAATTTGGGCTCATTTGGACCTTACGCCGCTTCCGTACCATTCCAGCCTCAACTTCTGCTTCCAACATTGCAATCTTCTTCTCTGCTGTAGCCAATTGATAGTCCTTTTCATCAAATCCCTTTTGAACCTTCCGAAACAACAGTCGCTGCGTTTGCTGATCTTTATCCAACTTGCTGAATAAGCTAAGTTGATCATATAGATCAACTGTCTTCTTGGGCGTTGACCAGGCTACTATGGATGTAGCAGATGCCCAGTTTTCGTCTTTTCCACCATCAGAGGCCCTCATAGGCGTAGAATAGCCTGGCTTTGAGGGCTTGGAAGCATTCTCAAGCAGTAGAGGGCTCATGAGCGGTCGAGCTATCGAAATGGGCCATAGTCCTGTTGCTTTCCAGCCGCTTCTGATATTCTTGCTTGAAAATGCCATCTGGCGTGCTTTTCCATAGCAGGTAAGAAAGTTCCGTTTGCCTACAACTGTAGAATCGTTGTGTTGAATGAGGTATCCAAGCTCTTTTCGATAGGTCGCCTTGAGAGGCCCAAAGACTGCTTGGTCTAGAGGTTGGAGAACGTGGGATGTATGTGGCGGTAGGAAAAGGAGATATATCTTGTGTTTATAACAGAGATACATAAATTCTGTTGTTTCATGACTGCCATGACCGTCTAGGATCAATAGTCTCTGCTCAGAGGGATGATCAGGCTTAGTCAGAGGGATAAAGATGTTCTCAAGCCATTCCACAGCTGTAGAGTCTGAAGTCCAGCCATTCTCAGTTGCTGTGAACTTCCAACCACTGTAAATATCACGTTTATGGATATCAAGAGGAAACCATTGTTGTTGAACCGATTTCCCTCGATAAATAACAAGTGGAGGAAGCGCCTGACCAGTTGCAGAGACACACTCAAGCATAGTTGTCCAAGCCCGAGACCCAGGCTGTTTTTTTCGCATTGATGAGCTTTCTGATGATCCCAGTACTAAGCCATTTGATCCTCTGCCTTCTAGGATACCAGTTTCATCCATGTTATAGCGATGATGTGGTTTGATCGCCTTGATCTCTGGAAGGGCGAGTTGTTGAAACCATTGCCTGATTACATTAGTTGAGGCCCCATTGACACGCTTAGAATCGATGGCTCTAGCTCTATGAACCTTGATTGATGGATTTCTCTTAATAAAGAACTGAATCCAGTTTCTCCCAAGTGGCTGGGTAGTGCCTCTGATGTCTAGGATTCGCTGGGCAAATTCCTTGAGTTGTTGATGTGTTGGCGGCAGCCCTAACGCCGCCTGGATACGCACCCATTCAGCTAAGTGACTTTCCTGTGCTGGAGATAGCTTCTGGAAGCTAGAGAAAGCTACATTTCTTGCCTGTGAACCCTTTAATCGAGACTGGAGGGTTGATGGTGGAATTCCAGCATCATGAGCTGCCTTTCGGACACTCTGCCCACTTGCAACTGCATTGAGAGCTTGATTGACTTCTGTTTCCGTATACTGGCCCATTAAGCGTATAAGAGTAACTATTCAAAGAATTATAATAATCGCTGTAAAAGTGGTGAAGATATTAAAGAATGTTGAAGAGGGTAAAATTCTACATGAGCGATTTATGGGTGTGCGAAATGTGGGGGTGTGCGAGAAGTGGGTGTGCGACGTTATCATCCAGAATGGCGTATCATAGAATTCATCCTCCAAAGCAAAGCTTCTTCTGTCGCGGGTCATTACTTGATGGCCTTCCAGGCGGCCTGCCACGCTTCTTTTCCCCGCCTGACTTGGACTTCTTCAAGTCTGGAGTTGCCGACCTTGAAGGTAACTGAGGAGGAACGTCTTGGTGAACTGCCTCCAGAATTGTCTGTCGCGAAAGACAAAGATCGATATGCTCATTGAACTGTCTCTCATCAGGGGCTTGAGGCCGATTGCATATAGGGCAATCCCACATGTCCTCAATAGGCGCATCTTCCTTTACTGGATTAGGAGCAATCTCTTTCCCGTGCCTTCGCAAGGGACTCTGCTCGCCGCCCGATGCTTGCACATCGAAGTCTTCCTGAACTTCACTTTGCAGACCGAAATCATTGTCGAACTGCAATAATTCATCCTCCGGCCATTGCTCCCAACCATCTTGATCAAGTCTACTGGCTGTCTCTGGGGTTCCAGTAGCATTAGTCTTTACTGGCGATCCGGCTGATTCGGACCTCCGGGGTCGAAACCCAAAGAACGCCATTGTGTCTGGTTTTTTGGTGCTCACGAGATGCGTACATCGTAGCCCCATAAGTCTTAAATTCATACCGGGCATCTCTTCTTCCAATTTGCTCAGGATCGGAAGAGCAAAATGGTACAAATCATCGGCAAGGCATATGGCTCTGGGTAGCACAACCTGCCGGGTAAAGACTTCATAGGTATGAAGCTTGATTTTCAGGACCAATGTCCGGCCCTTGCATTGTGCCCTCTTCATGTCTTTTTCCAGTTCATTGGCCGTCCATCTCAACTTGTCCCTCAACTGCTGCGGATCTGACATGTCGCGAAAAGTGCTTTCTGTGCCTACACTCTTTCTTTCATATTCCTCCGCTGGCTGTATTCGCGTGCGACCGAGGCCGAGGTAGACATTTATCAGGAACTCATAGGCTTTCTCGCCGAACAATTGTCGGAGAAACTGCCGGTGGGGATAAATATCCGCGCAAGTCTTGATTCCAATTTCTGTCAGCTGGCGCTCTAGCACGCGACCAACACCATTAACCTTCCTTGGCGGTAACTTTGCCATAAAGTTCATTATTTCTGTCCGGTCGTTGGGTAGCACGAACTGGCCGTTTGGCTTGTTCATATTGGAGCAGATCTTCGCCAGCTTAGCGTTCGCTGCAATGCCAGCCGAGACTGTAATCCTGGTTTTTTCATGTATCTCTCGTCGCATTTGCTCAACTGCTTCCTGAGGGCTGATGCCTTTCTCCGTGCAGTATTCCGTGATGTTAAGGTATGCTTCGTCGATACTCGCGCTCTCGAATCGGGGGTCGTACTCCACTAGGACTTCTCGAACTTCGTGCGCCTTAGCGTTGTATTTGTCAAAGTTCAGTTTGAGCAGCACCAGTTCTGGGCACAGCTTCTTGGCAACAAATCCCGCCATGCCACTGCGACAGCCATATTTACGTGCCACATAGTTGCACGTTGTGAGGACTCCACCTCCGACAGCGAAGGGAACGTCCTTTAATTCGGGTCGATCGAGAAGTTCTACAGCCGCATAGAACGCATCGCAGTCAACATGTACAATGTACTGGGTGAGGTCTCTCGAAAGTTCTAGCTGGGCGATGAGCTGGTCTGCGAGGCGAAGCTCGCGGCTCAAGTCTTGCTTCTCTAGGCGATGTTTCTTTTCAAGGATTTGTTCGATCTTTTTCGTAAGAACCTTGTCTCGTTCTTCTTCTCGGTTGAAAAACTTGGAGCCTTTCGAAGCGTTGTAAATGATCTCCGACACCTGTTATGTAGACCCATCAGTCCGATTGATCACATACGCAGGGGCGGAAAGCGAAGAAATACACCGACCTTTGATTGATCTACAGAATCCTGCCCAGCTTTCGTTAGAGAGGGACCCAAGAGTGAGTACTTCAGCGTTCCGTGCGAAGCAATAGCCTTCTCATCCTCAGATAGGGCATCCTCTAATGATTCAAGAGGAGGCAATGGCGGGGGTTGTGGTGTCGTCATCGTGGTTGAACCAACAGTCGCGATTTCCAGATATTCAACTGATCCGATTTCCTGGTGAAGCGTTGCATATCTTCGTTATTGTGGATGGCAGAGTAAGGGGGATGTTTGGGTTCATCCGTCGCTGGAAGGCAGCAATGCGAAGGGTGACGGGGTCGAGGCCCCGCCGTTGAAAGTGGTGACGCGTCGTTGATTATTTCAGTCAGCAAAAGCACACGAGATCACGGGACCATACACATGACTGAAATCGCATATGTGTACATACGTTTATCAAATATTATGTATCTATAAGGTATAATGTCTAAACCCACGCTTGGTCCGCCACAGCATTCTCCGACTTCCGCTAACATAATTTCCACACATTCCTCATACCAATGGTCCGTTAACAGACAAAGCTTTCAGGTTTCGATTGGTCGCCTTCACCAATGTGCTTCTGTGTCGCAGGGTAAGGACAAATGGGCCGTTGTCTCAACACTGGCGTTGACGGGTCCGTCGAGTTAGTCCATGTAGTCGCAATGATTGACTCTGGGGCAGTGCCTCCAGTGTGCCAGGCAGTAAGGGCTGCAAGGGCATCATGTGATGCATTTCCAAACCCCCCAATTGTAGCGTTGGCAGTGTTTATCAATTTCTCCCACTGACCTGGGCCACCAATATACCACGGTGCGTCGACGTGGGTGCCGTGGTGCCCAAGCCCGGGGACGAGGAAAAGACGGAACCAACCCCGGGTAGTCTCGATATTGCCGCCAGTCGCATTAACAACCTTCTCATAAAAGTCGATTGAGGAGTTAACGGGAACAGAAGCATCGGCCATGCCGTGGTACATGATGATCTTGCCGCCAAGGCTCTGAAACTCCGTCAAGTTGAAGTCATTGACATCAAGGTCACCGGCGTTGGTTTCGCTTGCGTACGCAAGGACCGAATCGTTGTAGCATGCCCAACTCCACTCAGGGTTGTTGTAAACGAAGTTTTGGAAGTAGCCTTCAGCCTCCTCGTTGAGCTCGGTGTCGTTCCCAAGCACAGAACCCCACTCATACTCCGAAGAAGGGCTCAAGCCAGGGAAGGCTTTCACGCCGTCTACCTCGTAAGTTCCATAGAGTTTCTTCGCAACTTCGACTTGTTGTGAATTCAAACACGCAGACTCATCGACACCCGAACTGCCGCAAGTGAAAAGGGAGAAGTCGACGTTGCAGCTGAAGGGGTTGCTAACAATGCTATCTTCTACTCCATCGGATGAGTCGCATTGTTTCCTCACATTGTCGCCAAGGACGGTCAGCTTTTCAGCAGAGATGTGCTTTGTGTCATTCGCAGGCTGGTTCAACGCCCCGCGGGACAATCTCCAGCTCTGCAGATGACTTTGCCACCAGGCTGGGGCGCCGATGAGGATCGCGGAATAGTCTGAAGGATACAGTTGCGCCGCTTTCAACCCCTGACGACCGCCTTGCGAAGTGCCGGTAAAGTATGACTTCTCGAAAGCGACGCCATAGTATCGTTCAACTACCCTTTGCGCCAATCGGTGTGAATTGTGAAGCGCCCGGTGTCCGAAATCCAGTTGTCCTTCCTTGTTGTTCAGGGCCCAGGTGAGGTCGTTCGCTGTTGAATTGTGCCCACCATCCGTTGACAATGTCACGTAGCCGTACTTGGCTCCGGCTCCCATGGTTGGCCAGTTGATACCCCCGGAGAAGCCATCATTTCCGACGGCTAGAATATTATGGTTCCATTCGTCGGGCAGGAACAGACCGAACCTGTACGTCGAATTGCCATTTCCATCCTTGACGGTGAAGCTCACGGCGCAAAGACTGGGTAAGTTGGTCACCTCAGCAGGAAAGGCAGCGTTGCCTTCCTCGACGAAGCTGCCGGCCTGTTCAACCGGTGTGACAATGCCAACGGATGCGTTAGCGTTGATCCAGTAGCTTATTAACCGCGGGGTGCATAATGTCGAGTTTGTCGCTGTCACATGCCGTACGGCGGCAAGTGTTAACACCGTAGATACGATCCACTTCATCTTTTTGTTCTTGAGCCGTCGGTAGAGATATCGAGTCTGCAGAGAAGAAACTGAAGCTTGCCTCAGGGCGCGGAAATATCACTTCTTTTTAAGGACTTGGGTTTGCATGGTTGATTTCGGTCTTGTATGTTGAGATAAGTCATTCCTCTAGGTTGTCTTTGGATGCCTTCGGATATTCCACTAACATACACAGTATATGTATGATGAATAGAGCTGCGTTCATATGGAAATCTTTGTTCTCGGATCGACCCACCAAGAGCATCCGGCATTCCGATGGAGCCAATGTGAGGTTTCCTGAGCGAGACATTGCATTTCCACTCCAAGCCGCATCCAATGAACGGCTTCGGTTCCTCAGAGATACTTCACAATCCCAAGATGCCGCTCTCGGTAGCTCTGGTATAGAGAACAATGCCTTTTTCACGGTCGCATCTTAGGTCGCAAACGTCATCGGCGTCAACAAACATTCTTGGCAAAACGGGAATGTGGTAAATTGCGCGTACCATTGTTGAGCTAAAGCGGCCATTTCGCTCTTTGGGTTAGAAATTCAACTAGCGGGAATCTTCAAAAACGTGGCAATCGGCCAAAATGGTAACATCAAGAGAATCTTTGTCAATTTGGTACCAAGTTAGATAACTGAAATGTGTTCATGAGGTTGCAGGGGAAGTGATTGCGAAGAAGGAAACAAAAAGGCCAGAAGAGAAGCAAACGCTGCAGGGCATCGGACTGTGTAGGTTTCACAGGGGGTGAAACGGAATTCCGTTCGTCAATAACAAATAACAGTAAATTGGTTCTAATCGATGGTTCATGATAGTTGAAAGTGGTGTTGTTGACTAGAAGGTGGGGATATTCCCCCTTGGCCTGTCACGTGGGTCTGGGAGGCTTGGGCCTCTCAGCCTGGCGGGCGTGTGGCTGGAAGTGCTATACGGCTCCGTATTCTAACTATCGCAATACTGGAAACTCTCTTTTTATAGTGTTGAAGCGGTTGGAATACGTTGTCCCTATATAGTTCCGTCTCCTCGTCAATTCGGCCTCCTATCCCTACTTTCTCCCGTAGTTACGGTCTTGTTACCTATCCCTCTATACGTATCGTTATCGTGTTGCTATTAACGAATCTCTCGAAGGCTCGATTTAGTTTGCTCTTCGTAAAGGTATTAGTAAGGTTGTCTTCGCCGTTAATCTAACGAATTTCTTATAGTTCTCGTCTTTCGTATAATTATCTTAACGCTATGATATCGATTATAAGTCGCTTTTCTTTAGTAGTGCCTAGCTTTACGAGATACTTGTATAGCGAATAAGAATCGGTATAGACAACTATCTAAATCGTTAGTAGGTTAAGGTAGTTAGTAATTATCGCTAGGGTTATAGCGAAGGCGTAGGCTATATCGACGCTAGCGACTATCCCGTAGATCTCTAACGCTAATACGCTACGGTAACTTATTTACTCTTCGTAAAGCTATAATAAACAAGGTTACCGTAAATCGTAAATTCTCCGTTATTACTATTAGAGGAAGTATCGTTAGCTAGGATAATTAGAAACCCTAATTAGGAGGAAAGGTCGTAGTTATTAGCAAACGACTTATTAACGAAAACGAATAGCTTAGCTATTATAAGGTCGAGTAGGATAAACGTTATTCCTCGGTTAGGCGATTCTATTTACTATCGAATCCGTTGATTTAGTGCTTTTATCGCTTCTAGCAAGGGGTCTTAGTATTAGGCAGTAGTAGATAAATCGAAACAGGCCTCGGGTTAGCAAATTAACGCGATATACGCCCTTCTAGCGCGTTGTTCGACATATTACTATTTTAGGTTAGGTTTAGTAGTCTTAATATATCGTAACTTCTTAGCTTATCTGTTACGGCCAGCTATCTGACAGTAGGGTTCTGCTAACAGAAGGTGCAGTAAGAGACTAACACTGGTTCGTAGGGGTCGTTCTGGTAGATCGTAGGGTTAGGGTAAGGTGATCAGTCTTACACTATAGTAACGAGGTTCTTAGTATTCACAATACTGAGAGGTAAGCTGAAAGTCATTCGAGGATGAATCACAAGTTGATTGCTGAAGAACTATCTAGAGGGCTTGAGCAGGTACTCAAGTCCTGGTCTATATAGGAGTCTATCTACACGTATTGTCTGTAGTCGTTGGAGATCATATTGATCGAACATGATCCGTTGGCCCCCAACTCTTCTTGGATCATTCTGACCTAGAATGATTCATCACGTGACTTGTTCCGTTCTATAGTTCTTCCGTTCCGAGAGGTTACCTTTTGTTCCCGTGGCCCTGCATACAAAGTCCTGTCATAACCGCCTAACCGAGTGGGTCCTGTTAGGTGTATCTAACGGGTCGTAACATCAGGTCTCCCCTCGATGGTCTTGTCCTCAAGGCCAACATAAGTAGGTCGTGGCTTCCCAGGTTGGGGAGTCGTCAATCGTGCTTCCTTGTTTATTCATGATGCTGACATCATGTCAGGTCGCGTTCAAAAATCCAAATCAAAGAACCCTGTGGCTTATAAGGAACTTAGCCAGCTTGTCGATTTGTTCGGGTTCATCATGCCTGTCCCTTGTTCCGGTTGCGCGGCTGCCGGTGTCGACTGCGTCGTTTCCGAAGTTAATTCTTCTCGTTGTTCGCGTTGCGTTGCCGATAAGCATTCTTGCGATATTCACGGTCCTTCCGCGGCTTCCCTCATTCGGGTTCGGCAACAGAAAATAAAAATTGATGATGAGCTTGAGAAAGCTGAAGAAGAGCAGTTAGCTCTTATGGCGAAGATTCGTCGTTTACGAAGGCGTCGCAAGGACATCAATCGTGAGGCGACTGATCTCATTCGATCTGGTTTGCGGCGTGTGGAGGAGGTTGAGAATGAGTATCGTTCCGAGGTTCTTGGTTTGCAGAGTGCTAGCTCGGAAACTGTAGGTGCACTTCATTCCCTGGGTGCTATTGGCGTCGTGGATTGGTCTGGCGTCGGTTTGGACGACTGGGGTCCAGAGACGTCCTCTGGTGCCAGTATTGTTGGAGTTCTTCCTGAGCGTGTTCCAGGTTCTTAGCTGGTTCCCACGAATCGTCTTCGTGTCCATAGTTTTTCCACTTAATGAAGTATTCTGTTGTTTCGTCATTCCTCCGGTGGTCTAGAATGCGTTCTACTTCGTATTCGGTGTCATCTGTTTCCATAATGATGCAGTCTTCGGTGTGTGTACCGTCCGGTGCTAGTTCTAATAATGAGACGTGAAAGACTGGGTGATATTTCATTGTTTCCGGTAGTTTCAACTCGTAGTTGACTTCGGAAATTTTCTTCGTGATTTCGAAAGGTCCTAGTTTTTTGAAGTCGAGTTTGTCGCTAGGTCGTTTCGTTTTGATGTTTCGCCGTATAAGGTAGGCGCTACCTCCCTCTTTTAGGGGTGGGCCTCTCACCCTATGTCGGTCGGCGTGTTTCTTCATTCTTTGCCGTACGAATTCGAGTTCTTGGGGTAGTTTTTGTTGGATTTCCTTAAGTTTCTTGATGTCTGCTACTGCTTTTATCGCGGCAGAGCCGGTTCGGGGTTCTCCATAAGCGGTAGGGTTGAATCCATAGTTGAGGAAGAAAGGTGATTCTCGCGTGCTTTCTCCTATTGAACTGTTGTATGCGAACTGTGCGGTTGGTAACAACTTGACCCAGTTGTCCTGGTCGTAGTTCACATAACTCCTTAGGTACGTTTCCAGGATCTGGTTGATTCTTTCCGTTTGTCCGTCGGACTGCGGGTGGAAGGCAGTGCTGAGGCTGTGCTTTGCTCCGAGCTGCGAGATCAGGGATCTCCAAAACTTGGACGTAAAGACTGATCCTCTGTCTGACACTATTTCCTGGGGCAGGCCGTGTTGGCTGACAATGATCCTGAGAAAGGTGTATGCTAAGTCTTCTGCCGTGCTTGATTCTAAGTATGGTATGAAATACGCGTACTTCGTGAATCTATCTATAACCACTAGTATACTGTCGTACTATACTTTAGTAAGTGGTTCTCTCGATTTTGGTAGTTTGATGATAAAGTCTAGAGAGATTGAGTGCCAGGGTGCTGGTGGTGCTGGCAATGGTTGTAATTCTCCATATGGTTTGTGTCTGCTGGGCTTACTTTTTGCGCAGACTTCGCAATCCTTGATTGCGTCAGCGACGTCTTTTCTTGTTACTTGCTTGTCGTGGTGTTGTCTGATTCGTTTCCAGGTTTTCGTAACTCCTTGGTGACCGTGAGCGGGTGCGCTGTGTATCTCCCTGATCTGGTCGTGTGTCATTCTTCTAGTCGTGCTGGTCTTGACACGGTCGCCGATCATTAAGAGTTTCGCGGCGGGTACAAGGTCGCCATTGTCTTTTTTGAGGATAACCTGAGTTTCTTCTAGGACTTCGTCCTTGTAATCGGGTCTTCAGCTGAGCGCGTCTGCTCTGCCGTTTTCTGATCCTTTCCTGTAGATGATTCTGAAGTTGAATTCTGAGAGGAATTCTGACCATCTGATTTGTCGTTTGTTGAGCTCTTTCGAAGTGGTGAAGTGTGCTAGATTCTTGTGATCCGTGTATACTTTTACTTCGTACTTTGTTCTTGATAGTTGGGGTCTCTATTCTTTGAATGCGTCGATAATTGCTATAAGTTCCTTATCATAGATCTGGTAATTCAGTTCAGGTCCTTGGAACTTCCTTGAAAAGAATCCACAGGGGTGTAGGACTCCGTTCTCGTCCCTTTGGCCTAGCTGCGCTCCTTCAGCTTCGTTCGAAGCATCCGTTTCGAGCTCGAAGGGCTTCTCAGGGTTCGGAATCTGGATGACGGGTTCCGATGTGACCTTGTCCTTGACTTCTTGGAACGCTTTCTGTTGTTTATCTGTCTATTCCTAAGGTGTATTTTTCTTAGTGAGTTCGGTAAGAGGCAATATCGTTTTGGAGTAGTCTTTGAGGAATTTTCGGTAGAAGTTGACAAATCCTAAGAAGGATAGTATGTCCTTCGGGTTCTCTGGTGTAGGCTATTCTTGCACAGCCTTGATTTTGTTAGGGGACATCTTAATTACGCCTGGCGTGATTGTAAACCCTAAAAATTCTACTTCCTGTTTGTAAAACAGACTCTTCTCTGGTTCCACAAGTAGCTTCGCTTGTTCGAGTACTTTGAGAATCTCGTGGACATGCTTCTTGTGTTCTTCCAACGTTTTGGAGAATATAAGGATGTCGTCGAGGTACACAACAACAGACTTGTCCAGATATTCCCGTAGTACTTGGTTGATCATAGTTTGGAATATAGCCGGTGCGTTGGTGAGTCCAAATGGCATGACTAACGTTTCAAACTGTCCTCTTCTCGTTCGGAAGGCTGTTTTCTACTCATCTCCTTCTGCAATTCGGATAAGGTTGTAGGCTCCTTTAAGGTCCAAGGCTGTGAACCATTGGGCCTCGTAGAGTAGGTCTCTTAGTTCCGATATGAGGGGCAGTGGGTAACAGTCTTTGATCGTAATATCGTTGAGTCGTCGATAATCGATACAAAGTCTTTTCTTCCCGTTCTTCTTTGGTATGAATAGTACGGGGTATCCTGCGGGTGATTTCGAAGGTCTGATGAATCCTTTCGCAAGATTTTCGTCAAGCCATTCGTCTAAGGCTTTCATTTCTTCTTGGTTGAGTGGGTATATTTTGTTAAAGGTGGGTTCGTGTCCTTCCTTAATTTCGATCTTATGATCCTACTTGCTGTGTTCCGGTAATCCGGTCTCGAGTTCTGGTGCAAAGAGTTTGCTATAGACCCTGTATTCAACAGGTATCTTTGACATTGGATCTTCCGTGACTTTGTCAATCGTCGTGGCTGCTAGCGTCCTAGTGCCAATGTCTTTTATCCTTAGCATCAGGCGTAGTCTTGCTCTGGTTGCTGCTAGTAATCCGCATGAGGCCTTCGTCGAGTGCTTCTCAGAGGCTGGATTGAATTTTATTCGGCCGGTAACCCAATCGATTTGTGGGTTATGTCTTCGTAGCCATGGAATTCCAAGGATAACGTCGTGGTTTCCTATCTCCGTGATGTCGAGGCTGATAAGCTCCTGATGGCCATAGTAGAGCAAAGGGAGTTGCGCTGTTTCCTGATCAATGCTGCCTCCGCCATACTCGACTTCTTTCCCTTCCACATTCCTTAGTCGGTAAGGGTTTTGCTTCTGATTCCATGGTATTTCTCGCTGTTGCACTATTCGGGGTGCGATAAAGTTTCCTTGGGCTCCTGAGTCTATCAGGACCTGTGTGGTGTATCCGCCCAGGTTTACTGTGATCTTCATTTGTGCGTCGTCGTCGAATATGGTATATAGGGACTTGCTGGGGGAGCTCGCTATGTATCCCGGACAAGGCGGCTCTCCTAGTTTTTTGAGTAGAGGGCCTTCTCGCCCTTCTTTCGGTCTCTGCCGAGGTTACTTTCTCTGATTCCTAGACGAGGTGGGCTGGGCGTCTCGCCGTCCTGTCCTTGCTTGTCTAGTTCTTGTTGTCGGAATCTCCAACTTTCGCTTTTTGGAATATAGTGGAGTTTGCATAGGTCTTCCCTGCAATTCCACCAGACTCCCGTGAAGTGGTTTACACACTTCTGAGGGTATTCGACGCTGGGTCGTAGGAATGCTATTCCATCGTTGTTGGTTTTCTATTCTCCGGGTTCTCCCCGTACTTCCCAATATGAGAGTTCTTGTTCCTCATGGGCTCTGCGGATTCGCAGTTCTTCTTTTCTTTTGGGGTATAGTTCGTTTTCTGCTTTCTTTGAGAGATGGTAGGCGCAGTGATCGAAGATGCAGTAGATCCATGCTATCTCCTTGTGTTCTCTATGCTATGTCGTAATCCTAGGATCGTCTTCTAAGAATATTTCTTCATCCCGGGTTTGTGTGATTGTTATAGGGATTTTGTTATGATATTCTTCTGTATGGAAGGCGATCTGTTGGCAGTCGTCTTGGGGGTCGATGTATTTGTATTCTAGTACTTCCTTAATTTTTTCTATTCTGTCGAGATGGTGTTCTTCTTCTGCGTCTTCCGGGTCGGTATCGTCTATCGACGTTCCTTGTGGACGTACTTCCGCCGAGGGTGGTCTGTCTACGACGTCTTCAGCCTATTCCGAGATAGGTTGAGGAGTAGCGCGGGTTCTTTGTGGCAATTCAAAGGTCGAGTCGCTGGCTACCGTGGTATATGGTGAGCTCCATCGTTGGCTTAGGTTGTCCTTTGCTTGGTATACTCGGGTCTGGGTGCTGGCGTCCCTGAATTGTTGTTGTCTTAGCATTTCATCTAATTGCTCGGTGGCTTTGCGGGCGTATTTGCTAGCTACCGCGAGGGTTCGTTCCGTCTTTCCATCGTTTTAGGGTCGGTAGACAAATTGGGTTGCTTTGTACTTGAGTTGATACTGTCCTCGGGTGTTTCCGCGTAGTGCGATGCGGCGGTCTCGGGTTTTCCGCATGTGTTGGAGGGTGTCTCTAACTTCGCTGTTGTTTCGAATTTGCATCGTGTAGTTGATGGCGTCTTGTATCCGTTTGATGGCTGTCTCGTTTTCTTCTTCGAGTTTCCTGGCTTCTTCTTCTGAGAAACTTTCCGGGGTGTTTACTTCATTCGTCTGTCGATAGTTGGCGAGGCGTAGGATGTCCCATAAGAGTCCCGGTTGGTACACAATGCTACCATCTTGGAAGGCGTTGTTGAGTTCCGCGGCCTTCTTCGCTTATTCCCAGTCGTCGAGTGGCTCTTGTCGCTGCTTAGTGTAATCCGGTCCACCGGTGTATCGGTCTATCACAGCAATGGCCTTGGGTATGTTGGTAGTGTCGTATCCCGATCGTCCTGCTGGGTTTTGAGGGTACCATCCACTATTCTCTTTTGCATGCCTGTGCGTGGTGCAATCATTGTCATAGCAGGCTGTCTATCCCTTTTCTTCGTAGCTAGGGATTTTGGTTGCAGCGTTGGCTTGCTTAGGGGTTGCCGTAAGTTTCTTAGGCTGTGTGCAGTGTCTGGCCATGTGTCCTGGCTTGTCGCAGTTGTAGCATTTGAATTCTCTGCGTCTGGGTTTGTCTTTTTGCGCGACGCTCAGGTCCATGGGTCCGCTATGTTGTCTATGTGCGGTGCTCTGCTGATTGTTGTTCCTGTTGTTCTGGTTTTTGTTGAACTTGTGTTGGGGTTGCCATTGGTATTTCTTTCCTGAGTTGGCTGTTTGACGTTTTTCTCCTTTTTCCTTGCGTCGTTCAAACAGTCGGTTGTCAATCTTAATGGCGTATTCGACATAATCAAGGAAGCTAGGTGGCGTGTCCACTTTGGCCATTTCGTCCTTGACGTCGTCCTTGAGACCCTGGTAGAAAGCGAAGACTTTGCTTTCGTCGGTTATGTCGAGTCTGGCTGCGAGTCGTCGAAATTCTGCGGCGTACATTGTAGCTGATTTGTTTTGTCGTAGGTTTGCCAGTTCTCTTTCTGCTTGTCTTTTCTCATCGGGGTCTAAGAAGAGGGATTGAAGGGCTTTAACATATCCACTGAAGCTGAAAAAGATGTCCTTCACTTCTTGACTGTATCTCTCGATAGGGGTATCCAGCCATTCTTGTTGGAGGGGTTCGAACCAAGCGAGGGCCTTCCCTCTCAAGAAGGTGGCGGCGTGGACGACACGTTCGGTATCGTTCTGGAACGTGTTGATGTGGAAGGCTTGGTAGGTCCGTATCTGTACTAAGTATCCTTTGAGCTGTCCAGGGGTTCCGTCGAAGGTGGTAGGGGTGTTGAGCTTAAGGCGTTCTCTTCCTTCGACAGGAGCTGATATGACGTTCGCGGCAGCTCGAAGGGTTGTGACTTCCTTCTCTAGTTCTTTGGTGCGGCGGGCTTGTTCCTGTAGCTCCTTGAGGGCTTTGACGTTCTGGTTGAACAGGTTTTTCATTTCCCTGAGCTTGTTGTTGTTCCGCTTAAGTTGCCGCTTAAGTTCTTCATTGTCGTCATCGCTATCGGATTCCTCCTTCATTTCCTGGTCTTGAATCTCTTGGGCCAGATTCTGGGGAATACGTCTCTCGGACGTGGACGAGGTTCCAGGAGTAGGGTTTTCGGTAGTTCCGTGCGAAGACATCTTGTCTTATACTGTTCGTTAGTCTCAAAGGGCAACTTACTGAACAGGAGCAATCAAAGTGTTACGGCCAGCTATCTGACAGTAGGGTTCTGCTAACAGAAGGTGCAGTAAGAGACTAACACTGGTTCGTAGGGGTCGTTCTGGTAGATCGTAGGGTTAGGGTAAGGTGATCAGTCTTACACTATAGTAACGAGGTTCTTAGTATTCACAATACTGAGAGGTAAGCTGAAAGTCATTCGAGGATGAATCACAAGTTGATTGCTGAAGAACTATCTAGAGGGCTTGAGCAGGTACTCAAGTCCTGGTCTATATAGGAGTCTATCTACACGTATTGTCTGTAGTCGTTGGAGATCATATTGATCGAACATGATCCGTTGGCCCCCAACTCTTCTTGGATCATTCTGACCTAGAATGATTCATCACGTGACTTGTTCCGTTCTATAGTTCTTCCGTTCCGAGAGGTTACCTTTTGTTCCCGTGGCCCTGCATACAAAGTCCTGTCATAACCGCCCAACCGAGTGGGTCCTGTTAGGTGTATCTAACGGGTCGTAACATTATCCCTTTTGCCTCAAATTAATCGAATTGTCGGTTAACAGCGCGACTATCCCTCTATTAAATTAGAAGGGTTTGTTAATTATAAGGATATTCTTCGCTTTTGCCGTAAAAGCTGCTTTTTCTAACTATTCGTCTTCTAATTATAAAAACGCCTTGTCTAACAAACCGAGGGTATCGTCGGTTTGCATGCCGATATAGCTAAAGTATAGATTTTCGGTAGATAAGATTAATAAGTATAGATCGTACGAAGAAGTAACTATCTAGAGATTCTCTCTATGATGCTTATGATACGTTGCTTATTAGTAGGTTCTAGCTTCTGCGATTCCGTATAGAGGCTTTACAACCTTTATAATAGTCCCTTTTAGGTACTAGTCTTGAATTTGCTTCGGTAGGTAGGCGAGAATAGTACGATTAAGCCTTATAGAGGATTAAACGTAGGCTTATATAATATCTCGAAGCTATAGTTATTTCCTTTCTCGTAAGAGTAACGGGGTAATTAATAGAATTAGCTATTAACTTGCCTGCTAAATCGTTAGCGATTAGGTTAATATAGCCTTCTTACTATCGTCGGCGTAACCTTGTTGTTACGACCCGTCAGATGCACTTAACAGACCCACTGGGTCGGGCGGCTACGACAGGACATATGTACGTATTGATTGATTGATTGATTGATTCCTACACGGTTATGAAGCCGCTCTTATGCTAGCAGCTATGCCCGGAAAGCGGGGTTTGGCAGACAGCCGAAGCATCGACGATAAACCGCGACGCCCCACTTCGCCCTGTTGTTGGATCAGGACCAGCTGTCCCCAAGCTCCCACTATGCTATCTATTCTTGTGTGTTTATGCCCTCTGTTGAAGATTGTTGTCCTCCTGCCTGCTCTCTCGCTTGGTGTTGCCTTCTAGAATCCTTCTTTCGCGTCCTCCTACTTCGGTTCTGTTGGTGCTAGGCACCATGTCTGGTTCTGTATACCTATAGTCTCCCCCCAGCCCTCAGCTTCGTCTCTTTATCTTGTCCGCATCCTCTCAGACTTGCATATGCTATATCTTAGTTGAATCTGTAAATCTTTTTGTTGCCTCATGCTGGGTTCCTATGTGGCTCTATGTTTCCATCTTTCGACCACCACCTCCATCCACCGCCTGGAGTCGGACTCAATCCGCAAAACACAATGCTCCAACCGCTTCGATTCGTCCGATTACTAAGTATGAGAGCTCGTACACAGATTCCGCAGACATTGTCATACGTTGAAGGGGCGACAATCCTTCTTCGCGGAGGGGGCGACAGGGGACCAATCTGTCTGCAAACTGTAGTATTTTGTGGCATCGATCGTAGCATGCCTGGTGTCTGGTGCTTTCTCTATGCAGGAGGTGATACCGTTCTGTCGGGCTTGTCGTCGTTGTTGTCGCGGGACGTTGCAAACTTTGTCGGGGGTGATAGGCGACCCATAACCTATCGGTGGCTGTGGTGTTGATGTTTGTTTGGGCTTGGTCGTTGTGCTCACGTGATAGCCCGTGACTCAACCGCGGTGGTGTCGATGGTGTTGTCTATTGACGTGTCATACTTTGTGGCTTGCTCTCGAATTTTTCGTGGTCAGAGCCCGCCCGCGGCCACGAGCAGGCTCTTTGGGAGCAGAATCAATGCCGAGGATGACATTATGCCCAAAGTGACCTCTGAGAGCGCGAGCGGGCGTGGTTTGATCAATTTGATGCTGTTTTCAAAAATTTCGTTCTCGCTGTTGTTGATGTTTTGTTGAAAGTGGTGTTGTTGACTAGAAGGTGGGGATATTCCCCCTTGGCCTGTCACGTGGGTCTGGGAGGCTTGGGCCTCTCAGCCTGGCGGGCGTGTGGCTGGAAGTGCCACACGGCTCCGTATTCCAACTATCGCAAAAACATCAACAACAGCGAGAACGAAATTTTTGAAAATCGGAGCAAAAACGGCCCCAAATACGCGTGCTCGCGGCCACAGAGCCCCCTTCGATGCAATGCCATCCTCGGCCTTGATTCTACGTCCCAAAGGGGCCCAAGATGGCCGCAGAGCACGCCCCGACTACAATGAAAAACTTGAGAGCAAGCCGCAAAATACGACATATCAATAGACAACACTGTTACCACCACCACAGGCGAGCCACAAGCCGCTACACGAAGCACTAAGACTGCGCCCAAACAATCAACTTCAACACAACAGCCGCCGACAGGTTTTGGGTCACCTGTCACCCCCGACAAAGTTTGCAACGTCCCACAACGACGAAGATGAGTCCGACAGAACAGTATCACCTTCCGCACGGAGAAAGCACCAGGCATTAGGCATGCTACGATCGATGCCACACAATACTACAGACCACAGACAGACTGGTCCCCTGTCGCCCCTTTTGCGAAGAAGGATTGGTGTCCCTTCAACGCGCGACAATGTCTGCGGAATCTGTGCGGGAGCTCTCATACCCAGTAATCGAACATGTCGGAGTCAGTGGAGCATTGTGCTTCGTGGAAGACCCTTGGGCCAATGTGGTGGAGGGCAATAGTGGTCAACAGGCAAGAAACAAGAGGCCACATAGGAACCCGGCAGGAGGCAACAAAGAATTTACAGATGCAACTGAGAAAACGGCATATACAAGTCCGGGAGGATACGGACAAAACAAAGAGACAAAGCTGAGCGCTGGGGGGAGACTGTAGGTACAAAGAACCAGATACGGTGCTACCAGCACCAACTGAACCGAAGCAGGAGGACGCAAAACAAGCATTCTAGAGAGCAACACAAAAGCGAGAAAGCAGACAGGAGAGCAACACACTTCTTCAACAGAGGGCACAAACACACAGAATAGAGAACATAGTGGGGAGCTTGGGGATAGCTGGCCCTGATGCAACATCAGGGCGAAGTGGGGCGTCGCTGTTCATTGTCGACGCTTCGGCTACCTGCCAAACCCCGCTTTCCGGGCATAGCTGCTGGCATAAGAGCGGCTTCATAACCGAGTAGGAATAAATCAATCAATCAATCAATTCCAACTATCGCAACAGACTGATAAGAAAGACAAATTTGGAAATAGACGCGATACAGGTACCAAAGAAAATGTGGCACTTCCGTTTAATCTGAATGTTTCAAAACTGGGCACCGTTCCTCGTTTATATGTTTCGTCAAGTAATCCTTCCTTCTGAACTTCTTCTCACAGTATGGACACTGAGCTTCCTCCTCTTTGAAGCCATACATTTCCATTTGGGTTCGGTGAGAGGTTTGGAAGTGTCGAGACATTTCCCTGTTGTCGGCGACTCTTGTTTCACAATCCTCAATTGGGCATACTTTGGGTCTTAAATGTGAGTTTTCGTGCTTTCTGGATGCCGTAGATCAGTACCTGCTGATGCGTAGGAGAATAATGGAAAAGAAAGAGAAAATAAGAAAATGAGGGCTACCTTAGATCACTGGGAATTCGGAAAACTTTGGAGCACTCCCTACAAACATGGCTTTCCTGAGAGGTTTGTTGACGAGACCAACTAGAATCCTCGAAATTCTCGTGGTGATTGTCGATAAAGTGGCCAGAGCTGGTTGAATCAAAATTGTCGTTGGAGTTCATGACGTCGTGAGCGAATTCCGATGCTTCGTCTTCATTCCAGGCATGCGAATACTCTGATTGTTGTGCAGAATCGAGAGATTGGCTCCCATATAACAACAATCCACCTGGGGAAGGCTACTCTTCCCTAAGCGTAGTATCCTGAGTATGGAAGGACGGGTCGTTGTATCGTTCGTCGATGAAAGCTCCCGTTTCCGAGTAAGTCAAGTTTGGATCCCCTGTGCTTTCAAGAGAATAATTCCAGTTGTTTATATACTGGTATTCTTGAGGAGAGTATTACCCAGGATCTTCTTCGCTGCTGGAAGAGCTGTAAAAGAGATTGGGTTGTTCATGGGATCCCGAATCCCAGGCCATGTTGTCTGTAGCTGGACAGGATGGTGTCCTACTGATCCACAATTAGTTTCCACCTTGGTTTGCTGGTCAGACATAGACCTAGTCCTGAGACGGGTCTTTGGGTCGAACTAACGTTGGCAAGTCCGCAACGGATGACAAGCTCCTCCGAGGAAGGGTGATTGCTTCTTATCCCTGTCTTGAGCAATATAGTTCAGCAAAGACCTCCTGCAGTGGTGGTTGCGGTAGTCCCTTGTATCACCCTCCCGGATGGGAATTGAACACCAAAATAGGCTGAATTTAATCATTACTCACCTCTAAAAAAGCAGCCAGGTGACTATCAGTTGTGGGTTTACTCTTGAAACAACAATAATGTTCACAATGACAGAAGAAGCTCGCATGGGAAACGTATTTGGTTTGAGCCTGGAGAAGACTTATTCAGAGATCAGAAGTTGGGAATCAGTTGTCTTTATATTCTTTTTTTTTGAGTGCAGGCAGGCTCTTGAACACAATTCCTTGTCATTTTTTCTTTTCTTTTTCTTTTTCTCATTATCTTAAAGCCCTGCCCAAAGAAGGTGGGATTGCCAATTCAATTGTTGAGAGCAGGCCAAGGCCAGTGGTAGTCGCCCATCCAACAAGATTCAGACCGCTGCATTACAACACATTCAGGTAACAAGAAATCACCGAGTCTTGGTGGATTGAAAAGGCTATGACCGGCAATATGGCAAGGGAAAGAAGACAAAAGAACATTCTTGGCGTAGATGATACCACCTATTTCTTAAAGCTCACCGACATTACTTGATTTGATATCAGGCTTCCTAATCCTTGATGCCACGAAGTACATTTCCAAAAATGAATTGATGCCTTACGTTCCACGTCAACCCCTTAAAGAGTTGGAATGTTGACAACGCCCAAGAGAACGCCTTTCCAACATGCATATTTAATGATGTTGGCACTGCCTCAAAAGTAATAGATCACGGCCGACAGCGTTGGCGCATTTCCTCAGGCCAACCAACATAGCCATCTGCCCTTGTGCAATTTTCTACTTCATCATGTGCATATGTGGGTCGGCGGCCGACAATGCACGACCACCGCATCACACGAGGCCTGAGATGTGACCGGAAGACGTCTTGATTGGCCAATTATGATATTTCATCTTCAACCAACAGCAGGCTGCGAACCATGGTCTAATACAAAATCTTGTGTGCAAGGCTTTCACTGAGCCCTCCGAGGCAGTATATAAAGCCAAGGTTTGAAGCCGTCGAACGTGTTGGTAACAGACCAGATTTCAACTTCACAGCTACTTTCACAATTTCCCTCGATTTCTTGAGTCGTTCAGACGTATCCATCTTCGATTAAGTGATCGAAATTTACTAGAAAAACCATCTTGCCATGTCGCCTTACATTGTTCCTTCCAGCCTGACAGTGTCCAATGTCATGGAGATCCCTAGGACGCCCGTCAATCGGTATTCAACTCCGAGTAAGTGACTACAAAAACTTGACAAGTAAGGTAACTTGATTTACTGACAGCCTTTTGTACGGGTAGCAATGAAACACGTTGAAGGAATAGGGATGATAAGCAATAATCTTTGCAAGCGCATCAACCGATTTTTTGAGGGCGTGATCTTTCTGCAAAGCCTCATTGAAGCATGCCGCACCAATAACCAGATCAAAGCTCCCGCCGAGAATTACGACGCGGATGAGAGTCCCTATAAAATCTTCAAATGCTTCGTCAACAAGATGGCCCAGGTTTGCGACAATGTGCCTTTTGGCAAAACCGTTACGTCTTTAGCCATCATCAAGCATGTTGGGGGAGAGCTGCGGTATACTTTTGCCTCCAACCAACGAACCGTTGAGGACTCAGAATGCGCGAAGAAGGTCATCCAGAAGTTGCTAAGCGACGTCGGACTTGCGCAGCCGTCCGAAATACAAGATGACGGCGAGAGCCCATTGTTCCATCGCATCTTGCAGGACATTCTGGAATTTCACGCTGAACGGATCAAGGCTTATGGGAAAAGGCTTATGATTCGGCTCGGAACATGCATTGAGGACTGTGATAGAACCAACTCTCCTGAACGTAAGTCTTGAACCCATGTACTGTTTTATTTATTCAACTTCGGCCCAAGCTCACATCAATGGTTTGCTAGATGAGACTCTTAAAAGGAGTCTATTATCCATCAAGCAAGTAGCAAGCCCATGCAAAGATCTAGGGAAAAAGGATAAGCTTTGTATGTTTAACTAAGATGCCTCTGAAGTATTTTTATTAAGCTTACCACCTACCATTCAGCCGTGGACCAGAGCGAGCTGTTAGTCCGCGCCGCAAACTCCCTGCGAAAGTCCACAGCGCGGGAGCTCATTATCGAAAAGGCCCGCGTTGGCAAAATGGACCAGTCGGAACACTGGAGTGAATTCCAACACGACATTGGGCGTCTCGCGTCATACCTCGCAGTTGTCCGTACCATCATTATTGCACGTAAACGAATACCGCAGCTATTTGAAAACTTTGACATCACGTTTCTGGAATCAAGCATTTCTATTCCAAACCCGATGAATTCTATCGAGCCTAGGATGAGCTTGAGCAGAAAGCGACAACTTCGTTCTGCGCACAGCATAATTGGGCGCATGATCGGTGATCCAGCCGAGCGCGCGAAACACCAAAAGTATGCGGAAAGCATACAACATTGCGATCTCGACAAGTTGATCATGGACAGAGCTGGATCCGAAACCTTTCGTCCCATCGTGCATTGCGAAGTCTTGCTACTTGATTCACTTTGTAAGGAGTTTGACAACGAGATCCGTCCGATTCCCTTCTTCGATGACATCAGATACATTGGGTGCAGCAAACCAACTTGCCGGTTGTGCGAGTACTACTTTGGTGCTCACAAATCCGGTATTCAAGTGCGGCCGGGACACAAGAACCTTTATCCTAATTGGATCGTCCCTGATGTTGCCATGGAAAATTCACCCAAGGCGTACGAGAAGAACGGCATGATCGATAAGGTTCTGGAGAAGGTCCGCCAGAGTGCACTTTTAGCACTGCGAGAAAAGGTTTCGGATGGGAGCCGATTTGACTCGAATACATACTCTTGTCTGCCGACGCAACCATCTCTCGCAGATGGCGCTGACATTGGCAACAACCTAGCTTCTATCCTCGAAGATCTATCCATCACGCCCACCCAAACCCCTACTTCATCACCGAAGGGACCTGAAGCGGACGATGATGCATGGAGTGTTGTGGCGGATGGGGACAGCGACGGTGAGCGCGAGGATGATGGCGGAGGCCTGCTCCTATTCACTGGTCGGAACATACAAGCTTGATATATGATTCAGTGACCCAAGAGGATGGAGACACATGCTTTTATGATGTGATGATGAACTGGTGCGGAAATAAAACATTTTATCTGGACCTAAACACTTGGAATTACACTTGAAGACACTAAGACTTTGATTTCGAGCAGATTAAGTGAGATAAAACCTGAAGGTAGAATTATCTTGATCATGCCATCTTATACCCCCGAACCGGTCTTGATTCTTTCGAGTAATGCCAGCTCTTGTGATACTTTGCAATTCAAACCAGTCAGCTTTGTGTGTATGCCAAGAATCTAGAAAGTTCACAGTGCTAATTATGAATCGAAAAGGCATTAATGCAGGGACTTTCAGGGAGCGCAGTGTTGAGATCTGTAGACTGACTCTCATCTGCAGCTTGCCGGTTAAAGAACCCCAACAATCATCAACAAAACCACTAGCGCTGACCAAATCAGACAGTGTACCACTCAGGGCAACCGAATCTATGCTGTCTGCAACCCTCAATGATAAAACATCTTAGAACAAGACCAACTTAATAGGGCTTGATAACCATTGAGAAGCAACTTGTCACTTGAGAAGCTTTCACTCCGCTCTGCTTTAGTCTTTCTGCAGAACAATTTCAGCATCGAACATTCTAGAAATGCAAACCTTTGCCGAGGAATAGTTGAAGTGAGTAGCACGTATTGAAGCTGTTAGCCTCCTGAATTCAAACTGCCATGCCGAACAAAAAGGGGAAAACCATCGATGGCGCCGCTTCCGTCACGATGACGAGGGCTTCCCCTGTTCCAGCAGGCCATCCCCACAATGATCGTCGATCTCCCGCTGACAGCTGGGGCTTGCTTTCAGGGCTTTTCAGGGCTTTTCGGGGCATTTAGGGGGCGTTCAGATGCAGTTCGTCTCGCTGGAGCTGCCCTGTACAACATGCGGGGTAGCTACCCCAACGGGTAGTCCTCCCCTTTTTTGTACATTTTCGGATAGCTGCGTCATTGACGTCATCGTGACCGGAGCTTTCGTTCCAGCCCAGTCAGTTAATGCAGCTCCCCTGAAATTCAGCTGCTTTCGATCGTCACCTTGACTTCAATTCTGTGTAAGGCACGTGCTAGGGATTCTTCCCTGTTTGCCTACCGCCACTAGTTCCGATACTAGCCACTGGGATCGTCCAGCAGCTCCCCCAAGCTGCCTCAAAACGAGCTCAGTTCCGCCGCATTCATTCTTTGTTTTTCCCTCCATTGACCTACCAGATCACGATACCCTTTTTCCAAATTTCAACCTACTCATCGATACCCTCACGAATCAATTTTTCCTTCCCTTCCATTTCGAGGAACAACACTCCAATCTCTATAACCTTCAAAATGATGTCCACAAGACCCCTTGTTCGCTCTGCGCTTCCCAGAGCGACACGCGTTGCTCGCGCTCCCCGTAACCAACTTCGCTTCCAGTCCTCCACGGCTTCTTCATCATCAGGAAGCGCAGGCGGAGGCGGCTCACACTTTGGAGCTGGTGTTGCCGGTGGTCTTGCTGGAGCTGGCCTCTTTTTTGCCATCTACTCCTTCACCCCTGCTGGACGAACGGCATCCAAGGTCAACAAGGCCGCCAAAGAGGCAGAGCAGAAGTACCAGGTAGCAGCGAAGAAACTGCAGGAGAACACCCCCTCTCCTGATCAAGCCATCGACTACATCAAGCAATTCGCCTATTCGTACGTCGGTTGGATCCCTGGTGGTCGCGCCTACATCGATACCGCCTTCGACGACTTCGAGACCGTGCGCAAGAACCACCGCGAGGAGGCCGACCAAATTATCAATGATGCATACAAGCAGTTCCAGGAGGTAGCCAAGGCTGGATTGAGCCTGGAAGCTGTTCACAAGGCGTATGAGGTTATTGCCGACCTGTCCAAGAAGGTAGCCAGCCTGTCTGGTGACGCCATTTCCGACATCATCGACAACCACCCCCAGCTGAAGGATAAGCTCGGCGGCAACATTGACCAGCTCAAGCAGTTGGGTGACCAATACGGCCCCGAGGCCAAGAAGCAGGTCGACGAGACGTGGAAGCAGATCAAGGATGTCCTTGCTGGAGGCTTCACGGCTAGCAATTTCGAGAAGGCCCGCAAGCTGATCGAGGAGAAGACGGAGCAGGTCAAGAAGCTTGGTGATGAGGCGTGGAAGAAGGCGCTCGAGGAGGCCAAGCCCTACCTTGACAAGAACCCCAAGGTCAAGGAACTGGTTGAGAAGAACGCCGACACCTTGAAGCAGGGCAACGCCAAGGAGGTCTTTGAGAAGGCCAAGTCAGCAGTTGAGTCTGGCGATCTTGGGGGACTGGAGACCTATGTCAACGGAGCGGTAGACAAGGCCAAGTCAAAGGGCTCACAGCTGGGCGCTAGCTTCGGCGGCTTGGATCAGTACTTCAAGATGATTCCCGACGGTGACCAGATCATTCCCAAGTTGAAGCAGCTGAGAGAAATTGCCGACAAGCACAAGGACGAGGGTGAGAAACTTTTCAAGGAGACGTTGGAGGAGGTGAAGAAGGTTCTTGAAGCCAAGGGCAAGGAGGCAGAGAAGATTGCCAACAGTGCCAAGAAGGAGGCCAAATAAGTGGCATCATGTCAAGACCTGGATCCCTAAAGAGCAAGGGTAACTAATGTATTATTCCCGTAAGGGGTTTCTAATGTGTCATAAAAGTTATCCATTTCCTTTGTTAAGCATATCAGAGCAATAAAAACATACCCATGAGTTCTCAAAATATTTTCCTTGATCTAGTGACGGTATTGGCAGTTGTGTCAAAACAGCGTCCCCCAACATTTTCCACTGCGCATGCTGATAATTCTTTCTTTCTGCTTCGTCTTCAGATTACGTTGCATGATAATGTTTTTTTCTGCTTGAATTTGGTGGGAGGAAATTGCTTTAGTAACCTCCCCAATGTTCAGCTTCATGCACGCAAGGAAATCAACGTACAAGTCCCTAGTAGAGAGTTGCGAGGGAACCGAGAAAATACTCGTGAGATGGTGTGAGTACGTCTGCTTCTGATAGAGGCAATATTTAGGATCTATCGCATCGACATTTGATGACTCGTTCGTGGGACTATTGTTGTTTCATATCGTATAGCCAGCTTCGACACTGATATTGGCCCTGTATGTGTTACTGGGTTAGATGCGTTGGTTGTAAAAGGACCATAACACTGGGAAAGGCATCTGATAGACAAAAAAAATCCTTCTGATCCTACGAGAGGTGACAGCATTGGCATAGACTAGCCAGTCTGTGGTATGCCATTACCATCTGCTTATCAATCGTCGTGGGTGTTCGGCCGAATTGAGTAGGATTTCTACAACTCCGCCGAAGCACGCACCGCAAAAGGCCGATTTCATCCGTCATTCGACCTGCTCCAGTCCCGCGCATCGCCCGCAATATACACCATAAATACCAATAACGCTTGGCAAGAGATGACGGCAGCTGATTTTCCAGGTCCATTCCACCGGCCAGGAAACGATTGTTGGGATAGGCCGTAGGCTCGAGCTGCAGCGGCCGCCAATGTAAAGACGTTCCGCGGCCAACCATAATTTGCGGACCCAGTGATCCTTCGCGCGTTATTAAAAAGGTAAACGTCACTATGTCTTGCCTATCGCTGGATATACCGTTGATTACAAACTTCGTGCGAATTGTGCTGCCTAGGAAAGGTACCCTGAGCCTTTATACAACAATACCAACAATAGCTAGTCGAGCCGACCGGAGCCCGGCCCCCTTGTAACTCCAACCTAAGAGAACAAAATAGCCTGGACTCCCTTGCTTAAGCTTAGTCAATGCAGCTATCATCCAGTCTGCTTAGTTACCAGCGGCGGAGAAACTTTGCGGAGACCGGAGTTTATTCAGCGCCAACATAGAACCCTTGCAAGTTGAAGTCATGTAGCGGAGAATAAAGTAGTAGACTGCCTAATCACTGTGAAAAGGGACTTAGACGTCTAATACGGGAGTCGCCGCATTAAATACGTTGCAGTTGTAAGGTTGGCTCTTGCTTCAAATATATAAAGACCACATGAGACCTTCAATTGATGGTTTTCGGGGCCAGATTATTCACCTTTATCCAAACAGACCTGCGCTCATATCAATCACATTGCCAAAATGTCCCAAGCATCTACTTCTGACGCTCCTTGGTCCCTTCAAGGCAAGACCGCCGTTGTAACTGGAGCCTCAAGGGGAATCGGCAAAGCTATCGCCATCCACCTAGTCCGCAAAGGTGTCGCCAACATCGCAATCACCTACGCAAGCAACAAGGCCGCCGCCGACGATACCATTGAGAAGTGTCGTGCCTTGGGCGTCAAGAATGCAATTGCGATCAAGGCCGATGCTCTCAAGCCGGAAGTCTGGCCTAATGTCATCAAGGAATCCCTCAGCAGTCTCGGCACAGAAACAATCGACATTCTCGTCAACAACGCTGTTCTCGCAACCATAGAAGACTACAAGCCTACAACAGAACTCAGCGTCGAAAGCTTCTCCAGCGTGATGATTGCAAACGTCTACTCTCCCGTGGCTACGACGCTGGCCTTCATGGAGCACGCGCCCAAGACCGGCGGCCGCGTCATCAACATTTCGAGCGTCTCCGGAAGGGCCCCGAACAACGACCCGATGATCACGTATGGCGCCAGCAAAGCCGCCCTCGACAGCTTCACCAGGTCCTTCGCCGACTCCTTCGCGTCCAAGCGCGTAATGACTTTTAACAGCGTCATCGTTGGGCCGACTGCCACGGACGCCATGGCAGCAGTTCTTTCCTCGGCGCCCCCTGAAACCAAGCAGTTCTTCATTGACCAAACTTCTGCCGCTCCGCGAGTGGGAGAGGCTGACGATATTGCTTACATTGTGGGATTCCTTGCTAGTGAGGAGGGGCGATGGGTTAATGGCGCGGCGGTCAGTGCCAATGGAGGATTCAGGACTGTTTTGGCGGCGCTTGGTTAGAAGTTTTTGAGGAATTCCTTTGGATAGCGTAGTTCAAGAGCCTTTTTATAGTCATTGAGAATGATTTAATTGTCTGCAGATACCGTAACAACTGGCTACCTACGTGTATGAGTGCATTCATATGATCCAAAAGACATGCTGTTTCTCCGGCAATGACTACCCAGCGCTCAAATTTGTCGTAAACCCCATATTGTCGTGGATATTAGCCGAGGGAGGTTGTCAAGTTCCGTCGGGGATGCTGTGCCGTGGTCCACGAGAGATTGGTTTTGAAGGCTATTTAGAGCATTCGGGTCTATCTCACGTTATATTGCATCCGGCCAGGTAGATAAGGGGAGCTTCTCATAGCCTGCGCGAGTTGCAAATACCTTGAAATAACCCACATGATCAATCGCTATCTATTTTAATAAACCATAAACTCAACGTCTATCTACCGATCTATATTTATATTGCAAACCTTTTCTTAATGGTCATAGTCATCACTTCAAAGACCTCTCAAGAACCCTCTCTTCCTAATTGGTGGGTTTGAGCCTTCGGGCTTTCTCATCTCCTTTTCTTTCCCGTCTTCAGTCTCAACAACATACCGATCCTTCTCCCTCTCTGCCTTTCTCTTCTCATGCTCTGTCTTCCACCTCATAAAATAGCAGCATATCGGAAATAGCGCCGTATTCACCGCCCCCCATGCGAATAGCACCCCGAAGTTTAAGCCGATCTTTGAGTGCAAGTCGAATAGCAATTGTCGGCTCGCTTCGACAACGTGATGCAGTGGCCACGCATAGCCCCATCTATAGAAGCCAGGAGCCAAGTCGATGGAATAGAAAGATGTCGCCACGTTCGTAATGACCCAGAATATGAGCCACAAAGCCGTCCATGGCTGCCCGATTACCATGGCGACATTCTCACATGCCAGACCCAACGCTATCATGCCTGCGAAGTTCACCATCCAATACACTGGAAAGGTGCCACGTCCATATGCTGTCGCGCCGGTGGGCGGTGCGGGCTCGGTTGGCGAGGCGGGAGGGGCACCGAAGGGGAGCTGAAAGGCTAGCGAAATCAGGCTGTAGCTAAGGGAGATTAGGAAATAGGCTACAATTGTTGCAATCCAGCGCCAAAAGATGAGTTGCCAGAACTTTAGTGGCGGATGACCTTGAGGCTGTATGTATTTCTAATGCTGGATCAGCGTAACCCTCGGAGTAGGTAGCCAGGACTTGTCACTTACGGAGTGGATAGGCAGGAAAAAGGAGTAGGAAAAGAAGGCCATGATGATGAGGTAGATGAGACCGACGGTGACCGCGGGAGTCGCAGTAGACGGGCGGAAAGGACGTAGGTCGATCATTAGCGGCGTAACTCCAGGGTTCACAGCCGACGATGCACTGACGAGGTTCTCCCGACTTAAAGATGTGTTGGACATGACGGTCTGGCCCCATGTCTTGCCGAATGCTTGAGTGAACTGATCCGTGAACTGGGTGATGTACTGCTGAATGTCGCTTTGGAAGGTGGTCTGGTCCCGTGCGGTTTGTATGATGATCTGCACCGAGCCTGCGGGATCATAGTTTGCGTCTCCTGTTGCGACTGCTTCTTGAAGTGCCGCTGTCGCATTCGCATGGACTATCACTGCCGCCCAGCTGTCCCAATCGTATACGGCCATTCGAACAGCCATGGGGTCATTATTGAAATCGGAGGGCGGCAGGATCGTCCATCCCAGCGACGGACCAGGTTTGTCTAGTGCCTGCTGTGCCGTTTGAATCACCGTTGGACCGACGATCGGTTGAACGGACTCGTACGGCGGAACTTGGCCATCGAAGTCGACAACGTGAATGGTAAGAGACCGGAGGTTCTCTTCAGCTCGGAAAAGTACTGCCCAGTAAAGAGACAGCACTGTCAATATGAATGTGAATAGGATTACAATTGTCCGAAGCCACTGTCGAATGACATGGGCGCGCACCTTTCTCATGGAAGGGTCCCAGAAACCGACGGCATGGTGAGGTTGTTTCTGATGATTGGCAAGGCCATTTTCCAGGATAGGACTGTGTTGATCGTCTTCTTTCATGGGATTGTCGTCGGTACGACCTCGTAAGGTTTGTTGGTCTTCGGAAGTACCAGCCATTCTTTTGTTTGGAAGGTCGAGACCGGAATGCCCTCTTCAAAGGACGCTGATTTCGAATGTCTCAGCTGATGGATGGTTGTCTTCGAAACAAGCTTCAAAATAAGGCGAAATGCATGCAGCTTTACGCCTTTCCCGCGCTTGGCCTCTTGGTTGTTTGTATACCGTCATCACTCTGGCCACTAGAACCCACCAACGCGGTAGAGTCCCCATTGAATAATCGATGATGCGTTATTGATCAAAAATCTACGGCTCGCTAAAGGGGATTTGAACAATATAGGCTGCTGCGGTGCCTATGATTGGTGCAAAGTAGGAATTTGCACAGGGGCCGTTCCCACAAGGTCGTGGGGGAATGACATCACAGTTCTTAGTCCGACACCAAGATATCTCAACCCAATCCCCTTAGATTGTTGATCCCGGATGATTCGGTATTCTTATTGATCGTGGATTCTGCCTACAACCCAGTATTGTTTCATGAGTCTTCTTTAGGGCGCTGCACACGCCACAGCCTTCTGTCTCCGCAACAGCCACAAGTATGCGATTGCTTCTATTAACTTCCATTATTAGACTAACCGTATTTAAGCAACGATAAAAGTTTTGTCTTTGAGCCGTAGTAGAATACCTAGGCAGTTCTAAGATAGCCTGCTAACCGATTCCCTATTGTTCTTGCGCACGATTCATTGAGCTTTTTTGCCTATCTCTTTTGGCAATCAACTTATCTCAGATAGAACAGACAACACGCGTCTGGAATTTCAAAGTGAAAGGATTCTGGCCGTCAATGCCAGGCCTTGTCCTATTTAAACTCTCTGGTCTCTTTCCGCACGAAAGTGAATCACCTTTGCTCTTCCATAGTCTGATTTAGCATTGCTTTACCAATCTGCTTGAGGGAACTACTTGCGAATTTTCAACTTAGACCTATTTGAGAAGTTTGCGGAAGATAAGCAACAATCGCAACCTACCATTGGATCATGTGCTTAATCACCCAGAGCCAATTTTGGATTCTTTCATTTGTGCGACTAAAGTCTACAATGCCCTAGAGGTCGAAACCTAGGTTATCGTCACAGCTATGTGATCTAGTAGTGGGCTACTACAGCATCACCAGCCAAATGTTCAATGGAGTCATCAACAGCACCCCCACTCTCACCATGTACGAGTAGTAGATACGTCTGTAGCTTCTAATGCAATCTGAAAAATGGCTCGTGTATCGAACACAATTAGAGACGCCCACAGCAGCTGCTGCAATCAGGATCAGCATTTCACCTATAAATACGTCTTCATCAAGAACTTAGTTTTACAGCGACCCAAGGTACTCAAAGTCCCTAATCCTTCCGTTCCATTCAATCTAACGGTGCTGACAATGACAATTTGTCTTTCTTGAGCAGATCAGCTATCAAGCCGAGTGATTGGTTCCCGGAATCCTTCGTTGCGTAGTCAAACAGAATTTAGCAAAACCCGCTCCTTATTCTGTCGCGTAGAAGCTGATGGGTAACAAGAGAACAGTTTCGGAGGACACTGGCAGGACAAAGATCTACGTAGTAGTGCACAGATAATGACATTGGAGCCAGGTGGAAGCAAGTTCTCAAGTCAGATTTGAAATACAATACAGTACAGTTGAAATAACCATTCTCTAAAGCATGGTGTACATAAGGGAACGAGCAATTTCCTGCTAACAAAGATCCACTCTCTGTGAGGTTTCGATTGACCTCTTTCTGGTTCCTTTGTCCACTCAGAAAGGGTGGAGAAAAATGCTCGAGTCTCGGGGTGGTCTGAACCGAGTTGCTTTTGCATGGTACGTGTGCAGTTTTCCATCAAGCGTATTGCATCATCCCATCGTTGTTGGTCTCTCCAGGTGCATGCCAGATTAGCCATGCTCGTTAGCGTGCTAGGGTGCTCCTTTCCAAGTATCTCTGAACATGTCTCCATCACCCACATCAATAGCTCCTCTGCTTCTTCTAATCGGCCTTGGTGTCTATGGATTAACGCTAGACTATTTGAACTAGCTAGCGTACAAGGATCTTTTTCTCCAAGTACTGTCTTTCTAGTTTTAACTACCTGTAACCCTAGCTCTTCCGCCTCACTCCACTGGCCTTGTTCCATATATATCACTACTAGGCCAGCCATGCTTCCTAGCGTATGTGGATGCTTGTTACCAAGCACCTTCAAACGCGTCTCTACTACCCGCAACTCTAGCTCCTCCGCCTCCTTGTATCGGCTTTGGTACATATATGACATTGCCAGGCTGGATATACTCGTTAACGTATTATAGTCTTCCTCACCTAAGTAGTCCTGCCGTAGCTTCACGCATGCCGCCGCACGTTCCTCAGCATTTTTCCATTGGCCTAGGTAAAGGAAGTAGGCTGTCATGCGGTGCAACAGTGATGCTCTTGCAGCTTGCCCACCTTGTAAGTCCGCTGCCTCAATTTGGAGCACAGCGTTGGCATGCGGAAGGTAATCGCGACATAGTTGTCGCCTTTCATGTTTACCATACGGATAAACGTCTGACACCGTCTCCAGAGCATGTTGTGCAAATTCCGTAAACCTGCCTTGAGTCGTGAGCCATTTTCGCATAACTAGCTGCACAAGCCGATGCATGTCGACTGTGTCGTTGTCCGCCTCGGAGATGAATGAGAAAGCCTTCAAAGTGCCCAAGGCTTTCATAACTCTTGCTGCATTAGCATCCACTTCCTGATTACTCATTTTCTCACAATACCTAGTGATGATGGCCTTTGGAATGCCTTGGCGATCTAGTAGGCTCGCTATAGACAAGACATCACTAGCAAGGCTGTCTTGTTGCTGAATTTGGTTGAAAGAAACAATCCATGTAGCTGTGACCGCATGGGGTGTTGCCGAATCTCTGCCGGCGGCCTGAAATGGCTCGCTCAGCTGGGCTACTAGTATGTCGTTGCTTTGATCTAAAAGCTGGATGTATTCCTTAACTGATATGCTGTTCATTTGTATAAACGCAACTGCCTGAGCTAAGGCTAGCGGCAGGTGCTCAAGTCGATTGGACAGAGTATAAGTGTCATCAGCAGGAACTGTGTCATCAAGGATCGTATGTATGAGCTGCTTAGCCTCGTTGTCGCTCATTTTTCCTACTTCGAGCAACTGCTTCCCCTGAATTAACATTGACCCAACCTGCTTGTTCCTGGTTGTAATAAGAATTGATCCATGACTACATTCGGAAATATAGCGCGCTAAACCCCCATATGCTTCATCCAGTCGATGTTCTTTAGTGGTGTCGTCCTTTGCAGATGATGGGAAGAATTGTTGTGTGTCGTCGGCGTTATCCACAATCATGAGCCACCGACCTTGATCTCTTCTCTCTAGCCAAGTCTTCACAAGGGCAAGGATGTCGGATTCGGGATTATCATATCCAGGAATGCTGCACTCGTATGCAATAGCAGAATATGCTTGGAAGAATCGTTCTGCATTACTTGCGTGCACCCAAAACACCGATATGTCAGGATGCGCATGCTGCAACCAGAACACATAGGCGAGCGCGATCTGCGTTTTCCTGTATAAGGTTAGCCACAGATTGTCGAGGGCTTTGGAATGGCAAGTAATACCCAATACCCCCCAGTCCATAAAGTGCAACTCTCGATCGAGCCCTTGTAGTCAAATCCCCGTGTTGATTATGCCCAAAGAGTTGTTTCAGTTGATCGAGAATCGCGGATCGCCCAACAAAGTCTAGATTCTCGATATAAGGAACGATGACTAAAGCTTTTCAGCCAGGAACATATTGTCTTGGTAGGGTACCTACACCATGAGTGAGGTGTTAAATACTCCGTGTTGGCATAGTGCTCGAGGATCGCCTTTGTTGTGGAAGCGGCCGTTGCTGCCGCAAAATGTTGCCATTTCTTATTCTTATGGCTGTCCGCGTAGTCACAGACTCCTTTGACAACAATGCACGAAAACTCATCCCACACGCCGGCTCCCTCCATCTCAAATGCAACAAAGTTATACTCAGCAGCTACTCTGTCACGATCTAGGCCCGACTTCATTACAGTATCACCAGATCCAACACGTCCGACGGAGATTTGAAATTTTTGTGCCGCCATCGCGTTTTCCTGTTCGCGCATTGATTGTGTCTCTAGACACCTTCTAGACACTAGACGGCTAGAATCGCACCTCAGCACCTTGCACGAGGCTCTTAATGCTCCGTCACAGACATTTGATTCGCTACAGCCACAGCAACGAGAGTCGTGGTGCCTGTGAGTATAACCTGCCTCGAACAGACGGTCTTCTGTCGCTTCTGGGCGCTTGTATAGGTTCTGGCACCCATCATTGATTGCATTTTGCTGAATCTGCTCTAGTAAGCGACTGGCTCGAATTTGCAAGGCTTTCTGGCCATGGTGCGTCCGGAAAGTCGCAATAAGTGACCGTATCTTCTTGCTCGGTCTGCCTAGATTTTCTTCTACTGTATCTTTAGGCATGAATCCCATGGGATATCTTTTTCCTAAATCGAATTGCATGACGCCGTCGCTGATGATAACATCGCCGAGAAGAAGCTCAGAGTCAGTTCCGACTCTAGGCACTCCACCACAGATGCCACTAATGATGGCCAGCTCGATCCTAGGGTAGCTCGACCCAAGACTTGCCGCTGCGCTTGCTGCGTTGACTTTTCCCATGCCTGGGAGGAGAAGCAGAACAACATTATGGGAACCTATCCTGCCAGCCGTGTACTTATTATCATCTCTTGACACATTCCCAAGGTGCCTCATGCCTGAGTCCCATATCTCATCGAAAGCGAAAGCGACGGCATCGTATTCGAGGGGTAGGGCGCATATCACCGCGATCTGGAATTCTTCGCGGCGACGAACTCGGGCATTTGGGGCGCGACTGGACATCGATGAGGAATAATCAAGTTGCGTTCAGTTCGTTCCTGTAGCAGGTTTCATCACTCAGCAAATGGGAAGATAATTGCTCACTTCGATGGCTGTCGAAGAGAGGAGGCGATTTGAGTAGGTCAGCATACATGGGTCGAAGATCAGGCTGGCGCATCGTGAAGGACGTCGATTGGTTCGTTTCGTAAACTGCGCCGCTCACGTGTTCACTCATTTAACGGCCATATTAGCATTCTGTTCCTCTACGAACAGTTCAGTGCCATCGCCCGCCGTTCATCTTCAGGAAGCTGGAGGCTTCAACTCAGATAGTAGTTTAGGGGATGCAAATTTCATAGTTGTGGCATTCTTCTTTAACAACCAAACTTCTCTTTCGGTTACGACAGTGCAGCCGCGGAAAAGCCCTACGTCATGCAACGAAGCAGTTTCATAGTTGTACCTACTATGTGGTGGTTGGAGTTTTCTTACGTAGAGTCCATGTCTTCTTAAAGCTCCGCCATGGACGCAGATGCTAACTGCTTCTTCTCGCGTGCCCTTCCCCTCGATTTTTGCCTGCCAATCAATCAGGGTGCAGCAAGATTCCTTTGGAAAAGATTAATGAAAGGAGGGACCAAGAGCTAAGTCCACAACATTTGCCAGTGGCACAGCATGGAAAAGGGCATTGCATTAGATAATTATAACGATAACGTCACTGCCCAGCGAACGCAACATTATTAGAGAAAGTTTTCTTTTCTATATATTCAAATAACGTACATGATAAGCGAGTGAGACAGACAAGCGAGTGAGACAGTAAACCGCGACCGTCGCACCTTGACGCGACCGGCACCTTTTCCTCTACAATAAATCATGGAATCAGCTAGTATTGAAAGAAGGTTACAAATTGCCCTTCAAGCAATGAGAAATGACCCAAAACTTAGTGCTCGGGCCGCAGGTGCACTCTATACAGTCAGTCACGCAACATTAAGCCGGCGACTAAAGGGAATAGTCTCACGACGCGACAGCATGCCTAATTCACGGAATTTATCAGATTTAGAAGAGAAGACAATAGTTGAGTATATTCTCGACCTAGATGCGCGATCATTTCCTCCCCGGCTGAGTGGTGTGGAAGAAATGGCCAATCGACTTCTCGCAGAGCGCGACGCGCCTCCAGTTGGGAAGCGCTGGGCTTCTAATTTCGTCAAGCGACAACCACAGCTTAGGACGCGTTTCTTTCGCAAGTATGACTATAAGAGAGCTCAATGCGAAGATCCAGAGGTGATTCGTGGCTGGTTTTCGCTTGTGAAGAATACAATTGCGAAGTATGGTATTGCTGATGCTGATATCTACAACTTTGATGAGACCGGCTTTATGATGGGCGTTATTGCTTCTGGAATGGTTGTTACAAGTGCTGAAAGGCGTTCAAATACGAAGATGACACAGCCTGGCAATAGGGAATGGGTTACAGTTATCCAGGCTATTAATTCCCAAGGGGAGAGCATCCCGCCATACATCATCGTTGCAGGCCAGTATCACCTCTCAAGCTGGTATACAGAAACCTCTCTTCCGGGCGATTGGGCTATTGCAACGTCTGAAAATGGATGGACAACAAACGAGAGAGGTATTGACTGGATCAGACACTTCGACATTTATACAAAACCACGTACGTCTGGGAAATATCGCCTCCTCGTTGTTGATGGTCATGAAAGTCACCACTCCGCAGCCTTCGAGCTCTTTTGTCAAGAAAACAACATTATTACACTGTGCATGCCGGCTCACTCGTCTCATCTACTTCAACCCTTAGATGTTGGTTGTTTTCAGCCGTTAAAGAATGCCTACGGTCGGCAAATTGAGAATAAGATGCGGCGAGGCACAACCCATATCTCGAAGGAAGATTTCTTTGCAGCATTTCACGAAGCTTTTAAGCAGTCTTTTACGAGGAAAAATATCCAGGGAGGTTTCCGAGGAGCTGGACTTGTCCCTTTGAATGCAGAAAGTGTTCTCTCAAAGCTGGATGTAAAGTTCCGAACGCCAACGCCTGAGGAGGGGGTCCCTCAGACACCAGACCCTTGGATCTCTAGGACGCCGAGCAACCCAAGCGAAGCAAGATCACAGTCTACTTTTATTAAGAGTCGAATCTCACGCCACCGAAGCAGCTCTCCAGCATCAATTTATAGTGCTGTGAGTAAGCTAGCCAGAGGGACAGAAGGACTAGGGCATCGGGTAGCATTACTAGAGTCAGAGGTTCAAATCCTTCGAGAGGAGAATGCAATATTAAGTCGGCGTCGAAGGGCTAAGAAAACACGTCTACAGAAAGGAGGAAGTCTTACTATATCTACTGGAGAGGATATACAGTCGCAAAGAGAGGCAGACACGCAACTACAAGAGGAAACGCGACGGAGTAGTGGTCGCAAAGTGAGGTCTGAGACGACTCATCGTCGGTGTGGCGTATGCGGGAATACAGGCCACAACGCGAGAACATGTCAATTTATTGAGGAAACATCCGAAGAACAGGAATCCGAGTAGTATTAATCAATCTAAGATTTCTTGTTATAGATTTCGATATTATTGTCGCGAAGGTCTGGTTTACTGTCTCACTCGCTTGTCTGTCTCACTCGCTTATCATGTACGTTATAGAATTTATGTGACTTAGTGAGTATTAGCAGCGGCAGGCGTGGGAAAGAGCTAAACGGCCGGGGTGCTGTAACCATGTAAGACTAGAAAAAGTAGGGCGGCACGATGTTTGAGTGTGAACAATCCTGGGATATGATTCTCGTTTTGTTATCATCAAGGTAAGACGGACAGCTCAGTAACATAATTATTATCTCTTTGTTGGGTGTGTATTTTCTTTCTCTAAGTATTATTAAGTCTGCGATTGCTTCCGCGGACCTATCAGACTACCTATAGTCGAGTAACGACAAAGGTTTAGGGCATGTAACGGAACGAAGGATGCTTATGACCTAGCTCGATCTGCTCCTTGTCAGTCCGACTATCTAATCTGTAGTCTCGCTTTCCCGCAGCTCTAGCCCTATTCTCATACAGGCAGTAGATGATGCCAAAAATGGCAAGTATTACTGTCAGAATCTGTCCGACCAAGTTGATTGTATGGCCCACAAAGTACTTTGGCGCGTCCCTGAAAGTATACGTCCAACTACAACACATTAGTGAACTGAATATGCCAGGCATGGAGCTAAAGGTGCGCCGATTTTAAATTCAAAACTAGTCGGATAGTGACTTACGTAGCGAGTATGCCGCCAAAAGTACCGATTGCAACAACGTATGCACTTGTAACTGCACGAACTGACGGCCCTGCTGAGTCTTTTACAACTATTAGACTAGGAACCCACGAGGATGATGAGCTGAAAAGTACCTACTGTTCATGGCCCAGCTAAGGAATCCTGGACCCCCAGGGAATGCCCCAGCAGTTACTAGAAAGAGCGCCATATATCGAATATTGGTGCTGGTCTCGAAACGAAGAATGGCGAAGCCAATGACTGCAACAAGGGAAGATATAGCCAGGTAAATTCCACGCTGGTGGGTCTTGTCGCTGATGTATGCGATGGTTATAGCCGATGCGCAGGCGACGATGTAGGGTGGCACCGACATCAACTGTGCCTTGGTAGATGTCCAACCAAGGTCGTTCAAAATAGTGGGCATGAAAACTGAAATACCTTGTACTGTAATGTTGATCAAGAAGAAGCCTAGTGCACATATATAGTTGTGTATGCACTTCACCGCTCGCTTCACATGATCAAGACTCACTGGTTCCTCAGGTTCTGATTTGTGCTCCCGCTGTAGGCGTTCGACGGCGATAGATCGCTCTCGATCGGTGAGGAAGTACGCAGTGGCAGGATTCATCGGCATCCAGAGAGGCGCGAATAGCCCTACGAGAATCGTGATAAATCCCTCAAAGAAAAAGATGTTGCGCCATGTGTGAATGGGCATCCCGTCAAAGCCCCACTGAGGAATTCGAGAAAGACCGCTGGCTAAGAGCCCTCCAAATGCTCCGGCTAGGGAAGCTGATGAAATCAAAATCCCGATGCGAAGCAGTAGTTCTTCTCTTCTGTAGAAGCTGCTCATGAAGAAGGATAATCCGGGCATCGCTCCGCCTTCGAACCCACCTAGAAACGCGCGAGCTACAGCAAGCCCTTCGTAGGATCTTACAAAAGCCGTGCAAAGCGAAACCAAGCCGAATCCAACTACTAGAAAAGGTAGGTAATACCTTGGCCCAATTCGCTTCAATACTATGTTGCTTGGTACCTCCACCAACAGGTAAACGATGTAAAATATTGATAAGACCCAGTTAAAGCGAAGCCCTTCGATGTTGATATCTTTTGCCATGCCCTGGATTCTGGCATTGCCGATATTTGATCGATCAAGAAACTGAGAAAGTCAGCTGTCATCGCACTTGAGCGAATAGGATAGTTTCAAAAAGGCGGACATACACAGAGCAAATACAGTGTTGTAGCCAAAGGAACTGTGTGCCAGTCGAGCTTGCGCCTTACGTCCCTCTCCTCGGCTTCGGACCATTGCAAAGGTGGTGATATATCGCCGAGATTGACTGCGTCTAGCTTTACATCTGCAAAGCTTGACCTCGAGTATCCAAATGTATCTAAAAGTATCGGTCAGATGCCAATGGGACTACAGTCAAAAGAAAGCTCACCTCTCCTATCCTCCTCAACCACGACCTCCTCAATAGTAGAAAGTACCATATCGATAGTTAACCAACGTAAGGCTCAGAATCTCCGAAATAAATTAAGAAAATAATACCAAGTATTGAAGTTGCAGACTTTGTGAATTTTGTGAGCAAATTAAATCATTGTGCGTTGCTTGCCGACTTGCGTTTACCCTGGCAAACCTTCTCTGTCGTAAAAGGTAGTGGCGGCAGCTATGCTTATATACAGTCCCTTAGCATGCGTATTAGCCAAAGCCTTGTCAGAAAGTGTTCAAATGGCTGGCACGGACATCGAAATGGTCATTAGTCCTTCTGCTGCAGTTATCAGCAAGCTGCCTTCGATCCAAGGAGCACCCTCGTTCAATAGGCTGGGGCATAGATGAATTCACACTAGAGAGAACCTTGTGTTAGACGCGGGGTACGAGGAGTCATCACACTCTGATGTTACATAAGAACTCAACCCTCAAAGTTAAATGGGTTTAAAGGATGTCATGGAGTCGGATTGGTTCCATGACAGCCTGCTGGGCCCTCGCACATCCACCCGTAAAGCGTCCGAAGTCTGGGCTAAAAGCATCTCTACGCCATTGGCCTGGAGGTAAATAGTTTCATCTGCGAAGTGTAACCTCCAATGATACAACAGGCAGGTTTGCTTAACTAACTGCCCTCCATCTGGACACCTCGGGGGCACATGCTTTCTCCATTCTCTGTTTAACTGACGTCAGTATAGTTCGGGTCTGTGCAGAACTGACTTGTCATGTCCAGGCTTGGTGAATTGGGAACTCCGTGCCTTGTCAGTGCTTCAAAAGAACCCCCTTGACGTAATTACGACTTCTGGTGCTAACGCAAAGAAATCATGGAAATGTTGAGAGTGTAATTCAATGCAGGATAAACATAGCTTTTATTTCTCTCGTAATAAAGTCTTTTTGAGCCCTCCGATAGTGTCTCAGGTCAGGATATTGCCCCAGTGCTTAACATTTCGCTGCGTTCTTATAGAATTGAGTAGGCGAGCGGTTGGATCTCCTGCACGGGCACTTTACCACCAGAGAGTACTTCAAGTGAAACAGTATTGGAAGAGTCAATTGAGTGGTTGCTCAAACCAGTGATTGCATCTATACCGAGTATCACATTAATGCACACGAAAAGGGATTGAAACAGTCGGGTTGTTCGCATAAGGTGATGGCAATTCAAAGGATAAATGGGTTCTTCCATGCAGTTTCACGCTTTCGGATGAAATGCTATGCTCGAATTCCGAGCGCGACGACTAAAAATACATGAGTTAAAGTCAACTAAATACGATGAAAATGGCTTTATACAGCCTCTTTCGAATTAAGCAGCTCTTTTCAGAGATTTTCTCCAATCTATAATAATTACATCGCTCGCAAGAAACCTCTTTTCCTCCGTGGTGGCTTGATCCCGGGCGGTTTTGATATTTGCTTCTCAACGTCAAATCGCCTGAGGTTGAAGTGAGGAAGATGCTTCTCTTGCTTGCGTGTCTTTCTCTCGTCCTTCCATCTCATGATGTAACAAGCAGGGCCAAAGAAGAGCGTGTTTACACACACCCATGCGGTGAGAACACCAAAGTTCAGGCCTATGCGTGAATGTAGATCGAACAAAATCTGCCTGCTTCCTTCCACAACATGGTGGTAGGGCCATGCATATGCCCACCTATAAAATCCGGGAGCAATGTCTGGAGGCCAGAAGCCTGTGATGGTATTCGTAAGAGTCCAAAAAATTAGCCAAAGTCCGACCCATCGGGAGCCGATAACCATTGCCATATTCTCGCAGGCCATTCCGAGCGCTGCCATTCCCAAGAAATGCAGCATCCAGAGCACTATAAACGACGCCTTCCCGAATGCGTTTGGGTTTTCTGCCACTTCTACAGGCGAAGCTGGCGGGTTGCTTAACGGAACTTGGAATGCTAGCGATATCAAACAGTAGGCAAGCGACAAAAAGAAGTACGAGGCCATGAGTGTCGACCAGCGTCGGATGACGTGATGCCAGTAGTGCACGGGCGGATGACCTTCGGGAGTAATGCATTTCTAAAAACGAAAACCGTCAGTACATGGTTAGGAATAGACCATCCGAGGAAGATGGTTTGCGCAGCTTTAACTTACCATGTCATCTGCGAGATAGTAGGTAAACCCAAAGTGAACGATAAGGAAACTTAAACCAAACGTAGCAGCGGGTGTCGCCGCTGGGGGACCGAAAGGTCGGAGGTCTAGCATTAATGGGGAAATCGCTGGGTTAACGGCACTGGCAGCCTGCCGCAAAGTTTCTTTCGTCAATGACTGATTCGCCATAATCATGTCGCCCCAAACTCTGCCGAATTGCGATGTGAGCTTCTGGGCAAATGTGTTGAGGTCTGGCAAGATGTAGCTGTATGTCATGAACGAATCCCGGCCAGACATAGTGATTACTTGGATTGCGCCTGTTGGATCGTATGATGAATTGCCTACTGCAACTGCATTTTGTAGGAGTGTTGTTGCATTAGAGTTGACAATGATGGCAGACCATGCTCTGAAGTGGTATACGGCTAGGCGAACTTGCATAGGGTCGTAGTTGAATTCGCTTGCGGATCGTATTTGGTATCCGATGGAGGGCGTCGAACTCCATAACGTCTCGTTGGCCAAGTTTGTTACCATTGGCCCTATGAGTGGCGTGATGTTATCATAGGGCGCAGCTTGCCCGTCGAAATCAACCACATAACAGACCAGCGACGTTAAGTTCTCTTCAATGTTGAAAACAAGGCCCCAATAGAGACAAAGAATTGCAAAGGTCGTCACGCAGATAATCACAGCTGTCAAAGTCGTTAACTACTTGACCGCCAGGTTGCTGCTTCTAACTTACTGTTTCTAACCCAAAGCAAAGATGTGTGCCTTCGTACCTTGTTGTGACTACTGTTAGTTATGAGAACGACCTCGGGGCTGGATTAGAACATACTCTCGCTAGATGGGGGTGCCACCAGCTGACTGATTGCGATGGAAGATTTTCATGCTCCTCCAAACGCTTTTTGGCCCATTTAGCTACCGAGTAACTCGTGTTGTTGCAATTTTCATTCCCATCATTCGATGATTCAGGCGATGCAATTTTCTGGGGATTGTCTTCCCCAGCTCCGCTTTTGACATGATCGCCGTCCTCAACCTCCGTTTCGCTGCTTGAAATACTGTCGTGCATCTCGGGTTTCGTTCTGAATCGATATCCAGTTCCTGTCTTCGAATACAGTGAATTTTTTTAGGTCGATGATAAAGAGCATGTGTTTATATTTATAGCTAAGCTGTCTTGACTAGTGGTCAGTTGAGAGTTTTCATTCTTTATAGTATATCCCGTTCCAAAACCTCCGTTCATCGCCATGATGTGGGACGTGGATTGACATCAAGATCCACCATGCTGCGACTTGGCTTTGGTTGTGGAGAAGTACAACGGACTTTTTATTCCGGGTAGAGACTCAGTGTTGTACCTACTCCAGCGTTTTACGTCTCTCCTTTGTTCAGTCGATCATTGATCTCGCCCGAGACATGTGAGCCTATATGGCGGGTCTCCTGAAGATCGACATCAACCGAGTGCCAAGTGGTAAAGTCGGGCATCAAGTTTGCCTACGTCAATCGCATTCTAGTTGCAATTCTTCATCTCGTAACAGAATTTTCTAGTTTCCACCTCGTCAAATACCATAACAGACCACTTATCCTAATTTGGGATTTTGGAACGGGGTTTCGACTTTTTTATCAATGCCGTGCATTGGCTATCCCCATCTTGACGTCAAGAAGTCGTCAGCCAAATGGTGGAGTTAAAACATACCCCCACACACCTGCTGCTAGGACATCTGAGGCCTTGCTTTTCAGTGGCAATAACTCTAGCTCAGATCACGATTTGCAGCAATCCTTGCCTCCAAGCGCTCGAGTGAATGTCTTAGCCGCGACTCCCCGTATGACCCTCTAACCGAATAGTTTTCGGTACTTTGCCCAAGCCGAAAACACAAGTATACAGTTCTAATCGATTCTGACCGAGTTACGATGCTTGAGTAAAAATGACCCACTTATGACAAAAGAGTGTGAGAGGTTTTGTTGATTCATTATGAGCCGCGTCCTGCCATATCTTGAGTAGCACATTTGATTAGGCTATCCATCATCATTTGACCTATATGCGGTAGAATCATGTCCCAATCGTTATTGTTCACTAATCACCAAGGTTTTGTTAACTACGCAGAACTTCTGTTTTGATTTTTCTCTCCAGACATCAGTCTACCCAGTGAAAGCGTCACTTACCAAGCATCTGATGGAGCAACCGGAGTACCTAATTGATGAAGTTTGCTAATATAAGATAGGTAGTTTTCGAATAGTTATCACGTCCTTGAGTTTTTATCGGGCACGAAAGAATCATGATCTTAAAGATTGGCCATTGAATTTATAATTCAGTTTGGTCATTTGGTATCACCCTTAGCTGATTCTAAAACCTGGGCGAAGACCCCTGTAATCTCAATCCAGTATAGTCCTCGAATCTAGCCAGGAGAAATAATGTAAAATACTTTGTGTCATTTTTGAAGGATCGAGATTTAATCCAGCCGGCTTGCATACTTGTTGTGGCTATTTAGCCTTTGGAGTTCAGTTTCGCCATTTTCGTACGCGACGTAGAGGAGCAGCCGTAATGTGTACTGCCAATTTCGCCCAAAGCGTTTTGATAGTTGTCGGCTCGTTCTACAGTAGCAACACTTTTCCCCTATTCCATCATTACGTTGAGGAATAATTGTAACCGTCAGTCCAGACGGACTTCACTGTGGACACTACCTAGGAACGGAAACAGCTTATCCTTCCGTATTAGACCACAAGTAGTTGTAAGCGCAGGAAAATCAACAAAGGTTCCTTTTGTGCCACAGTATTGCCTCGGGCAGTTACAGCTGATGCATGTAATACAATGCGACATTCAGCTTTCGTACCCCTGAATAATTATCCATCATCAGTGGAGGGTTCGGTCTCTCAATATTACGAGACACACAGAATGCGGAGAACTCAGCCCTAAGAAATGGGGTATCGTGAAGGCAGCATATCCCCTCTCTCGAATTATTGGTGGCGAAGGAGGCATACCTACGGCAGTCCGCAGGGCGCACTGGGTCAAAATTCAAACATTGCCTAATTAGGATGTATAAACGAGATAAGCATACACTACCCGTATAGATAGTTAAGCTTCTTATCTTTACTATGTAATTATTATAAATTTAAGCGAATTCTATGTTTCGTATACGTATATATATAGAGTTTTACGAGACCGTATAGGTGTTACGGCCAGCTATCTGATAGTAGGGTTCTGCTAACAGAAGGTGCAGTAAGAGACTAACACTGGTTCGTAGAGGTCGTTCTGGTAGATCGTAGGGTTAGGGTAAGGTGATCAGTCTTATACTATAGTAACGAGGTTCTTAGTATTTATAATACTGAGAGGTAAGCTAAAAGTCATTCGAGGATAAATCATAAGTTGATTGCTAAAGAACTATCTAGAAGGCTTAAGTAGATGCTTAAGTCCTGGTCTATATATAAGTCCTGTTTCCTAATGTCTTGGAGAGTCTATAGAGTCGCTTGTCGACTCTATCGACTTTCTTCTAATTAGTCCTTTATAAGAGTCTATAGAGTCGCTTGTCGACTCTGTCGACTTTATCCTGATTAGTCGATTGTTACGTAACTTATAATATAGTTCTTCCTTGCCGAGAGGTTTACCCTTGTTCCCGTAATCCTACGTATATATATCCTATCGTAGCCGCCCGACCTAGTAGGTTTGTTAAGTATATCTAACGGGTTATAACATGTTACGGCTAGCTATCTAATAGTAGGGTTCTGCTAACAGAAGGTATAGTAAGAGACTAACACTGGTTCGTAGAGGTCGTTCTAGTAGATCGTAGGGTTAGGGTAAGGTAATCAGTCTTACACTATAGTAACGAGGTTCTTAGTATTTACAATACTAAGAGGTAAGCTGAAAGTTATTCGAGGATGAATTATAAGTTGATTGCTAAAGAACTATCTAGAGGGCTTAAGTAGGTGCTTAAGTCCTAGTCTATATATAAGTCCCGTTTCCTAAGGCTGACGTCCGCGTTGTCGCTTGCTGATATCTTAATTATCGGCAGCCGATATGCTAAGAGTCGTATCTCTTATTCCTTTCTTATTATTACGTAACTTAAACATAGTTCTTCCTTTTCCGGCAGGGCGACCCTTATCCCTTCCGTCGCCTATATATATCTTATCTCTAGCCGCTATCCTCGAGTAAGGCTAGTTTCTCTATTAGGCATACTTAACAGGTCGTAATATCAGGTCTCCCTCTCGAAGGTCTTGTCCTCAAGGCTTATAAGTAGGTTGGCTAGTCCTAGGTTAAGGTCTTTTAAACATGCTTCCTTTAATAATGCTAATACTATGTTAGGTCGCGTTCTTAAATCAAAATCTAAACAGCCTTGCTTAAAAACGCTTCGTCAAGCAGTTAATAAGTCTTTCGTATATTTTAGCGTTATTATAGACATGCCTTATACCTATTATTTCCGTGCGAAACGCGCTTATCAATTTGCTAAGGGCGTAAATCGTTATTAGTTATATACTTAGTATAAGAAGCCTTATAATAGTTTAGTAGTAGCTTTAATATATAAGTTCTTTTTTCTTTAAGCGGCGATGTTTTCTTATTAATTTAGTAGTATTAAAATTAAATTCCTAGCGTAAGGAGTAGGATAAGAAAGAAGAGGAGGCTAGTAAAGAGGTGCTGCGGATCTATAAGGAGTTAGCACGTCTTTAGTCCGATATAGCTCTAGTAGTAAGCCGTTTATCTCGTATTTATTAAATTCGAAAGAAGGTAGTAGAGCGTTAGAAGGAGACGTTTACGTAAGGTATATAAGAATTAGTGTTGGAACGGTAGGTAGGAATCTCGTAGATAGTACGATATCCTTATAACAGGGTATTAGAGTAAGGGAACTTGTACTTATGAAGTAGGGCTTTAATAGTAAAGAATGTATAGGCTTATATTGAAGCTGAGTTGGTTGAGGAACTAATAGCTAGCTAAGGGAGAGAATTAGGCTAGTTATATAGTAGTATAACGTCGCCTATAATAGCTAATATAGGAAGCTATAAGCTAGGTTTAGTATACGTAAGTATATACGTCAACTAGCTTATAAAGCAGCTTATAAATCAGACTAGAATCTTCTTTAACTAAATAGACTTTTAGATAAGGTTAAAGAGAGTATTCCATAGGGATCTGAATGTCATATGTTTAAACTAGCAAGCAGCCATTCTTAGCTAGTTACTTTTGTAAGTCCTACTAAGTCTTAGATAAGACTAAATAGGATAAATAAGTAAAATAGAAGTATAATATACTTATACTTCTAACAATTTATTATTTAGTTAGGGGGTTGTATTAATATTTAGGTTCCTTATCTAAATCTTCTTTATTCTCGAATTCCCTAATTCGATTTATTTCGCGTTAAACTTATGCTTCGGAGTCTCTAATCCTTTATTAGGTTTCTTTATCATAACTTATAAGATTGTCGTAAGTAGCTTGCCTTAAGGTAATACGTAAGGCTAATAAGCCTACGGGTTTAAGTTATTATACTCGTAGCTTTTCGTTAAGTTGTTTAGTAGTTTTTCTAATCATCTTGCTATTAGCCTAGGAGGCTATTATAAGGGTTTTGCTAGTAGGCTAGTATCTTATTATTTCTTTAACGTCCCACACCCACTTCTGGGCACCCCCCACATTTGGGCACCCCATTTACACCAAAAACGCCGTTTTTCGAAATTCTATATTAAACTAAATACTTTACTTATTAAAGAGAATAAATATATGTTAAATAGATTAAGACTTAATTATAATACTTAAGTAGCTATATACTAGTATTATTGATAATAAGTATTATAAATTCAAGGTTTAACATTTATAATACTAATTTACCTAGCCTATATCTTAATATATAAAATAGGTAGAGATATTTAACTAATATGATTAGAATTTTTAAGTAAGATATAGTAGATTTATATATTCTTATACTTAGTAAAAAATTCTTTAAGCTTAGAATAATATTTTAAAATTTCCCTTAAGAAAAGTTTCTATTATAGAATTTTAACCCTTAATTATACTATATTTACTAAAGTAATACTTTTAAATCTCTTTTAGATATAATTATATACTTTTAATAAGTATAAATATTAATTTCCTAGATTTTTTAAATAAGTATATATGAGCGAAAATATATTTTTCTAATGTTAAGGAATACTAGTAAGTTACTAGTATCTACTAACATTTTAAAGCTTTTAGTTTTAAACTTCTATATTATAACTATTATTATATTTAAACCTTTATAAAAAATTAGATGGCTATAATTATACTTAACATAGTTTATATATATTTTCTTTTCTTAGTAAGTATAGTAGTTAGTTTAATATAGAATTTCGAAAAACGGCGTTTTTGGTGTAAATGGGGTGCCCAAATGTGGGGGGTGCCCAGAAGTGGGTGTGGGACGTTATTGCTAAGGTATATAGGGTATTTATCATCGTAGCATCCTGTCTATGATAGGGATACGTAGGGTATCTTAGTTGCTATACTAGCTTGCTTAGTTTGCTTAGGTACTAGCTTCTAGTTAGGCTTCTTAGGTTGTCCGCAGTCTTTAGCGATATGTCCTATTTTTTCGTAATTATAGTACTTAGGATTCTAAGGTTTCTTATCGTTGCTTTTAGTAGTAGTACTAAGGTTTATAAGTCTGCTATATTATCTATAAGAGGTGCTTTGTTAGGTATTATTCTAGTTGTTATAAGGTTTATTATCGTTCTGTTAGTTGTTAAACTTATGCTAAGGCTATTATTAATACTTACGTCTTAAGTTCGGGTTTTATCTTTTCTCTCCTTATTCCTTTCGTCGTTCGTAAAGGCGATTATCGATCTTAATAGTATGTTCGACGTAAGCAAGGAAACTAGGGGGTATCTCTAACTTAGCTATTTCATCCTTAACGTTATCTTTAAATCCTTAGTAAAAAGCAAAAACCTTGCTTTCGTTAGTTATATAGAGTCTTATAGCTAATCGTCTAAACTTAGCAGTATAAAGCATAGCTAACTTAGTTTATTATAGGTATAATAAGTCTTGCTCGGCTTGCTTTTACTTATTAAGGTCGAGGAAGAGGGATTCTAAGGCTTTAATATAGCTTACGAAGCTAAAGAAGATATTCTTTACTTCTTTACTATATTTTTAACTAGGTTATTAAGCTATTCTTATTATAAAGGCTTAAACTAAGTAAAGGCTTTTCTTTATAAGAAAGTAGCTATATATACTATATATTCGGTATCGTTTTAGAAAGTATTAATATAAAAGGCTCAGTAAGTCTATACTTAAACTAAGTATCTTTTAAGTTATCCTAAGGTTTTATCGAAGGTAGAAAGGGTATTAAGCTTAAGGCGTTCGCGTCCTTCGACTAGGGTAGAAATTATGTTAACGGCAGCTTGAAGGGTGTTAACTTCCTTCTTAAGTTCCTAAGTCTTGCACGCTTACTCCTAAAGTCCCTTAAGAATAGTAGCGTTTTAGTTAAATATATCGCGTATCTCTTTAAAGTCTTTAATAGTTTTGTTAAGCTATCGTTTAAGTTCTTCGGTATCGTCCTTGCTATCCGAGTCGTCTTTTATTTTCTAGTCCTCGACTTCCTAGGCTAAGCTTTGAAAAGCTTTTCCTCTAAAGGTAGATAAAGATCCGGGGGTAGGAGACTTAACAAAAGCGCGGGAAGACATTCTATACTATTTAGTAAGTATTAATAATTAACTTACTAAATAAAAGTAATTAAAATATTACGGTTAGCTATCCGATAGTAAGGTTTACTAATAGAAGCTAAAGATTAATACTAGTAAATAGTATTATCGTATTATAAATCTAGTTCGTAAGTTATAAGCTATATCGTAGATCGGTAGTTAGAAGCTAAGGTAATTAGTCTTAGACTTAATAAGTTATTTATAATAAAAGTAAGCTAAAAGTATCTTAAGGATAAATATAAAGTTAATTACTAAAAAGCTATAGAAGTCTAACTATAAGTCAAGCTTAGGTTATACTATATATAAGTCTAAATAATACTTTTTATTTATTTTACCGTTCTTAATCTTAATAAGGTTTATTCCTCGTTTATACGGATCTTATATATGCTAAGGATAGACTCTGTATTCTTAGCGTATAGATCTAATCTCTTATCTTATTATTACGTAACTTATACTATAGTTCTTCCGTTTCTAAGTAAATCCCTATTATTCTTATGATTCTATAGTATAAATGTCTTATTATAGCCGCCTAACGTCTAAATAGGTCGTTTAGCTATTATCCTTGTTTACGGGTCGTAATCTATATAAAAGCTAATAGTTAGTAAATAATTATATAGAAATATATAAAAGCTTAAAAAATCGGAAAAAAAAATCAAAAATAGAGAAGATAAAAGAAAACGGAAGTATAATAAAGGATAAAAACTAAATCTCTATAAAATAGTATAGAAAGCGTTATAAATTTCTATATAGTAAGGGTTATATACCTAAACTCTGCTTAGCATAGGGAAAAGGAAGAAGTTCTAGGCTTTACTAAATTCCTATTTATTTATCGATTTGCGCGTATAGACTATATACCTAATCAACCGGAACCGGAAGATCTAACCTCTAACGGATTATTATAGAGCCTCGTAAGGGGCTATGGTTCTATATAGTAAACCCTTATTTCCTAAAAGGGCAAATACCTACCTAGAAATATATAAAAATAAAAATCGTTTTACGCGAGATTACATATGTTTACGCTTATGGGGTGTTCCTATCACTACCTTGAATTTTGACCCAGTGCGCCCTGCGGACTGCCGTACATACCCCTGGCTAGTCCACAGGCGAAGTGGTGGGGGCATGTGTCAGCGTCCATCAAACTTGGCCTAGAATCGGGCGACCATATACCCGTCTGATTTGACTCTTTCTACAACAGCACGGGTCTTCTTTCTTATTTAGTACCGTATTCCGAAAGACAAGCATACCTCGAAAGCCATTGACCTTTGTCAATGCTGAGGCTAACGAGGCTAACAAGCAGCACAGAACCTTGTTGTGGGTAGGTGATTGAACAGTAGCCTATGTCAATTTAAGCCAGTATCTCTTTCCAAATATGCCTACCCTGTATATGCAGCTACTTTTACGTATTTACGAACGTATTGCGTGAGGGGGGTCACATCCGTATGCACATCAGCAAAGGCTTATAGCTAAATCTTCATGTATGTTGAATCTCGCCATATCAGCCCCTTCACAACCAATCAATTATTTACCAGTACGACTTAAAATGCTACCCTTCCACATGCATGTCCCTCTAGCTCCGGTGAAAAGAGTCATGTTCGTGGAGTTGGTCCGTAGACTGCATACTCCGGTCAATCTACTTGTAAGCTAACTTTGTCATGAACCATAATTCACTGACGTGGTTTGTACCTGATACCAATTGTAGTGATTCACTCCTTGCAGACTTGCGCGTTAGCCGAAAGATATTGAAAAGTAACCGTTGTGAAAGTACACCATACTAGAAACAGCAACTTGGGCTGAGGCTGGTCAATGGAAAAGGCTACGCCTTATTGACTTGCTGTTTAATACATACCTATAGTAAAGTATAATAATGAGAGCCGTAAACCTTTTGCGCCCTTGAAGCTACCCAGGGATGTCAGTTCCGTTAGCGGACAGCCTTAGATTTTCTTCATCATTGTTAAGAAATAAACAGGCTTGTTGCTCCCTTACCATTCTATTTCGAGTAATTTGCCTTCTTGGTACTGCCAATTCAAACCCCTAACAATGGCTCGGCTGACACCACCATCTCACAACGCCCTTGTGGTACGCCCGCATATTACGGTTACTCCTGAAGAGAGAGAGGAGGTCCTGAAGTCGGTCGAATACAATGTCTTTGCGTTTCCCGCCGCACTCCTCACATGCGACTATCTTTCAGACTCTGGAACGACTGCCATGACTGACGTGCAATGGTCTGCCATGTTCAGAGGTGATGAGAGCTATGGCCGTAATTCAGGTTACTACTGCCTACTCGAAGCATTCCGCGATGTCTTCGAACGAGGCGAAAACCGCAGATACACCTTTCGGGACATTATCGCAGGTACAGCCGACAGCAGTTTCTACCGTGAGATGTTCCTACAGGAGATGAGTGGTGGCTTTGTCAACGGCGGCCCCTTACAGCTTATACGACCAAACTTCTTCATGGTTCCTCAGGGGCGATGCGCTGAGGCGCTGCTTTTTTCTACACTGAGTGAAACATTGCGTGCCAGTTCCGGTTCTGGCCAATCTATGAGTGCCAACAGCCCGCCGGCTCTTATCAGCAACGGGTTCTTCGATACTACTGGCGCCAATGCTGCAGCCGTTGGCTTCCAGTTACATACCTTTACTCAGCCTGGCCTGACCGACCCCTTTCCAACGGAGCAGGTTGGGGTGTCCAACCCGTTCAAGGGTAACCTCGACATTGGCAAAACATCTGCGTTCTTGTCACAGGATGGGAATGCTAGCCGGGTGGCCATGATTCTTCTCACTATTACCAACAACTGGGCTGGCGCGCAGCCCGTCTCCATGGAGAACATCAGGGCAGCTGCTTCCGTGGCGAAGGATCATGATATTCCCCTCTTCTTTGACGCTTGTCGCTTCGCTGAGAATGCCAAGTTCATTCAGGACTTTGAGAAGGGCTACAAAGATAAAACGATTCCGCAAATCGTTCAAGAAATGTTTGCACATGCCGACGGCTTCACCATTTCTCTGAAAAAAGATGGCCTAGCGAACATGGGCGGCGCGCTTTGTTTCCGCGACGAAGGGATTTTCCCAACCAAATTCGGCGCGGATATCGGTATCCGCCTCAAGGAGCGGCAGATAATGTGCTATGGCAACGACTCCTATGGTGGCATGAGCGGTCGCGACGTTATGGCTGCCGCTGTTGGACTGTACGAGGTTACTAAAGAAGCTTATCTCGCTGACCGTATCGGACAAGTTCGGAGTTTTGCAGAGGGACTCATTGAAGAAGGTGTCCCTGTTCTTCTACCCCCCGGGGGTCATGCCATCTACCTCGATATGGATGGTTTCTTTGCCAACTGCGGAAGATCTTACGGGGAATTTGCCTCGGTGGGATTCACCTTGGAGCTCCTGAAATGTTATGGCATTCGTTCATGTGAAGCCGGTCCGTTTGGTTGGGAGTGGGATAAGAAGGGTGCGATTGCCCAAGACCGAGACAGTATCCCAAACTTGGTCCGATTTGCAGTTCCACGTTATGTGATGTCGGACAGACATATCGACTACACTGTCGCTGCCATCTCTCAGTTGTATAAGAGGAGGCATACCATTCCTGGTGTCAGAATCACCCGTGGCAAAGAACTGAGAATGAGAGTCTTCCAAAGTGGGTTGGAGCCTGTTCCTGTAACATCCGTGACGACCACACCAACACAGGTCGGTACATTCCTTAGTGAGGCAAGAAACGACATCGGAAAGCTTCATAAAGCTCTTAATCTGGACAAAAATGCATTAGAACGACTTGAGAATGCTCTCGATATAGCGATGACCGGATGGGGCCACCAGACAATTCCTGAGCAACCAACTGGGTGGCTATCCGATGCGAGTCTGAATCTCTGTCCCTTCGAATACTCTGTGGCAATTGAAAGAAAAACCGGAAACTCTCAATTGCGTTTCCTTCTTGAAGCCCAGGCAGATGACCCTACTCTTGAAGCCCACCAAAAGAGTGCTCTGCAGCTAACCGAGGATATCAAATCAAAATACCCTCAAGAAGTCTCTCTTGACCGCTTCCACGTTATCAAAGACCTCTTTTTTCCGCCAGCTGCCGAGGCGCAGGGGACTTTCGCAGCCTGGCACAGCTTCGTTGCGGATAAGAGCTCTCGATCGGAATGGAAGATTTACTTAAACCTCAACGCTCGTGGGAGATCGGAAGCACCCGCTGTCCTTTGCGAAACCCTCAATAGGCTTGGAATGCAACAAGCCTGGTTGTCTCTCGAGAGGCTCTTGGCAGAGGATAGTTGGCTCATGTATTTGTCTCTTGATTTGAGCCCCAGTCCCAAGGCACGGGTCAAAGTCTATGTTCAACACCGCGGATTCGATGCGACAGAGTTAGCAAATGCAGCTACCACTATTGCACCTGAAACCACGTCCGCCTCTGAAATCGTTCAACTCTGCTCAATTTTAAGCGGTGGCTCGGAAGGACCTTACGAGAACAAGGGGCTGATGACATGTTTTGGCTTCACGACAAGCGATGATGGACTTGGTGTCGAATCCGAAGCTGCGGTATACTTCCCTGTTCACGATTACGCACCTGACGATGCTGAAATCCGTCGTCGGTTGGAGAGATATTTGAGTGAGACCGGCAGTAATGATGCAAAAGATCCAGAGGTATTACAGACGTACCAAAGGGCTGTTGATGCTGTAGCTCACCGTCCTTTGGAAGATGGCCGTGGAATTCATGCATGGGTGGGGTTGAAGATGTCCAAGACCCGTGGCTCTGTGATAACTTTCTATCTGGCTTCTGAAGCTTTTGGAATGTTACCAAAGAGGGGTTGAATGATTGTCGCCGAGAAGCATCCAACAGCTGCGCTTGTGCAGCCTGGCCAATACGAGGTGTCTCTCACATTAATGTCGTCCAGAATTCTGAATCCCTTTGGAGTGAGACAGGTACTGCAGAATGTGAGTTAGCCAAGAGTTGTTGGTGAAATAAGGTAGCACTAGATTTGTTACCAATGATTAATATTCTTCACTTTTGTTTTCGCAGCCTGCAAAGTTAAAGAGACTCTATCATTATCATTTCAAGAAAGGAACCGGGTTTTGCTAAAACTGGCGATTCTGCTCTCGTTTTCTCAATTCCGCCTTCCTATCCTAGCATAGCCTTGGCTGTTGGCATCCACAAATTTCCACGACATGGATCGTATTGGCCCTATGGCGCTAACGGTAGCGCGTTCGACTCCAGTAAGGAGCATCATCGAAAGGTTATCCGTTCAAATCGGGTTGGGGTCAGACATTACTTGAAAGCAGTTCACAATAGCTTCATGTATCATCCTTTTTACTCAACTTACTTACACTCAGGTGGGTGTACAAATGCTGTAAACAATGGAAATCTGAGACATGGGACGCTTAAGCAGTAAGAATATTAATTACTTGAAATACCTCCAATGTTTAGTTCCCCCGCCGTCCCTACCAGGAACAGTTACTGCGTAATTGTCTTTATAAAATTTGGCAAAGCCATGCGTGTGTGTTTGAGGCTGTCTGCCATCGGATGTACCCGTGATGGGGGCTAGGGTAGCGGCCGAGGCTTACCGACCTCACCGAGGTCTCTTGTCTCAAACAATTGGCCAGTCATAGGGGCGATATAATTAGTCGACTGCCAAATTCAGTGACTGCTGATCCATTATACTCTCGTCTCATCTGCTCGTTGACGTGCATAATGCCAGAGTCATGGAGGCATACCTAACTGGGGACTTCCAGGGAGACGAGGAGAGCCGTATCCCGTATTCGTACTTCGTATACGTAGGTCGAGGCGAAACAGATTGGCAAAGGCCAATGCTTACTTAAGCTTTCGGTTGTATCCCGATCAATCGGGCTTCTCCCGACACCACCCCCGCTCGGCCAAAGAGGATGGTTGCGGCTAGGTCCGACGCTGTGCATTCCGCCATCTCCAGTCTCATTCGTCCGCCAAAGGATACAAAACAAAAGCTCAGAAGTCCATTCAGGGCACTTGTCTACAGTAAAGCTCGATAGTAGTTATATTTTAATTGATTTACACATCTCTATACACCCGATTACCGAGATGTCCCGTGCAATTGAGACTCTCCGTAAGTTCACTACCTGTGACGTAAGTGCTACTAGTGTCAGGGCAACCTTCATGGCCTTCGACACTAGGACCAATTCATTGGAAAGGAGTTCATGTTAGTCCTGACATATTATCAGATTGGTGATGCCCTCGTGAAGCTCAAATACCCACAGGGTGGCTTCCTCGATGGCATCAGAATGTTCTCGCCCGGCGCTGGCACGCGCATCTTCGGCCCTGCAGTCACGGTTCAGATGGTTGAAACCAGTGACACTTCCGCGCCAAAGCTAGACAAGCATTTTGTTGATCACAACGAAGAAGGCGGCGTCATGTATATCCAGCAGCCCAAGGGTTTACCATCAGCATGTTGGGGCGGGCTGATGTCGACGCGGGCGAAGTATCTTGGTGCTCAGGGCGTTGTAATCGACGGGCGCATGAGGGATGTCGGAGAACACAATGAGATGGGTTTTCCTGTAAGCGCCCTCCTCTTTGCGTGTCGAATCAATGGCTTTCGCAGGTATTGAACTTTGTTAACAATGCTCATAGGTGTTCGCTCAAGAAACGTCGATCTTAGGCTCAAACACCTTCACACGAGCATCGCGAGTCAATGTGCCTCTTCAGTTCAAGGGTGACCTTTGGATCAACCCCGGAGACATCCTGATCGGAGATGCGGATGGTGTTGTAGTGACGCCGCCTTCTCTGGTTGAAGAGGTAGTCGCACTATGCCAAGAAAGAGCCGAGGTTGATGAGAAGATGTTTGCCGAGCTAAGAAAGGGTGCGTCGATGGGGGACTTGATTAAGAACGTCCGAAAGGACAAATGAACGGTGATTAAGAACACCTGGAAATGGTGAAGTTAATGGCCTAGGCTCTGTAGCAGACAGAACTTTGGAGGCTGTTAAGTTTCATGCTCATGTGTAAAGAAAGTTACCAAAAGGGAAAACTATACATTTTGTCTAGTGCTCAGCGGGAGCATCACCTCGAATGGGACATGGTCGATCAGTACGAAATCGGCGTTGAGGTCTGTTCTCAAATCAAGCCTTTCATGCGCCAAGGGGAAAGCGGGGCTTCGAACACGACGAGGTGCCTTGGTAAAAGAGCCGAAAGCGATATTGAAACCGATTAGAGGGTGTGTTGTAGCATGGAATTCTATTCTACATTTTACTTCTAAAAGGGATGAACAGTACCGTTAGACCAAGTATAAATTATAGTCCGAATAATTTTGCTGGGTTTTGAACCATGAGCAAATCCCATTCTTCGTCTGATAACCAAGATCTCAAGTTGTTCAGCCATGCGGCGTCGTCAACATCCAGATAAGGTGTCTCTTTCATGGCCGCTTCGTGCGTCCGCACCTTCATCCGTGGCGTATGTGGCCAATCGCTCCCCCAGATTACGCGGTGCTTGTTCGCGTCTACAAACGCACGAACCAAGAACCTGACGTCCGAGTAGTCTGGCTTCAGCTCACTTATACGATACGGGGCGCTCAGTTTCACCCAAAGATGGCCATCTCTAACCAGCTCCATAATGGCGTCGAAACCAGGCTGCTTTGTTGGATCGCCGCGGTACTCTGCCGGAAGAAGACTTGGGGCCTTTAACAGCGCGAAATGATCCGTGACTAACGGCACCCCTTGTTTCGCAATGACTCCTTGAACAAAAGGCCTCAAGTCATCCCAGAAATCAGTCCGAATGGTTGTAATCGTCAGACTCCAGGGCAAGGATAAGGATGTTATTCTTTTTAGATGAGCGTCGAGAGCGACCTTTTGGAGCTCCACGTCCTCCATGGCATTGTATCGGTACAGATTAACACGGAGACCTCTTACACCTGCCTCGTGCATGGCATGCAACTCGTCATCTGTCACCGTTTCTGGGTTGATGACGCCGATTGCTCGGGTATTTTGTACGTCCAGTCGTGGTACGAAAGCCTTCAGGGAACTTATATCATCCCCATAAGACAAGCCATGTGTGAGGACAGACTTTGTGATACCCAAACTTTTCTTGAATGTCTGAAAAGAGGCAATAGTCGCGGGGGGCGGAGTTAGGTGCCTATTTGGGCAGTAGGGGAACGACTCAGCTAGGTAAGAGACAGATAGTTAGTTAAAGATTTACTTTGTGCATCCAAGAGCCAGGAAACTAGCCAAGTAAAAAGAATCAGGCAACTTACGTTCGAATATATGATGATGAGTGTCCCATCCTCCACGTGGGAAAAGAACCCTGTTCTTTCCGTTGCTCATTGTCGCAAAAGTGGCCATAGTAGATAGTCGTTTTCGTCTAACGATTTTGGACATAGTTGTTTCGAGGGGGGCGGCCCAAAACGGCTAACAATAAACGTCGACATGACTGTTATAAATATTGTCTCTACAGCAGAGACCCAAGATGTATATGGTTTTCCAAACGCTTCTGTAGGTTGAGAGATGCCACTTCCGCGCTCAAAAGGCATGATTTCCAGCCTTGTTGTGATCGGAGATAAACCGATGTTCTCCATAAGGAGTAGTCCGGTCTGTGAAGCGGATATGCCCGATGGATGACGGATTTCTCCCTGACAGGTGGACTCTTCCGAGAACCCCGACAATCCATGACTTCAGATGACTGCGCCACATACCACATACAATGCAGAGTTCCGTGGAAAGCGTGGAAGCCGTGTAATGCGCGGTTCCCGCCGTCCCATGTTCCCGCCCTCGTGGCTGACTACGTAGCGGACAAAAAAAAACATCATGGGGTAAAAGCTTGGGCTTTCTTCCCACTATGCACGCGTCGTATAACCGTCCACAAGGGTACTAACGTCAAATGTAACCCTCTTGGTGCACTCCCCATTTCTTCCGGTTGTGCTACGGTAGGTATTTACTCGTAATCATGTGTATATGTGCAAGCAGCTCGAAAGGATGGGGTTGAAAATGCCACAGAATTCAGCGACAGCAGACGGACAAGTCCTGATAGAAGAGCAGCGGCGGTACAGAAATGCAAACACAACTGTGCAATCCAGATTTACTTTGGTCCATAACCGTTAGTTAAGTTGCGTGAAGAACTAAGCTGCCGTTTCCGGTATGTTAAGCGCTGAATCTGAATCTAAGTTTTTTTGATAGCCCTACTAGAAAGGCTATACGACGTCTTCCTTTGCTCCGAGCCACGCATCCCATCAATAAAAACACGAAAAAGAAAATTGTTGAAGATGTCAACTCAAACTTCCGATCACGCAATTAGAGGCACCAAGGGCACTGACAGCATCGTGGGACTCTCTCACAACACCCTGCGGAGGCTGCTGGATGATGCCCCAAGGCGATTGTCTAACCCATGAGCTGAAACGGCCACTTGACTTCATCAGGCTTAAAAACGAGAGAAGGGAGAAAAAGTTTTCTTTCCCGTCTTGGCATGACCTGAGGCTGAATGGATTTATCAAGTATGCATTGCGAGATTTGCTGTGGCTGAGAAGATGCTGTAAAGGCACAAATGAAATCATGAAGGCCGGCATTCTGCCACGGCGGTTATTTAGGATTTAGACATCTATATATCTTGGCTAGAATAAAGCATCTCTCCTCTATTGGCATGACTAAGTGTGAGTTCCGTGCTCAGTTGATGATAGTTGCGCCTTGACCCCCTTGCGAGGCCCCAACCCACAGGAAAGTGTAACATGATCCAGGGAAAAGACTGAAATAACTGATATCACGGCAAGTTATTTGGGATATTAAGCTACGAGGGGTCTTGAAATCAGGTTTGAAAATGTACAACAGACAGGCATCACGGGGGGAGAGGATAAAGCTCACGAACTGAGTTGTGGATAGCGAGCTTCATCAGGCCCAGGAACCTTGATGCGCACTAGAATAACTTAGCGGGACCCTCTACTTACTCACGATACGCTTGGTGTATAGTAAGGGTGTGTGGGTATCGGCGCTGATTACCATCTCAACCTAGAATGGAAACACTGCTATGATGCAGCAAGGAACATATACCCACAGATGATAGAGATAGTAGTCCTTCGCCATAAAGCACGGGATACACGTCACCTGGTCTTACGGAATAAACTCAGTAAAGTCCCCGACACCGAACTAGACACGTTGATTGGTGATTATGCGAAGGCCCCACATACTACCGAGGCCTTATGGGACCGCCTAGCGTCACTCTCTCGCCTACTGAGACTGATTTATATTGCTGTTAGTGGGCACTGAGCCACTCAAGCCTACTACGTACGCTGGAAAAGACCTGGCCGCCTCTACCCTGAGAAGCTTAGTTTAATGCATAGATAATATGGGTGTAGTGCTTGGGATAACGGATAACGAAGCCAACCAATTTTTTTTCCGCCGCAATTTGCCCTAAGATAAAGTCCGCTAGATTCCCTACTGATGCTGTAAAGGCCACCTCATCAACCCCCCCCTGCTGTTAAAGGAGACGAGGATGGGCTCGTCGGTCGCTACAGTTCGGCCGAGGTCTTACCCATCCTGGACCTTCCTTCAGCGGCATACCGAAGCATAATGCCTTTTAGCTTATCACTAAATTTACATCTCACTTGATCGCTTGTAAAGGTCTACCCCCTCCTTATAAAAAAAAAACAGACAAGCCACATTTCGCCAGTAAAAAGTGATGTGACAAGCCCCCCCCCTCCTACCCCCCTCCCCCCAACCATGTCCCCCGTGCCCCGAACAAGGAACATTACGGTTGAGTTTCGGGGGGTCGCTTTGGACCTCGACTCATTTTCTCATCACTCTCATTCATGATCTACTGTTGTACCCAACATCAATCCCACAAACAACAAAACCGCAAAATAGAAAAATTGAAAGAGAGAAAAAAGTTGAGCCCGTTCATTCACTGAAAAAGATGGCTACGCGGGTGAATCCACCCAAGAAAGTACGGCTTGCTTGTCGGCGATGTCGCACAAGACGGATTAAGGTAAGCCCTCTCTCTCACTTCATATCGGCTTTTGGCCCCCCCTTGCGTGTCTAGCTTGCTGGGCTGGGGACCGCGTGGCTCCGGCCCAATGATTCCGTGTTACTCACTCTTCACCAGTGTGACGGAGAAGTCCCGGCATGTACGAACTGCGCAAAAGCCGGCGAAACTTGCCTAGATGTCGACAGTCAGAATTCAGGATTATTGGTTCCTCGCAAGTAAGTCACTGCAATTCGGACTTTATATCCTATGTGTCAACTGCTATCCGGGGCTCTCCGCTGGGGGGCTGGTTATGATGCAAAGTCGAAATAATGATTATGCGCTGACGGCTTGTTCCGCACGATAGCTTCGCAAGTGCCGCTCGAAACAGAATCCAATGGCTGGAAGACATCATCAGACAACGACTGCCCGACGTTGACTTGGCTCTTGGCCCCCAGATCGACGCTTTCCCGGATCCGAAGGGTTCGGCTGCCGGCGCCGGACGTGGAGACAATGAAGATGACATCTCATCATCGTCTCCGAGGTCCGGCAGAGGGAGTAGCCAACCTATGGGCCGGACTCTGAGTCTGGGTTCCCAACGTCAGTCTCTAAAACGCCCCGCGGAAGCTGCAGGGTCATACGACCATTACGAACAGTTCCCAGATCGTGCTCACTCAGTCGCCATGAACCTGGGCATGCTGTCTCTCAACTCCGACTCCAGTCAGAAACACTATCTAGGATCGAGCTCCGGGGTTCTGTTTACAAACCTCATCGGGGCTTCTCCCTCGAGCGCCGGTTCTACACCTGCGGCGCTGTTAGAAGATGTACAGGCACAAGGGCCATCTTCAGAATGGCATGACACTTCCGTACCAAACAGTGCATCACAACAGTATAATCGCTCTTTACACGTCTTTCTGCGTCAGGTTGGTCTTTGGAAAAATTTTCTTTGTCCGAAACAGACCAAGATCAAGTGTTAACCCACCCTATAGGAACTCCCCAGGAAAGAAGACGCAGTCAAGCTTATACATACATACATCCGCTGGGTGCATCCCGATTACCCAGTTCTGGAACCAACTTCGCTCCTCAGTGCGTTGGATGCGCTCTACTCGACGTTTGAATGTTCATTAGACGGCCCGTTCCCGCATGGTTGGCCTTCTACTATGCAAGCGTTCCGTTGGAACGGCCGACAAAGGCTACCTGGGGAACAGGGGCTCCATACGGTACCGATGCCAGTCGTGGCCTTTATACTTTTTATGGTTTTCAATATTGCTGCTGTCGTCAAGATTAGGTCTAGAGTGTACGAGTTCCCTCCCGAGAGGTTCTACAGGGCCGCTCTACACTTCTCCAAGGACTGCTTTTCTCAAATATCCTTGTCCTCTATTCAGGCCCTGGTGGTTCTCATCATTCACAGCATGATCACTCCAGCAGAAGTCAATCTTTGGACGTTGATTCATGTTGCACTTGCACATTGTGTCGAGCTCGGCATTCATAGAGAACCGCCGGCCCCTGCCCAACCTGGAGACTACGAAAACCAGCAAATAAGGCGGCTTGTGTTTTTCACCATTTACTCTCTAGATAGGTATGGAAAATTAATCCTGGCGTATGCGAGCGTCTCTGGGTTTGTTCTGATTTTCAATAGGTCCGTGTCCTCCATTCAGGGGCGTCCACTCGGATTCCGAGACGAAACGTTCGATATCAAATTGCCCGAATCTCATCCCCCACGACATGGTGCAATAGACGGCCCTATTCCGTCGTCTTTTACAGCGGCTGTCTTGCATTTTAGCCGGTACCAATTCGAGTTGGATCGAATCGTCTCCGAAGTGAAACTCCAACTATACCATCTCCCCTCCGACTCCGCGTGGTTCCCTCTGCCCCAGAACCCGCCTACACAACAGGCAAGGATAAAGGAAGAGCTTATAGACTGGTGGGAAAGAGTGTCGAACGAATCGTTCGACTTCCCAGGTCTCGATAACAGGCAACGGCGAATGTGGCAAATCAAACTGAAGATCAAGTACCATACTACTATGGTCATGTTATTCCAACCTTCACAAGCAATTCGGAATCCGTCTCCGGAATCTCTGCAGATTTGTTTCAATAACTCTGCGTCTATTCTTCAAGAGTATCAGATGTTGCACGACATGCAAGGCCTCCACCATGGATGGCGGACGGTACAAAACATCTTCGCTGCTGGTGCGACACTGATATACTCGTTTTGGACCTGTTCAACGGTTCGACAGAACGCATCAACAGCGGATTTGGCGAGGAGCTTGCGCTCGTGCTCGAGTCTTTTGACTGTCGGTGGCGAGTGGTGGCCATCAGTCAAAAAGGGACAAGGAAGCTTTGGTGCTATTGTCGACTCGCAAGCTATACACCGGCAATATGCCCTCAAAGAACCCTCGACTGTTCATACCACTAGCTACAGATCGACTAGAAGAGGGCCAAAATCCCATGGACCACGCCGACGGAGCACAGGTGATCTATGACGCAACGGGCCAGCAAACCGACGCCGCCGCCCACATTCCGCTCAACGGTGCAGACGCGTCTTGGCACCAGATCCCAGTTTCATCCGCTGCTGCCGTAGCCATGGCGCATCAGCAGGATCCCTTACAATGGCAGGGAGTCTACCACGAGAGCGCTTATCCGCCGCCCCCAGGCGCTGGCGACTATGTTCCGGAGATCGAGACGTTTCTTGCCGACTTTGACAAGTCAGAGTTCAGCTGGAGTTTTCCTCTAGCAGGTATAGCTGACCCCTATGAGATGGCCCACTTTTCCAACACCAACTACTAAGTTTGCCATCATCAATTGTATTATCTTGTGGTCAGGCAAATCCATCTAGGTGGATAGACCCGTTATACTCGCCTCAGTGGTAAAAGGAAGAAGACGGGTTACTCCGGCCAACCGATGATTTTACTATGGTGGACGGAGTAGTCCGTGTGGATCCTAGTACAACGCCCGGATTACTCCGTCATTTCTTACCAGAACGGCAACTAGAGCGGAGCTATCCGTATCGGCTCAACCGAGGGTCATAACTGTTCGCGACTTTGCGAGACGAAAGATAGAGATTCTATAACGTTGCTGGCCAGTAGGACGAAACTGAAAAGATGGCGAGATTCCGGCAGTCTTGCCGTTGGCGGACAATCGTATTGTTGCCAAAGTTGCCATCATGTCATTTACCTTGTCAAGCGAGGCCCGTTTGAAAGCATGTCTGTTGCTGAGGCAAGGGTATCTTGCACCAATTGCATCAAGGACAAGGCATTTTGCAACCTCATCAGGGAAAGTTGCCTTGAGTCCTTTAGAACCTGTAAGTCTACTCAGTTGTACTCATCTTGGTGTCGGATACCTAACAGAGTCGTAGTACAACACGCTAGATTACGAACACCGACTACGAACCCTCCGCGATGTTCAAAAGTCGAACAAAAGACCCTTGACACTATCCGAGAAAGTCCTATATAGCCATTTGATTCCAGGGGAGAATGGCTGGGTGCTTGATGAGATCAAACGAGGCAAGACGATACTGCGCCTGCGACCAGATCGCGTCGCATGCCATGACGCCACCGCGACAATGGCGCTGCTGCAGTTCATCAGCGCCGGCCTTCCACGAGTTAGAGTACCAACTTCAGTCCACAGCGATCATTTGATTGTAGCAGAAAAGGGAGATGAGGAGGACTTGAAGAGAGCCGCGAGCGACCACAGGGAGGTGTACAACTTCCTGAGCAGCGCAACGAAGAAATACGGGATTGGATACTGGAAACCCGGCGCTGGTATTATCCACACGACAATCTTCGAGAACTATGCCTTCCCTGGCGGCCTCATGATTGGGACCGACTCGCATACACCCAACGCCGGCGGGATGGGCATGTTCGGCATTGGCGTCGGCGGCGCGGATGCTGTCGATGCTATGTCTGGGATGCCTTGGGAACTTGCGTGTCCTCAGGTTGTTGGCGTGCGGTTGACAGGCAAGCTTCAAGGATGGAGCTCATCCAAGGACATTATCTGCAAGCTTGCCGGGATTCTAACCGTCTCTGGGGGCAAGGGAAAGATTATTGAATTCTTTGGGCCAGGCACAGAGACACTTGGGGCTACAGCCATGGCTACGGTCTGCAATATGTCGGCGGAGATCGGATCGACTTCCTGCGTATTCCCCTATTCAGAAGCCATGGCACGGTACTTGGCAGCGACGAAGCGCGAAGATGTTGCTAAATACGCCAACTCTTTCAAACAGGTACTTTTGACTGCGGATGAGGGTAGTGACCGGTTCTATGATGACATCATCGAGATTGATCTCTCAACTCTTGAGCCTCACATCAATGGACCGTTTACCCCTGACCTTGCACACCCGCTTTCCCAGTTCAAGGACCATATCAGCGAGAGTTCTTGGCCTACAGAACTCAGCTGTAGTCTAGTGGGGAGCTGTACCAACAGTTCGTACGAAGACCTGGAAAAGGTACGCAACCTTGTTGTACAGGCGAAAGAAGCCGGGTTGGAGCGGACAAAGACTCCGTTTCTTGTCAGCCCTGGCAGTGAACAGATCCGCGCGACGGCTGAGAAGGAAGGCATTTTGGAAACGCTACGACAAGCTGGCGCCACCGTGTTGAGCAACTCCTGTGGTCCCTGTGTAGGACAATGGGATCGAAAGGATGTTGACGTCAAAGGAGCAGAGAAGAACTCTGTCATCTCAAGCTTCAACAGAAATTTCACAGGTCGCCATGACAGCAATCCTGCGACGCACTCCTTCGTAACGTCTCCTGAGCTTGCCACCACCTTCGCCTTTGCCGGCCACCTTGCATTCAATCCCGTCACTGACGCTATTCCTGTACCCGGTGCAGCGAAATCGTTCCGATTCTCTCCCCCTGTAGCAGAGGAACTTCCCGCTGCCTTCTCTCCTGGTGCCGACAGGTCTCAACCTCCCATCATGGCCGATACTTCCGACCTCACAATCAACATTGATCCTGCCAGCGACAGACTTCAACTTTTGACCCCATTCAAGCCGTGGAAACCAGGAAACGCGAGCAACCTGGCAATCCTTGTCAAGGTCCGTGGGAAGTGCACGACAGATCACATATCCCCGGCAGGCCCGTGGTACAATTATCGCGGCCACCTTGAGAACATCAGCAACAACCTCCTCCTCGGTGTCACAAACGCGTTCCTGCCTGACCCCAGTTCACTACAAATGATCGGGAAGGCAGCTGATCCCACCGACGGGAACAAGATTAAACCAGTGCCCCAAACAGCGCGGAGCATGAAGAAAAGCGGCATCAGGTGGTGCATCATCGGCGACAACAACTACGGCGAGGGAAGCTCAAGAGAACACGCCGCGCTTGAGCCGCGGTATCTCGGAGGCGTGGCGGTCATAGCCAAGAGCTTTGCAAGAATCCACGAGACAAATCTCAAGAAGCAAGGCATGCTTCCCCTGACGTTTACTGATCCCGCGGACTACGACAAGATCAATGAGGGCGACCGCATCACGCTCTTGGACGTTGAGGAAGGGCAGCTGCAGCCTGGCAAGCAGGTTACGATGGAAGTTGTGACAAGGGAGGGATCTCGGTGGGAGGCGAAGCTGAATCACTCGTACGAGACCAACCAGATTGAGTGGTTGCGGGCGGGAAGTGCTCTCAACTACATCAAAAGCGTTGCCCTTGCGTGAGGAGTTTGATCTATTTGGAGGACTTGAGTGAAAGGACATTAGAGGAAACTAGTATTCGTAACCATTGTATTGTAAACAACATGATCACTTCGAGGCGTTGGGGCATAGCATCTTGAATTTCAGTTTTTATTGCACAAAGAGAACTATTCAGTGTGTCAGATGAATCTGGTCTTGTTGATTCCAAGCCACCAAGTAACGTACGTTGAATTAGGCATTCTGCATGATGTGTCGATGAAAGCAGACAAATCTTTAGGCGAATCACAAGACATAGGATTGTAATCAACCCGTTTACCCCCGCCTCTCCACAAAATAACCCTCGAAACAAGCACTTTGTCCGCGGGTTCCTACAAATGTCCTTACCCCAGGAAAGATGAGTTATGTGGAGATGATTCCCAGTTGCAATAACGACCTCTAGCCGTGTTTCCGAATATTACGCATCATTCTCACGGATCTAGCCATCGTGAACTGTTGTTGTTGCAGTTACGGGGAAGCAGTATGACGGAGTAATCCTTTTTCAACTCTGGATTACTCCTTTTCACGGCTTACTCCGTGATTCAGCGGGTTAGTCCGCACGCGGCTGAAGTAGGTGGCGTTTCTGGACATTACAGCGTTCCTGAATGGCTGGAGTAATCCGGTTTTCGGAGCTATCCGTTTAGAGTGTATGGACTACTCCGTCACCTCAAGTCAGGGATATCAATGAATACAATCTGGGGAAGAGGGGGGTAGATACAGACGCTTACAGTGGTAATGCTAAGCATTCAGTAGAGCAAATGCCTAGTTTCAGCGGTGGAACACGCCATAATCTGGGGTTGTTCATTGGGAATGCGGGGTAACTTTCACTGAACATCTTGATCCGTGGACCCCGTATACTCAGCAGGCCATAGAGTTGGGCGAGGGATACCTGCCCCTGATGGACAGTTTAAAAGGTGTAAGTAAGTACGTTGGGTTTTTCCAATTGTTTCTCGAGCACAGAACCTTCGGTTTACGGCAACTTCTTAGGTCTTGGTCATTGAATGTAGCATCTGACTGTGTTAATCGACATAGGACGGTGCTCTTCTTCCAGTCGACGATATCAATATCAGCAAAAAGTCGATACTTGTAAAGCCACCGGCAGAAACCGAGAGCATGGCTGCTTACGACACCGAGAGCAAAGAGGATGCTTTCAAGGCTACTTCAGACCACATAGGCAACGTCTCGCCTGAAGACGAGAAAGACGTCGCGTCTGAGAAAGATGCCGGCGACCGCTTTGAAATGTCAGAGGAAGAGTATGCGACAGTTGAGAAGAGCCTTACTAGGAAGTTGGATCTAACCCTGATTCCGGTTGTCTGGGTTCTCTATCTTTTCAATTATCTCGACAGAAACAACATTGCGTAAGTACGGGAATTTTGCGTGTCTTTGGTAACTCGAACATCTGGTTGACGATCGGTACTATTCAGTCAAGCTCGCCTAAGCACATTTGAGAAAGACCTTGGCCTTGTCGGCAGCCAGTTCAACGTTGCCGTATCTATTTTGAACATTGGATACATGCTTATGCAACTCCCAAGGTAATCACACAACTGCCAAGTAACCACTTCGCTAATCTGACAAAACGTGCAGTAACATGCTCCTAACCCGTACTCGTCCCTCGCTCTATATCCCTGCATGGACTGCGCTCTGGTCCGTCATATCAGCGGCTACTGCTGGAGCAGGCAACTATACACATCTCCTCGTCATTCGATTCTTCCTCGGTATTGCAGAAGCACCCTTCTTCCCAGGTGCCATGTATCTCCTTAGCTGCTGGTATCCACGGAAAGAACTGGCATTCCGCACTGCCATTCTATACTCTGGAGTTCTCCTTGCGACGGCCTTCTCTGGACTCATCGCAGCCGGTGTACTTTCCGGGCTCGAGGGTGCCAGAGGTATTGCGGGTTGGCAGTGGCTCTTCATCATAGAAGGCGCAGGCAGCTTTGTAGCGGCAATAATAGGCGCGATCCTACTTCCAGACTTCCCAGGGCAGAAGTCTGGTGTGGCAAAGTGGCTCCTGACTGATAAAGAGCAAATGGTTGCAGTGGAACGTATCAAGAGGGATAGAGTCTCCCTGCCAGATGCCGACTCTAGCGTGTGGAATGGACTCAAACTCGCTGTTAAAGACATTCGTACATGGGTTTTCGTAAGTAATGAGGTTAACGCACCCAAAGGCAAAGCAGTCAACTAACAGATTTCATACAGGTTGCTATGTTAACGGCGAACCACAGCGCCTATGGCTTCAACAATTTCTTTCCCACCATCGTCAAAGGCTTCCAGCTAGGCAGTAACACCTTGACGCTTATTCTAACTGCACCGCCATACTTAGTCGCCACTGTTGTTGCGTTCCTCACTGCATACTCCTCGGATCGTCGCAAAGAGCGCGGTTTCCACATCTCAGTACCCCAGGCCGTAGCCTGCATCGGCTTCATCATATCTGTTTCGACCATCAACAATGCGGCGCGCTATGCTGCTGCCTTCTTATACATCTGTGGCTGCTTCTCTAGTAATGCGATGGTATTCAGCTGGGCGAGCTCGACACTAAACCAAACTCCTGAAAAGAGAGCATGTGCGACGGCAATTATCAACCTGCTCAGTCAGTTGGGAAACATATGGAGTCCCTATTTCTTTCCGTCAGGGGATAGTCCACGATATCTTATGGCGAATCTGCTGATGATGGCGTCATCAGCATTCAGTATCGTCACTTGCGCGATTATGAAAGTCATGCTTACAAGAGCGAACAAGAAGTTGAAGGCGGAAGGACAAGACAGTAACCTTTTTACTTTGTAGTTCATAGATTTAGATACACTTTACAGTATTATGTAGGTTGGTTTGCATTTTACCAGTCAATGAGGCAGAGACAAACAGACAATGATAACCTAGGTGTCTTGGTAAGCCAGCTACTCCTTTAAGAACTCAAGAATTTACCCTCTTACCAATATAGAAGTGTGTGCCTCTCTCGAGGTCATGAAGGCAAAATTGAAAGAAAAATCGGACAGACTTTACCACCTAAGTGATCGAGCAAAACGGCAGACTGACACATTTTTCTTGCAAGCTGTGAAGCTCCATCCTTGGAATACTATACGTGACGATCTCACCGAGCATCCTGGGTGTGTTATGTTTGAACAAACGCTCTGAAATGCACACCGCGAATGTGCAGGTAAGTGTGGTGATGCGTCAAAAAATATATGAACTTTTTTTCTAGTAAGCATTCAAGGGACTAATTCATCGGATTAACTCGCTAAAAGATAGTCGCGACTCGGACGTGGCAAAAGCAGAAGTGATCTGATAAAAGTCAATGAATAACATTTGCAGCCACATCCGGCCGAACCTTAAAGTTATTTGAGATACTATACAAATTAGAGCCACTACCTACAATCTGATTATCTCGAATGTTCCCAACACACGTCAGTCATCAGGCAAGAGCTTCTCCATGATGCCTTTGCCCAAGAGCAAAGATTTCGAGATTGCCATCATTGGCGGTGGGATATCGGGAGTTATTCTCGCCATCTCTCTTACCCAACGCAATATTCCATGTACCATCTACGAGAAGGCACATGCTTTTGGCGAAATCGGTGCGGGGTTAGGTATATCTCCTAATGCGATACCGGCAATGAAGCTTTGCGATCCGAGCATTTACGAGGCTTTTGAAAAGGTGGCCCAGCCAGTGTTGCAATGGGATTTTCTTGACGGCTCAGCAGAGGATAATCATGATCAAGTTGTTTTTTCTCTGGGAGACACCGGAATCGGTTCGAGAGGTTGCCACAGAGCCCATTTCCTTCAAGAGCTGTACAGACTTCTTCCCGACGGTATCACCCGTTTCAACAAGCAATTGGACAGTATCGAGGAGTCTCGTGTTACACCTGGGAAGCTTCGAGTTCTATTCCACGATAGTACTGTGGAAGAGGTGGATGCGGTGATCGGATGCGATGGGATTAAGTCGCGTACTCGCGAAATTGTCGTCGGGCAAAACCATCCATCTGCAACTAGTGGATATACGCATAAGTTTTGCTACCGAGGTCTGATACCAATGGACCAAGCTATCGAAGTTGTTGGGAAAGAAAGAGCAATGGCCGCCAACATGTGGGTGAGTAGCTTGGTTAATTCATCTGCATCGATAAGGAGTTAATAGAAAGCCAGCTCGCTGAGGACTTGCACCTCATCACTTATCCAATAGCCGAAGGCAGCATTTGTAATGCAGTCATGTATCGTACGGACAGAGACAACTGGCCCAGTCAGACGCAATACACTCTCCCAGCGAGGGAAGAGGATCTCTATTCCGACTCCGATGGTCTCAATCCTCGGCTTCGACAACTGATCAAAAGGATGAAGACAGTTGACCGAGTTAGTCCTTCACTCTTAGTTATAATCTTTTAGCTGACAATTGGTAGTGGGGAGTATTCGATCTTGCGGATCACCCGGTCCCAACCTTCGCCAAAGGACGAATTTGTCTAATCGGCGATGCAGCTCACGCGAGTACGCCACATCAAGGTGCAGGCGCAGGTATTTGCATCGAGGATTGTGCTGTTCTTGTGGCATTGCTGGCCGATGAGCGAGTTCAAAACAACAGCGAACTCACTGCGGCTTTTGCTGCCTTCGATGCGAGTCGTAGAGAAAGGGGACACTGGTTAGTAGAGAGCAGTCGAAGGGTGGGGCAGTTGTATGAAGCTCGCTCTGGTATTTCGCAGGATTTTCTCGAAACCGAACGAGAACTCAAAGCTAGGGCAGAAATCGTGTGGAACTTTGACATTCAAAAGAATATCAAAGAGAGCTTGAATGATTTGGAAAAGCGCCTAAACTCCGGGACAGGGGGGACAAACGATACACAGGGCCAAACGAGGGTAGATTTGTAGGCGTCGCCTAGCTTATCGTTTCAACCCATTTTTGGATCAGCCAGTAACGTCCCACACCCACTTCTGGGCACCCCCCACATTTGGGCACCCCATTTACACCAAAAACGCCGTTTTTCGAAATTCTATATTAAACTAACTACTATACTTACTAAGAAAAGAAAATATATATAAACTATGTTAAGTATAATTATAGCCATCTAATTTTTTATAAAGGTTTAAATATAATAATAGTTATGATATAGAAGTTTAAAACTAAAAGCTTTAAAATGTTAGTAGATACTAGTAACTTACTAGTATTCCTTAACATTAGAAAAATATATTTTCGCTTATATATACTTATTTAAAAAATCTAGGAAATTAATATTTATACTTATTAAAAGTATATAATTATATCTAAAAGAGATTTAAAAGTATTACTTTAGTAAATATAGTATAATTAAGGGTTAAAATTCTATAATAGAAACTTTTCTTAAGGGAAATTTTAAAATATTATTCTAAGCTTAAAGAATTTTTTACTAAGTATAAGAATATATAAATCTACTATATCTTACTTAAAAATTCTAATCATATTAGTTAAATATCTCTACCTATTTTATATATTAAGATATAGGCTAGGTAAATTAGTATTATAAATGTTAAACCTTGAATTTATAATACTTATTATCAATAATACTAGTATATAGCTACTTAAGTATTATAATTAAGTCTTAATCTATTTAATATATATTTATTCTCTTTAATAAGTAAAGTATTTAGTTTAATATAGAATTTCGAAAAACGGCGTTTTTGGTGTAAATGGGGTGCCCAAATGTGGGGGGTGCCCAGAAGTGGGTGTGGGACGTTATCGGCAGGGCACAGATGTTGAAGAAATAATTCCTTCTTGGCTGAGAATTAGGAACAGTTCAACGCTTCCTAGATTGTGAGACATTTTCACATCCTCGCAATCTATTGCCCCAACACACGAAGTCAACGTTTTACCGCGTGAAAATAACCTGTGCCCGAAGCTCTCAGCGCCACCAAGAGTAGTCTGGAGGGCCACCAATCCAAAGGACAAACAATCGATGGCTGGTTCGAAGGTGGTACTGACTGTTTAGGACTTGAAAAACGAGTGGTCTCGATTCATAAGACTACAAAGACAAGGACAAATTGGTTTGTAGACCGTAGCAGCGTTTCTACAAGTGCACGACGCGCAACCCATCGGCCAGTCTTAACCGTACAGATGCATTTGGTGTCTCAGATCAGATCAGTCGTCTAACTTGTTTGAGTGGTTAGGCCTATACCAGACTTACCAACCAGTGTACTCGCGTTCCCTGCAGTTATAATGTTGGCATTTGGATGTAAAGCGATCTATTGAGTCTTGTTCAGCGCCTTGTTCCATAGTCGCAAATATCATCAGGCGCGAATACTTTGGCTGCCAAGTGGAGTTGATAATTCCGATAACGCCTTTTGGCATCAACTCAGAAAAGATCTTCGTGGCACTTGATTCAGCTTCGTATGGGGATCGACGAGTTTCTGAGTATGTTATTTGCAACGCCAAATTGCCGAATTTACAACAGAGCCCTTTGGCGCAGAAATGCTGCTAACACAATGCATGCATTTGCGCGTGCATAATCGGCGTTCGAATTCGTCTTCATCACCAGCCAAGTTTAATTGAGAACCTCGAAACACTTCTCGTGGGGCAATTTTGAAGATAAGGCCTGATTTGTCTCGACAAGCTCACTCGAGCTCAAGGTGCATTTTGCCAAGCCATTGGTTCAGCAGCAAGCTTCTAATAGTCAAAAATACCAGTGAGCTCCGGAAAATCATAAGGTTTGACTTAACAATAATTTGAAAAGGATGTCCTGTGCAAGACTCTGTGGCTAACTGACTTGTTGTTGCCTGACGAGTTCGGCACTGAACCAGCACCTCGGGATTTGCAGTGCTTCGCAAGTCATCTCCCATATAAGCCTTGCGTTGAAATTCATTCAATCCAGTTGAACTGTCTGCATTTATCGAGGCTCATGACTTCAAATAGCTCGAAAATTTGGAGGCAAAAAGCATGATTGTCAGTTTCCTGTCTTAGCCGCATCGGTTTTATTTACTTCACAAGTTCAACGTGAGACTGTAAAACCATGACCTATCCATTCTGATCGAATGCAAGATCATTGAAATGTGCGTCGTGAAAACTTCTTTTGGGAACTGAGCAGTAACAATTATTGGTCATCTCTTATCTAGAGGAACAGAGTGTCATAGCATTCCGCAATGGTCAAATAGCACACTAATGGTTAGCAAAATCCCAATCTTTATTTCGTAAAGAACTCTTATGACGGACTAAAAGATACAATCTTCTTACATACACATCACTTTTACAACTTTTGATTGGTGGCGCATCGCAACAATAGGCGAGAAGCTTCAAATGCTTACACCAAGTCGAATCATGATGGTCATGAAAATTGATATTGCGGAACTCTGAAGGCACATTGAAGATAACAAGGAACTTGGCATTAGGTTTTCATGGTAATGATGTCACAAACGGGTCTCGGTGTTACGTAAATTGTGGGCTTGCAAAGTTTTGAGCGGATCTGTCAATGAGATGATAAACTCCGATACTCTCCACGTCTAATACTGAAATCCATCGAGACCACGATCCAAGAGCTCACCAAACAAATTCCCACTCAGTTATCACCAAAATGCCGGCCGATTTTGACAAACAAAGTTATTGGGGCAACAGATTTGTCGCCGAGACCAATTTTGAGTGGTTGACCGAATCTGCAACCTTTATGTCGATCTTGGACCCATACCTGGCCCAACTCGATGATTTCGCACCAATCCTGCAGCTAGGCTTCGGAACGAGCGATTTGCAGAACCATTTTAGGCAAAGGGGATTTGAGAATGTGACCAACGTCGACTTCGAGCCTCTCGCAATGGACCGCGGCAGGATGTTGGAGAAGCAAGTATTCGGTGACGTGAAGATGCGCTATCTCGTTGCGGATGTCACTCAACTTCACCTTCCTGACAAGTTTGATCTCATCATCGACAAGAGCACCGTCGATGCTGTTTCGTGTGGTGGCGAAGAACAGTTTTTGCGCATGGCCGAGGGAGTAAGGCGGCACCTCACAGATGACGGCTGCTGGATTTCGTTGAGCTACTCGTTCTGCCGCTTTGACGTTGAGGGACTACCATTCGACGTAGAGGTAATCGCCAAGATCCCTACGCCAAAACTGAAGCCTCACGATCCCGATGTCTACCATTGGTGTTACCTGATGAGGCCGAAGGAGTTTCGATAAGATGCCATTTCGTCAAAGGCGTCGATGACAAGGAGGATGGATGCTGCTTTTAACCTCAAATACCCTTGCTTGCGTCGTTTCTGACGCTTCGATTACTATCGTCAAATTATTGAACAAACATCATGGATGCTTTCATAAAAGGGGCGTAAATCAGGAATCATGTCTATTTTATTTTTTTCATCAATACCATCAAATCCACATTTATCTTCGTTAAACTATCGGTGTTTGTTTTTCATCATGCCAAAGGCGTTCCTGGCTTGAACTCAGGGTGGTAGGGATAATCGGTGTAGCCTTGCGGGATTGACGGGGTGTAAAAGGTCTCCCGGTCGTATTTGTTCAACGGCAGGTTGTGCTTGATCCGGAACGGGAGGTCCGGATTCGCCAAAAAGTGGCGGCCGAAAACAACGGCGACATCCCACTTGGCGTACTCCTCATCCACGGCTCTTTTCGCCAGTTCAGGAGTAAAACCGCCAGCAACCAGGGCAGGCGAAACGTTGTCCCAAATTTCCAAAAGGAACTCAATTCCCTCCACCTTTTCAATATCTTGCCAGTTGTTGACGCGGGATTCGATGATGTGCAGGTAAGCCAACTTGAGATCTTTGAGCTTCTGTGCCAAGTATGAAAACTGAGGCACAGGGTCCTGCATTCTCATGCCTTGGAAGTTGCTCCACGGGCTGACTCGGAAGCCCACCTTGTCGGCACCGATGGCATCGACCAACGCAGCGGCGACGTCAATGGGGAACCTAGCCCGGTTCTCCACGCTTCCGCCCCATTGATCTGTGCGCTTGTTGCAGGTATCTTGAAGGAACTGATCAACCAGATAGCCGTTGGCTCCGTGGACCTCAATGCCGTCGAATCCGGCGGCGATGGCGTTTCTGCCGGCCTGCGCAAAGTCCTTGACGGCCTGCGCAATCTCCTCGGCCGTCATCTCGCGCGGAACCGGGGAGTTGGCATCGATGGGAACGGCACTTGAGCTCAACAGAGGGTATCCGCCCTCCTTCTCCAAAACAGGTACGACAGCAGCGCGACCGGGCGCAATGAGCTGGCAGAAGATGCTGCTGCCCTTTTCGTGAACAGCATCGGTGATCTTCTTCCAGCCAGCAATCTGGCGCTCATTCCAAATTCCCGGGGCGTTGGGGAAACCACCGTGAGCGGGGGAGATCAGGACGGCCTCAGCAATGATCAAAGTACCGGGGACTGAAGCACGCTGGACATAGTATTCGAGAGCGATATCAAGGGGGATGTGGTCAGCATCGAATCGGAATCTGGTGAGGGGCGCCATCACCACGCGGTGAGATAATTGCGCTTGGCCGACTTTGAGCGGCTGGAAAAGCTTAGATGACATGATGGGCGATGTTGATTATGTGCGTTCAAGACTCAGAAACAGGTAGAATGAGATGAGGAGGTATAAGTGTATTGTCTTATCATGATCTCGAGAGATTGAGAGGGAGAAGCGTCCCTGATAAATAGGCACCGACATTTCCACCCACAGTGCCCCCCCTTGGTGGATTCGATAAAGGGTAAGGTGTTTGGATGGTGGCATGCGAGGGCCCATGTCACGCAAAAAAGCTCAGGGGAGGGGTGCCCAGTGCCGGAGCAGTGACAGATTCGTAGATAGTGTTGGAGTCGTGAAACCGTTGTCAGCCAATAATGTGCACTGTTTTGACTCCAAGCCTCCACTAAACCGTTGGGGCAACATACCCGTTGGAGACAAGTGAAAACGCCCAAGAAATTGCTTAGAAATGCTGCTACAAAGTAAACCTCTGGGCGTCCGAATTGCCCGATCACGCTCCACCTTGGACAAGGGTACATTTCAAGATTCAAGATGAAAATGATTTTGAAGGGGTTATGGAGCAGCCCGTAAGATGATGATTCACATGGTAGTAACAAGACGACACTGTCAACTGCTAAAGGCAAAAGGGATCACAATAATTATCGACAACTAGATCTTTACTTGTCTTTATTTCAAGTATCATTGGAAGGATGTCTGGAAATGGTCAGTATGATTTGACTTTGATGATACGCTAGAGTACAAACCACCTATTATCGCCGTCAGCGTGAGGACGTGATATCGACGGCGTCGTTTTAAAAAGATTGGACAAAATGTTAAGACTATTCTCAAGATATTAAATGGGAGTAAACTCCAATAACCACCTCGCAAACGCTCAAACATTTATCATAGAGTCTATAATAAAAGCCGATGGCGTCAAAATCCCTTTCTCTTCGCCGTATTTGTTCCTGTGCCATAGCAGCCATGGCAGCTCACGGTAACGTCCCACACCCACTTCTGGGCACCCCCCACATTTGGGCACCCCATTTACACCAAAAACGCCGTTTTTCGAAATTCTATATTAAACTAAATACTTTACTTATTAAAGAGAATAAATATATGTTAAATAGATTAAGACTTAATTATAATACTTAAGTAGCTATATACTAGTATTATTGATAATAAGTATTATAAATTCAAGGTTTAACATTTATAATACTAATTTACCTAGCCTATATCTTAATATATAAAATAGGTAGAGATATTTAACTAATATGATTAGAATTTTTAAGTAAGATATAGTAGATTTATATATTCTTATACTTAGTAAAAAATTCTTTAAGCTTAGAATAATATTTTAAAATTTCCCTTAAGAAAAGTTTCTATTATAGAATTTTAACCCTTAATTATACTATATTTACTAAAGTAATACTTTTAAATCTCTTTTAGATATAATTATATACTTTTAATAAGTATAAATATTAATTTCCTAGATTTTTTAAATAAGTATATATAAGCGAAAATATATTTTTCTAATGTTAAGGAATACTAGTAAGTTACTAGTATCTACTAACATTTTAAAGCTTTTAGTTTTAAACTTCTATATTATAACTATTATTATATTTAAACCTTTATAAAAAATTAGATGGCTATAATTATACTTAACATAGTTTATATATATTTTCTTTTCTTAGTAAGTATAGTAGTTAGTTTAATATAGAATTTCGAAAAACGGCGTTTTTGGTGTAAATGGGGTGCCCAAATGTGGGGGGTGCCCAGAAGTGGGTGTGGGACGTTACGACCTCGTATCTCAACCTGTTTTTTTTTTTTTTTTTTTTTTTGGTGCCCCATCAATCGTGGCCAATGTCTTGAAAGATTCATTAATAAGATGGTATGGAAGTCACAGAACGCCAAGTCAGGTCATGATCATAGACCACGATGAACATTGCGTCATGCTCTCAGTGCTACTGGATAAGCCTGTCTGAAGTTATTTTGACCAGCCATTCTAGGTCTTGACGTTGCATTATGATCAGTATAGTTTGTTCACTGTACACGGGGTTACATGAGGTGGGACGGGTGATAAGGGCAATGGATTGTCTTCACCGCGGGATATGCTATGCGCCACAGCTCACTATCATGGCATGCGCGTGGCACCTTGAAACATGGTTTCTTTATTGCAGTGAAATATAAACTCCATGGAATGAGCACGGAATTGGAACCAAGCAGGATTTATATCGTGTATAGTCTACAGGACGAGACTTCCAGATACCTGAGTGAAAATTTTCCCTACTCTGATCGGCGATGCTCAGACGAGAGTTCTGTGGCATTGTTACCAGTGCCAGCCGCATTCGTGCAGGGTACCTCGAACACACCTTGGACAGAAAGATCCTGCGAGGCATTTCTATATGCCGGAACCTGGGAGGACATAGGACTTAGTTCTCCAGTTTCATGTTCATACGCCCTTGAGTGCTGGGAATATGCATTGTCCGGGGGTGCGACGTCCGGCGAATGTGTGGATGGATAATTACCCCTGTACCCGTTACTAACAGGCTTGTAAACATATTGTGATGACTCTGCCGAACTGACTGGCGTTTGAATCGCTTCTGGTGTATGCGGCAGATTCTGACCGGGTGTTCCGACATGACCCGAGTTGTCTCTGTTTCTCTTGTTCCGCCCGTGCATCCAAACAATGGCGAAGATACTCAGTCCGATGACGACAAGTCCACCGATAACACCGCCGACAATTGGACCAATGGGTAGGCCTGGCGGGGGTTCTGGTGTTGGCGTGGGGGTAGCTGTTGGGGTTTCTACAGAAGAGATGGTGATGGGAGGGCTTGATGATGGTTGGCTGATACTGGTAGTGGGTGATGATGTTGTAGCGCTCGTATCGCCCATAGACCAAGCTCCCCTCCAAAGAGAATTACCACAATACCAAGCAGTGAGAGTTCGGACAAAGTCGCTTGTCACTGTTTTGAGGGCAGTCACACACAAGCTATTTCTACTGTTGAAGTTACTGCCTCAGAGGCATGTTAGCTATGCTTGCAGTTTCAGAAATACCAAATCTTAGACAAACCAGCAAACTGTCCCCGGGCCTGGCTCCCGACTTCCGGTACATAGGGAGTGGGAAGCTGAATAACAAGTTGAGGAAAGCCTCGAATCTTTGTAGCCACAATCGAAGAATCTACCACTGGTGACACAGGACTGGCCAGGACTGCAGTACATCGGCCTCTCGGTGCCTAAATGATGTTGATTTTTTAGCTTTCCAGTTGAACAGGGGACGTCATACTTCCTAGCCAAAACCCGCAGGTTGCAACGTCCCTCTTGATGGCTATCGCCGCGAACTGTGGATCAGGAGGGTGCGTTGGCGCTGGCATCCAAGGTGCAATCCCTCCATCGTAACCTGGAAGTAGGACATTTTTCTTGGTCAAAGTAGATTCAAATTTATTGATCTGGCCAGCACTGGTCAAGATGAAGAGACCTGCGAGGGGTAGGTAGGTGATAATGGGTACCATGGCAATGGCAAAATCAAAGAGACGTAAGAACATATGTAGAATGAACGGAAGTTTCCGTGGAGCACAATTTTCGAACTATCTCATATGTCTTGAGTAACATTCGACAGACGATTAGATAAATACCACTCGAAGTTTGCTGTATTGTAAAGAGGCATTCGCCAGGGTGACTGAGGGTAAAAGCTGAAATCATGGCCTGCGCGTGAAAAAACAAAGTTATTTAAAGGCACTGCCAAGAACTGCAAGGCTATCTCTGGGAAGACCTAGACCGAGATTTGTGATCGAGATGTTTGCGGTCAAGCTTGCTTGTGCCTGTTTAATCGTCCAAAAAATGATTGATTTTGCTAGACGTTCAAGGTGCATCCAATGCTGGTGCATTTTCAAGGAGCCAAGCATGGGCTGAAATGTAAGAAAGCAGATGGTGGAACGTGATGCTCTTGGCAAACCTCAGCCTGAAGGACTGAAATGGAATATGGAGCAGTGCAATTCCGAAAACGGTCGCTGCCGGCAGCTTGTGAAAAAACATATCATCGTCCTCAAATAGGTAATAACCACATCAAGCGTATATCGGAGGTAAATCACTTTATCCTTTCTGAAAGTAAAGTACGAATTTACCTGGAACACACTTAAAATGACTAGTTGCAGAGAGGGCGCGAGTGCTGCTACTTAAGGTTGTGGTATCACCCTTCAACATACTAAGCCGTCTTGGCACTTCTAGACACCTGTTGTGGGTGATTTTCACTTGAATATACACGGGAACTTAGCAAGTGGTTTCAGCAATTCTACCTCAGATAGATAAAAATGCAAGGTAAAAGCAGGAGTTACAATGCTCAAATTGTAAAGATAACGTCTGGTGAATTAAATATCATCAAATCTGTAAGCACTCAATAGCTACTTTACCTGATATACTGATTTTTAGAAAAGCTATTCAGACAGCTTGGCTGTTTAACACAAGGGGACCTGACCATGAAAAAAGGGAACTGCCCCTTCCTGAACATATCACATACTAACACTAGGTTCCAGTCTTAATGATTTGTTCTGCGTCTTTAGACGGCCTGCCTATAAGTTATTTTTAAATGCTGAAAATGGCGAAAGGCACATAAATGCTCTGACGCCTGAAAGGATCATGCCCAAAACCTGCTGTAAAATCAAACCCTCATGTCACGTCAAGACTGCACTAAATTCCTCCTTCACATCCATTGAGACGCTCATTCGCGCACCATAGTGAATGGAATCGGGGGACTTCTGTAACAGACTTGCTACGATGCAGTAAGAGACTTCTGTCGATAAAAACTTCAATAACGTAGCCTAGGCCCCAAATTGGTACGTATTGATAACTGGGTGCAGAGAAATAACTATTCAAATTGATGGCAACTACCAGGGTTATATGTACTCGCCGACAGAGCTGCAGATCAAACACTCAAGTATAGAATCACCGAAGATTGAAATCGCCGCTGCAAAAGGAACTTCTATTTTACCATTCACTTCTTGAGGTCGGACCCTTTCTATCTGGAAAAGTACGATACGTAGCTGGCTATTTCCCCCATGCTGCTCTGAAATATATCACAGATGCGTTCACCAAAGTTTAGAGATTCATCACTGCATAAATAACCTAGAATGACATGACAACGAATAAGACGTAATAAATTGTCCGAAGGCAAAAAGAGTCTAAGACATCACCTCCCAACGTCTTTCACAACTGAGTTAATGTCTTGTGGTGCTTCATTGCGCTAGTTTCCACGCCACCCGGGGTTCTTCTTCTCAGCTGCCAAGCAAAGCCAATTGTTCAGCTCTAAACCTACACAATCTTTACAGCAATGGCTTGGTTTGAACTGCACCCGGATTTCCTTTTTGGTGATGTTCCGGAGTGTTAAATCACTTCAGCTCGAATGGCGTAAATATACAGTGCAGGCAGAACACGCCATTTGCATCTGCAGAGCTGCTTTCATAGCTTGGCCTCATCAAGGTCTATTATGCATGTAATGCAAGACTCCCGGATGCAACTATTCTCAGCGCCACTTTTCCCAAGGTTGAAAAGCTGAGTGTTCTTTGATATGAACGTTATTTCGCCTCACAAATGGCCCCCACATACCACCTACCAGTTTGGAGACTATCGCCAATAGATAATATGCAGGGTTCTGATGTAACTTTTATCTTTCTATGCAATGGAATTTGAGCGAGCAAAAGCCTAGTGGTGTATGACTCGAATCCAAACTACCGGGAGAGGAATCTTACATTCCGTGCTCGCAGAGGAGTTAATTCAGTAGTCATTTGTACTGTCTCTACAAAGAGACTTGGTACTCCCAAATTCTCGACTGCTTCAACTAGAAACAAAACATCTTGTTTCTGAGTGGGCGAGCGGAGTGAGTCCGTCACAGGATTACGCGGCCGAGATGCGGCCGAGGCGCCGCAGAGTGGGACCGGAGGTCCGGAGGTTCGGAGTCATCACGGCATCTCCTTAGCAACTGTCCACGTATCACGGACAAAATACTCGCTCTCCTCGACAACCTTATAACCTCTCCAACCACGAGAATCATCATCAACGCAAGACACGTCGGCATATACCCCCCGTGTTTTGATGACCACCTCGCTACCAACCACCCCGTTCACCATCGCGCCCATCAGCACGAAGCCCGCATCCGCACCAGGCAGCTTGAGCCTGCCAGCGCGCGGCCCAAGACCCACGACAGCTCCTGATCGGACTTGGCAAAGATAGCCGCGACCCATGTCCAGGCTACCTTGAGTGCCTTGATGCGCGGCAGGGGCGCCTGGTTGTAGAGCAGGTCGTCTGGCCCCTCGCTCAGAGGGATGATGATCTCCAGCGAGACGACACGTAGGCCTGCTGGCGCTTCGGACACCGGCTTAACAGCGAATACGAGCTGCGTGCATGCCGTTCGCGACCGCGCCGGGATCGACTCGTCCGGGTACTGTAGCGAGACGACGCGCTTCCTGAACCACGATTTGCCCGTTCGCCAGCCCGAATCGGAGCCGGCGCCGGGTTTCAGAAGCGTTGATTGCGTACGCGGGTCGTGCAGCCTAATTGCGCAGTCCTGGAAGTGCCTAATCTTCGACGTCAGGGGTTTCAAGATGCTTGAACAGCTGTCTCTGCACATCGCTCCTGACGTTGAAGGGGATCTCGAGGCTATGGCCGCGGTCTGCAAGCTGTATTGCCAGGTATACCGACGCTGATTCCGCCGCAAGCTTCTTGAATCCCCCACCGGGCCACTGTTCGCCAGTCGATTCCATGAGGCTGACAATCGCACTCGGCGAGAGCATGCCCGTGTCCCAGCTCCATGGGCAGCCTTTTTCACCTCGCTTCCACGTCACGTCAACGATGGTGTTTTTTGTACTGGGTTCGGAGCCTTCTGGGCTCTTCAGGAATGGTCCTAGCTGAATATCGAACTCCATCGAGTCGGCCTTGATGCCCTTGATGGCGAAACGTTGCTGATGAGGCGGCAGTTTGATGTCCACTTTGAAATCCTCGAGTCTCTGTTCCGTAGTTCGTTTGAACAGGCAAACAATCAAGTCCCCGTGACTGGCTTGTCGCATCACAGTCGGGTTAACGGCTGAGCCAAGATCGCACTTAGCGGTGACATTGAGATCTGGGAAGGACTCGACAAGCTGGCTCTTGATCACGATTCCTGCCGCGGCGATCTTCGCTCGCTCCGGCCCGGCAAGAAGAATGTACTTGTTGATGGCGATCCTGGTTTCATTACGAACGGGATCGTCTGAGCCTCCAAACGTGTTGCCGATGCTGAGGGCTCCATCAACCAGGGCGTCGACCCAAATATCGTCAACGACAAACATGGAAATACTCTCTGCTGTAATGGCCGAAGTGTTTGGGAACATGTTCATCGCTGGGACAAGACTCAATGACAGCAGGTTCTGGAGAACCCATTTGATGACGACCCCCAAGGCTGGCACCTCGATGTCAGTAGACTGGCCTAAGTTGGCCTCTGCAGAATGGGCAAGTTTCTTGACCATTTCATGCACCCAATTTCGCGTCTGATACGCGAGATGGCGTCGCAGTTTTGCCTCGGTCATGGTGACGGACGGCTCACCAGTCATCTCCGGGCAGACGACCTCCTTTGCGGGTGACTGTCGCCACCGAATGGGCCTCTTTTCCGGCATGCCCTCCAGCTTCTGGGCCAGCGACCCTTCAAACAGCTTATCCAGCCTGCCGAGGACGGAGTCAATCTGTGCGTCGCTACCCTGGATCACATTAGGCTGTCCTACCTCCCGTGCCCTCATCATGGCGTGCGCCGTTAGTTCTTTCCGAAGCCGCAAGACAGCGTGAGAGAATTTGGCGTCGCGGCCCGCAAGAGAGCGGCCCAGGTCCCACGCGACACTGTAACTCACATCGGCTATCTTGGTCTGGGCATCGACAACCTGCATATCTGTGCCGTACATGCTCGGCTTGATGACGGGGATCCTTCCGCTGCCACTGCCCTGCTGCGATCTCGGCTTGGGTATGAGCGGGCCGCGGAACAGGGCCATGGACGCCTCCCCCGCGATATCTCGATGGCGTACGACAGCGTAGCCTGAGTCAAGCCATGAGCGCATCCATGTCTCGGCCTCGTTGGGCGAGTGACCTGGCGATAGATCGGGCAGAGGTACGACTAGCGGCCGTATGTTCAGTTTTTCGAACAGGTCGCTGGAGTCGCCCGTCGGGGCGTGAATATCCCAGATATAAGTCCACGAAAATAGGGAGACTAAGGGTACTACACTCGCGGCGTTATCGCCTGTTTTCGCATCGGAGATGATGTGACGTATGTGCTCGAGTGAAACCAAATGTGCGTAGACTTCCAGAGGTTCTTGCAATGGTTGCTGCTGTGTGTGCTGCTGCTCGCCGGATACCGCTTCAACTGCCGGGGCTGCCCAAGGTCTGATTCGGTGACCGAGCAGCATGCTAACCTTTATTTTAGAGTGTCCCGGGTCGTCAGTATCTTCTGTGTCGGTAACATGGGCCAGATAGGGGTATCGTTGCAGGTTGGCACTGGCATCTCCTTCCACAACCCCTTCTTGTGCTGTAAAGTATTCCTTGAACACGGGTTGTTTGACGAAAATGAAGTTTGCCATATTCTTCTCTGATTCCCCATCTGCTGCTGAGGGGCTTACTGCACCTTCAACTTCGAGTGGGAAGGGCTTGGCCATTGAATATTTCGTCGCGTAGGTGTTAACCGTAACAACAGGCAAGTTGATTGCCATTGTAGCGGATGGTTTGGCGACAACGCCGCTGACCGTCAGCACGTCGTCTTCTGGGACATGAAGCTCGTCGGCTGTGAAGACCAGCAGGGCCAGCCATGGCACTGGTGTGCCGCCGTTGGCTTGCTGTTGCTCCGTTGGCAGATTTTGCACGGGTCGCTCCCATGGCAGCGACCCGTTGAGAACGAAATGAGGTAGGGTGTTGGCGCTGACCGTCCGCAGATGCGGCGGGTAGAAGGAATGAACCAGCACGGGCGGTAGGGGGCTATATGGCGAGACTTTTTGGATCTGAGTGCGCTGTGCCGTGTCCAGAGCGAGACTACCGTGTCCTTGAGCTGCAATGTTCTGGTTGATTTTGATATCGCACAGTCCAGGTAGCATCGACGGCACTTCACACGCATAAGAATTGCCTCTAGCTGGAGTTACAATCGCGGCCGAGGCGACATTCGTCTCTTCTGTTTTTGAAACCATTTTGAATGATGAACTTACCTTAGTCGCTGCGATGTACGTGTGTATGCAACAGAGAGCTGTCTACCTACTTATCGGGAGGGCGGTGCTGTGCAATTCAAGATGAGAAGATACGTGTTCGACAGTGATGCAACCTCAGCTTTCTTGTCAGTCAGTCAAGTCTTTGACCGGGACAGTGACAGTGAAGCAGTCTCTATCTTCAAGCTTACCGAAAGAATGGTCGGGAGCACCCGAGGTTAAGGTTTCCCAGCACCCACAACGGAATTGCAACAACAGATCCCACGCCTATTGGAACCATTTCTCGTGGGGGGTCTCGATACACGGTATCGCCACCTATGGCCGGCCTGTGACAGGGATACTCAGGTACTTGTCAGGGTTCTAGCGATAGTGCGTTGTCAGCCCCCTTGCACCCTGCAGAACCAGAGCCATTTTCGACTAGGTCGGCCTGAACAAGACGAGCTGAATGCCCGAAAATGCAATGTTCGTCTCAAAACGGCTTCGGCCAACCGTCTATTGCCTTGTGGACTATTCTGGCCACATACATGGCAGCACATACTGAGCGTTAGGTCAGCGAGAGAGTTGTGGAGAGCTGACTTTCTCCGTTTGGCTGGCTGAAGAGCTCAAAAGCAGCACTTTGAGCGGCATTTATTGGCGACGTGTCATGGCAAGCATCTCTCGCGATGGCAGTATTCAATCCGTCGACATCGGGCTAGAGGTCAACGTCGGGCTCCTCGTCCCTCGTGGGAAGCAAGCTGGCTTCGAGATGAAGTTTTCGCGACGGCCCGGGATGCACAAGTTTGACTGTGATTTCATGGGCAACCAGACTGACGAGACTGTCATGGCCCTGTTCAAACAAAAGGGGATGATCTACGATTGAGTACGAGCGCTAGGACAACTTGGAGCTCCTAGTACCGTCGGCACCGTTCATGTTGCTGCGGTATACGAACCGTGACAGGCCTTTGACCAACAAGAAGATTCCATATGGTGTTCCAACCAAGATCACCGACATCGGGCTCTATGTAACGAACCAGGGGCTCTCTTTTCGGAGTAATCTACGGTCTCTGCTCGGCGGGCTTGCCATCGAGGAAGCATCGTAAGGGAGCAATGATGGCAAGTATATGCCGGTGCTCAAGCTTACCTGCATCGGTATTGAATTTTCCTTGAATATTGACTACTCTTCCAAGCTGACCAAGGTCTCACGAAGGCTTGGGGGGTTGTCGGCCTAGAGCCACGCTACAGCAACGACACCAGATTGTCTTCTTCAGAGGCGCGGCCCAGCTTCGTGCGAAATTCCAATGCGGTATGATCAAGGCTGTTAGTTGGTCTCTCGAGACCCAGCACTTCCAACATCCGCATAACGTCTCTTTACTCGCTTTTTTCTAGCGGAGTGGAGCGGCATGCTCCCATGGGTATACTTAACAGCATAGTCCTGAACAACATCTTGTTAGAATACACATACGCTGGTGCCAACGCTTCGACTGTCTCATTCTCTGCGAGTGCCACTATTGGCGGGTTGACTGTCGAAACAAAATTCTTCTGCAGCAGTGCATCGTAGTGGAACTTCGAAGCTGAGCTAGTCCCAGCCAACAAAGTTGGCGCTGTCTGGCGGACCACGGAAAGTGACCTTGTTCCAGGCGAATCGTAATCTGCTGGGCGCCGACGTTGCCAATCTGTTACCCGACTTAATCAAGGAACGGAACTTACATATGATACCTCCAGCGCCGGCAAGGACAAGCTGGGCATCAGTTGACGTCGTATCCACACAGAAAAAGCCAACACATTGGTCCTAAACAAGCAGGCCATTGTCGCTATTAGCGCGAGGACATGATATCAATAGCGACGCTTAAATTAAGTAATTTATTAATAGTACCTCTAGGATATCAAACGCCATGAATAAGTTATAAAAGGTGGTGACGGGAGCCGGGTAGGAACGGAAAGAAAGAGAGTAGAGACAATGCATGAGGCGGCAGAGCATGCCGATGAAGTAATCCCCAACAATCACCTCGCAAATGCTGAAACGCTTGCCGACGGTTTTTCCTTCGTTGTCATCGCAAAGACCTGGCTATGAAATCGAGGACATAATCGGCAAGCTCTTCCCATCCTGGTTGGAAGATCATGCCATGGGACCGGCCAGGGAACATTTTGTATTCCACGACTGCAGAGGCCTCATTATCATACGCCTCGAAGTTCTTACGAACAGTACTCGCGGGTACCACATGATCTTTGGAGGCTGACAAGAGCAGCAGCGGAGCTCTATCGGCCTTCTTGAAATCAACGTACGTTGGCGCTGAATGCCCACCCGCAACATGGACTGTCAATTGCCAGAGCACCCGCGCGACCCCCGGTATGCTGTAACGTTTCCAGTATTCCCGACTTTCATCGGACCTTGTATTGTTGGCAAAACACCAATGGAAATGATGTTCGGATATTGGGATAGTTTTCTCCTTGTTGTACCCATGTTTGAGAATAGGAAATGCGGCCTTGAGCGTGTTCAAAGGAAGAGTAATGATACCAGCTGGCTGTGCAGGACATATTGCAACACCAGCTGCACCAAGTCCCCGTGAGAGCAATATTTGTACAAAGAGACCGCCGAACGAATGGCCAATAATTATTGGTGGCGACAAAAGCTTGTTGATAAAGGCTTCATAGTAGTTCACGATTTCTTCAATATCTCTGTTGGCTAGCGATCTGGGATCTGCGCGGACTTCTTCGGGGGAGCGGCCGTTGATTCCGGGCCACTCGGGAGCGTGCACTTCGTAGCCCAAAAGCTCAAAATACGGTATCCAGTATTCCCAATACTTGGCGGTCACCCACAGGCCGTGTATCAGGAGGATCGGCGGCTTGGAAGGTTCCATGAATTATTCTTTAAGATGGGGATTTTTTAAGATTGGCATGTTAGATTTCGTTTTGCCAAGGAAGTTATTGGAGATATATGAATGACGGGATCGTTTCGATTCCAAAGCATTGGTACTTGATGGCCTTACATGACTGAAGTCAATGGCGTCACGCTGACCTCATCACTTGAGGCTTGGCTATTGTAGCGTTCATAGACTACGTTAGCCAACGGCCATAACGCACCGGGAATGCACATTTTTATTAGGATCATTGAATCCTTCTTTGCCACAATGTATCCACAACATAAGGTATGTTGCGCTAGCAATCTGACATCCATCGGACCACCTGCAATCTTCCATTAAACGAGGTTGCCCAGCTCAAGATCCAAGTCAACAATGTACATTGCTACAATTGGCCGGAAATCTGCGGGCAATTGCTAAAAGGTAACTAGAATAAGGTACTACGGAATGAAATTTGCTGGTATGGTCCATGAGTGCCCTATCATTACTTTAATACAAAAGAGCTTTTGAGTAGTAAAGTAATGAAAGCGTGTGGAAAGTCCATTGGTTCCGACTCATTAAGAACCAAGTTCAAAACTGGCGGATTGTTTCTAAATTAGGTAGAAGATGAGTGTCCCGTGCCTGTTATTTAAACAGTGTGCACAGTACCCAGACATTGTTGGTTGCAACAGAATGGGTATGGTCAACTCTCGTTGGCTTCTAATACTATATTTAAGGCTGTCGCTTCCTGATTACCAAGCGGTAAGAACCCTAGTGTCTGGCACACTGTTGACCGCATTGCCTGGTTTGGCACCAAAACGCTAAAATCTCAAGGATAATTCTATGTCTGGATAACGGATATCTATCGAGAATCGGTGGGTTGACAGCGAATGACCGTTGCTCTTCAGATTGTGGCCCGATGGAGGAAGGTCTTGGTGACAGAAAGAGAATAGCCAGGGCGTTGGTTGATCAAGATGTTCTACCTGCTACCATTTGCCAACACTTACTCATGATACCCAAATACCAAAACTCCAATAGTAGCCAGTTCTTTACATGGGGAGAAAAACATGTTGAGAGTACAAATAAAAGCGTGAACCTTGGTTGAGGGAAAACCCACCAGTGAGGCCATACCCAAGCGGGGACAGCCGCGGCACCAACAAAATTTTGAGCTTGTTGATTTGAAATCAAAATTGCATTTGGAGTAAAGACTCCAAGAAACTCTCCAAGAAGCTGAATCATGATGGGGTAATTTAAATCATGCGTTTTCAGGAGTATTTGCCTGGATTCACAAGTATGTGCCTGATTTCGAGTTGGCAGGCCTCGCCCCACTTTGGCTCGATCAGAAAGCTTCTTCCTACATCTCACGATGAGCTGCATAGTGGGCTGGCGAGTCAACGACCGTGCAATAAATTTCGCGCTGTTCAAATGGACCAAGTAAGTTTCAGTTAGCGTTATGAGCCTGTGGGAGTCCGGTGTTACGGCCCAACCAGTTGGTGCCTGGCCGGCGTAGCTATATAGTGCAGAACAGGGGATAATGATGCCGGAGTCATCATTACCGAAGCTTTTGCTTTGTGCCACAGTTGGTTGCCCTGACCTGCTCGTAACAATAAAATTCGGCGATAGGATACTACTAGAGTCTATAGAGACTACTAAAGTACTAACGCTATTTAGAAGCGTTAAATTTTACGTTATTAAGACTAATACTCCCTTCCTTATATGCCTAGGAGATATGGACTAATTAAAGGTCTATTTTAATAACGTTACGAATACCCTTATCTAAGGAAATAAGGTCGTACCTATTATTCGCAAATAAGGCTACCTATGGTTATTACTTGATAAGGAGAAACTACTCGCCTAGAACTACCTTATAGACGCTAAATTACGACGGGTTTACCGTCGCTTCGGATACCTATCTATTTAACGATTATATAAGGTGCTTTAGAAGGCTAGCTACCTAGTTGAAATTATAGCAATTAAGCAACTATCGAAAGTCTGCTATCGATACTAAATGCATATACTAACGCTATTACGGTTTAAATTTACGTTACGAGACGATTACGAATTTAACTATAAGGTTATCGCCGACGTAATATACCTTAAGGGTAATAGACCGGTCTCTACGTCGTCGATACTGCTACGGCGTTTAACGCTACCTGGTTCCTTAAGGATATTTCTGCGAAAGCTACTTAGGAAGCCTTACGCCTCTGCTAGATAGATATATATCAAGGACCCCTAGACTAGCTAGTTACCGACGTTAGAATAAACTTCTGCTTAATAGAATTCCGAAACGTAGCGAGAGGAATAGTAATTAAAATCAAGGAAATTCTTATAAAAGCTTATAATAGTATTAAGAAAGTTAAACGATACTATATACCTCTAAGGAAGGCGTACGAAATTATCAAAGTAGAAGACCTAATAATTACGCTAGAATCAGTACTTTAAATAGTAGTTAAAGCAGTTAACGATACTGCTAGCCTAAACGGAATAGTACTAATACTCTTAGTATTCGGCTTATACCTACGAATTACTAACGATTTGCTACTATCTCCCGAAGTTATAAGGCAGGCGAAAGCGATTAAGAAGGCGATAAGCAAAGTATACGAACTTTACGCAAGGCGATAGGTAGTAGAAGCTATCGCTACCCGTAATAGCCTTAATATAAGGCTAATTATTAATTTACTACTATAGTTATAAGTATAAGTATAGCGCGAAAAGAAAGGCTAGACTAGACTGTTTACTTTAGTAGTTATAAATAGCGAAACCTATACTATCGATACGCTACGTAGTCCGAAGACCTTCCGGTCTACTATAGTCAAACTATACTACGAAGATCCCGATTAACTACCTAATTCTATCGCTGCGCTAGAAGAAGAAGAACCCGAAGCTAAGATACCGTAGCAGGAAGTAGTACGCGACGAAATTATCGTCGCTAGCGGAGGTAGTAAACCGGACGAACCGCAAGAGGCACCGGAGCTACCGAGAAGACGCCTAGGTAGACCCCGGAAGAGACTACTACTAATCGCCTACTTTATAAAGGAATTTAACGATAACCTGGATTATTAATAAATATTCCTATCGATTAAAAAGTAAGTAGACGAAGAATTAGTAATTAAATTACGACGAGAAGGTATTATTACTATACTAGGCAAACCGTTCGAATAGTTAACTAAATAAGAGATTAATAGCCTTATCGCTAGAAGAGTATTTAAATTTACTTAGTTTAATAAGAGAAGGTATTAGAATATATGTTAGAAGTATAAGTATATTATACTTCTATTTTACTTATTTATCCTATTTAGTCTTATCTAAGACTTAGTAGGACTTACAAAAGTAACTAGCTAAGAATGGCTGCTTGCTAGTTTAAACATATGATATTCAGATCCCTATGGAATACTCTCTTTAACCTTATCTAAAAGTCTATTTAGTTAAAGAAGATTCTAGTCTGATTTATAAGCTGCTTTATAAGCTAGTTGACGTATATACTTACGTATACTAAACCTAGCTTATAGCTTCCTATATTAGCTATTATAGGCGACGTTATACTACTATATAACTAGCCTAATTCTCTCCCTTAGCTAGCTATTAGTTCCTCAACCAACTCAGCTTCAATATAAGCCTATACATTCTTTACTATTAAAGCCCTACTTCATAAGTACAAGTTCCCTTACTCTAATACCCTGTTATAAGGATATCGTACTATCTACGAGATTCCTACCTACCGTTCCAACAATATATAAATCTTCCGATCTCGTATTATTAACAAAGTTAAGGGTAAAATAACTAAACCTTACGAGAAATCGAGACTTATAATATAAGGTTATGCCGACGATAGTAAGAAGGCTATATTAACCTAATTGCTAACGATTTAGCAAGCAAGTTAATAGCTAATTCTATTAATTACCTTATTACTCCTACGAGAAGGGAAATAACTATAGCTTCGAGATATTATATAAGCCTACGTTTAATCCTCTATAAGGCTTAATTATACTATTCTCGCCTACCTACCGAAGCAAATTTAAGACTAGTACCTAAAAGGGACTATTATAAAGGTTGTAAAGCCTTTATATAGAATCGTAGAAGCTAGAACCTACTAGTAGGCAACGTATTATAAGTATTATAGAGAGAATCTCTAGATAGTTACTTCTTCGTACGATCTATGCTTATTGATCTTATCTACCGAAAATCTATACTTTAGCTATATCGGTATATAAACCGACGATACCCTCGGTTTGTTAGACAAGGCGTTTTTATAATTAGAAGACGAATAGTTAGAAAAAGCAGCTTTTATAGCAAAAGCGAAGAATATCCTTATAATTAACAAACCCTTCTAATTTAATAGAGGGATAATCGCGCTGTTAACCGATAATTCGATTAATTTAAGGCAAAAAGGATAAGCTAAGAAGTTACGATATATTAAGACTACTAAACCTAACCTAAAATAGTAATATATCGAACAACGCGCTAGAGGGGCGTATATCGCGTTAATTTGCTAACCCGAGGCTTGTTTCGATTTATCTACTACTACCTAATACCAAGACCCCTCGCTAGAAGTAATAAAAGCACTAAATCAACGGATTCGATAGTAAATAGAATCGCCTAACTAAGGAATAACGTTTATCCTACTTAACCTTATAATAGCTAAGCTATTCGTTTTCGTTAATAAGTCGTTTGCTAATAACTACGACCTTTCCTCTTAATTAGGGTTTCTAATTATCTTAGCTAACGATACTTCTTCTAATAGTAATAATAGAGAATTTACGATTTACGGTAACCTTGTTTATTATAGCTTTATAAAGAGTAAATAAGTTACCTATAGCGTATTAGCGTTAGAGATCTACGGGATAGTCGCTGGCGTCGATATAGCCTACGCCTTCGCTATAACCCTAGTAATAATTACTAACTACTTTAACTTACTAACGATTTAGATAGTTATCTATACCGATTCTTATTCGCTATACGAGTATCTCGTAAAGCTAGGTACTATTAAAGAAAAGCGACTTATAATCGATATCATAACGTTAAGATAATCGTACGAAAGACGAGAACTATAAGAAATTCGTTAGATTAACGGCGAAGACAACCCTGCTAATGCCTTCACGAAAAGCAAACCAAATCGAGCCTTCGAGAGATTCGTTAATAGCAACACGATAACGATACGTATAGAGGGATAGGTAACAAGACCGTAACTACGGGAGAAAGTAGGGATAGGAGGCTGAATTAACGAGGAGACGGAACTATATAAGGATAACGTATTCCAACCGCTTCAATACTATAAAAAGAGAGTTTCTAGTGTTGCGATAGTTGGAATACGGAGTCGTGTGGCACTTCCAGCCACACGCCCGCCAGGCTGAGAGGCCCAAGCCTCCCAGACCCACGTGACAGGCCAAGGGGGAATATCCCCACCTTCTAGTCAACAACACCACTTTCAACTATCATGATGTTACGGCCAGCTAACTGACAGTGGGTTTGTGTTAACAGTAAGCCAGGGATTGACAACAGTAACAGTCGTTCTGGGGTCTGGTCGATTGAATCGTAGATCTTCAAAGGTCTTGGTGATCAGTCAAGGCCTCAACAAGAGTCGTAGAGTAGTCGTCACTTAGGTATAGCTGAAAGTACCGGTTAGGGTAATCACAAAGTTGATTGCTGAAGAGCTATGGAAGTCTGTCCTCGAGCCCGGCTCGAGTCCATCCTATATACAAGTCCTGAACGGTCCTCCTTATCTTGGCTATGTTGGATATTTGACATATCCAACATATCCGGGGATCGGTTGGATATTTGACATATCCAACATATCCGGGGATCGGTTGGATATCTGACATATCCAACATATCCAGCCCGGGTTGTCCCTACCCCGCGTTATCCCCGAGGCCACGTGACTTGTCCATAGTTCTTCCGTTCCGAGGATCCCTGGTTACACCTGTCGGCTGGGTTACATATGCCCTGCGTTAGCCGCCGGGATCCAGGCGGGGTCGTGTTGGCGACCATGTCCAACGGGTCGTAACACATGAACCATCGATTAGAACCAATTTACTGTTATTTGTTATTGACGAACGGAATTCCGTTTCACCCCCTGTGAAACCTACATCTAAATTATATCACCAGAGTACAAGCTTGCTTGGGTGATGGTCAATTATAATACATACTCTTGAGATTTTAAAAGCTGGTTCCATCGTTCTCGTGCCGCGAATCAAGCTGAAATCTCTGATTTTTGGACCTTATTTTGCCAGTTAACCTGCGATTTCTGAATTAAAAGGAGGCGGCCAGCGTCCTTGAAACATCGTAACAACTCCGTGTCACGAGTGGGAATTGGACCTGTTCTTGAGCAAGTATGAATGCATGCCCTTTAGTGAAAGGCCATATAGTAACTTGTCGACGGACCCATAGATTCATCAAAGTTGACTACTTGTCTAAGGTTGTTGGAACAAACTACCCAACTAAAGCGTGACTGCATTTATTTGAGTTGAATTGTGGCAAGCGCAGCTACCATCTTTGATGAAACTATCAGATTCTAACACAGGCGAAATTGGCGTGAACTAAGTCCAAAGCCTTCTAGGTATCCATTTCGGATATGCTCCGAAGCTCCAATAGTATTTACTTTGTAACAGTAGCATGTGTTTAAGGTCGCAACCTGTCTCGCGCTGCATACTTAAATGTTTATTCAAGCGATATTTAACATCTAACAATTCCCTTTGACAGAGGACAAGCCCTATATGTAGTTCTCCTACGCTTTCTTGATCCCAAGTGATTGCCTCATTTGTTATACATCGTGCATCATTGCACGGGAAAAGAAAAAAAAGGACAGCATTGAAATTTAACAATCTCTCCATCGGCCGGCTCTTCAAAATCCATGTGGTTCGATTAAGGCTTCTAGTCTTATCAGTAACTGCAAATATACTTATGACGGTACCAACTTACAATTTCATCAATAAGGGTAAGTGTCAAGCCTGAAAGGCTTGCCATAATAGTCAGGCAGGGTGCATGCCGATGTCGCGTTCAGCACAAAACAGCTGACTGAGCGTGGTGTGCTGGGTTCGCTAGCAAGACAATATTTTCGCTTGATATTGCCGCTGTTTGTGATTTTTAATGATGGGATGGTGAGGTCTATGGAGCCTGGCTTGATGGACGCCGTGTACTTGTTCTTCGTGCTGTCGAATTCTACCGCAGTGGAGTATTCTTTCACTGTGTCATCTGTGATTATGTCGCTTTGGCATCTTGCGTCCTGGGCAAAAGTTGCCAAGGGAAGGCTCAATAGCATGCTCAGGGTTGAAAAAGTAGAAAACTGCATTTTTTCCCTCGTTTTTGCGGTTGAGATTTGGAGTCCGAATGTAGGATTCAGGCAGAACTAAGAGAAGGATTACTTATAAGAATACCGAGGGACGCTTAACTGTCTTAAATAGAACTCTGTTATAATTGATTGGGTAACGTCCCACACCCACTTCTGGGCACCCCCCACATTTGGGCACCCCATTTACACCAAAAACGCCGTTTTTCGAAATTCTATATTAAACTAAATACTTTACTTATTAAAGAGAATAAATATATGTTAAATAGATTAAGACTTAATTATAATACTTAAGTAGCTATATACTAGTATTATTGATAATAAGTATTATAAATTCAAGGTTTAACATTTATAATACTAATTTACCTAGCCTATATCTTAATATATAAAATAGGTAGAGATATTTAACTAATATGATTAGAATTTTTAAGTAAGATATAGTAGATTTATATATTCTTATACTTAGTAAAAAATTCTTTAAGCTTAGAATAATATTTTAAAATTTCCCTTAAGAAAAGTTTCTATTATAGAATTTTAACCCTTAATTATACTATATTTACTAAAGTAATACTTTTAAATCTCTTTTAGATATAATTATATACTTTTAATAAGTATAAATATTAATTTCCTAGATTTTTTAAATAAGTATATATAAGCGAAAATATATTTTTCTAATGTTAAGGAATACTAGTAAGTTACTAGTATCTACTAACATTTTAAAGCTTTTAGTTTTAAACTTCTATATTATAACTATTATTATATTTAAACCTTTATAAAAAATTAGATGGCTATAATTATACTTAACATAGTTTATATATATTTTCTTTTCTTAGTAAGTATAGTAGTTAGTTTAATATAGAATTTCGAAAAACGGCGTTTTTGGTGTAAATGGGGTGCCCAAATGTGGGGGGTGCCCAGAAGTGGGTGTGGGACGTTATGGTAAAGTCATTTTACTGTTGCTCCTTAAAGCCATTTAAGCAATGACTCGGATGTAGATCGTCTCAGCCGTGTATGCCTTGTATTAATTTCTGTAGAACCAATGTAATTAATCCCGTGGGTTCCGTAGGAACCCACACTTTGGGGATGTAGAAGAGAGCTTGCGCGAGGGAAATCCCCCATGTTGCGATTATGACGCACGATCAATTTAAGTGAGTCTTATAGCATGGGAAACTATGCCTCTGCGTAAACCTTTCCCAGTCGTTGTGAGGCTTAGACACATGCCGCTCCATTTTTCGCCGATCGCAGCGCTTCGCAGCCCACTAGCAAACTCAATTTCTCGAGATCGTAACCCCTGCATCCCTTAGGTAAAATGTAGATTTCCCTAGAGTCGCAGCGCCTACAGTCAGTTGTGTGTATTCATAATCTAATAGGTAGGAATTGTAGACTCTACTGTATAGCAAACTCAATTCCTGGGATCCGTACTTGGTCGTGCCTAATGGGAGCACATCTACCACAAATCTCGACGCTAATCACACGTTTCCGTGCTATTCTACATTACATTATATTTCGGGCGCTTGTCTGCTTTGACTCAACCTCCAAAGACGCGAGGACAAACGCCGATTCTCCCAGTAAGCTGTTGGGGACCAAGGGTTGCTTGGTGTAATACTCGTAGCTGGCCGTAGAGTTCAAGCTGCATACTGACACTGTCTTGTCATAACCAATCGTGCCGTTTCCTGAATTGGTAACAAAGTTCTTGACTGTGTAATCGTAGGCTCGTAGTGCAACCTTGGTGAAGTCGACCGTTGACTCTGACAAAACTCCCAATCTCACGCCTTTGAGAAGTGAAAATATGAACAAGGCCGTGCTAGAGCTCTCAAGATAGTTGCCGCTGCGGCCCGGGAAAGTCGTGAGTTGCCACCACACTCCGGCCTGAGGGTCAACATAATTGACCAGAGAAGTTGAGAGTTGCGCTGTGACGTTCTGCAGTTGTCCACAAACTGCCTTTGCTTCGTCTTTTTCAGCGGAGCAATCCAGAGCTTCCCAGGTTTGTACAAGTCCGGCCAAGAACCAGCCCAGCGAGCGGCCCCAGACGTATGGGCTGGCGCCAGTTTCTCCGTTCGCCCACACGGCTTTGCGCGAAAAATCATAGCCGTGAGCAACCAAGGAGGTGTTCTTTTGGAAACAATGGTCATAGAGCAAAGACACCTGCAAACTAATGTCTGTGTAATTAGGATGGGGTTGAGACGCCATAAAGGGCAGCACCGAGAAAATTCCGTCCAGGTAGCTCCATTGAGGATACACGTAGTACCATAAGCCACCGTCAGGGTTTCGAGTCTGCAGGGAAAGCGAGGTGTTGAGGGCATCGAAGGCCGACGCTGCTACAGTCGATACGGAGACGATTCCTGCCGTGGATGCTTTTTCAATAGAGCTTGCGACCGAGAAACGATCTAGTGGACGAGTCGCGGCATAAGTGGCGTTAGTCAGAGTTGGCGAGGCCGCGTCGAGAACAGCTCCAAGGAAGGCTGCATAATCGCCCTGTACATCTGGGTACTGGCGAACTGTTGCTTCAAGCGCAATAGCGAGAACGCCGCTCTCCAGAGTACTGCTTGCTGCTCCTGAAGAAGCGATGCCTTGGTTCCGCGACTTGATGCTGTCTAGCATGCGTGTAGAATATCGGCAGTTTTCGCATGATGCAAGGGTAGCAAGCCCGCCTAGGGCAACCAGCCAAGGTGTTTGCAGATACATCGTACAGACAGGCACAGCGAGTGAGCGGAAATCAATCGTGCAGATGCCGTACAGACTTGCGATGCCGATGCCGCTGGGTACTACCGCCTATTTAAATCAGGGATAAGTTGCAAGGTGACATTGGCGAAGCCTGCTGTCTATGCGTGGGGCATTCGGAAAGCCCCTCTACTGTCAATCGCTTCTCATTTCCAGATGCTGTAATTGACTTGCCGATACTGCCGAAAGATTACGAACTCCTCGGGCTGACACCCGGCCATTGAAAACCCCGAATACTAGTACATGGATGGGTTTGAGCAGACTTGTCTCAGTGAAGTATTTTCCCTCCAGTCACCCCGCTCATTGCTGGCCGCAAACAGTCAATACTGAATGGACCAAGACGTTTAAGAATAGCCATGAATCAAACATGATTTAAGTCATGAGGGTCATTCCTGATGTGATTATTTGGGCTGACACCAACGGACCTTTTCTACTCACATGTCTCGTGTCAGGATCTTTCACGGACTTTAGCGCGGCGAATATTGCCGAGTTGGGGTCAAAGAGTTGTTAAAGTTCGACCGCGAAAGATTGGGATCAACTTCCAGCAATGCAATCACAGAGCCGAAGGTCATTTCTCCACTTTACCTTGATTCAGGTATTTCTCGAATTCTCAATCGATGGCTCTTCAGGGTCAGCCACTGCTAGACTGAACTCTGAAGGCCTGTCGAGTGGTTAGTGACTGTTCGAAACCACTTGAAATACTCCTTGTCATATTTTTTGCTCAAGATCTCTGGGAAAGGAAGCAAGCGCCTTAACGCAGTTCAAGTGCAGTCCATAGAACAAGACTTCATCATACAAATGAACAATCGTTCAGGTACTAGAAAACAAGAGCGGAGGACCAAGGGTACAACGCAATCCACGATCTAACCTCAGCTACCGGACGTACTGAAACTGTTAACTACCAAAGTCGGCCTCTGAAATGGACATTTACTAGGGGGGGCACGGTCAAAAGGTCAGCCAACCAGGGTACGCGACCAAGTCAGGGCTACCCTGCAGAACTTTTTCAGAGTACTGTACCATGATAGTCAGTGGAGAGGGTGTTGATTTGTCAAATGTCAAGCTTCCGGCGTGAGGGTTTGGATGTGTTTATTGCCACGACTGTGTTGGTCATCTGAATCCAATCGTCCAAACAAATTCTCTGTACCAGAAACCATTCCAACTTTGCCAATAAGACAAGAATCCATAAGAACTCAATACCTTTGGTATCAGTGATTGAGGAAGGTCGTGGCAGTGTATGCGTGAAAGCATTGGATCAGGAGCAATTCATCCGAACTAAGGTACGCAAGCGACGCGACCACATCGCCGGAGCCCAGCTACGTGCGTGTGCTACAAAGCTGTCGAATGAAAAAAGGTGAGATCTTGGGCTACTGATATACAACCCAATCATATTAAGGGTAAAATAGATTACTCGGAGACGGCAACGCAACTTAAGTCATGTGACATAAGCTTGGTCGAATCGATTGGTGGCTTATTTCAAGCCACAACATGGGGAACTATCCCAATCTAATCCTTCAAGAGGGTACCCATGGGCAGTGCTTCATCGCAGGTAACCTGATAAACAAGCATCTCCTTTTATTATCGTTTTAATACCCTCATCGATTTGGTCTATGTTACCCGGGACCTAGCGATGGAATCACTGTAAGTGCCAGAAACGATGACATTAGGACCGCTGGAGAGGTATTGGAAAGCAATGAACCTCAGGAATTGATCTCTACATACCTCTCATGTACCCCAGACCCTTGATTAGGCAATGGTTTGAAGTTTTCTAAGCGAGCTTGACTTAGTAGGGAGCCACGGGAGCAATCCCCGTCCACCCCAGCGCCACGCTCACGCGATACCCTCTTGGATAAGCTTGGAAGATGTGTGCATTGTATCGCGTTTTGGACCTTGGCGGCTCACCTTGTCCAGTCATCTCACTTGCTACCCTAGGTAAGTATTTCTTCTCTGCGAGTAGGTAAGCCACGAGCAGACTATGTTTTAAGAATGGGCTAGTGTGCATCCTGTGGGCTTGACTAGTAGCTTGAGTGGTTGATGTCCATCCTTGGAAATCGGATTACGGCACCCCGTCACAGGTTGGAAACGTCTATGAAATAAAGTAGAGTGTAACGAGTTGGCACATTATTCGGGCGTAAGGTACCTTAGAAAATAGAATAAATATGTGCCAGTTAATAATCTCATCCCCCGCTAGATAGGCAGGAGGTCACAACTTAAACCTAGGCATTGGGACAACCTTGACTGAGGGTGGACTGGCCTACCGGCTTACTGGTTGACTGTATGGAATGGCCCACACAGATGGTCGTCTTTCTGGGTTAGCGTCCGCCCAGCCAAGCCGGCTCTATGACATCTACAGGAATCGTGCATGGTTACTTCAACCAAGTAAACGTGTGCCGTTTCTCTGTGATCATGTCTATATCCGCGGTGTACATTGCCAAGGATCAAGATGCGAGCCCTACTAGTTTTCTCACCACATGGTCGCATGCATTCTTGGCAAAACTTTGCTGGGCATTTTGTTGTTCGCCTATCAAAACTGAGTGTTGTTAGTCTGCCTTACTGCGATATTCCTCCCAATGGAGGCCAAGCGCTTAGCCTGGGCAAACGCTAGGGATGCTGTGCCGTGTGCGAGACGCCTGATCGGCCCTTCTCAATATGCTTTCTCGAAGGCGTTTTATGTGTTTTCACTCTTCAATAGGCCATCAGGAACAACGGCCCGGGTGGTGAAGATCACGAGTTTGACACCTTCCGGATATCTTTCCCTGAGAATGGCTTTTGACACGATAGCTAAGTTTAGGTCTCCGAGTATCCTTTTTCGAGTACAAGCTAGGATAGTAGATGTCTCTTCCCCCAGCTCTAAAAGAGGTTGGGATCTCTTCGTCAGCCTTTCAAGCTTGGTTTCCGGAGGACGGGCCTACCAAATCTGGGGTGCATAGCGCCGAGCATACAATTCATCAATTCGGGACGCTCTCCCGCCATGTGTTTAAGGCATTCTTGTGGCATATCGCTCTCGATGTGACCATATCGAATTGCAACATGACCCTTCTCGTTGAGCATTCCGTAGCCCACCCCCTGACTTCCGACTTTTTTGGGAAGTCTCCATTAGATTGCAGGACTGCAAGGAGGTTGGTCGGCACCCATGCATACAGTGAGTGCCGCGTGTAGGACCTCTCACAGCACGTGTACATTGTGCTTTGTTTCTAAGTCCCAAGACATGTACCGCCGCTCATCGGAATCTTGAACCTCGATTCCGAGCGACACGGCAGGCATAAGGGTGTGTGGCGCGTTGTGGGTGGCTTGATGCACTCTCATGTTCCACCATTAATCAACGATCGACTTCAATTCTACGCACCATGCTGAATATTGTATTGGTTCCTGCGTCCATTTTGGGTTCGGTGTCAAGGCAGCGCGATCCGAACCCGGGGTACTCGCTAATCTGGATCCTGGGGTGCCATTTCTCGGCTTTAGGGTCGCTGAGGCGAGATGATTCTAAAGCTACTGGACATGGACGCAAGCTCAATGACCATAAATGGGACGTCTGATCCGTCCTTTGAGACCTTTTGATCTCTCTCCATCCTCACCTTTGCCCCGTTTCCTTGTTTTCACCCCAGGTTATCATCGATCAAGATGGCTGCGCCATATAATGTTCACGATGAAAAGGAGACGGACGTGAACGTTTTGAAGGAACAGGCCGTCGTCGCCACCAAGACAGCTGTCGGTGATGAAGCCTTCCAACAGGCCTTGTTGAAGGAGCCTCCCAGATGGTTTGGCAGCCCTATCATCATCCCCGCCATTTTTGTCGCCTTTTGCTGCTCTACCACCAACGGATACGATGGATCTCTTTTCGGAACACTGCTCTCTAGCAAACCGTTCAAAAATTTCTTCGGAGTCGACAATAAGGGTATTGAGGCTGGTAAGTTGTAGACAGTCTCATCAAGACCATCGTCGTTGAGATAACCCCAACTGACCATTTTCATTAGGTATCGTTACCGCCATGTACCAGATCGGAAGTGTTGTTTCCATTCCATTCGTCGGACCTGCTATTGATACTTGGGGCCGCCGCATGGGCATGTTCATTGGCTCAGGCATCATCTTAATCGGCGTCATTATCCAGGTTACTTGCATCGCTACCAGCAGCGTCAATCACTTCATGGCCGGACGTTTCTTCCTTGGCTTTGGCGTCCAAATCGCGGCTGCCGCCGGTCCAATCTACGTTGTAGAAGTTGCCCATCCCGCTCACCGAGGTATCTGCGGTGGTCTCTACAACGTCATGTGGCCTGTTGGTGCCCTCGTTGCCAGCAGCGCTGTCCGCGGCAGCGACCATTACCAAGGAAACGCAAGCTGGATGATTCCTGTTGCACTTCAGGCTATGTAATTTATTTTGCTCTTTTCTATTATACTTTCTCAGTCTAACCGAGTTACAGGTTCCCCGGAATCATTTTTCTTGCATGCCTGTTTCTTCCAGAGTCTCCACGATGGCTGTACACCAACAACAAGCGTGAAGAAGCCAAAAGAGTACTTACTAAGCTTCATGCCGCTGGAAATTCCGAGAGTGAATGGGTCAAGCTGCAGCTGAACGAATATGAGGAGTTCCTCGAGCTTGAGGCATCCGACAAGAAGTGGTGGGACTACCGCGCCCTCTTCAAGGACCGGGCTTCTTTCTACCGTCTCGCCTGCAACTGCGTCGTCTCCTGCTTCGGCCAGTTGGCTGGAAACAGTATTGTGTCTTACTACCTAAGCGCCTTCCTCGAAACCGCTGGCATCACTGAGAGTGTCACACAAATGAACGTGCAGATGGGAATGAACGCGATCCAGATTGTCTTTGCAGCCGCTGGTGCCTCGGTCACCGACTTGGTCGGTCGTCGCCCCATGCTCATTGTCGTTAACCTTGTTTGTGGAATTTGCTGGATTGGTGTTATTGTTCCGGCTTCTATTGCCAACATTACCGACAAGGACGACAAGGCTCAAACCTCTGCCGTTGACCCGAATGTTTCCCGAGCCATCCTGGCTTTTGTTTACATTTTCCAAATCTGCTACTCGACCGGCTGGACCCCTATGCAGGCTCTCTACCCTGTTGAGGTGCTTAACTATGAGATTCGTGCCAAGGGTATGGCTTTCAGCGGTGCTTTCATGAATTTTGGTAGGTCCCCTTCCCTAGCCGCCGGCAAAATGACTCTCACTCAGCATAACTAACCGCGCCATTGCAGCCCTTCTCTCAACCCAGCTTGGTGTGCCTGTTGCACTAAAGAACATTCAGTGGAGGACCTACATCGTCTTCTGCGCGTGGTGCTTCGTTCAGGCTGTTGTCTTGTACTTCTTGGTACCCGAAACGAAGAACCGAACTGTAAGTCGAGTCCATTTCTTTCCGCCTTTCCTATAACCAGCATCATTTTTTGCCTGGAAGAAAACCTCTTAGGATTGAATGACCCTAACATGTGCTTCAGCTCGAGGAACTCGATCGCATCTTTTCGGCTCGGAACCCTGTCAAAGCTTCCACGGAGAAGAAGCAATACGAAGTAGACGCGAATGCCAACATTTTACATGTTGATGCCGTCAACGCGAACACCGCCAACGCTACTACGGCCTAGGCGTTCTTCGCCAAGCTGTTTCAAAGCGTTGAGCTTAATTCTTTCGCTCTACCGACATAGTGGTATTTTGTGGTTTCCGAAATGCTTTCAATCCTGGCCACGAAAAAGAAAACCAAAAATATGCCAGACACAGCTTTAATACCAACCAGAACGACACGTTCTTTTTGTTCATCGTGTATCCCCCTTTTTTTTCGGGGGGGATAGCCATCGTGGGGCAACCTAATGTGAGAGGGAAATGGTAATCAGGAGTGACGGGACAAGCCTGCTTAATATTAATGTCTTCCAGATAATGATCGGATATCTGCAGAATATGAAGTTGAATGAGGCATAGTGTGTAAGCAGATTTCCTCCGTCTTCGGGGTGAAACGTAAAAAATATACCACTGGTTCTGGAATTCGGTAGATTGATTGTTCACTTGTGATTCTCCATTGTTTGGCTTCATTATAGCTAATCTAAATCTGCGTACCCGATGGGTATGATATCTGCGGAGACTATGGGGTGCGGAATATCCCATAAGGTGTCTTTTTTGTAAGTAAGAATCATACTGTCAAATAAATGATAAATGAAGGCTAAAAGAATAGATCCCATCATGCATACACTCAGATGAATTAGCCTACTACCACTGGGACTGGGACTACCATCTTGAACGCAAAAGACGGATTCTACTGTCAAGTTAATTTTCAAAATGACAACTCGTTGAGCAATGGCTTCTCCGTGTTTATACTTATTGACTCATAAGGATTTATACTGCAATAGTTGGAAAATGGGGCCATGTGGGACGTTTTGGCCGAGCAGAGTCACTAGGTCTCTGAGAGCGGTAAAAATGGAACATAAAACGCATATTATCTCTTTATTAAATGAATTCCATCTATCTAGGCGGTTGAAGTTTTGGAGGTGGAGACCAAGTGCTGCCAAACGTTGTCTATGGCCATGGTGGCCGTCTTCGTGACAGTCTCCTTGGTTGTTGCTCCAATATGCGGTGCGCTGACGACTCGCCCAGTCTTCCACAAGGAATTATATTTACTCAGAACTGGCGGCTCTTCCTCATGACAATCAAGACCAGCTCCAAAGATATGCCCTTCACTGAGCACTTGGGTCAACGCAAGCTCATCAACGATGCCACCGCGAGCAACGTTAATCAGGATCGCATCTGGTTTCATTTGCCTCAGGTGTTTCATCCCAATCAGACCTCTTGTCTGCTCGTTGAGTGGTATGTGCAATGTCAGCATATCCACGTGGGGTAACATCTCTTCGAAAGATTGCACTCTTTTGTGCTCAATATCAACCCACGCGTCGAGCGGAGCAAAGGGATCATATGCCCACACCCGGGCATCAAAAGCGGCGCGGAACATCTTCGCGACGGCAGTACCAATGGCCCCCATTCCTAGAATACCGACAGACTTGCCGCTGAGCATGATTCCCATGCAATGTTCCTTTCTAATCTCTCGGCCAGACGTCTGCTTGACCGAGATAGCGCTCAGCTGGCGCGCGACTGACATGGTAAGTGCCAACACGAGCTCCGCTACCGACTGGGCGTTGACGCCTGGGGTGTTGCAGATGGCTATACCCCTCTTGTCAGCGGCATCTTTGTCGATGATGTCGATGCCGGTACCCTGTTTGCCGATGGCACGGAGTTTACGGGCCGAGGCTATATCCTGAGCGGATATGATTGTCTCTCGTACAAGTATCGCATCTGCGTTCTCTCTCCATTGGTGGACTTCTTCATCTGTGGAAAGGACTGTGTGGAAAATATTTTGGCAGTGCCTGACGGCGTCCTCCGGGAACGTTTCCAAAAGATACATGGTGGGTTTCTTCGTAATGGCTCCAACCATGGGGCTGGGCTCATTGACCTCAGAATCAGTCCTTGAAGGAGCCATTCCGAGATTATACGATGTGATGCGATAGGCAATGACGTGTGATATAGAGTGATGAATTCAAAGGATGGCGGGCTAACTGCAACTTTGATGTGAAACAGCAAACCAAGGCAGGCAAACAGTGAGAGAAAGAAAGCTGCCTTAAATGAAGTTCATTTAAATATGCATTGACTACCTGTAGAATCAAAGCGTTGAGCCTCCCACCAACGCCCTTGGTGAAGCCAATACTGCTGACCAAAACGAGTAATCTATTCAAAGATCCAAAACCTCGGCACAGAATCGCAAACAGGAGGTCAGTAACGGACACTGCTTCCATGTCCTGTAGCATGAAACGGAGCCAGCTTCCGGCTATGTACTGTCTTTGGACCGTACCAACCACTGCCGCCAGCAAAATAGTTAACATGCTGGCATGTAACTTGTATTGGGCCGAGGAATTCAGACACAGGAACTTCGTTACATCTCTCCTCGGCATATCTGCACCGGCTAATAAGCTTGACTGAATCATCTGATATCAGCATCATAGGGCAAAGGGCATCAAATTATACTAGGAAAGAAAAGCAAGGAATCACTGCGCATTGGTAGGCACAGTTCTTGGCGGTTGGCATTATTGGCCGCGTCCGTATACGGACCCCTCCGGGGCTTAATGAAAATCTCAAAGCGTTGGAAATCCTACATAGGATCTTGTGAGCTGTAGGATATTGTAGCCGGAGCTTGGCATGGATACCCATTTGAAGGTGCGGCTTTGATTCCCGTGGTCCAGCGAAGCCCACTTGGCATCTTGTCGTTTTGCGGGGAACTGGGGTCTGGGGAAGCTGTAGGGGGCGATATTCACTTCTCCACGGGGTAATTCCTCAACTTGTGGAGAGAAGAATGTAACTCACATTGAAGACAAAGAGCATTAAACACCTTTCCGGTCTTCTCTCTTTGCGAGAAATATAAATTGGAAGCATTCCATCTCTAAGAAGTGCCCCTTCGCTTCAACCCATCATCTTGCAGACCAACCCAGCAGTCTTCAGTCCACCATGGCCAGCAACCGCGTCGACGAAGTTCAAAACACTTTGGATTGCAAAGAACGACCCTCAACTGAGTACAAGGATGCACCAAATGCAGAGTTGTTCATTGATCCTATCGAGGAAAGGAATGTTGTGAAGAAGCTCGACCGCGTCATTCTTCCAATCATGTCCGTTGTCTACTTCTTTCAATGTGAGTCATCCCTTTTTGATACCACTTGCAGCCGATGTTGTGGCTGACCGTTTCGTTCTTAGACCTTGACAAGCAGAGTATCAACTACGCTGCAGTCTTTGGGCTATCCGAGGATCTGAAGCTTACCGGCTCTCAGTTTTCCTGGTGTGTGTCTCTTTTTTACTTTGGACAGCTTTGTTCCGAGTATCCTGCCGCGTACTTGATGAGTCGCTTGCCGATTATTCGTTTTGTTGGCGTCACTATGTAAGTTTGTCTAATCTTCCACCTCTTGCCAGAAAACATTCGTGCTTTTTTCTGATTGGCAACTGGCACAGCATTCTTTGGGGCATTGTCGAGATGTGTCTGGGTGTTTCCCAGAACTTCGCTAGTCTCGGGGCAATTCGCTTTCTGTTGGGTTTCACAGAAGGCGCAGTTTCACCTTCGTTTATGATCATCACCAGCAACTGGTATAAGCGAAACGAACACCCCGTTAGAATCGCGTGAGTCGCCCTTGAGGCCTGTCATCAACATGCTCCAATTCTAACCGTTTGGATTCACTGTGCATAGAACGTGGGTGTCTATGTTTGGCGTCTCTCAGATTGTCGGTGCTCTATTGATGTATGGTATCGGTAATGGAGTCCACACAATTGCAACTTGGAGGGTCCTGTTCTTGGTCTGTGGCGGCCTTACTATCGCTGCAGGAGTTCTCTTCGTTTTCGCCATGCCGCTCGACACCAATAAAGCGTGGTTCCTCAACGAGCGAGAACGCTACATTGCTACCAAGCGGCTCGCTCTCGATCGAGCTACCCGCGATCGAGCTCACTTCGACGTGGCTCAAGCAAAAGAGGCCTTGACGGACCCCCGAACTGCTCTATATGCTTTAATGGCACTTTTCATCACACTTCCCACACCCATTGTCAAGGTAAGTAATCCCTTCACAAGAGAATCTCCATAAACTAATATCCTGTAGTTCTCGTCCCTAGTGATCAATGGCTTCGGTTATAGCAAGTTTGAGACCATGCTTGTCGGCTTGCCCAGTGGAGCTATTGCCTTTATTTTGGTTTGGATTGGCGGTCTAGGACCACGATTCTTTCCTAACACGCGTTGCCTTTTTGGAGTGTTCCTTGCCATGGTACCCATGTTGGGTAGCTTGCTGCTTGTGGTCCTCCCGTCCCATCTCAGCTGGGGCATCGTTGCAAGCACTTGGCTCGCCGGTAGCACAGCACCACCTTTGGGCCAGGTTGTCGGTCTGATGGCCTCCAACGTCAAAGGCAACACTAAAAAGTCCGTCGTGAGCGCCGTGTTTTTCATCTTCTACTGCATCGGATGCATTGTCGGTCCACAGCTTTGGCAGAAAGAAGATGCACCGCGTTATACGAAGGGCTGTATCACTAGTGTTGTGAGCTTTGGATGTCTCATCATTGCTCTCTTCGTCCATTATTTTACTTCCAAGATTACCAACAAAAAGCGGGACAAGCTTGCTGCAGAGTCTGGTGATGATTACCTGGAAGGTGTAGAGACTGATTCCGACTTAACAGAGCAAAAAGATAAGGGTTTCAGATATACTCATTAAGCCAACTGCACAAGCTGCTTCAGCCACTCTAGTTGTGATATAGCAGGAGTAATATCTTGTGTCTAGGAATTGGACTTAGTCTTGAACATGAGGGCTATGGCTGTATGTATATGAATATCACATTTTTTGCCTCAAACTTTCGACCGTTTCTTTTGTATGTGGGATATCCATGCGACCCAAATGTGAGAAATTCATTTTCCATTCTCCAATGCTAGGCTTTGGGCTTAATGATCATAATATTGATTTCTGTGCATTCTGCTGCCGCAATTGGCAACGGTGGCCTTCCAAAAGCTGACCCACGAAGGTCCTTGCGATGAAGTTCCTGTAAATACCATGCAGTTTGTGTGATTAGAAAGGTTCTCGCATATCCATTGACAGTATGAGGACATGTCGTATTGGGTCACATATGAATTCAGAATAGCAAAGTCATGATTCTCAAATTGTTCTTAGCCACAAGACAAAAAAAGCTAGAATCGTCGTTCTCTACTCTAAAGATACGTCGTTTTTAGGGATATCAGCGCATAAAAACCCCTGGTCACCAATGATTATCTTGAACCGCTGGCAGTGTAAACTTAACGTTTTTAGTAGATTAGGATGACCAAAATAAATTGAATCCTCTTATATCTTATATGGGATTCAATGCGGTAACTTGATACCAATCTCTTCCAGAGCCTGTATTTACTTCGTTGACGAGAGGGGCATTCTCGACAAGCAATAAAAGAGACCGATGTGAATGACTCTGGTGGTGTTCGGACCCACTTTAGAGTGGGACACGAATGACGGAAGTCTCTTCCGTATTCAATGCCGAGGTTACGGTGTCCAGTCCGACCCACTGCGGCTTTCATTTCCGTGGTCAGTCATTCACAACCATCACTTCGGTAATGCCATTTTTCGAAGGACGCTTTCCAATCGGTCCGTGACTAGTAATGGGCTGACAACCGAGTTCCTAAACAGAGAGTGTAGGCACTTTGTTCATTTGTCTGCACGAGAGCCGTTAGACACAATGTTACTGAGAGACAGATATAAAGCGTATGAACTCCCATGTATTGAGCACAAAGTGTTGTCGTCAGTATCTTCCAGTGCATTAACAACTCTTTTGTCCGTAACGTTCAACATGGTCGCCGCCGAATCTAAGGGATTGGAAGAGTCCAAAAAGCAGACGACACACATTGCCCCGAACAATTTGCTCTCACTTGCGGCAAAAGGAAAGATATGCACGGCTTTTGGAATCAAGATTATTCCCGGCGGAGAGATTGTTCATATAGCGAAATCATCTGGTTACGATTCTCTTTTCATTGATCTTGAGCACACCACACTCACCATTCGTGATGCTGGTCAGCTTTGCATCACGGCTAACTCGGCTGGCATCACACCGTTTGTTAGAGTGCCCCACGAGTGCGGGCTTGGATTCATGCAAAAGGTTCTCGATGCGGGAGCTATGGGCATCATTGTACCGCACATTCACACTGCCGGTAAGTAGAGTTCATGCGTCTTAAGGCAGGAACATGATGAAGTTCTGGCTCCTGGATGACTGCTCCTTAACTGCAGCTGTACAACAGTATTAACCCGCTACCTGTTCTAGACGATGCACGTCGTGTTATTAACGTGTCCAAATATCCTCCCGTTGGCCACCGATCCATCAGCGCTGGCTTTGCACACTTTGAATACGCTCCGTTGCAACCAAACATCATTCAGAGCGAGCTCAATGCTGTGGGCTCGACCGTTTTCATCATGATTGAGACCGCAGACGCTCTCTCAAACGTTGATGAAATAGCAGCACTGCCGGGTTGTGACGTCTTGCTGGTAGGTTCCAACGACTTAGCCAGCGAAATAGGCACGTCACCTGATTGGGATCATCCCCGTTTCATCGAGGCTCTTAGGAAGGTTGGCGCAGCTGCCAGACAACACGGGAAGCAAATGGGAATCGCGGGGTTGTACCACCGACCCGACATTTTATCTCAGGTCATTAATGAATTCGGAGCTAGATGGATTGTGGGTGCACAAGACGTAGGGCTCTTGCTGGCTGGTGGGCGAGCCAATTCAGATCTACTGCGTAGTCTGCAGAAATGAACGTGAAACAAGTTACTGAGACATAATGACACCTTAAGAGCACATTCGTAATATATGTGTTAAGTCATAACTGACATAAATTATAATATGGTGTTAGTTCGTTACTTAACATGACATTTCCATGAGCTACTACTCTTTTGAACTTGAAGCTGTTGAACGTCAGTGTGCAAGCTTAAGCCTACACGTGACGCTTAGGTAATTAGTGCTGGAAATAAGAATGCTTGGAGCTGGAGTCAAGTAGGCGGATCAAATTACTGTTAAGCTTCCCCGCCTCAACATATTGTCATCTCCGTCTTTCCCAAACCAAATTACAGCGCCCGTTGCAACACCCGCGTATATGAGCTCAGAAGCAAATACACGGCCGAAAAAGCGGCAGAAGGGTTTCATCACAGCGAATGAAGTTCCTCGTGCCCCTACTGCGTATGTCAACTTTCCACTCTTCATCCTCCATGTGACCGTCAAGTAAGCTTGCAAATCCAGCTGATGTACATTTCTTAGATGCGAATCTTGCCGGGATCGCAAAATTAAGTGCTCTGGAACCCAACCATGTCGATATTGTACGCGGAGACAGCTTTCTTGTGTCTTCCGGGAGAGTGTGAAAAAGAAGCTTTATTCTGTCGAGTATGTCGAACAGCTTGAAGAGCTAGCCGCCACATTTGGTGGCAGTAGCACTTCTGTGCCAGTCGATTCTGCTCTGCTGGAAAGAGAGAATTCCATGCATGCTGTGAATGAGTCTGGAGACATTACCGCCTCGCCGACTGTGGCAAACAGGAGTAATGTAAGCCGAACTGATCCTGCATTTTCTCCAGTACTCTCGCCAATTCCTCTCCAGTCATGCGATCCAAGGATTGATCACCAGGAAAGGAGAAGCTCTCAAAACCCGAGTGCAAACGGTAAAGCCAATCACTTGAGTCTTTCACGCATGGTGGATACTGAACTCTATTCCAGGGTTAGAGATTCCTGAAACTGTCACTTCATCGAGCCTACATTTCAGCTATCAAATCAAAACACTGAAGCCTGTCTCACCCGCTACCACGAACGCTGAGGCCTGCTCACCAGATAATTCAGTGATCTTATCTGACAACCCTTATGGCATTATACCCAATAAAAGAAACGAGAGAAAACAACCACTGAAGTTGCCGTCCTTAGAAGAAGCACAAGAACTTTTAGATATCGTCTTAACTTCTTTAGGAAACATACAACATCTGTTTGAACCAAGAGCCGTTTGTGATCGACTTTCCGAGTCGTATGCTGCCATTGTCGACAGAGAGGATATATGGCATGTGGAGTTCCTCATCGTCATGGCCGTCGGAAAGCTATTGCGAGGAAAGATGGGCCGCAATCACACTTTGCCGGGGGCAGACCTCTATCTGGAAGCCTTAGAGAAACTACCAGATATTATGAGCCTTCGAAGAAAAGGAGTGATAGCTATCGAGATCCTTGGCATGATGGCTTTTTATCTTCAATGCGCCGACCTCCGTGACGACGCTTACGTTCACGTGAGTAAAATTTTGTTTCCTCTACAGGTGTATAAACTAGCCACTGACAGTGGAAGTATAGGCAGGAATGGCGTTACGAATTGCCATGGCCAACGGTATGGCTGACGAAAGCAGCTACCAGGCTTTCATCAGGTCTGAGCAAAATCATCGCCGTAGGCTTTGGTGGACTATTTACATGCAGGAGAGGTAAGATTTCGAAGTGGTCTATACAACAGAAGTGCAAGTAAATAACACCGACAGACGGCTTGCTGCCGCTACCGGACAACCTTTGACCATACAAGATGCCCACATAACCACAAAGCTACCAACCGAATCACCTGGATTTGTCGCGCCAGCGGCAATGCGAATTAATATCAAACTCGCAAATATAACCGGCAAGATAATGGATGGTAAGGTGTAGGCCCACAGATTGATAGCCCGTTCTAACATTATGAAGCTATATACGGTTCTCAGAACAAAGTGGTGCATCACTATGTCGGCATTGTGAAAGGAATCTTGAATCAGCTTCTAGATGTGGCCAATTGTATTCCAAAGGAATACAGCCTCAATCTTGCCAAAGAGTCACCTATATCAAGGACAGCGGGGACATTATACCTTATGCTCTATCAGGTCAATACATTCTCATCCCTTTCCCTTCTTCCTGTAGTAGTTTTTTATGAGTCATCTTCTGACGGTTTAGGAAATCAGTGTGTCGTCCTTGCTACACGCCCGACATTGCTACACCTGGCAAGAAATAGACTTGACACTCGGCCTTCGGAGCGAGAAGGCCTAGTTAGTACGTCAGAACTTGAGCATATAGCAAATGCTTGTATAGAGGCTGCAAGCCGCAGCATTGACGTCTTGGAAGCACTAAAAGAGCAGCACTTGATAGGTATGTAAATATCCTCTAAGTCATTTACATTTGCCCCGATGGGACGTGCCACGCTGACATTGTAAAATTCACGTGAAAGCCAACTTTGGGTTTTTCGATCTTGATGCTGCTTATTCTGCCGCCTTCGTCTTCGTACTAGTCGACAGCGTTGCCATAAATACAACTCAACCTTGTGGCGTCTCCAAAATCCGCACAGCGTTTAACATCGTTAAACACCTTTCTGTGCAGGGAAACAAGGCTGCTGCGAAGAGAAGCGCAGAAATTGAACAGACTTGCAACCATCTGGGCATTTCCTTCCATGAAGAACCAGAAGAAAACGTTCAAGGACCTAGATCTGTATTGAGTGGCCTTGAGGACATAGCACAACTATCCCGGGGTAACGGAGACTCTGGGACAGAACGGACGCAAGAAGGAGACATGCATCAAGGTGAACCCGCATTGCCAGATTCTAACTTGTCGACAACTCACTTTGATTGGACTCAAGCGGCGGCAACTCTCTTTGACTGTAGCGCATCAGGCTCACGAGGCGCACAACAGTCGATGGCGGCCGCGTTGTCATTTGCAGAGGGAGGGAATGAAATGTTCAACAGCGTATGGCTAGACGACTTTTCTTTGACTGGAGTTGTCGAAACAGACTGGGCGGAACTTGATAAACAGCTAACGTCCCAAAGCCGAGTCTAAATGAGCAAATGATTAGTGTAGATAGGCGTATTTCTCATATGTTTTAGCCCAGGTCATTTTAAATCAGAATTCTATAAAGATGTGTCCAATTCAATTTGGGAGCTCTAGATTATAATTCTGTACGATTAACACTTTTACATAACAGCTGTCTACCTGGATTTGCGATTCTTAAGACTATATCTCCTGCTTGATACCCTTAAACATACCGAAGAACTTCTCAGTCTGTTCGAAAACACACGTATAGTACATCACACCACACAGCGGCTGGGTCGGTCATGACTCTTGAGCAGAAGATTATTATTCACCATGTCAAGACTTAAAACATAATGCTAATGTGAAACCGATGATGATTCAATATTTAGGATAAACTATATAGATTCATAACAGTAACAAGGACACATTTGCGGCGGCCAGTTTTGAATAGGTAAACAAGAATACCTAGCTTGGACTCACTGTAGCACACTTTCACCCCACCCCACCTTCAACCTCGGCCCCTTGATACCTTCTTTACAGCACCGTCAACAGGACACACAACTTCTACAAGAAAAAAAGAAAACCGGTCGCGCAAAGTCGTGGGTCGAAATCTCAAAAGGAAGCAATACAAAGTCGCTGAGAGGAGCGCCCTTTTGTAAGAATCCGGCTTTCACAACGAGGCTCCGTCACACCGTTATACAGTCCGCTAGGTAGACAGAGCCGAAGGGAAGCCTTTTGCCACATAGCCTCTGCATCTGACGCAGCTTCTTATAGAACTGCCTACAGCACTTCAGATAATCAGCCACTGTAGTGCTACTAAAGGAAGCCAGGAAAGCCGAACGCACTATCCCGAAGCCATACAAAGCAATCACATACTGAATACTGTCAGAAGGTTAGACGGCATAATCAATGCGAATAGGCGAAGTCATGAGACTGAAATGTACTAATTACTACTACAAAATATACAACGGGAAGAAAAGAAGAAGAACCAAATACAAACTGCAGTTTAAAATTGATGAAATCTACGAGGTGGGAAACGGGAAGTAGGAAGATAGCAAGGTTACTCTCCCTTTTACGGATCCAAGCATAATATACACCCCTCATCATTCTCATCGAGGAACTGCGGGTCGAACCTCACGCGCAGACAGTTATTCCTAACCTCGCCGCCCCGCTTCCACCCAACACCAGAACAATCGCAGCTGTCAATAGGCACGCGAGCGTACAGGTAGCACTCTCCCTCGTCGTGGATGTACTCGCAGTCGTCGTGCAGGACCTCAAGGTCGAGAATGGCCTGGCCGCCGCCGATCTTGTGCTGCTTTCGCACCAGCTTCTTGCCACGGATGCGCCCGTCAGTGAGGACCCTCGGGACCGTTTCCCTGCAGAACTCGCGCGCGGCCTCGACGGCCAGACTCCGGATTGTGTATTCGCCCCCGTTGTAGCAGTACGGTTTCTCGTTCTGTTGCGGGTCGGGGCGCTTCCACACCTTTTCTGGCGGCCGCGTCGTTGTTGTTGGGGCTCTGGTGGTCGACGAGGGAGGCTGCGGGTTCGGGCTTGTCGGGTCGTCGGGAGGGTCCTGGGCGTCCGCAAAGCAGATCTCCTCCTCACCATCTTCCTCCTCTTCCTCTTCATCAGGATCGTCGGGTTCATCCTGGCCCCACGGCGAGTCTGGGTGTGTGCCAGGTGGCGGCGGACACTGCCAAGCCGGGAAGGCGCAAGGCGTGGTTGTAGGCCGGGGTGGAGTTCCGTGGGAGATGACGATAGGCGGCGTGGGCCACTCTCCCCGTGGTGGCGGCGGAGGTGGGTCCGGACCCGGAGGTGGCGGCGGCGGCGGGTGCGTGGGGTTGGTCGGGTTGGGGCGGGTCTTACGAGTGCTGCCGTCTTTGGTGTAGGTGATGGGAGGCCAGGTGGTGGTGGAGTCGAACTTGGGCCAAGTCACAATGATGATGCCGCCGTCGTCGGATGACGAGCTGGTCGATGTCGGGCCTGGGGGCCGGCGCGACTCGGTGATGGTCATGGGCTCAAACACCCACTCGGTTACTGTGATGGGGCGTCGAGTGGCCTTGGATGTCCACGTGCCGTCAGTCACGGTGACAATCGGGTAGTCGATGGTGCTGGTGGCCTTCGTCCACGGCGGCAGGCGAATAGTACAGGGAGGTTCGCACCACACCGTCGGACTGGGCTGGTCCCAGATGGTCGGGTGCACCCAGATGTCGTTTTCGGAGCCGGCGCCGGTGCCGTCCTCGCCGCCCGCAAGCGGCTGACCGCCGGGGATTAGGAAGGGCGACGGGAACTCGGTACCGCGCGGGATGGTTGCCTGCTCGGGCAGCGGGCTGTCGGCGGGCCTCCGGACGCCTTCCGAGTCGACGAATGGCTGGTTGGGCTCGAAGCCCGCAGGCAGCTCAATGTCAACAGGGGTGGGTGTATTGGCGGGGATGGTGATGGGGTTGCAGAGACTACCGCCGGAGCCGCAGCACGTCGACGAGACAAGCCGGAAGAAGCTACAGGCCGGGCACCGATCGTGGCCCGGTCCGGGATCGCTGTTCTGGGCGCCCTCGCGACGCAGCCGGGGTATGTCTGTGGCGGCACCCCGGCCAAGGGTAAAGGTCGAGCAGGCTGGCACGGTGGTGTGCGGCAGAGGGATGACTGTGGCCCTCTCGGGCGAGATATGACTACCGCGGCCGGCCTGTAGGTCAAGCCAGGTGATCTGCGACCAGCGCGGGTGTGACTCGACATTGAGGTTATCGAGGGCTAGGATACCCTTGCCGTCAATGATGACTGAATACTTTGCGCCGATGGTGATGAGGTGCTGGATACGGTTGTTGGCGCGGTTGTTATCGAGCAGAACCAGAGCCTTCTGACAAGCGTGCTTCCCGATACAGTCCTGCGTGTATGTGTCGAACCAAGAGTAGATTCCTGCACCTGCGATGAAGATATTTTGACATCCACGCATTATCAGTGCCCAAGACGAGTCGCACCCGTCAAAGTCATCACCCGCGCAGCTGTAGTCAGGGTCTCCGGCAAACCGGCCGACAGCACCCTCAAACGGCGCGGGCGCCTTGGGCATGGGCTGGAAGTAAGGAGATTCCGTCTGGATCATGCCTGCGAAGATGTTGCGAGCGTGGTGGAGGTTGTACTGGTAGTAGACGGCGTGCTCCGAAGAAGTACCATACAACCAGGTAGCCGCCTGAGACTCGACCAGCAGGCCGCGTGCGACATAGACGGATACTTGGGGCTGAGAGGAAGCATCAAATGTTAGCATAGAAAATAAGATATGGCACCATGAAGACTTACCATGGTGTTGTTGGCGTCGTTCCAGTCCAAGTCGTCTATCAAGTGGTCCGCCACCCACAACCACATATTCTCAAAGTAACCCGATGCCTGTGGCGTAATGTGCATCATCAGACTCGCCGCCTGGCAACCGGGTGGATTGGTGCCGCCCGTGAGCGGCGGGCACTCGTCCGGGTTGAGCTTCGTGCCGAGGGCGCCGCCAATACGAACATGACATTCCCAAAGCGCCGCCGCCCCTGGGCTCGACGCTTTGATATTCCACTCGACCAGGACCGCGCCGGCAGCCGGCCCGATAGTCGTGAAGAGCAGGTCCTGCATCTCGACGTCGCCCGTCTCGCCTTTACTGCCGATCTGGAGCATCACCTTGGGGTTGTTTGCGTCACCAAAGTATGGACCTGTTGCTGCAAACTGCGACCACGTCTCACCCACGATCTTGGCCCCGGACGGGACCGTCACCGTTCCCGTGATGAGGTACGTTCCCGCGTCCACGAAGAGGATCTTACCAGAGCCGGCTCGCCGCAGAGCCTCCTGCAACCCTGCCGTGTCATCAGCGACGCCGTCGCCGCGAGCAAAGTCCTTGAGGTGCACAAAGTCGCTTGCTGGGCGGCCCTCATACTGCGGCTTGGGCCGCTCGTAGTAAGGCGACTTGGGGGCTCCGGCACCAGCCGACGTGTCGAGCAATGAGACCTCGCGTCTGTACCTGGCCATGTCCTCACCCTCGGAGAACTCACGCTTGCCGGCGGCGTCGTATACGGGACCCGTCACCCACGCCTCGACATGCTTGCTGCCGCCAGCCAGGAGGACCTTACCGGCCGAGTCAGCGACGCCGCGCCCGACGCCGCTGAACTGCACGTTCTCCATGACGACGCCAGTCGAACCCTTGCCAGGCTCCGGGTCGATAGGGCCAACCAGGACGACCGTGTTGACATTGGTAAAGGAAGAGTCAATGAAGGAAGCCGAACCGATGTTGCCCACGCTGTTCTTACCGGTCTGGCACTTGTCTCTGTTGCTTCTCGCCGTGACCGCCGTCCCCGTTCCAGTCTCACGCATCAGCTTGAACCCGACGTCTATGTTGGTCATGGTGATGGACTTCCAGATCCATCCCCAGTCCCAGATAATGTGGACGCCGGTTGCGCAGCCGTCAAACTTCAGGCGCATAGCCGTGAATTGCTGGTTGCCTCCGTCTAAGTGGTTTTCGTTGGTCAGAACCGAGATTCCCACTGAGTAATAACGCGAAGATACTCACAGAGACCAAATTCACCGCCCTTAAACGTTATGTCGGAGATCATACCACCGCTGCCGTTCTCGGCGACTGTTAAGAGAGGGGAAAAGACCTTGTTAGCCAGCTGTATGCTACCAGGAACCAAACGAACCAAATATGAACCAACAGATGCTATCGTCAAGACTTACAGATTCCCCGCTGCTGCGACCCCTCCTTGGCGATCAGCTCGACATACTGCAGGCTGGTGGCCTGGGCAATCTGGTAGTGAAGACATGCGACCTTCTGGGCGGACCGCGTCTGCGTCACGTCGATGCGCAGATTGCGGATCTGGCGGTAAAAGTTTGCCGTATTAACGTACCACTGCTGGTCGAGGCCGTCCATGCCGATACCGCCGCCCGTATAGACGTCGGTGGCCAAGACTCCGAGGCCGATGAAGCGCGCGCTTGCGATGATTGTAGGCCGGTCGACAGCATCGCCAATGAGTTGCGTGCCAAAGATGACGGGGATGCTCCGGGACACCAAGTACCGCCCTGGCGGCAGATAAACGATGGCATTCTTGACCGTCGACCCGTTGCAGCCCTTGCCGCACCGTCGCCCGTCGTCCATGGCCCGCTGGATGGCTGCCGTATCGTCTGTAACACCATCGCCTTTGGCGCCGTAGTCCATGACGTTGCGGAACACCTTGTAGGACGGGTCGTCGCCGAGAGGGACTGTGCCTCTGCGAGCGATATGCTCCATCCAAAAGGTGCCCGCGCGCTTTCGCATCCTGCGTCGGGTTGGCGTGGTGCCGTTCCCGGTGCCCAGTTCCGCCTGCAGCGCCTCGGCCTCGGCCACCAGGGCGGCGGCGGCGGCCAGCTCGGGCGTTATCTCTAGCAGCGGCGGCGGTGGCGGCGGTCCTTCCGAGCCCGGATCCGCAAGACGAGCACCGGCCCCACCCGGCACGGTGCCGGGCTTGAGTCGGTACACGTTCCGGGCCGGGTTGGCGTAACGCGCCTCGTTCCTCCGTGCCGACTCATTGATGGCGGCTTCGACCAACGCCACGGCCTTGTTCAGGTCCGTTTGCGTCGCGTTGCGCAACAGCGGCGCCGTCCCAGCGTCTTCCTCCAGCAGACCCGATGCGTTGAGCCGAGCCACCAGATACGCGCGGGAGAAAAGTTTGCGGGGGCCGCCGGCGGTGTTCAGATATCCGTCAGTCGGCTTTTCGCTCCGAGGCTGTTGCTTCTGCGGCTGCGGCTCTTCTATGTCGCCGCCGACGAAATCAGAGCCCAAGCCCAAGCTCAAGTCGGGAAAGGACATGGCCGCCTGCAACGGTTCTAACTCTTCGTCGGTGCCGTTGATCATGACGTGGCTGCGGGAGACGCGGTGGCCGCCTTCGCCTGCCAGCAGTTGCTCCGTCGTGGCCTTGTCCGCCCAGTCCAAAAAGGCCGTCGTGTTGCGGTGGAGGGCCTCCAGATGACGCCTGCGCTTCGAGTTCATGGGAACGTCCTGGGGGAGGTGCGGAACACCCCTGTAGATGGTTGCGGGCACTCCGTTGAACCCTAGATTTGCCAACCTCAGATGGAATATGGTTGGGCGCTCTAAATGGTTGGCCTGGTAATTCGAGTCGACCTGCTGGCCCGTGGCGATCAACGCCGCGTGCAGCATGCGCTGTCCCCTGGCCTGCCAGTTCTGCTCCGACGCGATGCCTCCGGCGCCCGGCTGAGAGCACCAGCGGCTGGCGGCGCACCGCGTGAAGCCAGGCTGGCCGCGGCCCTCAACCGGGTCATTGCCGGGACTGACGTTGGCCGGGAGGCCCGTGCCGCCCTCGACGGTGCTGCGCATCGGGAACTCATCACATGTGTATTCTAGCTTGGAGAGAATCACGTTGCCCGCCGGGTCGACATCGTCCTCGACGAAGAAGAGGCGTCGGCCGTTGGGCAACAGCGACGGCTGCTGGATATCTACATGCGGCCAAGGGTTGGTCGCCGGCACAGGGAGTGCCCCCCGGTCATACCGCTGGATCGGCGGTTGCGCCAGGTTCCCCGCAGGGACGCCGGCCACCTCGGGGCACGGGTGTCGAGACTTCCAACCGTTGATGCCCGTGGGGCACATGCGGTTACCTCGGGCGGAGGAACGCTGCGTGTTGGCGTCAAATGCGAACATGTACTGCCACCGCCTGGCCTGGTTGATGGGGCTTTGGAGGTACTGGTTCGCGTTCTGGCAGATGGCCGTCATGTAGGCGCAGTTGTACTCGAGCACCACCACGTGTGGCGCCAGCGTGTACAGCGGCTGTTGCGTAACCTGCGGTGACGGACGCCAATATGGTACGTCTTCGTCTCGGACAGGATCGTACACCCATCGGTAGTTCTGGATGAACTGCGCGTGAGCGGCAGGCGGTGACAAGGACAACGACGCCCACAGCCATAGCCGCAGCCACAGCCATAGTTGTGCGGCAGCCATGATGAAGACTGCCGCAAGAGAGAGAGAAAAAGAAGGAGAGAAAGAAATCGATGTTGATCGTGATCAAGGCGCTGATGCGAGCATCACTGACAAAGTCCAACTGATAGAGGGGTATGGCCCAGATGCCCTTGGACTCGCCGTTCATCTCGTTCATATCTTCCCTTTTCTACACTCTCGCCATCCGGTTGCCGTCGGTCATGCTCGTCTCCGGTTCTGACATCACCCGAGCCTGGATCACATTTTCCTGTTGCTCTCTTCCAGCCTTGCTGCTTGAATTTCTTGGCTTCATGCAGATGCTGCCTCGTTATCACCATCTTACCCCCAGGCTCGCCCCGAGAGTCAGCCGACGAACGCCTCGACCTGGTCGATTCTCTTGGCGGCGAAGGATATAACTCCTCGCATGTAACGGTGGCAATATAGAGTCTGACATTGTCAAGTTCACCTACTTAATGCAGCAGTGTCTCCTATGCCTACATATCGCTGCGCCACTTGCTGTCGGGCGTCAGCGCACTCTTCGTCCTCACTTTTGAAAAGCACTATTACGGCGCAGTATCGGCCCGAGTCTCTTCGAATACTTATCCGGTAATGAGAGGTATAGATACAACAAAAGTCCTCTTACGACAAGATACGAGTTGCTAGCTGCGTCCTTATTCAACCAGCGGGTTGATAAAAGATGATTGGGTCGGGTATTTGATGTAGGGCGCGGGATGCGGGATGGCCCGCTGAGCCTATATTAGGGAATAATGCGAGCAGGTGGTAAAGGCCCATGTCTCACTGAACTGAGAACTGAGCTGAAAGCATATTGGTGTGATGAGGAGGCAGACTAGGGCTTGGGTATAATTGTCAATTATGTTTTGAGTTTACAAGATTAAGATACCAAAACTTTTAGGCTTTTACTATTTCTTACACAAGTCGTATTCTCGTATTCTCATGAATTATAGTTTGTCCTAATTCGAAAAACTTATAAAGAAGTCTGATGGTACTCACAATTCTATAAGTTCCTTTCAGAGGAAGATAGTCCTATAACGCTAATGCTGGCGGATCTACCGCGGAGGTACATCCCTTAACGCGGGCTCGATGCGACCCTGCATTAGCGTATCAGGAAGGTCATTACATATCTCACTCGGAGGGACTCCATATAGGAAACTGTAGGTACAAGTGAGATGTAGTGTGATGGAAGCAGGTGGTCAGCCTGTGCCGCATGTAACTGCGATGTTGCGCTTACAGCCACTGCAGGAGTAATGGACTATATGCAGGTCCAATATGCGGGTGTGAACAAAAGATTTTAACCGACTTGTATATCAAAATGATGATACGAAAACGTCTTTTTGGTAAATCACCCCTTGTACGTGTATTCTGTTTGGCAAAATGCCATCTTTTAACCGATAAACTCCCTCTTGCAACGCATCCGCGTTCCGACACGGTACGTCTCGGGGAACGATAGACATCACTCTTGAGTCCTTGACTCCATCATCACTCCTAGCCCGTATCAACCCCCATCGACGCAGACGCCATCTTGCAACTTGTTCCTCGTCGACCAAACATGCCTCACTCGTCCGCCACTCGCCGCTCGCGGCTTCTGCTGCCGCTTCTGATGCTGCTGCTGATCTCACTCCGGACAGCTCGCGCAGACGACGAGTGCCGGGATCATCAATGGGGACGTCTAGCAAACGCTGGTCCGATGGCTGTACCCGAGGTGGGCGACATTGTTTGCCGGTCCAACGGCACGTCGCGCGCCGTCGTCGGCTATTACTCTTGCAAGGAGATGGCCGACTTTTACTTGATCAGCGTCGAGCGTTTCTTCATGCTCAACCCGCTCCTCAAGGAAGACTGCTCAAACATTGAGCCAAACAAGCCCTACTGCGTCGCAGGCTGTAAGTTTTTAACGGGCAGACCACTTGCACAGAAGATAAAAGCAACGCTGACACGATCACACAGTCAAGCAGCCGCCCCTGGCAACAGACGGTAAATGCGGCCCTCTCAACGGCAACGCCACTTGCAGCGGCACCGAGAAGCAGTGCTGCAACGCCGAGACTTGGACTTGCGGTGACACTGAGGCCGACTGCGCGCCCGGCAACTGCCACTCAGGTGCGTGCGAGGGCGGCAACATCTGGTCGCTTGACGGCCGCTGCGGCTGGCGGCACCGCGGTCTGGGGTGCGCCGGCCGATGGGGCGACTGTTGCAATCTTGAGGGCTTGTGCGGCACCGGCGACGAGTTTTGCGGCGTCGGGAACTGCGATATGGGTAACTGTACGAAGCCCGACGAGCCGCTGCTGCCGATCGAGCTGCCTTGGCCGTCGGGTAACACGCCGGACGGGACATGTGGCGGCGAGTCGGGCTACACTTGCAACGTTGTCTGGGGTAACTGCTGCGGCGCGGCCGGCCGGTGCGGCTCCTCTGCCGAGTTCTGCGGCGCCGGGTGCCAGTCCAAGTTCGGCCAGTGCGGTACTGGCACCAGCAGCACGGCGAGCCCGACGAGCACTTAGAGGCGTTTTGTGGGGTGATGGACGATCTCAGGGGCAGAGAAAGACCGCAAATGTAGCTTACATATACGTTGCTATGGTATACCGTAATAGCTAGTTCTACAGTCATAACAGCTACTTATATAACCGAACTACTTATTTTGATACACTACAGCTTTCTTGATCAGGCTAGTTATTTTTACTTTCTAGTTTAATATTAAATAGAATGTCAAGTTTTCTATGACTCTTTGTTTGTATAACACTATACGGCCGCAAAGACTCCTATGCCCACCCGCAAGGTCCGCAGGGAGACGAGTTGCACAATAGTCTGCGAGGGAGCTCTTGACTTCGTCGACGAGGTACTATGAGGCGTAAGTCTCGCACAAGAAGACTCGGCCCGATGGCTACGCCGTCATGCTGCAGATCCAATATTGCGACGTGACGGGCAGACTGACTGCGTCTGTCCCCCGGTGTGATGACTGCATGGTCTTCTGCTCGAAGGAGGGCGCGAGCTTCCCAAACGACGAAACGGGCAGGTTGGTATTGTGGCAGTGAGGTCGTCTTACAGCGGGGTCGACTTACAAACCCCTCATTTTACTTTGTAGCCTCTGACGACGGGATAAAACAGACTCCGGTCATGTGGTAATGAGTGAAGCTACAGTGATGATGGCCAGGGATATAAATATGGGTGTCGAAACACAACTCCAAGACCGGCTCAAGCAAGCAACCAAGTGACCAAACAAGCTTTACTCGTAGCCAGCAGCCTGTCCCCGGATAACTCCCTAATCCACCCCCTGCTTCTTCTGTTGATCACAGACAATTTACGCCCACCATGCATTTCCCATCCATTATCCCCGCCGCCACGGCCGCCCTCTTCCTGGCCACCGCGGTGTCCGCGCAGTGCGGCGAGGGCGTGCAGAAGGTGTGCTACGGCGTCAACGGCGGTTCGTCGCAGGGTCTGAACCTGGATGACCTCCAGTACGTGGCCGACTACCTGCGCTACATTGGAGAGAGCCAACCCGGAGCCCTCTTCACCATGCCCGGCGGCTTCGTCTGCCAGGAGTGGGGCATCGATGTTCCCGGCGCCGGCACGGTGCTGCCGTTGGCCAAGCAGACGGGTCCCCGCGTCACCCCATCGGTCCTGTACGCCGACATTGCCGACACCATCGACGGCGGGCTAGATGCTACCCCCGCCCAGCGAGCGGCCTCCCTCGTCGGCTGCGCTGCAAGCGGCGGCCAGGTCGGCATCAAGACTGACCCGAAGAACCCGTTCTACAATACCCCTGAGTACATTGCCAGCGGCGCCAAGCCTACGGGTCTCGTTATCAAGGTCGTGCGGGCGCCGGGATCTAAGAAGCTCTGATAGACAGAGGGAGTATTTCACGGGCGAACAGGAAGCGAGGGTTTAGGGGCAGTCAACAATAGATCATGTTGACAGGGGTGTTGTCGTTAGTTGTTTAGTACCTGCATACTATTATGTTGCCGTTTTAGGCTGCGTGCTTAGTACTTGAGTTCCCCTGGAGAGCCAAGAATTTGATTACATGGGATAATGTACTCTTAAAGTACCGCCAACATAAGATACCTTGCTCTATATATCAAGAAAGTATTTAATGGACTGCATTCCCACTTCGCTTGTACGTGGTCTTTCTTCCGTTCTGACAACAACCCAAATCAACGGCTCATCTTCCCCCCTTCATCCGTATGATGGCAGAAACAGCGCCATCCAACACGGCCACTCCCAGCTACGAGTGGCGCCTTAAACACGGCGGCGTGAGACCCTCCCCGCATATTCTACGCCTCCGCTGGCGCGCATGGGAACCCCTCTCGGCCATCCGTGTGCTGGACGACGCCACGGACGTGCAATCCCCTCAACAGCCCTATGATCCGCAAACGCACCCCATCGCGGCAGAGCCGGTCACCCGACCGCCCGTATCGTCGATGGACGTTCACCTAGCCGACATGGACCTCTGGGCCCAGGACTGGCTAGCTGAGCACGACCAGCACGGCGAGTGGGATGACGAAGACGCTCTCGAGGCCTTCGGGGCGCGCATGGTCGCCCCTACGCCCAGCGATGATGAGTGGTGCCTGGTCGAGGACCTGGCGGCCGCCACCGGCACCGATCCGAGTGCTGACGACTTTGAGGTTCCGGCCGCGAGGCGCGTCCACTGCTGCGGGCTCGACCGGCCGCCTAACACGCCGCCGCACGTGACGGTGCGCGCGTCGACTGAGGGAGGGGTACTCACCATCGGCGACTGGATCGCCGGCGTGCACGCGCTGCTTGAGCAGCAGCGGGCTGACGTCTTGGCCTCGCGCGGCCAGATGCATGCGGACTGCGGCGAGCCCGTCGTGCTCCCGGACGAGGTGGTGTACGTGGATCCGACCATTTCCTTGGCCAACGTCTTCCTCAAGGGCGAGCGGGACGTGGGCCTCCGGTCGATGATCCCGAACCCGGTGGCCGAGCCCCATGTGCGCATTTCGGGGTGGGAGGGTTTATGGCAGTCGTGGGCTGACGAAGCGAGGATAAGGGCCGCGCAAAGATAGTATTTGACCTAGGTAGTCAAACAGTGCTTAGTAGAGATCCCCTGAATGAATCGAGGTAACTTTTATTGAAGGTAGTTTACTTGCCTAGAAACAAGAGCTAGAGAAGTCCTTCGGCTCTTCTGTTCCCCTTATAATCTCCGAGGTTCCTTGTACGGGCGTAGGTACTTGGAGAAGTAGAAAGCCAAGCTGAAGCCCAAGTCTACCCCGGGCCCGAGTTGTAAGTGCATGGTGACGGCGAACTTGCTAAGCGCTTTGGTATTCGGTGGAGAGAACGCGAAAATCACAGTTCTTGTCCAACTGTAAATGCATGTTTTGTCTCTATCGAGGGTTTAGGCCCTTGATACTATTTTTACTAAAAGTGTCTTATTTGCCTCAGTTGAAGGCTAGCTACGCTTCATCACGTCTGCATACGATCCATAATGACTGTGGCTATGGCTGGAAAGATTTAGTTATACGGAATCGTTAGCGGCGATGAGGCTGACGATCGAGAGTCAACTCGAATAACAACTGTGTAGCATTCCGCCCGAGGCCCCTTCTTCTCTGTTTCGGGGATAAAGCCTATACATCTGAGATCTATATTTTTGGATGCAGGGCAGAATGTAAGGTTTTCGGAAGTAAATGCAGTTTGATGCTGGCAGGAGGGAGTAGACTTGGCACCTAGATTAGTAGTAATAATGCTTAAGCTAGAGTTGTAACTGACTTGCCTGTGGTAGGCTTTAGCGAGACTTCCGACCGAGAGTTGAGATACCGAGGTCTCCTGCACCATCTAAGCCGCAGAGCGTCAAGGTTATTGTTTCAAAAAGAGGATGCCACAGTCCAGACGGAAGCCAGTCAAAGGGAGTATTCCATCTTGCAATGGTGTTAATAGACAGTCCCATGGCCGACATGACCTGGGAACAGTAGGACCAGGCCACCAAGACCAAGGTGAGAGCAGGAAAGCCTTGATTATGTACAACACTTCATTCTCGCCGCCAGAATGATACAACCGCCTATGGTTCAGCTTCAGCCAGTCAAACTCCCAAAATCTGGAAGAATGAGAACCAGCTCGTGGTGGGTCTTCGCTGCAGCGAACTGCACCTCGAAGATCCGAACAATTGCTGCAATTGGCGACGAGACTGTAAAATGGGGGCCTACCACAATATCCGGAATCAACAAGAGTAGGAAACGGGTGGCGACCCAAGTGGATTGAAGATATTCCTATTGCAAGCATCATAGCATCCCAAGATTCTCTCAGAAAAAGCCAGTATCGAATTTGTGACTCAGGAGATTGGTGTCAAGATTCAGCCTTTTATGCTAAAGCCGGGCGAGAACAGTAAAACCATTTTGAGGCCAAAAAATCGACCTGGACTCGTTGCTGGCAATTGGGCCGAGGCGCTGTTGTAGGCAGTTGTCGATTTCACAAATTAGCGTTCCCGAGATCATGGCGTCTGAGCTCTGTTCCAGTTGGCGGAGACGGCGTCCTTTGCATTGAAAAACAAATCATTGAGGTCTTGAGGTCATCTATATAAGGCTAGGTCGTGTACATGCTATCATAATTCGGATTCTCAGAGTTGCATAGGTATAGTCATCGAGTTTGGCGATCTTCGTCGAACCCAACTATGCAATCTTTTTCAACTCGGAAGCGGCCAGCTTAGTAGCCTTCATGGCTTCCTCGCTCCAGGGTGCCATTTGCAGGAAACCATGGGTGAGCGTGTCAAAGTGTCGCCAGGAGACGGTATTTTCGGCTTCTTCCAGCTTGTGCGCGAACTCGACGCCCACATCCCGGAGAGGATCAAAGCCGCAGGTGAAAATGGCGGTAGGCGGGAGATCTGTCAGGTATTCCGTCTTTTGCATGCCAGGAGAGATGTATCGGTGGCTTGGCGGTACTCCCCTTGTTGCGTAGTGAGCAGCAAACCCGAAGATGCCGTTGGCTTCAAATTTCCACTGGTTAGTCAAGTACTTTTTTACAAATCAGACGATCGACTTACACTCTAGGTAGAGGCCAGAGTTGTTCTCAACAACGGCCTTGGTGTCAAAGGGAAGTCTGGCTTCGGGGTACAGCAGAAAGCAAGCCTTGAGGGGCTTCTTTTCCTGATCTTTTCTTCGGAGAGTCAAGGCCGCGGTCATGTTTCCTCCGGCCGAATCTCCTCCACCGCAGACTCTGTCAGGGTTGATACCTCTGTTCCTTGCCTCGCCGCCATGCAGCCAGTCAACGACGGCATCATACTCGTCCAACTGGACGGGGTAACTCCACTCGGGAGCGAGACGGTACTCGACGCCGATAACGACGGCTCCGCTTTCCTCAGCGATGAGCCTCAATCCGTTTTCGAACTCATCAACGGAACCCACGGTATATCCACCGCCATGCATGTACACAAGGGCGGGGGAGTTACCGTGGTCGCGGGATTGCCTTCCGGAATACGGGTAGAAGATGCGAATGGGAATAGTGCCGTAGGGGCCGCGGACCACGTTGTACTCGACATGCTCAATTGGTGCGCGAAGAGACTCCTCGAGAGCGTGGAAGCCGAAGACTTTGAGGTGCTCAGCACGCTCTGACGTGAAGCCTTCCCTACCACCGAGACGAAGATTGGGGTTCTCGCTGAGGAAGCTGGAGATACTAGGATCCAAAGTGGTCCTCGTACCAACTTCAGGAATACTGGGCTTCGCCACAGTATCTTTCTTCGTAAGGTCGAGTAAGGTCATATTGAGAGGTGTTTGATTTGGGTTGATGGGGGAGTAGGGAGCGGTGAAGTCAAAGAGGAGGCTCGGTCTCTCAATTTATGAGTTGCATGTTGCATCTACCTAACTATTTTTGGCCACGAAAGCCCTCGAAAACACCGGGGGTTTGATATCAGAAGTGGATCTACAATAGTCATCAAAACGGTGCCCAACGAACGTAAACATCAGTAGTAATAATGGAATATGTAGTATCGCTACACTGTTTGTGTGTTCGCTTGAGCGCATGATGACGTTTCCCGGGCCTTTTCATTCATGCCAACGACATATGGCGGTAAAGAAAAACACAGGGGTTTGTAGTAGAAACCAGATCCGATTGATAGGAAATGGGGCAACTCGCATCGTCGAGGCCTTAAATTCCAAGAGTTTCTCCCCCTTTCAACCCTTGCAAAAAAAAATCCTTGATCAGATCATTATACTTTTCCACCCAACCTACCTTAGCGCATCAACAGCGCACCGACAACGGTCAACACGGAGGCGTAGCCCCAATGCTGCCACTCACCGCCTTCACTCATCTTGCAGACTAACCCGTCCACGCCAGCAGTAGCGCTGGCCGCGATCAGGATCGAACCCAGAGCTTTTCTGCTTCCGAAGATGGCTGCAGAATATAACGCTATACCCATGAAGATGTCGCGCGCGCCATATATTATCATAACGCGATCAAGAAGCTCCCGACTGGTTGGATCGACAGGGTAGCTCCACTGGAAGAATGAGAGCGCGTTTTGAGGTCGCAGGATCGCGTTGACGCCAAATACGATGAAGATTGTACCAAAGATGTTGGCAAGGATGGTGAGGGCGCTTTTGCGGCCGAAGAAATGACTCAGTATTAAACCGAACACGAACATGCCAGCAAAGTTGCCGCCGAGAACGACCAAAGGTGATGGTTCTGACATTGTCGACTGATTGTGTCCCTGACCAGCTACCTTTGATGATTTCGGTAAGACGAAGAGGTTTAGATGAGGTGAGATTGAAATGACATTGCTTCAAGGAAGTGAAAACAACTTGACTTTAGATAAACAAGCCACTGGTGCCTACAAAGGTGCAACGCCATTCACGTGTCGTGGCGTCGTCTTGGAATAAGCACTAAGACAGATTATACTCAGCTATGCAGCCGTCATAAACGAACAGTCAGCGTCAACGGGAGCTGAGTCGGCTCGGTCTCCGAAAGACCGGCGTTTGAATCGGGAGTCAGCGAATTCGTCAGGGATCTGGTCGGTCGGAGCTGGTCCGACCGCGGGGCAGTAAATATTAGGAGGACTCATTCAAGCTTTCTATTGATGAGATTTCTTCACGCATACATACTAGCTAGGACCTCAATCCGGGGTAATGGGATGCTGTACGGATAAGCAACGGGATCGATCTCTCATTCAATTGATAGTGGAATGCTGACTAGAGGAAGCATACACCATCCTGATCCCAGAGAGTATCCGAATGCGATGCGTGAATAGTCACAATCAGCCCCGAAGCCGTCCAGTTTTCCCCGATTTTCCGATTTGTTCCACCCCCTGGCATTTCCCCTTGTCTTTACATCCGGCAAACATTGCTTCCGTACGGTCCGATTCCATTTCGGAGCTGTCGCTGAATCATTTAACCACCGCTGCCACGCCACTCCTTCGGGCGCATTGGCTATCTACAACTCTACGAACATAGTGCTGCTGGGGGCGAACGATCCACGACGACACCGAAAATGTCGGACGACAACGGTTACGAGACCGACTACGAAGACTCACCGAGGTCGTCTTCCTCTGAAGGTTCTTACCATGACGATCCCATCGTCGTCGCCGACCGGCCGCAGCCTGGCTATCGGGATGAAGAGGCGATGACGATGGTTCCCCAACATGAAGTGCCGCAGCCAGCTCCATTTGTTCCGAAACCGATAGTCTTCCGCCTCTACGTCTCGCACTTCTTGTCAACGTGGAACTCGAGACTCTTCGAATTCGGCGCTGTTCTCTTCCTAGCATCCATTTACCCCGGCACGCTAATGCCCATGTCCATCTACGCTTTGGTCCGGGGTGCCGTCGCCGTCGTCTTGTCGCCTTCAATCGGGTCGTGGATTGACCAGGGAAATCGACTCTCTGTCGTACGCATCTCCATCGTCGGTCAGAGACTTGCCGTAGCAGCTTCATGTGGTATCTTTCTGGTGTTGGATCGGTTCCGCGACATGCAAAGCGACCTGCAGAAGAGCTTGTTCGCCATGATTGTCGGCCTGGCTTGTGTGGAAAAACTGTGCTCGGTGATGAACTTGGTCTCTGTTGAACGCGACTGGGTAAGCCTCACAGATGTGCTAAGGTGTCTCCGCGCCTTTGCTAATATGTGACAGATTGTGGTCATTACCAAAGGCAATGAAAAGGCACGACAGGGTGAGTTCTTGAAGGCCTTTTAGACCCTCAAACATGACTGACATAACACCAGAGTTGAATGCTCGCATCCGACGTATCGATTTGTTCTGTAAATTACTTGGTCCTCTTGCTATTTCCCTCATCGATGGTGCATCTACCACCATAGCCATCTGGGTGACGCTGTCAATGACGCTGCTTTCTGTCGTGACTGAATATCTCTGCATCGCCCGGGTAAGCTTACATGGCACCACGTAGAAAACCCAACGTAGCTAAGCAGCGTCAATAGGTGTATCAGCTTGTGCCGGCTCTGGCTCAACTGCGATCTCGTCCCCAAGAGCCTGAGGCTTCTACCTCGGATTCAACAGCCGGTGACATATCACGCATGCGAATGGCAGTCACCTGGCTCAAAACAAAGACCAAAAAGGTCTTCCCCGTCTCGGCAATCCCCTTCTACTTTTCTCACCCCGCGCTGCGGCCGTCGCTATCTCTGGCACTCCTGTATTTCACAGTGTTGTCTTTCTCGGGACAGATGGTCACCTTTCTGCTCTCCGTCGGCTACAACTCCTTCCACATCGGCATTGCCCGCACAATCAGCACAGTCTTCGAGCTCAGCGCCACTTGGGCAGCCCCGAAGCTGATGGACAAAATCGGTCCTATCCGGGCCGGCATCTGGAGTCTCTCTTGGCAGATGATCTGGCTGGCCGCCGGGGTCAGTTGGTTTTTTGCGGACAAGTCTCAGAATAGAACAAGCAGCATCGAGGCCATTAGCGGGCTTGTCGGCGGTGTTATTCTGAGCAGGGTCGGCCTCTGGGGCTACGACCTGTCTGCCCAAACAATCATCCAAGGCGTAAGCTGCGTCCATACCTGCAGATCTGGTGAGACTAATATTGACTTTTCCACTAGGACATCGATGAAGAACACCGTGGAGCCTTCTCCACTGTTGAGGCTTCTATGCAGAGCATATTTGAACTCTTGTCGTACGCCTCAACTGTCGTCTTCTCGCGCCCCGACCAGTTTCAATGGCCGATCGTCATGAGCGTCGGCGCAATCTACGCTGCCGGTGGCCTCTATGCTTCGTACGTACGAAAGAGGCGTGGTCACTTGTTCCACGCACCGCCGTGTCTACATTGCAAAAAAGAAGAATCGTGAGGAAAAGTATGGATAAATGGACGACTGGGTCATTCGTGACGTGTGCCAAACGGGAGGCCTTTCGCTAAAGACAGCCAAGCTGTGTTTTTTCGGCTTCGTTGCCGAACGTGGGGCTACCTGAAGCCAACCGACATTTTTGTTGTCCACGTTGTTTGAACGAACCTGGGCCATAGCATGAATAGAAATAGACCTGTAAGCACTTGAGCACTCGACCGCTCTTTCAGTGATGTCTTCCGGTATCACCATGCCGGTATCCGAGACGTGTCCGTTTATGCCCAAACGATAGCGTGCTGGCAACTTGGCAATCAATATTGTCCAGGGGTGTTGATGATAGAGTAGCAAGAACTTTTTGGCATTCTAGCTACATTGATACCCTTCGTTTCTCAGTGGATGGAAATAAAAAATGAAGAAAGGGAAAAGAAATCATCCAAGGTGATCAATTTGGGGGCCGCCCTTTGTCTTTATTCCTTGACTGGCATTGGCCACAAGGTTGACTCCTTCAAATCTGTCCGGCACCCCGTCATATGCCGGGCCCATAAGGCTAACTCTATTCAGGGCCAACCCTAGTAACGGGACGCGCGGGCAGCGGACACGGCTACGGCGCTTCCTACGCTTTTGGCCCAGTAGGTTGTCTTCCATCCGAACGAGGTGGGAAAGGTGGGACGGCAAATCGTTCCGTGACAAGATCCCGCGTCTTAGACAGGGTTTTAGTGTCTATGCTCCCAGTACTGGGGCCATGGTAGGGCCTGACGCTGTGCGGCTGATCGTCAGCAACGCTCAAACTCGTCCTTTTTCCGCAACATTTTCGACGGTCTCGACCGTTGGGTAGAATGTAGGATAATGCTTGAACATTTCTTTCCGTCGTGCAAAAGCTGACGCCTAACAATCCAAAGTAGGCAGAAGAGAATGCCCGTGAATCATGCCGTCACGAAGTGTTGCCGTAGATTTCGATGTGGCGAACGCGTACTAGATCAGCATGGCGATGACCCAAAGCCCTACCTATCCTGTCCAAGTCATAAACTTAATCATAGACCCATTCGATGGGTGCGTTCAACAATGGGACCTTTACTTATTATGCTTGCCCCTATTCGGCTGTTTACTCTGGACAAATGTCATACGGCTCCGCCTGCAGTCTCCCTAAAACCACAAAGATGTCATTTCGGGATGCCCGCTTCTAATTTTTGCAGGGGTGGTGTCAGCAAATATCAGCTTAAGGCCCCTGGAGGACATGAGTCGTGGCCCATGACACTAGCTCAATTACATAGCGTCCCGAATGCTTGGGTGTGTTCACGTTATTTCCTCTCTTTTTTTTTTTTGGCCTTGTCTGTTGCTCCCCGTCCCCATCCGTATTGTTTACGACACTTTTCAGTGAACAGTTTTTGCGTTGTTTGGGCTTTTGACGGAAGAATCATGTTTTGGAGGCCTCAGATAGAGTATCGCCAGCGCCAACCGCTTGTCTCGGATTGCGCGTACGCATTTCCCCTATAATAACCCTACGGTCCTCCACGCTTCTTGGTAGTCTTGGGGAATGTTTAACAAGGCTCATTGGGTGGGGGGGTGACTCTTGGACTAGCCCCCCGTTGGTACGTTAGTGCGGCTGGGAGGCCTGGTGTTTTACATTCACCAAAAAAGAGCTTGCAGTTCCATTCTGGGGTTGTATCCACCTGTTGATGGAGGAGCTACGGGGTTTTAAAAGGTTATCTGTCTCCCTGCATCGTTCTTCGAGGTGCCAACCTTGTAGTCTCCCTTCTTTGAAGTACTCTCGTCCTCCCTTACGTTTCTGTTGCCTTTGATGCGGTAACATCACCAACCAGCCAAGGACTGGACTCATCACCAATAGTACTCGCAAGGCGTCAGTGGAAGCCGATCTTCAGGATAAAAGATGCCGAGCCCGCTTAGGAGGGCAAAAAGTGCGACTTTCCGATCTTTGAACTTTCTGAAGAATACAGAAAGATGCTGACAGTTCTTCAGCGGACCTATCCTATCCCACACAGGACTTTAACTACAGCGAAGATGCCGCAATACTTAAAAAGAAGGCAGACGATGGCCAGTTTCACGGCATGCCAGCCACAAGGCAGACTCGTTGGAAAATTCTCGGCAAAGTGCTTTCACGCTGGGCCATCACCATGGTCATCATCGTGTCGATATATACTGTCATCTCTGTCTATTCGAGCAAGCCTGTCATGAATCAAACAACGAAAAGACAGTACAATGCGCTCATCACAGGTCTCTCCATCGCGCTGGGTCTTGCTGTTGCCAGCAGTTTGAACCATATGGTGGCAGAGTTGAGATGGTGGATCCTAAGCCGGCGGTACAGGTCGAAGCGCAAGGTATGCTGGGGGTTCCATCGTGTCTAATTACTGGATCCAGCTAACTTGAAGTCTTAAAGGTCGAGTTGATTCTGGCTGCAGACAACTTGAAGCATACCATCATGCTGGCAGTGCGATCGAAGCGCTGGACCATCCACCTTGCCGCCGTTGGCTGGTTCATTCTGTCGATTGTAAGTTGCCGACGCTCTTTTACACTCCCCGAGCTAACGTCCAAAGGGCTCTCAAGTAGGCCTTGCTGCCATTGGTCTATGCTATTCCACAGAGACCGCCGACAAACGAGCCCTGCTGGTACCCGGAAATGTAACAATACCAAACCTGGCCAATATCGAGACCGACAAAGTTGTCAAATCGAACTCGAAAACACTCGGAGCCGAGCAATACACAGCAAACAGGTCAGTCTTGAGAACAACCATTCCCGAATCATCCCCAATTAATGTCGTTATTTAGCTACGGTACCATGTCGCTGGCGTTCCTCACAGCACCAGTGGAGGAGGCGCCATCAGCACGGGCAATCTATGTCCCGAGCGATCCCCTCATGTTCTGCGGTGATACCTATTGCAAGTATGTCTTTCACGAAACCTCAACGGCATCTATCAAAGACGTGAACGCAAACCCTGTTACCGTCGCGACGAACCGTAGCATCAACTCAACAGCCACGTGCGTAGCCTGGCCAGTAACCAGCGGAGGAAATGGCACGACCTCAAACATTACTGTCTCCCTCCCTAACGGCGACAAAAATGAAGTGTTCATTCCCGTCCGCGGCGGCACCGAGCAGTCAACTTTCATGACGAACAGCAGTGTGAGTTGCGGCGTCGGATGCAGCATTGTTTCCGCCTTTGAAGCTTCAAGCAGTTCACCCTGGTATTACAGCTGTAACGTTACCGTCGGCAAGGTCGCCAATGCGACGCTTCCCGAGCACGAGGTCGGCGTGAACCTGACCAGCCTAGCCGCCGCAGGTATTGCACTCCAGGGTTTCGCTGCCTCCTCGCTGGTCAACGACACCAACTTCCAATACCAAATGTACCCCGCCGAATCTGTCTTTGGCACGCCGATGAATGGAAGTACGGATATAATGCAGGCACTCCTTGCTCGATTTGCTATCGGCGTAGTGGCCATTGCTGCCGAGAACAACGGCGATCTGACGGTAGATGGAAACATGCCCATGAAGGGCACCCAGCTTACCGTATCGCACTGGAACTTCGTGCACATGATTCTGATCCTCACAGCTACACTGCAGCTAGCTCTGGGCATCGCCGCGGCCCTGGTGGCAAACAGGGTTGTGGTGCCTGATGGCGGAGCCGTTGAGATGGCTCTGGTCATGAGGAGTATGGCGATTCGGGAGCGAATGGGGCATGGTGATGGTGCTGAAGGAGTTAAGTCCAATACACTGTGGATTTACCGGGACACATTGGTTTCGGCAGAAAGCGGGGTCTATGACTTGCATATGGAGGAGCAGAGGCTTCATGAGAGGAATGATTCGGGGATGATTGAGATGAACACAAGGTATGAGGGTGGCCGAGATTCGACAACGACGAAGTAATGTAGACTAGTTTAGAGGTGCAAGATGGATTATTGCGGCGACGAGGGCTTAATACCGAAGACTCATAGACTAGCCTCAACATTCTAAGCCAGACAATGCTGGCAGAGGTACCTGTGGGATATAAGACAAAATAAATAGAATAGAATAAAGAAAAAACTAGATGTCAAGACGTCGTTGTGTACCTCGGTCAAGTCAGACGACAGGCAAAAAGTCAACAAACCAAAGACATTGACACGATTGGCTGAAGCCTCTCAAACATGATCGTGGTTCAATGCAAGGCCACAACATGATGTGGCCGAAAAGTGCCACACAACCGAACCTACAGCTGGCGCACAACCCGACTTTAAAACTTGTGAGAAATTGAGGTCAGTTATACCTTGTCATCGGAGCTACCTGTATCGGCATGCGGCCACCGTCGGCACAATGTTGCACTCTGTGGGACTGGCGGCATACAACTTCCGTCCGATTGCGGAGCTGGCGGGCTTACTTCATGGAGTCAAGTCAAGTCTTGTGTTAGCAAACAGTTACATACCTTATCCCGGAAGTTTACCACGGAATACCTTCAAAGTAGGATATGTAAGGGCTTCTCATAATCGGTGAAATGTGTAGTTGTGACACATCCGAGGCACTGCCATGTAGTTTGATTATGCAACAGTGAACGATAGCCAGTTTTGTGCCATCTCTCACTGGCTGCCAAGTAGGTTTCGCTCCTATGATTGGTGCAGCAATTGAGAGATATTTAATGTCAGACCACTACATAATCCCTGTCCACCTACATCCCAACAAATGGGGATTCGACTAATAAGCTCTTCATAAAAACAGCAAGTGTCCATCAATGACGAACCTCTTCGATCGGCACAAAGCCGATATGCATTATTAGGTTCGGAAAAGTGAGGGGAAAAAGACGCATCACTAATCAATAAGAGATCTACCCCTCAAACGAGGGATATAAGAGCCAGACCTTTCCATAATCCTTTCCCCCCCCTACTTCCCGTCATATTATCCTCTGCAGACTATCCCAGAACCGATTCATACTCAACCACCAATTACAAACTTGACCTGGTACGACGTTCGCGTCAAAGAGCCATGGCATCTGTCGCAATGGAAACATCCAAAGATCGAGGTAAAGTAAGAAAAGAACGCATCCGGGTGTTCAACTCATCTGTCGTGCCATTCTCCCCTCAGTCTCCCTCGATATCTCTTTTTCGATCGAGAGGAGCACTGGCTGGAAGGACACGACAGGGAGTTGATCTGAGAAATACCGGCGAACTTGATCTGGATAATACCAGCGAAAGGACATGCTTCTTTGGCTTCCCCTTGCCCTCCCCATGTGAAAGATTGGAGTGTACTAACCCCTCCAGCATCACGCTTGATCTTTCAAAATGTCGACTGATAAGATCACTTTCCTCACCAACTGGTAGGAAACTTCCGCGTGGATGCTGGGAATGTGAGTTGACAATGGGCCAGGCACGCCACCCCGTACCACGCCCCCCTTTACTTGGCACAAGCCAAGGGCTACTTCAAGGATGAAGGCATCAAAGTTGCCTTGCTTGAGCCCAACGACCCTAGCGTATGTCACAAATGTGAATAAACGCAAGCGCATGTTGCTAATACTCCATCAGGATGTCACCGAGATCATCGGCACCGGCAAGGTCGACCTCGGCTTCAAGGCCATGATTCACACCCTTGCTGTACGTGTCTGTCCCGCTTTGTCTGTTTTTCATTCGCTTACCCTCCGACAGGCCAAGGCCCGTAACTTCCCGGTTCTCTCCATCGGCAGTCTTCTTGACGAGCCCTTCACCGGTGTCGTCTACATCAAGGATTCCGGTATCACAACCGACTTCCGCACCCTAAAGGGCAAGCGTATCGGCTATGTCGGCGAATTCGGCAAGATCCAGATCGACGAGTTGACTTCTCACTACGGCATGACCCCCGACGACTACACTGCCGTTCGCTGCGGCATGAACGTCTCGAAGGCTATCATTGAGGGTACCATTGACGCCGGCATTGGCCTGGAGAACGTCCAAATGGTCGAGCTCGAGGAGTGGCTTGCCTCTCAAGGTCGCCCCAAGACCGATGTGCAGATGCTGCGCATTGATGAGCTCGCCGAACTGGGATGCTGCTGCTTCTGCACCATTCTCTACATCGGCAACGAGTCTTTCATTGCTGAGAACCCCGAGAAGGTTCGCAAGTTCATGAAGGCCGTCAAGCGAGCTACCGACTACGTGCTTGAGAAACCTGAGGATGCTTGGAAGGAGTACGTCGACTTCAAGCCCGTCATGGGCTCGGAGCTCAACCGCAAGATTTTCGAGCGCAGTTTCGCGTACTTCTCGCAGGACCTGAAGAACGTCCAGCGCGACTGGAACAAGGTCACCAAGTACGGCAAGAGACTTGGTGTCTTGGATGAGAGCTTCAAACCCAACTACACCAACGAGTTCCTGGAATGGACTTTTGAGGCTGACTCCGAGGATCCCACTGGTGACCAGAAGAGGATGGTTGAGCTTCAGAATGAAGTCGCTTGCAGGGGTGGATTCCGTCGCCTCAAGCTTCAAGGTGCTGCCATCAAGGCTTAAGGTTTAGGCGTTCAGAATCGACTCGGAATGCTAGAGCATGGACACTCCTTTGAACAATTGGGTGCTGGATGTTTAGAATATAAGACTCTCTTTTATGAATACACACTATCCCAGCCCCATAAAGGATTTTCCAGTATCCAGGTCTGACTTGACTAAGCACTGAGGTTATGAGGCCGATTCTAGTACATGTTCTACTATGAATGCTCACCAGGGTTAACTGGGAAATTCTGTCAGGTAAGGATAGAATCACTCTCTCACAATATATATACATGACCTAGCAAAGACTTCTTTTGGTTTTTGAGGATGACTTATGCTCTCTGAGAGAATAGAGTGAATTCATTAGGCCCAAGTATAGCATGGCACTTTTCTTTACACGGTGATATGAAAGGTTAGGGTATGGTAGCCATGTCATTCGAATAGGCTTTCAAAACATAGCTGCCCAGAATCTGCGGCTTTTGCTCTCTAATTCTTTTCAGATTAAGATGACTACATTAATTAACAACTTGCAATCTAATCAACAAAACTACCGTCGACTTGGTGGTTCATCGGATCCTAACTCAACCGGGTCCATTGGCCCAGGCAGCTCAGAAGGAGGCTGATTGTAATACTGTGGAGGTGATGAAGTTACCACGTACTTCGCGTCCTCGTCCGCAGTGGCATAGGTCTTTTGATGTGTGGCATTATCCCCGCGCATTCCTCCAGCCTTCTTTCTTCTGTGCCAAAAGAACAAGGCCGCAATGACAAGAACCATCGCGCCGACGCCGCCGCCAACAGCACCACCGATTACACCAGCGTGAGAATTCGACGTCTCCTTCTTGTCCTCCGTCTCGGAATCTGTCGCAGTCGGGGTGGTGGTCGCGGAGGATATTGCAGAAGACAGCATTGAGGATATCGGGATCGTCGTTGGGCCGAGGGTAGAAGAAGACAAGGCCGACGAAGTGATGACCTCGCCGTCTACAATCCTCACACCCTTACCAAGCTTACAACATTCAGTCGCATTCTGATCATTGCCGCAGCAGTAGCTCCCGTCCGCGCATTGGGTGACGAGGACATCCATTCCACTAGCTGGTATGCCACCTGAATCTTGAAGATCGTTAGCGCCTTGCCCTCGTACTCCACCTGTCATCTATCCCATGTCTGGTCGATGACATTCTTCTCCGGCAAAACAAGTCCGCAGAGTCCAAAACTCACCATATTCGTCTGAAATGCACAGTTTCAAACACTTGTGTGATTGCCACGTCGGATCTGTACAGCTCTCCCGCCAAAGTTGTTTGTGTTCTTCGTTCCAACACAGACCATTCGGTTGGCACCTATCCCCCGCCACATTGCAGCACATGCTGTGCCCATTGTTTTCACAAGCGGCGTACTTTTGAATGTTCGCGTTAGTGAGAGCATGTCTGTTGGTTCCGTTGGGAACGAAGCATGCTCCTTGTCCCAGGACAGTACCAGCGAGGGCCAGGAGAACAGCTGGGACGATGAGACGCATGGTCATTTCGCGGGGTGAGGAGATTTGATTACAAGTTGAAAGTGGAAGATTCATCCCCGGGGAGGGAACAGACAGGAAAGTTGGGTTGGGGAGGCACAGTTCACGTGTTGCCCCTGGCTATGCCCACTCCCGTGGCTGTGGTAGATATCTGTAGAGCCATTATTGTGTGCTACGACCTTAGATCATGCAGCTAATCCTTGACAGTATGCCGAATTATGAGCTTCCTGGCATTCACTCATGTTGTAAAAAAGAACTTTGGTTCTGGGGCTGAGCAGGGGGCGGGTATCCGGCTTTCAGTGTCCCAACGAATAGTAAAGGCTGGACCATGTTAGCGAGTGGGCTTCAGAAACAGATCTACTCCGTAAATGAGCCTAAAGGTGGTATCCTGACAATGGTTTCTGTTCGCTTGTGTTGGTCGTAGTCTGAATGTCTGAATACCCTTGACGAGACCCGCCCCAAGACCAGGATTACATTCTCAAGTAATGTCGATTCGACAGACGATGCTCCTTGAGATAATGCCCCCACTAAAAAGCAGATAGAATAACAGGTGTGACAATTTATTGTATTGAAGAAGTATGTCACTTCAGTCGCTCATATGGCAGAAAGAAGGGCCCATCAATTCTTTAAATCAATGGGCCGCTTTACGGCTGCAGACTAGGGATCGTGCAGAACCCGAACAGTGTGTTCATCAGTCACCAACGTTAAGTGGGTAACAAGGAAAATGGCATCTTGAACTAACGGCTGAACCCAGTCACGGACTGGGGCTATGTAACAAAACTGCTGTGATCATGTCGGCTGCCATCTGGCAGCCAAGGATTGTGCGTTGTACACCGCCTCACGCAGCCTCTTTACAGTAAATAGGCGCCAAGGAACAATTAGCCTTGCCCAAATACCCATTAAATTAAGCTCACCAGTGCGTTCATAGATGACTTTCCCACGCTATAGTATTTCTCAAACACAGTCGTGGTGATGATGGAAAAGCTTCGACGCAATAACATATGCTGTAAAAATTGCCTGCAAAAGGTAGCGTAGAAAGCCTGCTAATCTGCATCACAGTCGAAGTTCATTGCTTAACAACTTAATAGGAATTGCTAAAGACTTTGATCATAACTGATTACACGTACAAGAAGCCACAGCCGGTCTAGTACCCATGAGTAGGGGTGTCCGGGCATGTACTTCACACATATGGCCACATCAAATGGATTGTCGGTATCTCCATTCTCTTGCATTGACTTATTGATCTGTTCTGAAAATTGCAGGTCGCTACTTAAAGCTGTAGAATGGGTATATACGCTTTGTAACCTTTTGAGGACTGTGGCAAGGATGATAGACATTGAATGGTGATTAGAAGTTGAAGACATTTAGACAATCAAGAGAAGTTCCAAGAGTGATTGCCGTCTTTAGAAAGCAGATTCTTTATATCCTCCAACATTTTAAATTACAATCAAAAGTATAAATCCCGTGTTCCTTTCCTTTGAAAGAAAAGTTGTGTTCTCGTAAGAAAAGGTAACGGGTAATTGAAATTAGAACAGTGCCTCCGCAACGGTTTAAGTTATTCACTGTTAGTTTTTGTACCATGGCAGTTAGTATTCCATCAGCACCGCTACGATTTGTCAACAAATTGTTATTGCGATGAAGAATGGTGCGAAGAGTAACCTGCGGCTTATCTTGTATCTCGTGGCCGCGGAGGGTACCCTTTCCTCGGGCAACTGACGCCCGGCCCCACATTACTGTGCAACCTATTCCGCGGTAAACTCATCCGCGACACTGCAATCGCAGGTATAAATATTATAATATACAACAAACAAAGTCATTTCTTATATCATTTGCAATCATCTAAAACATTCCGACTTGAACGAACTTTGAGTTTGTGTCCGTTAAAACCCCATCAACATCATGCCCTCCGAAAACGCCACGGCCTTCTGGGCCAAGACAGACAAGTACCTGATGTCAACAGGTGTTCCCTATTCACCAGTCATCATCACCAAGGCCAAAGGCACGAAACTTTACGATGCGGAAGGTCGCCAGATTCTGGATTTTACTTCAGGCCAAATGAGTTCTCTCCTAGGCCACTCGCATCCTGAGATCGTAGAGGTGGTCCAGAAGTATGTCGCCGAGCTGGACCACTTGCTCAGCAACATGATCACGCAGCCAGTCGCAGATCTCGCCGAAAGATTGGGAAAACTTCTCCCGGCTCCTCTCGAGAAGGTTCAAACAACTTTTTCTCCACACGCCTTCTCATATGCTGACTTTCTCTTAGTCCTTCTTCTTGAACACTGGCTCTGAGACAACTGAAGCAGCAATCAAGATGGCCAAGCTTCATACCGGCAAATTTGAGATCGTCGCCATGTCCGCAAGTTACCATGGCCTCACTCAAGGTTCTGGATCAGCAACCTACTCTGCAGGTCGCAAGAATGGCGGTCCCGCGATGCCTGGTCAGCTTGCGTTCCCGGCGCCCTATGCCTACCGTTCAGTCTTTCGGAAGCCCGACGGCTCGTACGACTGGGAGACGGAGATGGATTTTGGATGGGGCATGATTGACCGACAAAGCGTAGGATCTCTTGCGGGCTTTATCATGGAGCCTATTCTCTCTACTGGAGGTATCCTCGATCTGCCCAAGGGGTATTTGAAGCGTCTAAGCCTTGAATGCCAGAAGCGAGGCATGCTTCTCATTCTTGATGAAGCGCAAACAGGTGTTGGGCGCACAGGTCAAATGTTTGCTTTTGAGCACGACGATATTGTCCCCGATATTCTCTGTCTGTCAAAGACTCTCGGTTGCGGCTTGCCCCTTGCTTCCGTCAGTACTACGGCTGAGGTTGCGAAGGGATGCCAAAACGCAGGGTTCCTCTGGCTTACAACACATCTCAACGATCCACTCACAGCCGCTGTTGGTAACAAGGTTCTTGAAATTGTTGAACGTGACAGAATTTGCGATAAGGCTTCCGAGAGGGGAGAGCAACTCCGCGCAGGTCTGCTCAAGCTTCAGGAGAAGTACTGGTGTATTGGCGACGTACGCGGGCGTGGTCTACTGCAAGGTATTGAGATCATCTCAGATGCAAAGACGAAGGCACCAGGATCAGACTTGGGTCAGGCGGTTTCCGATCGAGCGATGACACTAGGGTTGTCCTGCAATGTCGTAAACTTGCCGGGTATGGGAGGCGTATTCCGGCTCGCACCTCCAGTTACTGTCACTGCTGAGGAAATTGAAGAGGGACTTCAAATATTGGATAAGGCGTTTGGATATGTGCTGGATCAGGATAAGAAGGCTGCTGCCACATGAGGCTTACCAGGCCAATTGTTAGAGTCTAGAAAATCGGGAACGAAACTTGTCACCATAAATAACTGTTAAAGACATACTGAATACTGGCATGCTATTGAGATGTTGTATCTATGACTCTTTGCCGGATGAGCATCACAGATTCGCCAAAAGGAATTTGATTCTGAGAATCCAAACAGTCTGGGATGAATGAACATCTTCACTTTCAAGTTGCAAAATGAAGTCTCTTGATTGGCGAATTTCAATTGACAGTCATAATGGCGAGGACAAAGAGAAAAAGCGAATGCATCAATTAGTTGGTCCCTATTCATGATTTACCCAAATAAAGCTGCCTTGTTGCACTACAAGCTCTTAGTTTACCTGGACCACTCGGCATAGTATCTCCCTTATGCGATCGGGCTCTTCAAGACAAATTAATCAGACCGGGCTGGTAGTTTGGGACTTGCACAGTGTATGCACTGGACTTGATTATTTTCGACGGCAAATTGGGTCCATCACAAGCTTATGTAAAGAATGACGTCGTCGACAGCGACCGTCGGCGTCACAAACCGAAAAATATGGAAATAGGGCGGTGACAAAATCCGGCATCACCACCCGAGACCAGAAATATCTTGTACTTAAGACTAACAGAAACGGCATCGTGGCCCGCCCAAATCCAATAGCACCACATTGAGTTTAGCTACCTTTACAAATCAAATTTTTCAGCAGTATATCAATAGCCAAGATCTCAACAGTAGACTTTTAGGAAAAACAACATTGACATCGTCGCACTAGATATGGCACCCACAACATCTGAAAAGCTTGGCTTCCAATGCGCCGCCATCACCGGCGGTGCAGGGGGTATCGGCAAGGCCATGGCCCAACATTTCATCTCAAAGGGCAAAAAGGTGCTTCTAGTAGGCCGGACGGAATCGAAACTCCAAGAAACAACGAAAGAAATCGGGGCCGCAGGATACTACGTCCTTGATACAGGCCATGTCGATTCCATCCCAGGGTTTATCCAGCAGATCACCACAGACCATCCCGACCTAGACTGCCTCATCAACAATGCAGGAGTCCAACGACCTCTTGAAGTACTCAAGGACGGTGACTTTCTCATAAAAGCAGACCAAGAGATCAACATCAATATCCGCGGCCCAATGCATCTTACCCTTGGGCTGTTGCCCCATTTACAGACTAAACCGTCGGCACTCATCATAAACGTGTCGAGCGTTCTCGGCTTCATTCCTTTTTCAATCATCAACCCGGTGTACAACGGCACAAAAGCATGGCTACATTTCTGGAGTATGAACCTTCGGACGCAGTTGGCAAAAGGCGGCTCCTCTGTTAGGGTTGTTGAGATTGCGCCGCCTACAGTGGCTACGGATCTTCACCGAGAAAGGTCAGATCCGAACGACAACAAGAAGGAGAATAATCCCAACGCGCTGAGCGTCGACGAGTTTATGGAGGAAGTTTCAATGAAGCTAGAAAATGGAGCTGAAATGATTGGTCCTGGCATGGCTGGCGAAGTTATTGATCGATGGTATGCTGTATTTGGAGAACAGTATTCAAAGGCTGAAAGCAGCTACTGAGGTATTAGAATTCATAACTCGTGGGAACAGAGATTACCAATTTATGAGAATTTTAATAATCACCAGTCGTTTGTCAAAATAAACATGCATCACAGATCAATATGTCCCAAGACAATAACACGTTATGCTCAATATGTTGGGTACTGTTAGAATGTATCGTGGAGAGTCTTTTACACATTCATATCTGAAGTGTTTTAAGAGTTTCGGACTTGGTGCCTTTGTGACTGAAGCAACCAATAACACCGTCTCTTACCCAGATGCCGTAGGCTAAGGTATCAATGTTAATCAAGTTGCATTTTCAAAGGTGCTCGTACGGATACTTACAGAGGTCCAACCACGACCACATGGTTCCCCTGAAAAATGAAAGCTTCTTTGGGCACTTTTCACACTGCAGCCGAAGATAACTATCTTCGCTCTTTTGGGTTATTTTACAGCCACGGCAATTGTGACTGCCTCTGCATGTAAGAATGATTGCGTTAGTCAAAATTGGCAGGCAGAAAGATGGACTAAGGAACCTGCAAGAAGCAGAAAGGAAAGAATGGGGACATCAAAAAGAAGAGACCTAACCCTTCGGCCCATTTCAGTAGGCCATCAACGTTCGCGATACATTTGGTAAGGTCGAGTGAGGTGATTATGTCTTCGTTGGCGTCATTTTTACACCGAGCTGTCAGGACAATCGGCTTCTCAACTGAAAGTTTGTGTTTCATGCCGTTCTCATATGTGAAATTTGTGCATAAGTTCTGGATACAGTCTGACTCGAGAGGACACTGCCGGGCAGCGGCGCAGTTGAAAAACCAAAGACTCGCAGTAGTGGCGATGTGGATAAGCTTCATAGTCGCTGGTCGTCTTGCGTCGTCATAAGAGACTTCAAACACCGCAGAAAGGGAAAATTATGAAGCAACTTAGGAGCCTTCAAAGTCAAGCACATGATGCAGGATAAAAGTGACAGAAGTGCCTGAGGAGCATATACCAACAGTACCGGCAGATGCGTGGTGTTATATGTTAAGGTGAGTCAAAGGCCGCTCAAAGATTACCACCAAAGTCTGAAAGCTCAATGGCTGAGCATGAGCAGTGTTTGTTGGACAAGAGGCTACTTGAGTACAGATTTTCATTTTTAATTTAAAATCGGAGGTAAGAATGAAAACAGTATAAATCAACGCCAGGGAGATCAAGCCTTTCAAGTAGTCAGCGACAATTTTTGTTAATATTGGACGACTACCGCCTTTTCATGTTTGAGGATTGATTGGTGGACAGAGTGTTGCATTGCTGTTTGTCTCAGTCGTGGTACGAAGGCAACTTTTATTTGGCTGCGGGACGACACTGTACTTGCGTGACCAGGCCAATTTACGATGAGTAAAGAAAATAAACATTCTCCTACCTTGTCCAACATCAAACGATTGTCCTTACTTCTATTCATATAATGATAATGACTAAATCATCTGAATCAAGAGGAAATATAAAATGTGTGGATTGGAGTTGAAGCTTCAAAATTGGGATTAACCATATCCCGGAAAGTATTGTTACCGGAACTATTCACATTCCAATTCCGTCTAGAAGAGATCAAACTGAAGTTCTGAATGAAAGCCTTCCACGAAGGCAATTTAAGCCAATAAACTTGGGTTGCGCACTTCATGATTCAAACCACGATTGTGGACCTGTGGAACCCAGATCCAGCTGAAAGCAAATTCACATTTCACCCAGACCCACGTTCTCCGTTCGAGTTCAAGAGCTTCCACACGTTCCAATTACGCTACCACAAATAAGCCAAGCACGGTAGCTCAGGGGTAGAGCGCTGGGCTCATAACCCAGAGGTCCCTGGATCGAAACCAGGTCGTGCTACATTTACTTTTGCTTTTTGGCTAGACAATTGTTGCAGAAATGCTTTAATCAAGAGCTTGACATGGAAAGGATGTAACTCCAATAACAAGCCCAATCATAAGACACAGTGGGGTGCACTGAGATGTGTGAGAACTCTGCCGCTGTGAATTTTCAACTCCCTTTCCAATTTTTTTCAGACAGGCATAAACATATATGCGTTATGAAATTCGAATTTTCCATGGAAAACATAAAGCTGCCTTCAGACAATCTGCTACGCTTGGGATCATCAGCCTTGAGACTTCCAACAAAACATGTTGGTGGGGTTGGACTACACCTTCGGTAGCGCGATTCGTCTCCACCAGAGCTGTAGGGCTGAAACCCTAGGCTTACCATCATAGGCTTCAATCCACCTTGGAGTCTTCAACAATTTGCGGCGGACATAGCTCAGTTGGGAGAGCGTCAGACTGAAGTTAACTTCATTCAATCAATCTGAAGGTCGTGTGTTCAATCCACACTGGCCGCATAACATTTTCTTTTTTCTTTGTATGTCCTCAGTGGACGAAGAAAGCATGTCGTTTGTCTAGTTTACAGTCTGTCTCTGTTTTTGGTTCATTACAGCTCGACCTCTATTCTCTAGGGCCGGTGGCAGGTTAGATCCATGTTGCCGAAGAAAGTGCTGTCTCACAATATCTCGTCGCCCAGATACATAGACACATCCCGGATACCCACATGGTATCTGTGGCATGTTCTGTTCGTGCTCCTTCTTGTGTTTGGAAAGACCTGATGGTGTCTGGCACGTTTTGTTACAGTTGGGGAACTGGCAAACGTACAGACGCCTGCATGGTGTCAGTATTAAGTTGATAGAGCTTAGATCATAGCCGGCAATCTTACTGCTTTTGACGTTTTTCAGCGACACTGTTCTTTGGCGGGCCATCACTCGGTGTCTTTCGTTTTCGGTTAAGAGAGGGTGAATGTTGCTTTACTTCGGCTTCACCGGGGTTATTGAAAATCCATCTGACGAAGCTCACATGGTCCTCGGGGCTAATTAGTTGCTATTGCCAGTTAGGTTTGTGATCTTGAACCTGGACTCGAGGGATGAAATACAGTGGAAAGAGCAAGGAGGTAATCCTGGACCTCTTCGAGTGTGCTCAAGCTCCCGACAACGACGAATTTTTTGGCCACTGAAAGGAGTGCTAAAAAAGATTCATTGGAAGCCATAGCCTTCTTCAGTGGCTTGAAAAACTCTTTTCGTAGCTTCCTCTCAGCTTTTGATCTGCTACTTGCATAGCCCGATCCGGTCTTCTGGCAAGTGACGGTGGCTCCACGATTGGATAACAGGAAGAAATAATCTCCAGTATCTTTTGTGAAGATAAGCACAGCGTGAAACATAACAGTATTTCGCAGCCTGAAGACTGGGCTGTCACTTTCCTGATCGCAAAGTTGAAAATTAAGCCGGGGTGCAGTTTCCTTTCTAGCAGCATTGTTTGTGGTTGGGTTTGACGTGAAAGATGGGCATGATGAAAGTGAAAAATCGAGAAGATGCTCCCTTGTTGGCGGAACATAATTCATGAAGTTGTTGTTACCGAGTGTATCGAAATCTGCCATTGCGACACTGGCATCCAAAGCAACCGGATACTTGAGCTCGGCATTTTCACCCCAGTTGCTGAACGAGAGGAGTTGACTAAAACCGAACGCCTCTGACGTTCGATCTGTAAGATCGTACACATCTTGCTCCATACTCTTGTACTTAACAGAGTCATTGCTAGTCGATTTCTCTGCTGAATTGTCCTCAGATGGTAGCCCAAGCCCCGATGAAGTATCACACGCAACTTGCTGGAAGCTAGTTGCGGTGACATTCTGGGTTTGTCTCTGGCCTGAACCTAAGGAAGTAGGCTCTGAGTTCATATCCGCCAGTATTGCTTCCAAGCTCTCATCTAGGCTCATCTGTTGTCGCAGGTTTTCTTGAAATGACTGCGAATTTGGTTCCGTACATCTCTCAGCAACCTGACAAAGTGGAGGGAGATGGTTGAGTGACCACATCTCCGCCGATAGGGAATTGAATGCTTTTCTCTCTTCCGAGTTGTTGATACAATCTCTCCACCGGGACAAACCAGAGAGAATTTCTTCTTCACGCATTCGGCCATGATGTAGCAAAATGTCTGATATCGCGTACGATAATGCGGCAAAAGCGAATACCTCTGCCAGCGTGTCTGGTACTGAGCCTTGTAAAACATCGCGATAGGTTTGGAGGCCCATGTCGCTCATTGCGTTGGCACTCGTGTAAAAGTCTCGAAGCCTGATGATTTCTGGCACATTATCATACGAAGCGATTTTGCAGAAGCGGTCGAACTGGCGCCGCATGCCGTCTTTTAGCTCGGAAAGTGCGGTCCACGCTCGGTGCGGATCATCACACCTGGGTTTTGCCACATAAGTCGCTTCAGGAAGTCTGCTTGGTGTATCTGGGACTATCGTCTCAGTTGAAAACAGGTGTTGGCCATCGTCCTGCAATCCATGTGTCAGGTCCCAAATATCAGAAACAACGTCCGCAACTGGCATTTGGCCTCCTTTATCCAAGAAGGTGATGCCGGCAACCATGCCATCAACTTCGGCAATGGCTCGTTTCACTCTAGATTTGACACTTGGTTCAAAAGCGGAAGCGGATAGAGTTATCGGATAGTCATTGTCGCTTAGAAATCTGCCCATCTGATATGAGTTGTAGGCATTTGAATTTGAGGTTGTGGTTTCCATTGCGAACATTGCCATGATGAAAAGCACAACAGCATCAAAAGGAAATAGCAGAGGGTAATACTAATTCAAAGTCGACGTGCATGTGCTTGAGGTTTTAAAGTACGATGCCAGCAGGATTTGGGCTTCAGTCACTCGTTTTGCCACTTTTCAGGACAAACCGCAAGGACAATTGGCTTGGACAAAAGCTAGCTGCCTTTCTTGGAAGAGCCTGAAAACTCAGGCTCAATGTCTTAACGCGATTTGGACACACTGCAGACTGTCCATTTTGTCCTGGGACTAGGTATGAGGCAATTGCCATTGGCTAACATGCAAGCCACATTTCCACGTCACGTTTGCCAAGTCGAATGACGGCATTTCGATCGAAATCGTTCTTGCATAAAAGCAAAGATCCCACATCAGAACCGGGAAGGAACATGAAAAGTATTGATGCAATAATGAGAGGTCTGTGATTTTCAAAACCTCGATACACTGAGCTGCTACCATCAATCATTGGAGCATTCATGCCTTTCCTGCGCTACCACAGATATCAATCCACCTCTCAGTCTCCTTCTGCAGAATGCTGATACCGTCTTCCATAAGCTGCGTCAAAGGTTTGTTTACGTTCTCCTTAAGGTGAACGTTCCAAACTTCAAGCAGCAGCTTATTCACATTCAATTTGATAGCGCCATTCTCAATGCATCGCTTCATAATGTCGGGCGTAAAGTCGTTGGTGCCGTGCAGCGCCATCAAAACACGGTTGTCAATCTGCTTATTCACATTCGCCAGTCTCTCATAATCCAGTTGTGGACCCTTTGGCCCGTAGTCGCC